TTTTTTTTTATTTTTAATAAATATTTAATAAAAAATTATTTAATTTTTATAAATTTTAAAATAATAAAAAAAGCCTTTATTAAAATTATATTAAATTAATTTATAAATATAAAAAATTTTTTTTTTAATACTTACCTAAAGTACTTTAGCTTTAAAAATACTACTGCTATTTAAGTTTTTTTATTCTTAATATAAAAAATATATTACTTTATATATTTAAAAAAAAATAATCTTAAGTCTTTAATATTTATTTATTTTATATTTTAATATTATTATATATTACCTATAAGTCTATAGTTAATAAATTAAACCTTTTTTATATTATTTAAATATTTTTATAAATATAAATAAAATATAAATTTTAATTAAATTTAATAATTTATAAATTTTTATTATAAAGCTTTATTAAATTTTAATATAAAGATATTATAAAAGCTTTTTAATAAAAAGCTTTTTATTAATTTATTAATAGCTTGCTTTTTTAATATAAAGGCTTTAATATTTCCTTAAGTATAAAAAAATAAATTTTTTTTTTATTTTATAAGGTTTTTTATAGCTTATAATTTATATTTTTATAATTAATTAACTTCTGCATTAAACTACTTTTATAGGTTTTTTTTTTTTTTATTAGCTTTTAAAGTAAAAAAAAGCTTCTATATATTAATATTTATTTATATATTAAAGATAATAGGTTTTAAGCTAGTGAATTATAATATATATAAAGTGCTTTTGCTTTAAGCCTTTATTTTAATCTCTATTAGTCTTTTCCTTTTTTTTATTAAAAAAAATAAAACTATTATAATTTAAGTTTTATAAAAAAAGTAATAAAAAATTAAATAAAGCTAGGTATATCTTTATTATTAAATAGTTATTAAGTATTATTAAAAGACTATATTTATCTTTGCCTTTTTTTTATTTTTATAAAAGAAAATTTTTTTTTTTTATACCTTTTTTCTTTATAGCAATTAGCTTCTAGCTAATTACATTAGGCCTTCTATTTTATATCCTTAGCTGAAGACTTAAGGTTTATTAGCATGGCATGGAATATCTATTTAAGCTTAAAGGACAATAGCTAGTTTCTAGCTAGTTATATCCCAGCTTCTTTGTCGCCTGACAGCTGCCTTAGCATCTACAGTAGGCCTGGCCTTAGGCCTAAGTAAAAGTAAATAAAGGAAATAGAAAAGCTCTTTTATAGCAAAAGCAGCAGTATTAATTAATAGCATTATTAACAGTAAATTATTATCCTTAAGCTTATTTTATTTATAAAAAAAATTAGCCCTAAGGCTTTTATATAAAAAAATAATACTCTTTTTTATTAATATTATATATAGTTTATTATTTATAATAGGCATTAGGTCTTAAAGATAACTTAAGTAGCTAACTTGCTTAATTTGAATATAATTAAAGCAGCATGGCCTTATATAAAAAAAAATACTATAAAGTGCAGTACTTTAAAGTTACTAAATAAGGCAACAACAGCCTGGATCTATACTTAAGAAAAAATACCTTAAACCTAGATCTAGGCCTAAATTAAATATATTCCTTATTATATATAAAAAGTCATTTACTTAAAAGGTAAAAATAACTATATAAAAAGGAGGAAAAAAAACCGCCGGCCAGAAGCCGGCATTATAATTAACCTTAATTAAATTCGCTATATTCTATAATACTGTTCCTTATAATTCTAGGTAAAGTGGGCCTGAAGGCGGTGAGATAGGACTTTTGGTAGCGACCTCCGTAGTTGCACCGAGCAATTCAATGCCGGGATGTACCACTTATATAAGAGCCACGGACAGGACGGAGCCGTAATCTGCACTCCGAATTTGGTCGCGTTATCGCCCAGCAACGCCGTTTTAAGGCCTTACCATTCGTGGGCATAGAGCCATCGAGTCCGGTATATTGAGAGCGACATGGCGATGGTATAACCAAAAGGCGCATACAAAGGGCAAGTCATTTCGGAGGTTGGAGCGGCACTGAAGCTCATCAAGAGTCCTACAAACCTACCTAGTAGGAGCCCTTTTTTGCTACATACCTAATTGTAATACACGCCTGTAGGACTGCCGCTGAAGAGGTTAAAAAAAAAAAAAAAAAAAAAAAGTAACTCGACGTAACATCGTACATAGCTTTCATCAATGGCCAATAAGAGACTGTATCCTATCTTTTCGGCAGAGATAATGACCGCCTGATGGCTCGCGAGTTCATCTTCCAGCCCAGCCGCGCCTGCACTCAATTACCTCATTGGGACAAGTACTACTAAGTGGCATACCGGCCGAGAGAAAGGGCGAATGGCTGTGCCTCCCTCCGGGTGAGGTAATTATCCGCCCCGAATTATGTAATGTCGAAGCGGCCAGCCTGTAGCAAAACCTTACCAACCAGGCGTCGGCGTCGGAACTGGCACCCTCACCCATCTCAACCACCCAGCTATTAAGCGCCTGCAGACCGAACCATCGACACCGTCGCCCCTCGCGCCTCTGCCCGCCTTCGGAAGCTTCTCACGAGTACCAACTGCGACTTTTCTTTTCGAACCTCTTGATTAACCACTTCTTCGCTCATCCCCCATCGTCGCAATGGCCACCGAACTTTGGTACGTTGCGTCAGCGCGTTTGAATCCTCCCCCTAGCAACGCCGTGGAGCTTCGGATTGCATCGTTGGAAGCTCTCGGCATCATCGCAACCGCCTGCACTTGCCTCTTCCCTTGCCTCGTTGTGCGATCTCGAGATTTTAAAGCTAACTTGTTTCCTATATAGCCCTGTCTACGCGGTCAGTAACAATAATACCCCGTCCTGCTATACCCAACGACGTCACCGAGAAACTCCCGGAGGGACATCGAAATAATCAGCATGGCCTGTTCGATATACTGGATAGAATGCTAACCCGTAACACAGCCCTTCTTCGGCGCCATGGGTTGCACCTGTGCCATCGTCTTCACCTGCCTGGGCGCCTCATACGGTACCGCCAAGTCTGGTGTTGGTATCGCCGCAATGGGTGTCCTCCGCCCAGATCTGATCGTCAAGAGTCAGTTGCACTTTACCGTTGACGTGCAGCAACATATTGCTGACTTCTACAACTAGACATTGTTCCCGTCATTATGGCTGGTATCATTGGTATCTACGGCCTGGTCGTGTCTGTTCTTATCTCCGATGGTCTGCGACAAGACCTTCCTCTCTACACTGGTTTCATCCAATTCGGTGCTGGTCTCTCTGTCGGTCTCGCTGGTCTTGCTGCCGGATTTGCCATTGGTATTGTTGGCGATGCCGGTGTCCGAGGAACTGCTCAACAACCTCGTCTTTTCGTCGGAATGATTCTGATTCTTATTTTCGCTGAAGTCTTGGGTATGTACATTCCTACTGACTAATTAAACAAGGACAACATTGCTGATGCACCACCCAGGTCTATACGGTCTTATCGTCGCTCTTCTGATGAACTCAAAGGCTAGCCAAGATGCTGTCTGCGCATAAGCAACTCGCGCGCCTGTGGCCTCTTGGAAAAGCTTGCCAACTCTGTCTTTTTCAAAGTCGCTACTTTTGATATGAAATATGGGTTTCTGGGCTGTATTGCAATGTTATAGCCCGGACGGTGCCGGATGAAGCTTGTGTGTTGAGATTGGTGAATCTCGGCTTGACTCACAGTGAGGGTCGTGTAATGGATCAAATTAGTAGGAAGTTTACATATGTACACTAGTGACAGGGTGTGTTTGCTCTTGATGCGAATTTCTCTTCATAGACGGTGAAGGTGAAGGATCTAGTGTAAGCGGATGGTCAATTTTATCTGTCATTGTTTTTTTTCTTTACACTTTCACAGTTGAACAGCTTAGGGTTTCTAGCCGAAAGCAGCTTTTGTATTTGTATAATCATAGGTGGACGTTGAGCTTCCTCTGTGGCAACTTCTTCACAATGTACGAAATGTGCTCTAGCGAAATTGTATCATAAAGATGGCACAAGTAGCCATGTATGTGTATTGATATGATATGCCATTAATTAAAACTGCTAGACTATTATCGGATATGTTTATCCATTTTAAAACTACATAATACAAACATTAAAGCCATGGGCATATCCTGATTCTCATATATCTTGCCGTTTTTACATCATTTTATGAAAATCCCATCTCAATCATTTTCCCAATCTTTTCTTCCTTCCTTCCTTCCTTCCTTCCTTCCTTCTTTCCTTCCTTCCTCCTTTTATTGATAAGAAAGCAAGTTTACCTTACCCTTTTTTTATGCCCGCTGTGTAATTTGGTCGCATGCACGCTGAAATTAAAATTCAGAAAGCTCCTCTCTAGAGCGAGAAGAGGGGGATAATATGTGCGAGAGAGAATAGAAACTCGGTACATGAACAACAAAATGCTTCTTAGATGACGTACTATTAATAGGTTAGAGAAATGTTGTTGAATATCTTTGTCTTTTTTGGATGATAGGACTTGAAAAAAAAACCTACGGGAATGAAGAGATAAGGGACCTGGCGCTCGTATTCGAGCCAGGCCTCGCCATACTTGGCGCGGCAGCGAGTGATGTCTCTATGCGCGCGGTGGGCAATCATACAGGCGAAAAAGACAGGGTAGAACCAGGGGAAGGGGCTCCTGTTAAAAAGAAATGAAAGGTCAGTAAAGGCGTTGTGATTGGTTGCTTGATGCCTTGCCGGCTGGAAAAAAAATAGTCACTTACTCAAAGCCTGTGATCAGACCCCATGAAATAGAGAACCAAAGGTCAGAGGTATAGTGAATCTTGCGAGCAAGGCCATACCAGCCATCGACAAGGATGGTTCCCTGAGGAGTCTTGATAGTCTTGGGGTTCTTGAGGGTCTGCCATGGCACCTGGGGGAAAGTCTTGCGGGGGATGAGGTTTCCCTTCTCCATGGCGCGGAAGCGGTTCTTCTGGCTGTTGCAGCTGTCCCATACCCAGTACCAGAAGAGGTAAGCGCCGTACATGGCAACCAGAGCGAAGCGGTCCCAGCGGTAGGTGGCGGGATCGTGGTTAGCCAGGTAAAGGGTGCAGTGGCAGTATGACAGAGGGACACCAGCAAGGTTCCAGAAGATGAGCATGAAACCCCACTTCTCATAGTACATGTCCCTGGTTTTTCTATTAACCTAACAGTCTCTCATATAGATTAAGAAAATAGATGAAAGAATCCTATTCTTACCAGGTAGTTATGATGAGCTCCTCGCCCTTGGCGCAAGCGTTGGCATACAGGTAGTGCGCCATGACAAGGAACATGACCTCACCAGAAACATAGCCATATTGCTCGTATTGACGAGCAGCCGCGCCGAGACTAAGAATCAGCAGGAAGTACCAGGGCATGCGAACCTCAAAGAACATCTTGAAATCAAGGATGCCAAACATGCGAGGGTTAAGTTCAGCACCCATGAAGAAGTCATAGATAGGATAGCCAGTCATGCGGTGATGCTTGCCTCTCCACAGAGCAGAGAAGTAAGCGATGAAGCTCACAATGAAGCCGCTGAAGATGGCAACCGACAGGAGAGGGCCGAACTCATCGAGGGCCGTGTAGATGGGCCAAATACCAGAGAAGTGCAGGGCGGCAAAGACGGCGAGGGTCGTGTACAAGCTAACAAAGGCGTTGCAGAAGTAGTCGAGCTGCTTGCCGCCCTCATGTGGGAGGGGCTTGCCCTTGCCCCAGACACCAGGAAGAAGGCAGTAGCATGCACCCTCAAAGATGAGGTAGCTCCAGTACCATACCCATGCCTTGGTGTGAGGGAACGCGCGCGTGTAGACGATGTTGGCCAGATGAAGGCCAAAATCAGCCCAGCTTTCACCGGGAGCGCGGGTTGGGAACTTGCCGCCATAATACGTAGTACCAATCCACATGTACCACATGAGCATTGGGAAGAAGATCATCATGCATAGAGTGCCTACTGAGCCGCCAAATTCGAACTCGCCTGAGTAGTCGACCTTGGGGTCCTGGCCTGGTTTCCAGCCGTCTATCGCCTTCTCCTCGGCGGATGCTCCATTGGTGTCCTTGTCAGAATGGCCATTGGCGTGTCTGTTTGTATGTCCATTTGAATACCCATTGGCCTTGCCATTGGTGTGGCCGTTGGCGTGTCCGTTGGCATGTCCGTTAGTGTGGCCATTGCTGTAGCCATTGGCGGTGCCATTGACGGCGGGCTTGAGATCTTCCTCCTCGTCCAAATTCTCGATAAACTTGGCGGTGCGGCGGCGTGAAATCTTGCGAGGGCTTGCAGTTTCGGCGATAGATGCAGAATCCTCGGCGTCTGACGCATCAGGAGCCTGTGAGGCTTGGCGGGTGCGCGAAGATCGCTTTGGAGTTTCGACCAAGCCGTCGAAGAGCTCCTTTTTCCTAGGCGGGGGGTTAGCACATGCATCATGAAGAATAGCAAAGCGGGCACATTGAGATATCCAAGGTTGTATACCCAGGTACTGGTTATTGAATACTGGCCACTGGACACCTCATAACTTTGCTTGGCACATCTTGTTTGTTGGACACTTACTTGGGAGTCTGCCTCAGTGAATATCGGGTCGCCATGGTGACAATGGATCTGTCGAGCTACAAAGTAGCCCTTGTGTCGAGAACTGGTCGCGCGTTACAAAGGGAAGAATTGCGCTGGCGAGCCCGCGGATCGAGGGACGCTCGCTTAATATTCGAACCCACGGATGCCTCGCGCTTCGGAACGGGTTACTCTTCCAGATCCGAGGAGCGGTGGAGGGGAGTTGGAAGTAAAGAAGCAGAAAATTACGAGCCCGTGTCGCGCCACGCTGAAGAAGCCAGAGCTGGGGGCACTTTTGGGAATCTGTGATGTAAAGCTATTGGCTGCTGGAGCGACCAGGGCACTAGGTAGTCTCAGGGGTAGGCGAGTCGAAAATGTATCTGGACAGCCAAATCATGCGAAGGGGTACCTGCTTATAGACCCCACAAGCTGAATACGCGGAATCCTTCCTTAGCCTCTGATCTTGTGGGTTTGATGTGGGCTTGGTGCGTATTCGTACTCTTATTTTGAGCATTTTCGGCTCCGTCAAATGTATTGTAATAGTACCAAGGCCTACAGTAGTTACATGTACCTACCACTGCTATTAATATGACTGCGGCACGATCACGATGCGATCCCGATTGCCTTACCTCATAGGTACCTACCTAGTATTACTACCTGTAGCAGTAGGTAAAGCTACCTCTAGTATTCAAGTACCTGGTATAAATGACATGTAGCTTCGAGTGCATCGGATTGCCATTGGACCGAGTAGTATCTCGTGGCTGGCCAATGAGTGGCTTCTTTTGCCAGCAAGCATGCGCAGGCAGCGGATGCGCAAGCTGCAGCTCGTCGCGTGGCTGACTACATGTCCTGCAGAGTGTGATACCTAGCTAGATACTGCATATCATTGGCTGGGTAGGGTGAGGCATGTCCATCATTCGCTCCAGCAATGCGCCTTACCCTGAATCTGGCGATCAATTATATGCTATGAGATACTCTTGTCTGGGAGTAATAAAAAGTGGTATTCAGCCTTGTTTTATGAGTCGTGAAGCACGTTGATAAAATAGGGCGGTTAATTCATACTTCTCACACCATGCTTTATAGGATGGATTGGTATTGCGTAGTCTGCTTGATGTGGAGGCTGAGATTAAGCCTCTTCCGGGGCAGAAGGCGTCTTGAACACCTTTTCTTTTTTTCTTTCTTCTCCATTTTCTTTCTTCTTCTGCAGTTGGCATTTAGATGCACACCGTTAAGATCTCTCTATACATGATTCCGGGCCTGCTCACGCGTTAAAAGCGTAGGTGGTAGAGTTTTTGGTCCCATTAATGCTGCTACCTAAAACCTGGATAATCAAACTCTAGCTCGTGAATGAGGCATATAGTTGAGGAAAACCTTCACTGAGAGGCCCAAATCCTCATAAAAGTTAGTATAATAGCTCATAGGAAAGTAAGTATTGAGCTAACCTAAACAATATATTCGCCGATATCAACTCCTTATATCAGCCCTTGTCTTTATGCTCGCCTTGAAATGTAAACACTCATAAACTCTAGAATGGAGACTAACTCGGGAAGCATATAATTGATGACGAATCAAAAGCATAAAGAGAAGAAGCCGAAGAATCCCACCGCTAAGAGTTTTAGATGTACTGCGTAGGTGAAGAAAATGCATTTCGGCTGTCAAGGAGGCGCTAAGAAGATATTTCAACATCTTGGTATTTTCATAATCACAACTACCGCTCTCGAAATTGTTGCCTTTTATGTCTCAAGCTATTTAGGATGTCAGAGAGAGCCAGAACAATTACCTCCGGTATTCGAGGGCTTGACATGGATTGCCGCTCATCAAATAGTGGCTGCTAGACCTCGTTACCTGCAGAGATTCGTCTGATGTACGAGAAGAAAGGGCACGACAAAGATTGTGCGACTGGGCTTCTTGTGCTGCTATTTGCATACAATGGTAAGCTGTTGTTGAGCTAAAGACCTTCCATCGAATAAAATTACAATTATGCACACTGGCATTTGAGCATATACCCATTCGCCCAAAAACAATTATTCAACATATATGCCTTAACATTAGCTTCCGCCATATATTGCCGTAGTTGTGGGAAAAAAACAAGTATCCGATATGTGTAAACACAACACTACTTTGCGAGGCCTTTGCTGAACTTGTTGTCTGTGCTCCACTGCTGACAGCCCACCGGACTTCTGCTATTGTAGCCAGGTGCTTAATCTCCTAGTGACTTGGAGCATTGGTCAAAAATTACCAACTTGGGCTTGGAAATGAGGATAATGGAGATTTAATCCAGCTGAAAGACAATGCTACCAGATGGCATGATCCCAGGCATGGCTGGATCAATGGCCGGCAAGTCGAGGCTCCTCGAGTGCCAGGTTTATTGCGATTGCCCCTTCACTCTTTTAAGTTTCCGGGGAACCCTTCAAGAAGTTCACGCAGTTACGGGGCTTGTGATATATCACCAACTTCGACCTCAGATACATCTGCCACATCTACGGCTCTTATTGGAAAACTACCTTAATTAGGCAGTCTAGTCTACGAGCCTTGACGAGTCTGGTGGCGCAGGCGGAGGGCTATGTGGTACTGTTATGGTATGTCAATATGTTGTCATTCCGTTCAACTTCCTAAATATACTAAATACCTTGACATACATGGCCTGTGCAATTCAACACACCTTGCCACATCGACTTGAGAGAGCATCAGTCTGAGGATTTCACCGAACATCTTACGTTGGCGCTGGGCAACGATATGGAGAATCTGGAACATGTAGAGAATGGCCCTACTGCATGCCCTATACTGGCTTGAGCCTTCGCCTCGAAAAGCTATGAATTGGAACATCTTCTTCTTTCATATATGGTTGATGCCCAGACATTTTTGAACGCTTTCCAGCCATCGAATAGCTGGCATCACCTGCTATCAGTCGCGCTAACGACATCCGATTTAGAGGAGACAGCTCCATTGGAATCAATCTCTTCGTGATTACGTGAATGCTAGCTGAGCTGGTTGAGAATGCCCCAGTTGAAACGCATACCTAGTAGTTGTCTGGAGTTATCAACATGGAGAGGCAGGCGCAGTCATGTATCAGGGACAAGGCAATCGGGCTAGTTTCACTTACATGGCGAGGTACATGAGATCTTGATTTCAGTCGTGATGCGGTTGAATCTTGGGAGCATGTCGATACTGATTCTTACTGCCTACGAGTTGGGAAGATTTGCATCTAACGGTTGGAGTTCTTGATCCGGTATCACTGCAACATATATGCTAGGAAGGGATGGTGCAAGAAATCGCCCAAATGTGATTCTGCGTCCTTGCTCAATTAGATCTGCAACTTGGAACAACATATATCAGTATATATCTTCCTCACAGTCTCGTTCGCTGAGTAGTATAGAATGTAGGTACCTAGGCAAGCTGACGAGTACAGACTCCTTCACTATTGATGAGGTGATGTGTACTTATGTGTACTACTTGTAGAGGTAATTAGGCACCTGGTATACAAAGCCATATTAAATAATAATATAATTTAGGCGAAGATGTTGTCTACATATAGTCAAGCACTAAGAAAAATATGCGTAACCGCAATGCAATTTAGAAAATAGGCATTAATAAGTGCCTACCTTATCGAGCGTAGATAGAAGTACATGGAGACGTTTTGAATTTGTACTTAGGTGGCAAGGTTTTAATGTAGGAGATGTAATATGTATAGGTACTATAGGAATAAATTGGGAAAAATTAAAATGTATAGAGGTGAAAGGAGTTATAGATGCCTCCTAAGCATGTTTGTTGCAATACAGAGTTTCTATTATAATCTGCAGTCCCACTTACACTCATCTCCTAATAATTACACAGATAACAGCGAAGGTGAGTTTAAGGGGCGGCGGGCACCTGTACCCACTCGCGGGCTATCGGCGTACTTCTGTATGGAGACGCCGTGGCGCTGAAGAATGCTAAAGCACCATAATCGATAACACCCTTTTGGCTCCCCTGCCACCAACCTTAACCAACTAGGAGCTTGGTCATTCGGTCATTGTCACCACTTTCTGCAAAGCTTGCGCGAAAGTTAGACCATTCTCTTTGCCACGTGCATGAATCGCTGTTGCTTGAGGGACTGCCGATTATTTGTTGCTCTACAACATCCAATCCTGCACCCACATGCCTTAAAACTCATTCATCTTGTCGACTCTCTTCAATGTGAAGGACAGCGCCTTTGGCGGTCCCTCCCTTTTTCGCCTCGGTCACTGCGGCAGTCGCGTGCAAACCTCGAACCACGCTCGATATTTGCCCTTTGCTTCCCGACGTCGAACTGTAAAGTATTGGCAAATTCATCATGACGAATGAACGCTTAGACGAGTCCGTCTCGCCAATGACGAGAACCCCCAATCATGCCTCCCCAGCAAACGCCGAAGCGCAGTCTCAGTTCCAGCCACCCAAGTCGAACGATGGCCTGCTTGCCCCGATCCCCAATACATCACAACCACAAGTGGGCGAAGAAGAAGCCTCAAAAGAATCCCTAACGGAAGCCCCAAAAGAAGCCAAAGATTACTGGAATAATGGACTGAGCCATCCTGATCCCGCGCCATTGGCTGTGGGAGAGCTGAAGCCGCAGCCCGAGGCTCAAGAACCACTGGCGCAGGAACAGCAGCCTGCACCCGCCAAAAGCATTCCGGAACCTTTGCAACTGGATGGAGGGCGTAGCATCCAGTTTGTCCAACCTGATTACCACGAGTCTCCCCTTCATCCCCCGGGATCGATCCCATTGGAAGAGCCAGATACACCACGCTCTCGAACGAGATTCATGTCCAAGATCAAAGCTTTTGCAGCCAATACAGGCTCACAGACTCCGAAATCACTAAACGGGCCAACTTTTCCATCTGAATTCGGCACACGATCATTTCCCAACTCTCCCACTGTGTCTAGAGTTACCACCCGAGTTCCGGAAGCAGTCCACGAAGAGCAATCTGATGCCGATGCCGATGTTGAGACTGCAGATGAAGCTGCAATCCCCGACGCTATCAAGAAAAACAAAAGAAAGAGTCGGCGCTTTAAGAAAGGCTCGGTGTCTAACTTTCCAAACCCGAGCCGATTCCCAGCCGATCTGGATGCACTAAGTACATATGATCGCCTGCTCAGACGCCGAGCAAGCATGCCTGATACGACGCAACATGACCATGCTGCATCCGATGGCGACATTCGTGATATTCCCAGACGTAAACCCTTTCGCAGAGGATACTCCTGGATGAACACTGCCATGAGTCCTCCAGATGAAGAAGATATGGAAGACATGGAAAACTCCACTGCTGTTGGAAGACGTACAGGTCATTTGCGCCGCATTACTGTCTTTGGCGGAGGCGGCTTGTCTGACGGAGATGCATTGACCCCTAGGAAGCACTTCTTCAACTCAGAAAGAGCAGAAAGGGCCTCCAGCTACGGCGTCAATAAATGGAAGCGAGTCAAAAGCACGCTTAAGCTCCTTCGGCAAAAGAAAGACGATCGTTTTGATTACTACAAATCTGCAGAACTCATGGCTGAGCTGAGAGCGGGTGCCCCTGCTGTTCTGATGCTCGCTAGTATGATTCAGCGAGACGAACACGGGAACAAAAGAATACCAGTTCTGCTAGAGCAACTGAAGCTTAAAATCAAGGACAGCTCTCCCATGCCAGATGATGACAAGGAGCGCCACTGGATATTCACAATTGAATTGGAGTATGGTAGCGGTCCAAGTCGGATGCAATGGCTAGTCGTCCGAACCATCAGGGATATCTATAACCTGCACTTTCGGTACAAGTTTGCTCTGAATAACGATAAATACATGCTTGGACGTCTGGATCTTGGTGCTCGGCTTAAACAGCCCAAGTTCCCCTACTCAGCGTTCCCGTATCTTCGTGGTGCTCGCGACAAAGGAGATGAAAGCGACGAAGATGATCAGGCTAGTGGCCGCGGTGAGGAGACGGCGGCTGAGATGACGGCGGCTGAGGACCATGGCGAGGGGCCGCATCAACACTCAAGAAAGAAGTCTCGCGGTAATTTCCTCGCAGGCATGAGACGAAGATCTACTGGGTTCACCGACGCTGGCGAATTGTCTACGGCGGAAGGCGCTGGCGTTGATAAGGAGACTCGTAGACAGCGGTACGTGGAAAAACAGCGGCGCATTCTCGAGAAGTACCTCTCCGAAATGATTCGATGGCTCATGTTCAGGGCTGACAGCAATCGCCTCTGCCGGTTTCTCGAGCTGTCAGCTTTGGGAGTTCGTCTAGCTGCTGAAGGAAGTTACCATGGTAAAGAAGGCTTCCTCCACCTTCAGATGTCCAAAGGCCTCGATTTCCGCCGCGTCCTTCAACCAGCCAAAGTTATTGCTCGACATAGCCGGAAATGGTTTCTCGTAAGGCAGAGCTACATTGTGTGCGTCGAGTCACCCGAGAACATGAACATCTTCGATGTTTATCTTGTCGATACCAAATTCAGCATTGCTTCTAAGAGGAAGGCGCTGAAAAAAATTGGCTCCAAGAAAAAGAAGTCTGAGATCGATTTGAACATAGAGCATGAACAGTCTATGGAGAAACACCACACGCTTACGGTACGCACGTCGGACCGTAAAATCCGATTGTTCTCGCGTTATCAGTCGGTGATGCGGCAATTTGAAGATTCCATCAACGAAATGCTGAAGCAGACACCCTGGTATGAGAAGAAGAGGTTTGATAGCTTCGCCCCCGTTCGGTCTGGCGTATTTGCACAATGGCTGGTCGATGGTCGCGACTACATGTGGAATGTATCAAGAGCGATCAACATGGCGCGAGACGTCATCTACATTCACGATTGGTGGCTGAGCCCTGAGCTTTATATGCGGCGCCCTGCTTGCATTAGCCAGAAATGGCGGTTGGATCGATTGCTCCAGAAGAAGGCAAAAGAAGGCGTGAAAGTATTTGTGATTATTTATCGAAATGTGGAAGCTGCGATTCCCATTGATTCTGAGTACACCAAATTCTCACTTCTTAACCTTCATCCCAACATCTTTGTCCAGCGGTCTCCGAATCAATTCAAGAAGAACCAATTTTTCTTCGCGCACCACGAGAAAATCTGCATTGTTGATCATGATGTGGCGTTTCTTGGTGGCATAGACCTCTGCTTCGGTCGTTGGGATAGCCCACAGCATCCGATTGTCGACGACAAGCCGACTGGATTTGAGCCATCCGAGATGCCTAAGGATTCTGAGCATGTACAGTTGTTTCCAGGAAAGGACTACTCAAACCCGAGAGTTCAAGACTTTTTCAATCTCAACGAACCGTACGAAGAAATGTACGACCGGGGCAAGATTCCTAGAATGCCCTGGCACGATGTTTCAATGCAAGTTGTTGGACAGCCCGCTCGAGATTTGACTCGCCATTTTGTTCAGCGATGGAACTATCTTCGGCGAGGCCGCAAGCCAACTAGGCCCCTGCCATTCCTGTTACCGCCCCCTGATGCGAAATTTGAGGATCTCGCAGCCCTTGGATTGACGGGCACTTGCGAAGTGCAGATGCTCCGGTCTGCATCCAATTGGTCGTTGGGAATAGACGAAACCGAGCATAGCATCCAGAATGCCTACATTCATTTGATTGAGGAGTCAGAGCATTTTGTCTACATTGAGAACCAGTTCTTCATTACAAGCACCGAGGCTTACGGAACCAAGATCGTCAACCGCATAGGAGATGCTCTAGTTGAACGCATCATTCGCGCTCATCAAAATGATGAAGACTGGCGGGCCGTCATCGTTATACCTCTCATGCCGGGATTTCAAAACACCGTTGATGAGCAGGAAGGCACCAGCGTTAGACTGATTGTCATGTGCCAATATCGTAGTATCTGCCGCGGGGAGCACTCGATTTTTGGGCGCCTACGTGCCGCGGGTATTGAGCCCGAGGATTATATCAGCTTTTTCTCTCTTCGACAGTGGGGAGTCATGGGCAATGACGTCCTTGTTACTGAGCAGCTTTATATCCACGCCAAGACCATTGTCGTTGACGATCGAGTTGCACTGATAGGTTCTGCGAACATCAACGAACGGTCATTGGTTGGCTCTAGAGACTCTGAAGTGGCCGCCATCGTTCGTGACACTGATATGATATCGTCTACCATGGCGGGCAAGCCATATCAAGTTGGCCGATTTGCCCACACTCTTCGAATGAGGTTAATGCGAGAGCATCTTGGCCTTGATGTGGACGAAATATTGGAACAAGAGCGAGAAGAAGAAATGAATGAAGCCCTCTTCGAGCAAGACATGGACGCTATATACGAAGAAGGTGCGACACCTGACGACGATGCGTCTAGCACCAGGTCTAGCGTGGCCAACAGTCCACGAGCGCCCATAAACCCCCTTCGTTTGCCCAGCTTCAACCATGACCTAGACCTTGCGGCAGCAGGGGCCACCCAAGATTTTGAAGGTTCTTCATTGAAAGGAAAAGAAGCTGAGACACCCGACCCTCGTGTTACAGATAAAGTGCATCAGCTAGATTTATCGGGGTACGGGCCGGATCACTGGAAGACGGCAGAACAGCAAGGCGCCGACGAAGGCCGAGATTCGGTTGTCGTTGAAGGCCGAGAGGTTCTCTTGCACGATGGGAAACGAGCTGCAGAGATGGTTCACCCCCCCTTATCCCCTCCCTCTTCGCGCCGTCAGCAGAATGCACACCAAGAGCCTAGCGATAAGCCTGGCACTCCTCCCGCACCCCCCTCCCCTATTAGCAGGGATGAGGTGGGTAAGAATGATTTATCAGGTCTGGCTACGGGCGCACCAGCTATACCGCTGCCAGTGCTTGATGCTACTAACATTGGTGGCCCTGCCATCCACGCTGATTCTAAAACGGGCCGTCAATCTAACGGAGCTTTCCACCCGATGGCAGCAGATATTCAAGCTGCTTCCATTGACAAAGACTGTATGCGAGATCCATTGGATCCTAATTTTGTGGATGAAATTTGGAATCGGGCTGCGCGCAATAACACGGTGCTCTACCGCAGAGTATTCCGCTGCATGCCTGATTCCAAAGTTGGTACCTGGGCTGAATACCGTGAATATATGGATTACGGTCAGAAATTCCGCGCCAGCATGGAACCAAAGTCTACCAGTGATGAGACTGAACCTCGTCGTGACGAAGCAACTACAAAACCTGAAGATCAACCTAAGATCCAGCTGCCCGAGCCGGAAGGTGATGAAACAAACGGAAAACCAGCTTCTCGTGGCAGCAGTGGAGAGGATCCAGCTCTTCGCTCCCCGCCTGTTGATGGAACGACAATGGAAAACCAAAGCTCGTTAGAACCACCTTCGCCCGTTTATGCTCAAGGGGACGTGCCGTTCCCCGCAATGGACACTTCTTCTTCGAAACCAGTTTCGCGAAGCAAGAGCCGAGACCGTAGGCCAACTTTCTCAACGGTAGACAAGCCGTCATCCAAGGACACTAATGCTGCTCCTCCTCTGGCCCCGGCGACGGCGACGGCCACTGGCGGAACAGTCAAGCGCCGACGCCGAGCCACTACGAAGGGTAGTCGGCGTGGACTCCTGATTGAGGAGATGCCTACTCGTGGCGAGGCCGAACAACTTTTGAACTTGATACAAGGAAACGTGGTCGAGTTCCCCTATGACTGGCTACTTACAGAAGAGCACAACGGGAACTGGGGCTACCAGGTGGATGGAGTGGCGCCGATTGCCATTTAGTAAGTGTCATGTCTTGACCCATATTTGAGCAACCCAAGACTAACCATGAATCACAGCAATTAACCAATCTTTACTTCTCTTTGTCATTTTTGCTTTCTGGGCCGGCGCGAGGAGTCATGCAAGGAGTAGGTGTTTTTTGATACATTTATGATGGGATAGAGAAATTATTGCATACAACGGTGAAGGCGGTTAGCGTATAAGTCGAGGACCGGAAACCATTCAGCCCTAGCGTCGCCCTTTCTCTTTTTCTTCAGATATTCAACAAAGCATGGCGACCTGCTTGAATTGATTTCGTATAGTTTACTTGTAATGAACTCACACATATATAGCGCTACACGGACGTATATATATACACTTCACATGCGTCCCACTCCACACTAGGCTAAATGTATTCAGATTGTTTCTCAAAGTCCCCAGGCTTTACTTAAACCTTTTCGCTCACCCATATCGCCCCACGGCAGCCGGCTCTGATGACGTTTGTAAGTAACCAGTGAGGCTCTGCTTTTCTGGCATCATTTTCTACTGCGTGGTCCAGGTGTTCGAGCTCTTCGTCTCGTATTCTGCGGAGAGTGTCCACCAGCTGCTTGATCTCGCCACCGACATCGTATCCTTGCGCCTCCCAGCCAGAGATCATCTCCAAGATGGAGCGGATCTGTTCATTGTAATGGTTCCCTATTTCGGTCTCGACGGCCTCGGTGCAAGCCATGGCTGCCTCGCGGCCCATGATGGCGGTTGACCAGCCAAGGCCGCTAGCCAGGACGGACCACAGCGGGTAGAGGGCCGTAGGCCGGACGCGGTGCTTGTGGATGAGGCTGTTGAAGGTTGAAAAATGGACGGCTTCTTGGTCGTACATGTGAGCCATGAGAGGACGGAGGTGAGGGTGCTTGCGGACGACGATGGGGGTTTGGGCGGAGTAGATGAGCGTTGCGGCGAGTTCACCGGCTTGATTGACACGAAGCTGAAAGTTGGTTAGCTGAGTTGCCCACGATTGTGCAGAGTATATATTGCATGGCGCTAGAGAGAGAGAAGGAGTACTTACAGCAGAGGAGAGAAATTCACGCTGCTCTTGAGTGAGAGGCTTGAGCTTCTTGGAAGAGCCTGAGCTTGAAGTCTCAGAGGTTGATGATGTGGTGGTTGGAGCGCGGAGGACGGCGCTGGTAGACAGAGGGCGAGCTGCAGGCAGAAGGTGTCTACCGATGGCACCAGCCTGCCTGGCGAGACATCTTGTTGGCGCCATTTGAGTTGGGAGCAACTAGAATGACAGAATATAGCGAGATTGCCAGTCCGGACTCATCAATCGCATCGCCCAGGCCGGTTCCCGTATCACGGCATAGCGACTTTTAGAACTCGGCCCATGCAAGCATGACGCCGAATGGCCATAGGACCTGCATGCGGCAGCGCTGCCGATTGGCTAGACGGTCGTTGTCGCGGACAAATGCTTTTCCGCCACCAGCGCCGGAGACTTGCCTACAGGGCGTCGCGTTAATTGCCGGGCGGAAGTGCAATAGCGAGCAGCTTTAGTGCTGGCGGCTCAGGCGCTCGAGTCTTTCTTCCCTCCTTTGCTCTCCAGTTGTCGCCCATTCGCTGTGCTTAATCCCTCTTCTTCGCTGGCCCGTCAGTTGCGATACACGGCAATTGAACTGACAAGCAGATTCTCTCCTCTGATTTCCTTTCGTCTTCCTCCTGACACCGCCGTGCAGCATCTAACTACCGGCCCGAGACGAAAGCTGCTGTCGCGTTTGCTCTTTTGTTCCCCCCCTCCCAACACTTGCGACATCGTTGGGCTTTTTCTCGCCACCGCTCTGCGAAGCAACCCCCTGAACAGCATATCTCGGCCATCGAGGATTGCATCTACACTAGGTCTCCATCATGGCTGACATCGACGACGAACTCCTGGCCCTTGCGGGCGGTGATTCGGATGATGAGGGATCCGTGATCGCCAGCAGAGAGGCTTCGGCGTCGCCGCCACCAGCCTCAGAAGACGAGACACCCAAATCACCAGAGACGAAATCAAAGCGGCGGTCAAGACAGGACGAGTCGGAAGATGAAGGCGAGGCGTAAGTGAATAGTTCCATATCTTATTGTGCTGCCGAGCTGCTGGGAGCCAAATGGGGGGGAACAATAGGTTCAAGGCCTTTTTGTTCCTCTTCACAATGGCAGCACGCCTCTTTCTACCCGTCACGATACAGTTACTAACGTATAACTCCTTTTCGTTTCCCGCCTCTCTAGATCTGATGCGCCTTCACATAATTCTCTCGAATCAGCTTCGATGGATGAATCCGACTCGGATGCAGAGCCTAGTCGCGGCGCGGGCCGCTCTGCTGCTATCGCGGCTGCTGGTGGCGACGACAAGTACCCCGTTGACGGCATGTTCATCAGCGAGGCCGAAAAGGCTGAGATTATGGCCATGCGAGAAGTGGAGCGAGAGCAGATCATTGCGGATCGAGTCTCTGAAATAGAACGTCAGCGACAAAACCGCCTTCTACGGCAAATGGTCAACAACGTCGAGATTGAGGAGCGCAAACAAGTCAAGAAGAAGCGCAGCGCTGATACGGCCGAACTCGAGGACGGCACGCGCAAGGCCGCGAGGGCGAGAACGGGCAAGGGCAGCGAATCAGCGATTGATTCCTTCCGCAGGGCGCGCGCGGAAAAACAGAGACGACAAGAGGATCGGGAGAGACGGAGAGACGGCTTATCGCCGCGTGGTCGTGAGTCAAGAGAGCCGGAGGAGAGTGATGAGGATGAGTTTGGGCAGACCCATCGTTCGCCTGAGAAGGCTGCTTCCCGAGAGCTGCCGCCACCAGAGCTTCGCGATTTCGACAGAGTTCGTCTTGGCCGAAATGAGTTTGCGCAGGTTTGCTCTACTCCTGGCTTTGAGGCGGCCATTACTGGATGCTATATCCGTATCGCTCTTGGTGCGCACCCTGAAACAGGTGTCGAGCAGTATCGAATGGCTTTGATCAAGGGTATGCATCGCTACAATTACCGGAAACCGTGACTTATCCCATATACTAACGGTAAGGTTAGGATTTACGACCAGCAGACCATACGCTCTAAACGGCCCCCAGGGCTCATTTGTAACAGACCAATATGTCAAGGCTGCTCATGGCAAGGCTGTTAAGGAGTTTCCGTTCATTGCAGCCTCCGGCGGTTCAATTACAGAGGTAATATATCTTTTTTTTTTTTTTTTTTAGCAACCTACCCCTAGGTCCGCAGATGGAGATGCTGACAGGTTTTAACTTGGCAGAGCGAACTGAATCGATACAAAGTCACTTGTCACAATGACGGCGTTACACTGCCCACCAAAGCTTTCCTCATGGACAAAATTGATGACATCAATGCGTTGATCAACCACAAGTGGACAAATGAGGAGATCAAGGCTAGGGTAGCGAAGCGCAATGAATTCCGAAAGCGATTTGACCCATCGGAACGCCAGCGGGTTGCCAATCTTCTTGAGGAGGCAATCCAAGACGGCGACGACCAAAGAGTGGAAGAGCTGCAAGAGGAACTGGATAAGCTTGGCAGAGAGCGCCTCGCCTTCAAAACAAGCCTGGGGGCACCAAAGAATCCAGAGGCCACCAAGGCTTCATCAGAGCAAGATAGGCTAGCGGAACGTAACCGGGAGAACCGACGGCTCAACCAAGAAGCAGTCAGGAAAGCCCAGCTGAAGGAAAAGGCCAAGGCTCGAGAAATCGAAATGGCTCTTAAGCGAGGAGAGGTGATCCAGGAAGATTACTCCCGACGACTTCGAACAAAAGCCAAGTTTGTCCACGACGTTAATGAAAAAGTTGGTGAGAAGCCGGATACTCCCAAGGACGGTGTGGGTGCAGGCACCAACGGAACTCAGAGTCCTTCAGCGTCTCAGGCCCTGCCACACCTAGCGAAGCTGCAAGAGAAGCACTACTCGGAAACGAAGGGTTTGCCGACGATTCATAAGCCTATCATGGATGATGACGTGATTGGTGCACTGGATTTGGAGATTGATGTTGAGATTTGAGGAGCATTTTTGCGTAAAGAGATTCGGCAGGTTCTTCTTTGCTCTGCTCTTCCCCTTATTCTTTTATTTTAGTCTATTTTTTACTTACTCTATCTTCTCTTTCTTCTCAATTAGATGTTGACTGAAACCAAAGGAGACGAGGTTGGCGGGGGAAAAAAAAATGAAAGACGGCATATTTGGAGTTGGACGGTATGGAATGATTACTTTTAGCAAAACTATGGACTCACCAAGGAGTGCTATGCACATGCATACATGAGAAAAGAATGAACTAGCTTTTCAGTGATGAAACAAAGAGCGGCCGTAAGGTATATAGACGAGAGTAATGCAGATGATATCCCAATAATCTTTAAAGAAGTTTGTCAAGTGTATGATGTTTCGTTATTCTGTGCGGTATCTATGTACACATATATGAGTCTTGATAGTCTGTCTAGCTAGTCATTAAGGTTGTAGAACAATAAAAAGAGAAAAGCGACGAAACGGTACATTTACGCCTAGACCCAAACCCAAACCAGTCCTATCCGCTTAAACAAGAGAAGAGATGATAGCAAGTAAAAAAAATGAGTGAAGGAAAAAAAAAAAAAAACAAACACGCCGCCCATTTATCCCTGAAAATTCCTAAAAAAGCTCACATCAAACTTATCCATCCTGCCCTGAAACCGCCTATACCAGAAGAAGCTCGTGACGACGACGTTGGCGAACAGCACGCCGCAGGTAGTGCCGAGCTGGGTCTTGAGGTTGCTGAGCATGGAGATGCCGAGATTCTGGCTGCGCTTTCGGGAGACGGCGGTGGATGCGGATGCGGATGCGATGCCGTCGAGGTCGTCTTCGACGCGGGAGCAGACTTGCAGGAAGAGTTGGGGGTTGTCGGTGATGACGCCGTCGATGAAGACGGTCAGTGGCGGTGCTGGTGATTTGTCGTCTGATAGGGAGGAGAGAGAAGACGTAGAAGGAGAAGGAGGGAGGAGAGCGCGATTGGCGGCGGCGTTTACATTCTTGCGGATGCACCACTCCATCCACTTCTCGGCGTTGACGGTCCAGGCAAAGACGGGGCGGTTGGCTCGCTTTGCGTCGCGGAGGAACCACCTGCCAAAGGGGCCGACGAGGAGGCCCTGGAACATGTTGAAGGCGAGGTTGGGGATGGGGAAGAAGTGGCGGGAGTAGAAGAGCGAGTTGGAGATGTGGGCGAGGGGGTAACCGGGGAGGAAGGAGAGGGCGGCTTTCATGAATGTGGCCTGTGAGACGGATATGATTTGGTTATTATATACATCATAGGCGAGAAGGTGGATAGGATGAGTGAAGCACTTACGTTCCAGCATCCGAGAATGATGCGTTCGTCCCATGGCGTGGCGGAGGAGACTTCTGTGAGAGCGCAGGCGATGGCATGAAGGAGATGCTCAGGCTTGTCGTCGATCTTAATCGAGATACATGTGTTAGCGGATGCTCTTATTCCCTGTCCTTTTTGTGTGTGTGAGAGAGAGAGATGTTTCTCACCTTGATATCCAACAGGACCCAAATCTTTTCCGTCTCTGGTCCCGAGACGAGATACTCCAACAGGTCCACCAGTCTCGGCAGCGGCTCATGCGGCTGCTTGGTCGTCCGCAGGCTGGACAGGTATGACCAGGTGCAGTCTTTGATGAGGAGATCAACGCCGAAGCATCTCTTTAACGAGGGGTCCTAGGATGATGATGTTAGTTTTCTGTGCTCTCTCATCCTTTCGTTTTCCGCTGATTCCGTTTTTTCTTTGACTCGGCTACTCGTCTCATTTATATATATATAGGTATATATGCTACATGTATATATATGATAGAAATGAAGTAGTAGTAGTGTCGTCGGCAGTTTTGCTGAATTAGATTGGATGACTTACATGTGACAGCACGACAACGCCATCCTTGGAGAGATGCACGTCCGTCTCCAGCGCATGGGCGCCCACCTCGACGGCCGCGCGGAAGGCCGCCATGCTGTTCTCCGGGAACGAGGCCTTGAATCCGCGGTGGGCAATGGTTTGCGGGATTCGCCGGGAGGCGTCACGGCGGGATGTGATGGCCGAGGCCCATGTTGCGGCTGTGTGTTTGTGAGATGAGATTAGTCTAAAAGAACAAAAAGTGAAAATGAAAATGAAAATGAAAATGAAAATGAAAATGCTGGGTGTGAGATGTGAGATGGAAAATAGAACGTTCTATGGAACATGGAACTGCCTATACGTACCCTTTGGAACGGTGATGCCGCGGTGGAAAGGACTCATTAAGGGCTGCTTTTCCGCTGCACTCATTGTTTCTCAAAAAATGATTCTATGCCTTCTTCTTTTCTTCTTCTTCTTTTTATCGTCTAATTCCTCGCTCTGATTCTTGCTTCTCTACCAATCGTCGCAGAGACGGGTAAAAAGAAAGAAAGAAAGCTATTGGCCAAGTTACCAGGACGAGGCGGTGTTAGTAATAAAGGCTGCTTGTGACTTCCGTCACGTTGGCTGGGCGGATATAAGTGCTGGCTGAAACTCCGCAGTCCGAAAACTTGCCTCGGTGTGTCGGTCGATACAAGGTATGGAACTCTTTTGAACCGTGTACAAACAAGAGAAAAGAAAAGAAAAGAAGGAAGCAGAAAAACGATGACTCTTTCCCTTGCTTTTGTATCTCAATTTTTTTTCTCTCTCTTCCTCAGCCAACACACCATACTAGGTACTTGCACACATATGTATCTACGTATCTTATCGCAAACCACGAAATGCTCCATCCTGTTAAACTCGGACAAGACAAGGCCCCAAATCTCGCATAAACGCCACGCCCATGAGGCCACACCGCAATCAACCAAATCACCAGCCCTGTTTCGTCCTTTGCATGACCCTCTTTCGCAAGCACCCCCCTGAAGCATGGCCCGGTGCCTTGCATGTCGCCACTTGAGATTTTTTTTCTTCTTCTTCTTCTTTTCTCTGCTCCTGTTGTCATATCAGGGTTTTCCTTATACAACTCACCTACCGCTAGCTTGTTAGTCGTGATAAGCACCTTGTCCGGCGGGACGTGCAGAGCTAGAAGGTACCCACGCTGATGATTCGCCGCTGCTATCAATAGCACCGGCATCAACCTTATGATGCCATAACCCATAATATTAGGTACAGCAAGCAATAACAACATCGCCTGATAGCATCAAATCAACACTGTCCACCAACTGCTACTTTAATGGCTCCATTGCCGTTATCAATGACTCCCTGCCAGCATCGTTTCGCCTCGCATCGCCTCACCTCGAATATCGGCCACTGCTACGTTACAGAATCCAAACCAGCTAAAATCGCCCTCGCAGGCAGCGCACACGCAATGCATGGATGTTTTTCGCCCCTCTCTACAGCGGATAGAGCCCGCTACGAGTCACCGTGCCGCCATCCATGGGCTCCGCCCCAGGGCCCGAAAAGGGTCCTCTCAACAACAGCCCTTGCGCAACGTGCCCGGCCCAGCATCAGAGATTTTTGATCGCGGCTGATGCCCAGCTCCGTCGTCTCAATCCCAATCCAGGCTAGAATGCGCGTCTTCCCTTGTCCAGGGAGCTGGAGCCCATATAAATGGCAAGGCTACGGTATCGCTCGGTGGGTAACCCGTTTGATATGCCGCAGCCTAGTGCTGCATAGTGCGGCAAGGCGATTCAGCGCACGATAAGATGCGGTAGCTTGATGCACTTTGCATGGATTCTAGAGCAAGCGAAAATTTTTATAAAATCGTCATACTACTCTTTTGACTATGATATCCAGAAAAAACTACAAGGTATGGAGCAAATTTCATGTAATAAAAATAAATAAAATAAACCCTCCACTGCACCCATCCGTCCAATAAACATGTAATCCCTCATACATATCCCCTGTGGCAGCCCCCCTTGGAGCCGCTTTTGTGTCTTCCAAGTCATAGTCGAAAAAAGTCAAAAGAGAAAAGAAAAGAAAAAAAAAAAAGCCCTCACAAATCGCTCCAGCATGTGTGCGCCGTCCCAAAAATAAATCGAAACCGTAACATCGATAGGCCGCAATTTCAGATCAAACAGGCATCTCATATCGCCATCACACCACAGCGCCTTGAAAACACGTCATAATTCACAGCGACAGACCGTGAAGCCCATTTGTTGCATATCCATCGCCGTGGTAGTTTACCCCTTGCAGCTGCTTCCCGTAGTCTATGCTCCCGAGACCCAGCCCCAGCTCCGAAGGTGACACTTCCTCTCCCGAGCTGAGGCTCTCGTCGCTCATGCTGAGCACGCTCTGCGGCGGCGCAGGGTTGTTTCCAAATTCATCAATATTGAAGTTGCTCAGGTCCCACGCATCCGGTGACCATTCGCTGCCAGTGGAATTCACTGTCATTGCAGCTTCGATGCTGGCGCCTCCGTAAATCACATCGTACACATTGTTCATTCCGCTGTCCATGGATCCGACCAATGCCTCCCAGTCAGCGCCCGACAAGTTGTTGTTGGACTTGCCCACGGGCTGTGCGTTGTTCATGTAGTCCTGGCCGCCGTTCGGCAATCCCATGGGCTGTCCCTGCATGTTGGTAGGAGGGGAGCCAGCGTGCTTGGTCGTGAATGGAGTGTCGTTGAGCGAAAGATAATCTAGATTCTGCCTTGCCTGAGCATTCGGAGAAAGCCTAGATGTCCGCGATATTGAGGGCTGGCGATCCTGTCGGTGCCCGTCAAATGATTGGCGAGAAGTGGGCTGCGGCCGGCCATCTACGTTGGAGCCCTGAACACTTGACATGCTACCCATCCAGCGCTTGTCCTGATGGCGTGTCAGATCGGCCTCGCTTACCGAGCCCTGGTATTGAGAGCCTAGAGATGGTGAATTCTGCTTGGGGTAGCTTGTCGGGGGCGATGCGCGCCGGGAGCTGGCTGCCGTTGATGCCTTGCGAGCATGCTTGTTTGTCGGTATCGGACCCGAAGGATCACTGACGGTGATGAGCACATTGGCGGCTCGTTCCAGATCCACGAAACCAGGTGACTGGTTCTTGCGAAGGGTCTTGAGGACATCGTTCACCAGTCGCTCATCCTCGCGCAACAGCTTGCTGTCGCGTTTCAGATCAATGGTCTGGTAAAGAAGAGTGAGAGCGCACAAGGCCAAAAGGTCGCATTTATTCATGCAGAAGGAGAATGACAAGTTACGCTCTTCGAGAAGCTCTGCAATCTGGATAATGTGTTTGCTGGATTCGCTAATGGACATGAGTGCTGGAGCAGCCTTGGGCCCAAGGCTTGAGCCAACGGCTGGTCGATAGATTAGTGTGCGGATATAGTAGTACGTGAGTGCCTGCAGTATAGCTTGTGAGTCATTTTGTGCCAACAGTAACCATCATGGCGTTTGCACTTACCAACAAAGGCGATCGGCTGCCGGTGACATCTGTTGACGGCTTACCCTGAGCGAAATTGAGTCTCAGGTGAGCCGGCAACTCGTCATACCAGGCATCTAGTTCGGCCTCAAAGGCGCCCATCTGCTGCAGCGAGAGGTCGTAGTTGGCCGCCGCAGGGTAGTTTTTATCAAGGATACGAGCGAGAATGCGTGTTGCCCGGAAGAGCGCAAGGGCGCTGGAGATGCGTGTATATTCTCCTGGCAGTGTAGGCTGGAAGCCCTTCTCTGTTACGTATTCGTCATCAGTGTCGGACGGATATTCCGCCTGGACATCCTCTTCCTTCAGCATCTTGGGGAGACCAGTGATGGCGGCTGTCATGGTATCCAGGGCGTACAACGTCCAGAAGACCTTCTTTCTGGTCTCAAGAGTCAAGGCACCAAAGGAAAATCGCTTTTGGCTCTGGTGTAGACCAAGTCTATGAGACAAACCCACAGCAACGCACTTGTAGTGCTGAAGGCGACGATAGTCGGCGCGGACAGTGCAGTAGAGGAGAGCCAACACGAGGCACTGTAATGTGCTCATAGTGTTTTCTAGAATGAGAGCATCAAGTGCCTTTGTCCATTGATATTCGCAAGCAGCAATTTGCTGGAGGTCTGGAGACTCGGATGAGAGACCTGCAAGAGAAAAGACTAGGTAGAGCTGTGCAAGCTTATAGTTGCCCTTGACTCTTTCCGGGTCATTGACAAACTCCTCGTAGATGCGGAGAAAGGTAGGCTTATGAAGAACAGGGAAGAGAGGAGCCCATTCTTGGAAGAAGACGTTGACGCATCTATCCGAGAAGAGGCGAGGAGGTATTTTTGATGACTGTTCTGACATCTTGGCAACCAGAGGAGTGCTGCCTTGAATATGCAAAAAGGCATCAGGAGTGAAATCACTGCATGGTTTGCCACTGTCTTGCATCTTCCTTTTGAGGGAGGCTATGTGAAAAGACGTTAGTTCACAAATGAAATTTGGAAAGGGCTGGTAAAAATGGCACTGTAGATGCATTGCATGCGTATTTGCTTAGGAACACGCATAGGCAGCACAAATATGACATACCGATAAAGGCGCGCCCACTCGAGGAGCCCATAAAGTAGGAATCAGAGTTCTCGACACCCAGAAGCAGTTGTGTAGCTTGTACTCTGAAGGTGTCTTCCTTCATGGTGGGTGAATCTTTCGGGCCATCCGGCGACACCGGCGTGGCCATGGATGTGACTGAAGGCTTCCGTCGCGGACCGCCATTAATATTTCCGTGCATCGCAGAGAGCATATCGATTTTCTCATCCTTCTCATCCAGCAGATCCTTGAGCTCGCGGACTTCGCCCTCTAGCACACGAACCCGCTCCTCCAGAGACTCTGTATATCCACGGGGGAACGCACGCCGGCTCAGCTTGTCGCTGGTGCGGCACTCGAAGCCAACCGAAGAACATTGTGAACATGTGGGACGAACGCCATCGCAGCGAATCTTTTTACTCCTGCAGCGGTCACAGGCCTGGGCGATTCGGCTCTGGGCACTACTGCCCACCTTGATGACTTTCATAGGCAGGATGCCCGGCATGGTGGTGATTGCGATCCGAGCGCTCGATTACAGAATGGGAAACGGAGAATCGGTGATGTTGGTCAAGGCGTTGGGGAGAGCAAACGAGCTGCTGACTGGGGCTTTCTTCGCCCACCAGCCGTGGTCGGCGCAACAAGTGTTGGATCGTCGAAGCCGCTTGGATAAATTCCGGTTGGTCACAAACTATTTCTTTCTTTCGGGAAACACAGCGAGTGGAAGTCGAAAATCACCATGAGGCTCTTGGCTCGGTACAAGGAATTTTCATGCGTCGTCTTCCTCGATTCCTTGGTCGTCAGCGTGAGACACGGAGAGAAGAATATTGTGGGGGGGGTGAGAGATGAAAGGAAAAGAAATGGAAGAGCGAAGACAGGAGCAGGCGAGTGGAGCCTAAAAGGGCAGAGCAGGGCGTGGCAAGCAATTAAATCCCGGGGAAGGGGATTGGACAGCGCCGCTAAGCAGAAAGCAGTGCGTGAGGCTTCCTTCTGGGCCACAGGCGCTTGCTCCCCGTAGCGCTCCGTAGGCCAGCGCGCAGCAGGGTTGTTAGCGCTACAGGCACTAAAATGGCAGCGGGCAGGACAGCGCTTTGGCAGCACTCCAATCTGGAAATCTCCGTTCATCCACGTCGTCCACGCCCGCCTCCTATTATCCCCTCTGGGTGCCTCTGTTCGTCTGCATGGGAAAAGAAATGCAGCCAACGATTGCTGGTGCAAGCTAATAGGGCTCATCGCCACCGTAACTGGCCAGGTCCATGCCTCGAGGCCCCACCCCTCAGCGTCCTTTTCGTTGGGTCTGCTTGACGTAGTTCTCTCTCTTCATCCCTCGCGTTCGCTAGTGCGCCCCCTGTAGACCACGAGATGTGAGCACCTCTCCCCACACCGGCTCTCTTTAGCCACCGTGACGCCGCTGCTTGCACGGAGTACTTTGACTGTGAAGGGGTTTTGCCATCGATCGACTCATGATGCTGGCTGGTGATTTGTTCCTCTGTGGTAGATTTCGGCAGATGTCGCGGTGACAGCTGCTACTAACCGCTTAGTGGTCCGCCTTGCGCTCTGGTGATGGGACAACGCCATGTTCGGCGACAGAATAAGCAGGCCATCTGTCTTACAGCCGATTGCAGGGCGAAGAGGGAACCCTAACCCATCATCGCGACATTTTAGCCCGGTCGCCGCATTGCATAATACCCACCTCGGCCGCGAAAATGTTTTCTCGGTGTTCGACGCCTGGGACCTGGATACGATACGACGTGCTGTAGGAAATGCAGCCCATCGCCCCAGCAATATCGGCCAACGCCAGCTGGGCCATCAAGCGATATACTAGCACACACACGTTCGTCTCTTTCGATGGCATACCGCAGCGGCTTACTTGCACACGCAGGGCCGTCGGGCTCTAGACCAGCGTCTACATCCTGCCACTGAGCTAGCGCAGAAATAAATCTCGACTTATGGCCTGATTTACCCCAGATTTCCCGCTGGTTGGCCCCCTAAGGCGCACATGGTGCGGGGTGGGAAAAGCCGGGGAGCAGCAGCTCTTCTCATAGGCCTCTCTGCGGACTCGTACTGTATGGTACGTCCAGTCCGCCACAGGAAATGCTGCGGACTTTCATAGGTCATGTCTGTCCGTATCAGCCAATGCTTCTGCTATGCTGCGTGCTGTGGCTGGCACCCAGAAGTTTCGTTTCTTCTATTTCCTTCCGAGAACAGAAATGGCTTCAGAGGCGTCTGTGAACCGCTCTGTGCTTTTCCGCTCCTTTGCAGCCAGCATAAAGCCCATCACCTGTCTACGCAACGCCCAAACGGCAGTACCGGAATCGAACAATGATCGGGTTATCAGGCCTCCGCCATACCGTTGGATTTGCAGCAGACATGGCCACTGGCTGGTGAGTGTTAAGCATGACAGCGGATGGACACCGGCAGAGCCGGACCCTTGCCGAGATGGTGTCAGGGTTTTGTGATTCCGTGACTCGGACATAGTGCAGGAGTACGCCGGCTGCTGGAACAATCAATGCCACAAAGATTCCATTTAGGCAGCGATAAGCCGGGTTTGGGAGGTACCAATTCTCTGCTTGACCTTGTAGCCATCATCCACCATCTCCAGGGTCCCAAGCGCCCTGGCTGAACCACTCCCACCACACCCATTCCTGAACTGCACTCCATCTTTGCAATTGCTTTGATCCATAACCCACTATGGCTCATTTAGCATCTCTCATGGTGCCTGTCGGCACATCTATTAGCCCTCGCGGCCATAATTAGCCCTCACTATCCCCAGCCTGTTCCGTATTTTGCGCCATAATTGTAGGCTAGTGGTATTCGTTTCATCGTCTTCCCCTTGTCTTACAGTTAGAAGCGTAAGCCACACCCAAAGAAGGTGTGTCTGGAAGAAAAGAGCTCGAAGTTTAAAGTCATTCCTCAAATTCGGCTTGTTATGTCATGCAAGCGGAATGATTAAAAAGATCACGAGATCTGCTTCTTTTTGCGTGCTGGTGAATATTTTCTGGGGCGAATTAAGGCATCATGTTTTATCTGATATCAGCAGGGCTCTGGTACGATTAAATCTGGTCAATCTAGCAGTGATATCCAAACTCAAACAATCACATGCATGTTTGTTATGAGCCATCGAACGTTCAACCCGCATTTTAGTGCCATTTTCGTCAATAGTTTGAGTCTTAGTTCTTTCGTTTTTCGAGTGGGCTCGCGATGCAAACCCGGCTCAGAATTGGTCCAAGCTATAGACAGCATTTGGCTTGGCCCGTCGTCTTGGCTATATGTTTCCTATGTCGGGTCAAGCCGGCGCAAATGCATCTTCAATCGTCGATCCCCACGCTAAGGCTAAGAAGAGTTTGATCCTTGGAGCGCGCTCCCCCGGCTTGCTCATCCCACGCCGCTTAGCCATTTCGGCTACCTAGCTGAATTCGTCGTCCTCATTGGACGCCAGGTTAGACGCTTGCTCATTTTGAGTATCTTCCATAGACCCGAGATATGTCACCACGCGAGCGTCCAGAAGCAGCCTCGCCTTCTGTGATATTACGTGGTTGCATTAGCATTTATCCAGACATGAGTTTTAGATTGCAGTGGCCCGTCTTCCGTCCTGTTCAAGCACGGCCATCTACCGGACGCCTAGCTTGGCCCCGGACCGTCGGAATTAGGTGGACAACAGAAGCCATGCCGCAGCTAAAAGACAATGAAAGATGAAGAAATAATGCATACCTCGTTTTCTAGCGCGGCCGCCGCACCCTGCAAGATTTGCGCTTCAAGATCTCTTAGCTTCTCAGCCGCTAACATGCACTCCACGCGGGGTTGATTTGCTGCCTGCGATTGCTCCGTTGCCCCGTACGAGATCTCCGTCGTGATTCTGTCCAGCTGAGAGGAAACCCGCTCCTCCAGCACAGCTACAGCTCGGAGCTTAAAAATTTGGCATAAAGGGTGATCTTGGATGAGAGATTCGAATTCGCCGGTTCGTCCAGTGACATCCTCGTCTTGCCAGAGTAGCCTTAGTTCACGACCTCCCGACGTGTCTTGCACCACTCGGAACGCAAGACCATCTTCCTCATTGAGAATTAGTAGATACAATAATGGGCTGTGCCAATAGAAATTTCCCTCCGTAAGAGATAACTGCACAGTTCGTGGGCCTTTGTAGATGTGAAGTTTAGCTTTCCCCAGAGGGTCGTCAGGCAAGGCGTCAAGGTGCAGTGCTAGCTCTTTTACAGCGGATTCCTGGTCGATGAAGCCATAGCTAAACAGCATCTCGGCCGCTGACTTGGCCTCTCCGTACGAGATGGTGATCTCCTCCCCTGATGACACCCCAGATTCCGAGCTCGGAAGCAGAACCACGTCGCCATCGGGAGTTTCGTCATAGCGCGCCAAGTAGTTAGGCGAGTGATTTGCCATATCTAGCCCAGGGACCATGGCATGGCCAGCGTGGGGGAGTTCTAGGCATCGTGAACGGTATAGGGCATCAGCCAAGATCCAATCTTCCATCATCTCTGGTTCGCCGAAGAGATCGTTCCAAAAGGGTAGTGCTGATGCCTTTTCGGAAAGCTCGTCGTATTCACGGGAAAGCACGGAGAGCTTTGCGTTTACCGAGGACTATGTTCACATTATAGGAGTTAGTAAAGGATTGAGTGGCAGCCCCTGTTCACATGTCATGAGACGCATCTAGTTATAATTGCAGAAAAGAAATTACTGGCTTCGGTGCTGTTGTTAAAAAAAAAAAGGGACATTGATTTACCTCGAGAGATGTGCCTTGTAAAAACTCTCTCTCATCGCTTGTCCACATGGTGGGAACGCTGATTGATCGGGGCAAGAACTTGATATACTCAGTCCATGGCGTTGAGGCACATCCCTTGTTACCTGGAGAGCTTCTTCTTGATAGAATAAGATGTGCTAGCAGATATAGCAGGATATCGCCCCTGGTGCTCTCTCTGGATATCAGCATCATCGCCGTTTTCAGAGCTCCATCTCCCGGATGATACTTACTTGGTGTCCAGCAACCTCAAGGAGCTGTCTGAAATTCTGATCAACTTTGGCATACGCCTCCACAGCTTCGGCAGATAAAACAAGCTCTCGGGGTATTCGGATGATTGCTGCTGTGCTGGAGGCATCGTCGCTCACGCCAGGGATATCGTTCTTGGCCACGAGGCCAAGCCCTTTGCCGTCAATGCTTCGTACCTCTGCGCTTCTAAATTCCACGTCATTTAAGAGGGCCCAAGCCGGCAAGGCTTCGATTGGCAGCTGAGATGCCGCCATGCTAAAATAATAAAATCCGAAGACGCGAGAATTTATCTGAGATATAGAATCTAGTGTCGCCTTGAAGAAATCGTCCGTTGTTAAAGGTGCGAGCAAGCTCTTGGCATGTGCTAAGCAATAAGGCAAGATGTCAAAAGTACCTATAGGCGGGGCGGGTACCTACCTATAAACGACAAAGACGTGCAGCTTGGCGTGCTCTGCTAGCATTTCCAAGTACCTACTTTATCTTAATAAGTACAAGATCTCCAAAAGATATCATTCGCTACCTACCTCGAACGACAAAGCGTCACCCACTTTTTGCATATGCCGGCCCAAAATTATTTTCCTTTTTGCGACATCATTGAAGTATTCTTAGAAGTATCCTTATCGACCTCTTTGCTGCAAGTTATCCCCAAGCATACAATTATTTCTGCTTCTCTCTCTCTTTCCCCTCCATCGATCGACTCGATAATTCCCTCCCGCCATGCCTCGCGATCCCCTCATTGGGCTTGTGGGCAAGCCATCGGCCGGGAAGAGCAGTACGCTCAACAGCTTGACAGACGCTTCCTCCAAAGTTGGTCGGTAGAATCTTGCTCTTTTTATTGCTTTGGTCGAGAAAGACAGCGCAAAGACACCAAGCTACTGGTCCTAATACTAACATCAATTTCTATAGGCAACTTCCCGTGAATAATCGCCCGCCCACCCCATACCCGCCCACACAAGAGCTCACGAAGCTGACTTGGACTTTTTTTTTTGTTCTTGTGCGACAGATTTACCACCATTGATCCTCAGCGAGCGATAGGATACCTCCAGATCGACTGCGCATGCGCGCGCTTCAAGCTATCAGACAGATGCAAGCCCAACTACGGATCTTGTGATGAGGGTCGACGGTCTGTGCCTATCGAGCTTCTCGATGTAGCTGGACTGGTACCAGGCGCCCACCAAGGCCGCGGCTTGGGAAACAAATTCTTGGACGACTTGCGACATGCCGATGCGCTGATTCACGTTGTCGATGCATCTGGGACAGTCGATGCCGAGGGCAAGGAGACTAGAGGCTACGACCCTTCAGTGGATATCGCCTGGTTGCGAAGCGAAGTTGTTGCGTGGATCTTGGGCAATCTCATGTCGAAATGGGGAGGTATCAAACGACGACACATCGCAGTCAAGGCTACCGCCGTAGAGACATTACAGAATCAGTTCTCCGGATATGGATCTACTACCGTAACAGTTCAGCGGACGATAGATCGCTCAGGCGTAAAAGAGCCTCTGGAGGAGTGGTCTGACGAGACGATTGAGCACATTGTCAACTGCTTCATAGACGAGAAATTCCCGACGGTAATAGCACTCAACAAGATCGACCACCCAGATGCGGACAAGAACATTGCAAAGATTGCCAAAATGCAGGATCCTAATACCGTCGTACTCTGTTCGGCCATTTCAGAAATCTTCCTGAGGAAGATGGCGAAGCAAGGGTACATCAAGTACGTGGAGGGAAGCGAGTTTGTCGACACGAGAGAGGATCTCATCGAACAAGGTGACCCTACCGGCGGCGGCCTCAAAGAACTCGACGAAAAGAACCGCAATCGGATAGAAAACCTGAAAGACATGGTGCTATACCGCTTCGGTTCGACAGGAGTCGTGCAAGTGCTGTCGAAGGCGGCCGAACTGCTTGGTTTAGTACCCATCTTCCCAGTCCGGAATACATCGACATTCAGTTCTGGGGCGTCAGACTCCAAGTTTGTCTTTAGGGATTGCGTATTGGTTAAGAAGGGATCTACGGTAGGCGATGTTGCTCGTAAGGTGATGGGCGATGCTCCAATTGCCTTTGTGGAAGGAATTGGTAACATGAGAGTATCTGAAGATGACGTTGTCGCGGTAGGGAAGAATGATGTGAGTTTTTACAAAGATATGGCGATTTTTAAGGAGGTGGAACATGTTTGCTAACTAGTTCACTACAGATTTTATCATTCAAAGTTGGACGAGCATGAGAGATTTGATGAAGATGGTTGATTTAATCTTTCTAATAGAATAGTTTCTGATGTGTGTACATGCATTCGTGAAAAATATTTGTATTATGATCATGTGCTCATGGAAGAAATAATGACGACTCTTCAAAGGCACTAAGCTCGAACTCTTGTTGTAAGCTATATTGTGAGTTGAAAGATGGGTGTAAAAATGAAGAACTAATGCAGCTCTCTCTTTTTAATTAAGCTAGGCTGTCCTCGGCTGGGGCGTACGAGTCAAGAGTCTCGTGGCTGCTCACAAAGGAGTTGTTGGCTGCTTTCCTCCCTTGCTTCTTGATGTGAGAACTGCAGGCCAGGTCGAACGTTAGCTTTTCCGTTGTAACAGCCATAGGCAGCAGATCTGCTGCCGGGAACGAGAGGTTCCCGTCTGGCAGGACCAGCCTGCTTCTCAAAGTCCTCTTTAGTGCCAATGTTCCTAGGATCTTTGATACCACCTTTTGGCCGAATGTGCTTGATCACGAGTCCGCGCGGCCAGCTGCCTCTACCAACGTCGGACAGATTAGCCACAGCCTCGCACCGGTTTCTACGTATGCCTTCTTGGCCCCAATTAACCCCGTACACTGGTTATTCTTTATAAACTCCTCCGAAAAAAATCCAAGCGTCTTCGTTCCGTCTGAAAAACTATTCTCTGTCTTTGTCGGGTCGTATTCAGTGTGCCATAGGCCCTCCAGATAATTAAGTTTGGTGCTGATATTCTTGCCGGCGTTAGGTTCTTGAATTCAACTTCCGTCAAGCTCGCTGCCACGAGGTCTTCTTCTTGTTTTGTTTGATCTTTTGTTCTAGATAGCTTCGTTAGATGAAATAGAGAGCTTATTTCAACATCAGAAAAGATCCAGTCGCCCAAAAGAGGCGGTTTAAATAAATGAGCTTAAAGGTGTTGTTGAACATAGTAAAGTATATGTAATTACTGACTGTGTGGATGCAGAAGTAGCTCTCCGCAGGGCAGGGTTATGTGATACCATGCCTCAACGGGAGTCTTCAATGTCCAAGTTGATGGAATTCTTTTTGTCCTTCAGCTGTAAACATCCTCATGTGGAAATTGTTGATTTGTAAGATGAATCCAAGCTTCTACTGGGTGTTTAAAGCCAATGATCCTGATTACTCTTCATCGTGCACACTCGCTGACCTAATGATAGCAACGATCCGTTTGCAATGCCAAAACCTATAGTTCACTTCGTGAGGAAGAGAGAGGACTCCTCCTGATAGTTAAGACCATAATATATATATATATATATACTTGATGCCTTATCCCGTTGATCATAAGATTGTATAATACCTTGTCGATTCATTATGCTGATAATTGTTGTAAGAAAACCTCGACCCAAGAGGACCATCAACTAGGTCCAAGACGGTCGGAATTGTTTTTCTCGGATCCCTGGTGACAAGTCTCCTCGGGCACGTTCTCAATACGAGGCTCGTTGTCTAGTAGCTGTTTTAGGCTTGGATGATGGGCGTCCACAGCTATCAGCCTCGAGATAATTTTCGAAGACTCTTATAGGGCGATGACTTTGCCGTTTATGTTATTTTTCATTGTCCAGATGAATGGATGAATTAATCTGGCGGCTGTATGAGGCCTGGTACTTGTATTGCTACCTTCGGTGTTGGAAGTTTTGCGCGTGAACATGCGTCCACGCAATGAGTGACACTCCAGAAAGAACCATTGGAGGTCTTGGAGAAGCTGCGTCATTGATCTCTTTTCTGCGCTGAGATGCTCCATGGCATCCACCGACGCAGGTCTTGGAGAACTGTATTTGGTGCGTTTTGTCCGAGCGATGCGGTAGTAGGTTCTACATCACCCTTAGTAACATGGACTTTTGTTTGCATTAACAGTGTTGAGTGATGACTTACTTGGACCGGACCGATTCTTCCGAATGAGTTTTGACGGCCAGAATTTATCCATTTCTTGGTTATGCTCTTCCCAGTGCTCTTCCTGTTGTTTTGATATAAACTGAGCAGAAAGCGCCAGAGCCACCATCTGCTCCCTTCTTCCAAGGCGAGCTCTATATTATCGCTTCCTTAAGTATAGCAAAGGCATGGTATTTTTGTGATAGCTCCTTTAAACACTCGGGAGACAAAACAGCCAATTCAGACAGCAAGGGCCCCAACCGTATTAGATATTTAGTCTTTCATAGTCCTGCACCTTCTTCCACCCGTCGGACGGGTGTTCCTCCATTAATTCTTTGGAGAAGATCCCCCGGGTTGTGGCACCGCCCCTGAGCACGTTCTGGTCCTTTTTCGGATCATACTCGCTATGCCAAATGCTCTCCCAGCTTCCAATATTGCGCTCCCTGAGAGTGGGCCGTCGAACGTTGTATTTGTTGCTAGTTCCTGTAAACAGCAACCAGATTCTTGGGTGCTTCAGTAATTGGTCTATGCCTTGTATGAATTGTATCTGTCATAAGAATATCGCAGCTTTGGTACGCATTGGTGCTTTGCGTAGCTGACTTCTTCAATGTGTAGGTTGCCTTTATCGTGGCCATTTTCATCCAGCTGGCTTCTCATTTTGCGGCGGCAGTTTTTGTGTATCATATGCTAAAGCCTTGCACACCAATGTCCAAGTCTATCATAATGGCTGAGTCTTGAGTGCTAAAGAGCTCTCAGATCCGGAGCGACTTTGTCGATATTCTCTGCTTTACGCAGCCATAAATAGGGGCGCTCGTTATGTAAAGCGGCAACAAGATCGAAGTTCAGTAGATAGCCACCTGCTCTTAATACCATCAAGCTCCGTGATTCCAACCAGTGCTTTCCAGATTCTTATAGCAATGAGATCAAAGGTAAAGTTTGTCAAAGATTGACGCCAGTGACCTGGAAAATATTCATTACAAGGGTTGCTAAGCTGAGCCTGTTGTATTATGTAGATCCGATTTGAACATCAAATATCTGTAAACTGGGTAAGTATTTCCGCGTTAGAACACTCGAGTAATATATATAATTGGCATAATGGCCACTTACATTGGTTGGCAAGCGATACCGTAATCATTTGCCATTGCTAAGCTGATTCATATAAAGATAATCATCTAGTTGGTAGGATGTCTAAGTTGTCTGACAAAGGATCTCCTTGGCGTAGGGATATCCCATCGTGGCATCACATCAACATTGAGACTGGGTGCAACGTTGGCGCCAACACATCTAAGATTCCACTTTTCAAATCCAGGAAAGAGTGTCTGAGGAAAGCAAAGGGGTACGCTTTGACGGCCCGCATTGAGCCAAAAGACTCCTACTGTGTACAAGCCATCAAGTCATGTTTATAGTTATCAAGGATAAACTGAGGAGAGAGAGAGGAGTAAAAGAAGTCGGGGGCCAATGAGGGTACTTATACGCGTACAAAGGCTCACATATTACTAGATATTCACTCGTGACAACGACGAGGGGATGCGGTATCGGCCATGCGACGGAGCAAAACGGAAGAGGTTGATATAACCCTATTCTGAGGTATTACACGAGAATCATGGCTGATAGGCAACGAGATAATTCAACCGGCAATATACATGCTGTTACTTCCGTCTTGCATCAGCATATTATTCATTATTGCCTATCGTCGTGGAATGCGAAAACGTCGTGAAACATGAGAGAGGGGGTAACGGGCATTTCCGGCTTGAGGAGATATAGAGGGTGGGTGATGGCATACACGAGACTCCGCGACGTCGGGGCAAAAACTTTTTTCTTTCTATACCGGAAGGAATATATGGCCTATTTGCTCAATTATATGCTATAATCATTGTCTCATTACAACTTCATGAATGCGCCATGACTATGGCCCCCGTTGTATCCAAGGCTGCATATGCCTGTCACTACCACCGTCTTCTGATGTACGCGATCTATTTAGAAAACTCGCTGCTCGCCACCATAGTTCCTCGCGTAAATGCTTCCAAAACTGTGTTCACTCTTTGGCATAGATGTATTAGTCATTTCTGTCCATTGCCACTTCAATCGTCTCTGAATTTCATTGGCCACGCGCGAGTCTGTTTTGTCCAGACAAAATTCACGCCCTTGTCTTCGGCTAGCTGTCTTATTTGATCAAATTTGGAGCCACGAACTGTCGTGCTGTATATAGTCTTGAGCTTCACCGAGACCAATACGTCTTGGACGAGCTGTGCGAAGTGATTGGGGATATACCCCCGTTCTGATTCCAGGCTCAGCTCTTCCAAACACGGAAACGTTTGCAGAAACTGGATCAAAGGATTGTCTTTCGGGTACATGTGTAATTTGAAGGTAAAATCGTACAAGCCGAGGCGTCGAATACTCTCAGCCCCTTCAAGCCACGCGTACCCCTGGATGTGTCTGGTACTTGGTTCCCCCACCCCATCGTCTAAATTCTGCATAGGAAAGATGATATCAAATGAGCGCAGTTTTCCGGCTTTGATGGATGGCATGAATAAATTTTGCGCTGTTTCTGGTGATAAGACTGTGTTTGAGAGACGTATTGTCTGTAGGTCTTCGTATGCACTCGATAGATGTCGCTGTATACGAAGAAAAATATCGCCCTCTTCTTGGTCAAAGTACGTGTAGTCAAACTCATAACGTATGTCTAGGGCTTTGAGTTTTTTTCCCAGATTTAAAGCTGTAAGATACTGGTATGCTTCGGTTGAACCTATCTGGTTTGAGTGCATATGGTGATGGTGATGACCGTGGTGCACACGGTGTAGCGTATCTACAATCGTAATGGATTTGAGATTCGGCACGCAGCAATCGTCGAATGGCTCGTCGTCTGGAAGATGGCGGCTGAAAACGAGATCCTCTACATAGAGTTGCTCGAGCTGGGGGGCGTGTCTCAACCATTGAAGCTGGCAGGCGTTACTTTCTCATTCTGAGTATCTTGTTCCAGGTACTTACAATAGGTAACTGCCACGGCTGATTGGGAGCCTTGGTCAATTTGAGATGCTTCAAATTAGCCATAATCGGCATTCCCACTGGGTTGAACCATTGCCTGGGGATTCCGACAAGGCTTAAGCTCTCTAGAGTGTTCACAGCGGTCAGTAAAAAGTAGAGATATGGATCTCTGTCTTCGTTGCTAGGCGCATAGAGCTGATAGAACCCATCAAGCCGCAAGTGTTTGAGAGTCTTGAGATTTCCCCTGAAATTTACAGGTGAAATGTCCAGGCGTTCATATGGTCTAGCTAGCTCCAAGCGTTCCAGCTTGGCTCCTGCGTTCAAGATGGCAGTGAACTTCCTCTGGTCGAGCCTAAATTTTGAACAATTATCAATGACAAGCTCTCTAACGTCGTTGAATGAATAAGAAAGCAGCTTTCTCAATGAGGCGTATGGAACGCGCGGGGATGCAAAGCCAGGGAAAATTAATGATTTCCAAAATTGGGCGCTTCCCGGAGCCGTTAACGCCTTCTTCCAAGATTTAGAGACACGCAGACATTGACTACGTAAAACGGAGCCATATGGTTAGCATTGCCTAGATTTTATCAAGAATTTGCTGTGGGACCTACCACAAAGTGAATATATCGAAACGGCCAAAGATATCCCGAACGAGCTCCCCCGGCAGACTAGTCTTTGACATCAAACCAAGACTCAAAAATTCACCCAAAGGGTCAAACTTGCTAAATCTGAGCTTGAGGGGATCTCGAGCTTGATCGAGTCGCTAGCATCTTGTTAAAACTCTGTGTCACGCCATAACTTTTCACCAAGCAGACACACCTTGATATCTCCCATTTGAACGCCATCTCCACCTAGAAGCCTTAGAATACCGTTGGTCAGCAATTCAAAAGCGGCTTCTGGATCTTGATCGATGCGTAGGGCTTTATTTGTGCGAAGATAGCCCTATACAAGGTGAGTAAAACAAGAGCAAATGCAGTTTGTTCCGGTAATCAGATGCGTACTTCAGGTGAAAGTGGCGCTATGCGCACCATTCGCTGCGCGTCAGCTTTCGCGCGGCGAATATCTGGGATCTTTTCAAACGTTCCAGCCCGATAGCTGAGAGCCTGAAGATGGAGAGGATTATAACATTCGACAGTCGCATCCTGGACTGCCTGGTCGGCCCCCTTGGTATCATGGAGCTCCTGAGCCTCTCGCTTCCTCTTCCTCTTCTCCAACGCACAAGGGCAGAGACTTATAGCCTGGAAGCAGTCAGTGATGGCCTTGCATAGACTTCTAGCCAAAGGTTGATGACGGACCTCAGTGAAAACATGCAGCGCTTCTTTGTATTGGCCGGCCGCATACTTGGCACGACCGGCTCTGATGGCTTCTTCCATGGAGAGGCTCTCATCAAGAGATGTAATTGACTAACGTTCGACATACACACGCGGCGTTCACTCTCCCTGATGGACGCTGAAAAGTGGAATTGACAGGCGGGTTTAGGATGTGGGTCTTGTGTCTGGCTCCCGCTTAGGACAACGGCTAAGAGAAGTGCAGATTGTTATTAACGGAATTAAACAAGGGAGATAAAAAAAAATGGAAACAATTCAACGGTTGGCTATGCAAAAGTATCGAGGGCTAGCTTTCGCTAGACTAAGAATATGATGTTGGGTTATTGAGAGATGAGAAGTGGTAGATGTTAAGAGTACGCGACTCGGCCTTAGCGCGGGGAAGAAGCGCTTAAGAGAGGCAGCGACAACAGCCTTCCTGCGACTCCAGGCCTGCAAGTCTCAAGTGAAAGCAAACAACTAAAGCAGCAGCCGAGATTATAATCCTCCTAGCTGCATGATTGATAGTTTTTTTCAGCCCTGTGATTTGCTATGTAGCTGTGTAGGGCTCATTGATATCCAATTATATTGCCCACACATGCAGCCTGATGGCACCATGCATCGCCATACCCTGGAGGTATCTATCCATCCCGTACAGCACCCTGAAGATTGCTATTCGCCTCAGCCTCCCCTGTTTGAATTCGGTGCCATGATCTACTCTAGCTGTGCCATATTACTGCTTAAGCCGAACAACGGCCGCGATGAATCCTCTGACGCCGTTGCTAATCCAGCACTCTTCACCATCCGCTAGCGAGTCAGCAGATACGGCTTGCTCAACAGCCATTCCTCTATTTCCTGTTATCAGCTTTCGTCCTGAAAGGACTGTTCAATAAAGTGATTGGTAACCTACCTTTCCAAGGCCCACCGTCGAGAGACACCATCTTGGCCACCACTTCCAGAGCTCAAATCGACAGGCGGAGTGACCCATCGTCCATCTCTCCAGAAATATGGCGTGAACAAGCTTCCTTCCATGACGGAGCCGTCGCCTTTGTTGACCAATAGTACTTCTCGCTCATCAGTCGGAGCGATTCCAAGCCTCTCGCGGGCAGAGTCGTACATTTCTCTCCTTGTAGTCTTGAAATGTGTGTACTCTGATGCCGTAGTCTGGAGATCATCGGGCGCCACTGTCCAGCATGGAGTTTTCTGTGCCTCCCCGGAAGTAGATGGAGCACCAGGCTGAGGTAGCCGTAAGGGGAAAAGATTCTCTGTAGGAACAGGAGCAATGTTGTGCTTCTCAAAGCTCACCAGGCCATCGCGACTGACGAGGATTTTGAAGCGCAGCGCAGTCTTTTGGGATGGGCCAATGAATTCTTCGGCTAGCTTTGTTAATGTCTCCAGGCCTTTTTGGCCTGATAGAACATTAATGGCTTCATCCCACTTCCAATGGGTCGCCGCCCGTAGCATGCGATCGCGATGATAGTCGAGCATGTAAAAGGGCGACTTATTGGCGGCATTCCACCCGGCGTAGTCAATGCCTTTGGAAGGGACTTCTAATAGACTAGGATCATACCGGAGAGAGGTGAAGAGAGAAAAGATGTCCGCCATGGCGACTGATAGGGGCGTATGCTGATGGGTTGATGTATGTCTATAAGTTTTGAAGCTGAGCAACTGAGCTATGATATTTGTGATGTTAGTATGCGCCACTTAGTAAACCGTACCCTACTGCTGTCATCACATAGAAATGATGAAAACGATATCAAAAATTAGGCAAAAAAAAAAAAAAACTAAGTATGAGTGTAGAAATGTAAATATATCCTACGCCTTTGTATCAAAAATGCTTGGAGATATACTGAAACCGCTGTGCCCATAAAAAGCTACTCCTACAAATTGGGGCTCTTGCAGCTTCATAGTGCGTACGGCATCACGTCACTTGCAAAATGGAGCACGGCCAGCAGCTAGCGGGTAATAATGCAAGGCTGCTGCGGCAACTAATATGAGGCGAATCGGCTTTAGGTAATACCGCAGCTTATGACTGGCATGCGAACATGTTCAGCGCAGCATATCGCACGATGGAGCCTGCTTACTGCCTCTGTAGGCACTAGGGTAGATGCACAGTACATCGTAGTATTCCATCCATGCGCCGTGGATAACACGCCGTGGCCGCCTGTGCTGTAACCGCTACGAACCGGTGGCCAATCTTGCTGCAGCTCTCCGTACGCGCTGGTGCGTGAAATCATTACGGCAGCAGATCGATCTGGGTGCAATGGGCCAATGGGCGGATGGGTAAAGCATTGGCTCATGACTAGCATTTTCGCGGCTATGACGATATGCCCTGGGGCAGTTCGGATATGCGCGACTGGCCCTGTACCCAGTTGAAGATATACCTTGTACTTGTATGTACTTATTGGCACAGGAGTAGACCAATGTGTACAAGCAAAATTGCGCATAACCAAAGGCAATACGGAGTAGAATAGAAAAACATTCCATATTGCCTCAGGCATTTTCGCAGCCTTTTGCAGGCGGCCGGCGTTTGCGCAAGCCAGGGTCTCGGATGTTGATGGTTTTCCCTCAGTGGCTAGGCTTGCTAGGGTCGGTGGAGAATGAGAAGCAAAAAGAAAAAATTCAGAACCACAGCTCAGTTTAAAGTGGGCGTTTTTTTCCACGGTTCGGCTCCAGCTCTTGCCTGGGTCCTGCTAGCTCGAGGTGGGTTACTTAACCGCCCGCCAACCGGTGGAAATTTCGACTAGAGAGGATTGAACCACTTGTGGCCGTGCCATCATTCATTTTTTTACTGCGCGTGCCCAGCTATTGCTGCAGCTCTTCCTGCGCCCCGACATCATCGAACGGCCTATTCGAGCCCCAGCACTTCCTGCGTCTTTCGTCTCCATCTCTCGTCTTGAGCTCGCAGCGCTCTGATTCCCGCCCCGGCCATGTCTAACCCGCTGCCGTCAATGCCTCCGGGCCGCCCCGCCGCCGTCGCTGTCGACGCGAATTCGTCCTCGACCTGGGACCGGATATCGTCGTGGGTGTCGGAGAATAAGGCGGTTGTCTATACCATTGCTGGCGTGGCCGTTGTTGTCACTGGCGCTGGCGTTGTCTACTATCTGAATTCCGATTCGGTACGTTTGTTGCCATTGTTGCGTGGTTCATGGAGGGGTTGAATGATTGCATGACGGCATCAGCATCGCAGCAGCTGTTCTGGGATCGCCGCCGGATTGGTGGAACAAAATTGAAACCAGAGAGCACCGTTGGAGAAGAGAGAGTGAGAGAACCAAATTCTAATCCGTCCTGTGTGCAATAGAAGTCCGATGCATCACCAAAGCTCAGCAAGAAGGAGAGGAGGAAGCGCAAAGAGGCCGAGCGCAAAGCCGCCGACTCTAAAGCTACCCAGTCCAAAGCCGCCACCGTCGAGCCCGAATCCGAGCTGCCAGAAATCAACGAGACCACTGTTCTACAGCTGAGCCCCGAGGTGCGAGAGCAGTATGCCGCTCGACTGAAGCAGGCTGGCAACAAGGCCTACGGAGATAAGGCATACAACAAGGCCATCGACCTCTACTCCCAGGCTATTCTGTGCAAACCAGATGCCGTCTTCTACTCCAACAGAGCCGCCTGCTACAGCGCCATGAGCGAATGGGAAAAGGTTGTCGAAGATACCACTGCTGCCATCAGCATGGACCCCGATTACATTAAAGCTATTAACCGCCGTGCCACTGCCTACGAGCACCTAAAGATGTACTCCGAGGCTCTTCTCGATTTCACAGCCTCTTGCATCATCGATAACTTCAAGAGCGAGTCGACTGCTCAAGCTGTTGAGAGACTGCTAAAGGTCTTCGCCGAGCATAAGGCCAAGGAGGTCATGGCATCCAGGCCCGCCAAGCTCCCCAGCCCCATCTTCGTCGGTAACTACCTCCAGAGCTTCCGCCAGAAGCCCCGCCCTGCCGCTCTTGACGACTCAATCGAGCTCTCTCTGGATACCGGTTTGGGACAGCTGCAGCTCGGTTTCCAGGGACTCGAGCAGAAGACAGCCGAGGGATACGAGGAGGCCAGACAGGCGTTCGAGAAGGCCATTGAGCTTGGCGATCTCGGCGAGCACGAGGCTCTCGCTTACAACCTGCGGGGTACTATTCGAACCCTCCTTGGCAACCACGCCGCGGCGACGGAGGATTTCGACAGGAGTATCGAACTCGACCCAAAGATGACCCAGAGCTACATCAAGCGAGCTAGCATTAGCTTGGAGCTCGGTGAGCCTGACAAGGCCGACGCCGAGTTCGAAAAGGCCCTCGAGCAGGATAATGACGACCCCGATGTCTACTACCACCGTGCCCAGGCTCACTTCATCAAGGGCGATCTCGCAAGCGCACAGAAGGACTACCAGAAGTCGATTGACTTGGACAAGGACTTCATCTTCTCCCACATCCAGCTGGGTGTTACCCAGTACAAGATGGGCTCCATCGCGTCGTCCATGGCCACCTTCCGACGATGCATCAAGAACTTCCCCAAGGTCCCCGACGTTTACAACTACTATGGCGAGCTGCTGCTAGACCAGGGCAACTTCCCCGAGGCCATTGAAAAGTTTGATACCGCTATGGAAATGGAGAAGCAGTCTAAGCCCATGTCTATGAACGTTTTGCCCCTGATCAACAAGGCTCTCGCCCTCTTCCAGTCATCAGCTGACTTTAAGGAGGCAGAGAAGCTCTGCCAGAAGGCTCTCATCAGTCAGTATTCTCTCTCTCTCTCTCCTTTTTTTTTGTGCTCAACTGCTTGCGTATGCTAACTAATGTCTTCCAGTTGACCCTGAGTGTGATATTGCTGTGGCCACCATGGCTCAGCTTCTGCTGCAGCAGAACAAGGTTACCGAGGCGCTCAAGTACTTTGAGCGTGCGGCAGAGCTCGCCCGAACCGAGGGTGAGATTGTCAACGCCTTGTCCTACGCCGAGGCTACACGAACCCAAGTCAAGGTCACGGAGAAATACCCCAAGCTGGCGGAGAAGCTCGCAGGTGGTCCAGGTGGCCCTGGCGGACTGCGCATGCCTTAAAGCTTGCGTCGCAATACGACGTTGGATGAATAGGGCTGCAGTCTCAACGGAAGGAATCAAAGAAGAAAAAAACTTGAAAAAAAAAAAGAACCAAGAATCAGGATGAGGAGAGGATAGGCCTCAGAAACGCACATATGCACACATTCGAGACATGGCGCAGGGCAACTTATGAACTCAGTGTGCGCTTGTAACACTTACACATATGCCACAAAAATTATTATACGCTGCCGAAGATCGGGGAGTTGAGGAAAATGTTTTGGAGTTTTGTATTTTCTTCGGAGGGTGATATTCCATATTTCCCCTTTTTCTCGATCCGGTGGCGCGAACGAAACAGCAATATTTGACATCGACATTCAAGGGATTGATAACTTTCATGATTCAGGTGTATGCCGTGTTAGGGAAGGGGATGGAATACGGAATTGGGAAAGTAAAAAGAAAGAATGATGTGGTGGCAGGGTGCAAAAGAAGAAAAAAAAGGGGGGGTGAACGGAACGGCAGAGAAGGCGCTGATTATGCAGAAATGAAAAAAAAACCCTCTTCTGTACATTTCTACTATAATGACATCTTACGTTCCCTTATATGTAATGGTGTCACAAAGTATTTTGATACTTTTTTTTTTTCTTTTCTTTTTCCATTCGTTGTTTTGTATTTTACTGTATTGTATGATCACCATTCTTTTTTATCCATTTGATGGAGCTGTACAACAAGGGAACCGGAAAAAGATGTATGCTCAAAACTAGAAGGATGTATCATTGGACGGGTGGGATGTATTACTAGTACGACTCCTGTGTTTGGCTCGGGAAAACAATAAGACACAAGCAAAACTCCTCTCACAAAAGCAAAGTCCTCACAGTTTATCCGCTTCATAAAAAAAGGTATAAAAAAGGTTCCTATCCTATGTTCAATCGTCGCAATCACATGGACTCCCCTCTTCCCATCCCATCCCATCCCATTCTACCTAAGTAGTTCATCAACACATCCGAGAGTTCATGGCATTAAATATCATCAGCAAACACCACCAAAAATTTCACGCAATATCTCCCCTTTTTATCCCCTCTTCACCACGAGTTGTATCATTCTTCCTCCCCTTCTCATATCATCTCCGCTCCTGCTGCAATCAACGCTACTCTCCTCCACTCGGCGCCCCCCCGTGTAGCGTCTCCAAAGTAAGAATTAAGATTGTACAAATAGTCGTTTCGCTGTGAAGAAGCATATAAAAGCCCCCCCTCATGCGGTTGGATACATAGTTCATAGTCTATGAAAGAATAAAAAATTACGCCTCGTGAGCCCTAGAAGTAATAAGAGGCCCTTCCCCCGTAGTTTAGAATTCAGAAGCAAAAAGGAAAAAAAAAAAGGAAAAAAATAAGATGATAGATAGATCGTTCATATAAGGAAAATTCGCAATGACTTTTTCTTTTTTTGGCGAGACAAAGTCAATTAGTGTTTGTTGGTCAGGGCAACACCCAGACCCACACCTAGAGCAATGGCGAGACAGATGAGGAAGACGATGAGAGCGCACCACCACTTGAGGCGACGAGTGCGGCGGGCGTGCTGGATACCTTGGCTGACTTGCTCGTTACCCTTCTCAATGTTCTGGACTGTGCTCTCGGCGTTGACCTCGGCGGCAACAACAACATTCTCCTGCTGCTCGACCATGGCGGCGAGTTCCTGGAAGAGGATGGCGAGCTCGGAGAGGGTCTGCTCGATGCGCTGGAGCTCGTTGTGGCGAGCGCGCACGTTGCCAAGGAGAGAGGCAGCGTGGCCAGAGCGGTTGGTTCGAAGCTGCAAAAAGTCTGGTCAGCGCTAATCACACGTTTATATACTCGCCACACAAGCTACTGCTTGAGTGCTAAAGAATAGCATGACACCAAGCCAATTCTTTGGCGTTGGCGCATTTTGGATGAGACAAGAATAAGGGAAAGACGTACAGCTGTCTGGAAAACACCCTCGTTGTTCCAATCGGCCTCTGTGGCCTGCTGCACCTCTTCCTCCGACGCATCCGGGTTGACGATGCGATACTGTCTCGCGATCTGTTCCCGGTAGCGCTGCTGGTAGTCGCGCTCAATGCTCTGGTACTTGTCGAGCTCAGACTTGAAGAACGTCTTGAGCGACTCCAGCTGGGTCTTCTTGGTGGTGCGAGACGCATCTGTTGTCTTGAGGAGATCGCGCTCCAGGCCCTTGATGCCGTCCTTGATGGCGGTGTTACGGATTTGCGTCTGTGCCACATAGTGCTCCAGCTGCTGGGTTGCCTCCGGGTCAGTAGTGCTGAGAGTGCGCTGATGCAGCTGCCCGATGTAGTCAATCTCAGAGGTCAGCGACTTGATGTCGTTGCGAAGGTCTCCCACGCGGCTGAGGAAGTCTGCCTGCGACAGAGGCTGTCGCGATTGCTCTTGACCGTATCCATTGTTAGATTGGCTTGGGCCTTGGTTGTTGTAGTCCTGCAGCTCGTAGTTGTTATACGGGTTCTCGCTGTTGTTGGTGGCATATGGGTTGAGCTGCCAAGCGCATTTGCATTAGCATTCTCGCTGCTCGTCCGGATGTCCACGGCCGCCGCAAGGCTCTACAAGGGCGGTTTACTTACCTGGCCATAGCCAGCGGCATTGTGCCCGGCCTCTTGTGAAGGGCCCTGAGCATAGGGATTCTGCTGCCCTGACATGCTGAAAGAGCGTGCTGCCGGAGTTTTTGTTTTGGTGCAGGTGCAGGTGAGAGGGAGAGGCGGTGGTGATGTTTCGACGGAGCGAGAGATTCGCTTGCAGTGGTCGCAGCTACGTGCAGGTAATGAATAGAGCGGGCGGAATCAACGGTAAGGCTTCGAGAAGATCACAAGCACAGCGCTCTAATTGGTGGGGGAGGGTTTGGCAGCGAAAAGTACAAAAACGAGCACGAGTAATTGGCAAACCGAAGCAGCCTCGGGTGGTGCGGAGGTGGAGGGAGGATGGAGAAGGGAAGGACGGCAATTTCTGTTTTTGCGAGGCCCAAAGCGGAATATAGCAGAGGCGCAACACTAACACTGTAGTCTAGCGGTGCTGTGGTGTAGAAAACGAGTAAGGCCGGAAAAAAAAAAAATCAAAAACTGTAGAGGCCCCAGGCCATGTAACCATGGCCAGCGCGTAGAGCAAGCAGGGATTGACTGGTGACGTATTGGCACGGCTAATTACTAGGTAGTCTGCTAAAAACCAATCTTGCAGAGCCGGACTGGAACAATACCAAGCAAGAGACAACGAGGCCGTTTTTTCAGGGTCTCGCCTCTCGCCGTCGCTGGATTCCAGCGTCTTCCTCCCGCGGATCGACGGAGCGAGCCTTTGTCAGCGCTGCGCCCAGTTGGCAGCCGGTCGCCACTACGACGCCCACGGTTGAATCATCTTGCCATCGTTTTGACAGCCCCACCCGCGGTGCTTGTGCAGTAAGTTGTGCCTAATGGAGCAGCTGCCTGGCTCCATCGGGCCCATGCGCCCGCCAATCGTCGCGCATCGAAGTCATGGCCATGAACCATGCCTGTGGCTCTGGGCGGCGCCGCGGCCTTGCCAGGGCCAATGGACTGCAGGGCGGGCGATGCGATCATTGCGCGTCAGCTAGCGGAGCTAGTGGCATCGCCGAGGGAAGAACAACCTCTGTTGAGCACCCGGGTCTTGATTACGGGACATCGACAACGTCGGAAGACGGCAGAATCTCGTTGTTCCGCAGCCACACCAACCACCTGCTTGTACGGAGCAGTGCTGGAGACCGTCGGCTGAGTGAGAAATCCCGCTAAAGCAACGGTAAGATGCTCTATCTGCAGGATCATCTGATGGACAGGGATCTGTAGCTTCGTATTCTTGCATGCTACTGTACCTGGTATGGTATGGAGCACGGCAGCGGTCATGGTTGTACTTTGTGTGGAATAGACTCACTGCTAGGGCGAGTGAATAGTGGAGTGCAGTTCTCAACAGTAATTGGCCACGGGCAGTTCTTAATTCGAGCGACTCAACGCTTTCATATAATACACCGTGCAGCTCTTGATACAACATTCATCTGGCATGCTTGTCAGAAAGACCAATTTACAGCAACACCAATACGTTGTACCTTGGCTATTCAATTTCGCTGCCCTTTTCTTTGCCATGCTCTGGCTTTTCTAGCCTCAAAATTCCAAGACAACTAGTACTTTAGTATTTGTGTATGTAGTCATTTATTATTACTAGTATGTACACATAAACGCGAATTTCATATATACAATCGTCCATCTCATGGTGCTGCCCATTACTGCTGCGCACACATATCGGCCATCGTGAGCCAATGCTAGAATCCAACCTATCTTTTCCCATTCCAATAGTATTGCTGATATATAATTTGTGGCTTGTATACCGATCCACTGTGCCTTACGTCGCCATCGTGGCGGAGCTCCCTCAATATGGCGCCGGCTGTGAATCAAAATCCAGACTGACACTGTTGCAGCCAAAGTCAAATGGCCACCTCTATCAGACTTCAAGGCGTTAAAAACCGCCACAATCGGTAGCGTTGGAAAATAGCCTTGCAGGTCCGCCGGTAATTGGACCACGTAATGTTCCAGAAGCAGCCTCCGTTTGTGAAGAAAATGAAAAGGGCCAAGTTTGGTCAGGGAATGTCTGCTCAGAGATAGTTCTTCTTTCTAGAGGTTCGCGTGTATTGCGACAAATGCCACTCAACGTCACCCTCTTTGTTCTCCAGTGTACCTCCGCGAATTTCGAATACTCTCATGGTCATTCGAGGTCCGACCTCGGCCAACTCAACGCTGTCGTAACCTGTCCGTACGAAAACGTGATGTCTGACTTCGATGCTATCGTCAATGTTCTTAAACGTTACTACTCGGTTGCCAATCTTGTTCTTGCTGGTAATTGGTTCTCGGGGAGGGAATAAATGCTTCAGCACTTTAACAACTCGTTCTCCCAGGCGAGTTGTGAAGCCGTCGAAGATCAGGTGAGGGTATGCCTCTGACACGGTTCCTCGAACGCTACCGGGAATATCGTGGCGGAGAACGACGTTGTGCAGGGAGAATGAGACTGTCGGCCCGTGAGGTAAATGAGAAATTGTCAAGGCCGTAGGGGTACCGCGATGTTCGTGAAGTAGAAGCATATCAGACAGGCCTGCGGACTGCGCAGACTTGACCAGGTCGGGCAGAATGAGGTTACCACGATTCATTCGGATAGAAGTTGGTAGAAGAAGCCTGATTTCCTTTGCGAATGCTGATAATCTGGCCGAAGGATCGCGAGAAGTCGTTACGAGAACTCGAGGGTCGACGATGCCAGACAGCTGTGCATACTCGTCGTCCAAGTCCAGCTGCTCGTTCGTAGTGAGATCGCGAGACTCATCATATTGATAATCTTTCCTTAATGATTTATCATTGGCGATTTCTGGGTCCAATGGTTTTCCTGAAGCGAGTGATGCTCTCAGCTTAGCTCTCTTCTCGCTGATTTCGGCATCCCGCAGTAGAAGGGCTCGTCGGTAGAGATAATCACGCCTTTGGCGTGCTTGTTTGCGCTATAGAATATGGTCAGTGATAAAATCTTTCCGCACACAAATCAAAAGCCCACGTACAATCATCTTTGGTGCTCAAATGTGTAAATAACTTCACTCCATACAAGCTGGCGCGAAGGCAGTCGAAAAAAAGTTTGGGCTTATCAGTTTTGCCGGAATTTCGGGGCTTATCGATAACGCGCCACCAACCTTAGGCCTATCACGTGGGCGCAAATTGTCCCACCACTACACCACCTAGGATTCCCGGGTGTGCCAGGGTGTTGATAGATTCCGACTGTCAAGAGCAGAAAAACGCTTTCTGCCTAGGAACCTTCCGAGCGACAAGTTTTCTGCAAAAGCCAGGCTCGAGATTTGTATTTCTAGCTTTGAGTATCGGCTCTGCCAATTTTCTCTCCCTCGCCCTACGTCCGCGACGATGATGTGAGGCCGGCCGACGACATTATCGAATCCCTTCCCTTTGACCATTTCGCGCCGAAGCTCGTCGCACGAGGCTTCTCGAAACATAAAATTTACTTATAAGGTACACGCCACTTTCCTGTGGTTGCTTTGGGCGTACGAATCTCAGACAACTTCTCTGGACCAACTTGCACTTGTTCCCTCTCTCTACTTTCGTCACTCCTCACCACCCCTCTACTCCTACTGTGAAGCTGACTTGTCGCGATCCGAAAAGCACCGTCTGGCGGACCTGCCCTAGACAGCAATTCAACATGGAGGGAGCCTTCACCCATGTTGGTAACCATCTTATTTCCGACTCAGCTGCTGCCATCAAGGCTGGCGCTGACGACTTGTCGACTATCGATCCTGACGAGGCTCTACTCTACGGCAAATATGGCGGCCAAAGTGGCCGACGCCGAGCTGATGACGACGATAATCAGACGGAGGCATTTGAAGAGGACGATAACGACAGTCTCAATAGCGTCCCCGTTGATCAAATGATGGGCATGAAGTTGAAGCATCCTGAGGAGGAGAAAGAGCTTCCGGCTCATGCATGCGCGTGAGCAACGCCATTTATATTTTTCGCTGGTTATATAAGCTAACGCGACGTGAAAAGATACTGTGGAATTCACTCTCCGGCCTGTGTCGTGAAATGCCTTACGTGCAACAAGTGGTTCTGCAGTGCCCGCGGCAGCGGCTCATCAACCCATATCGTCAATCATCTTGTTCGCGCACGCCACAAGGAAGTGCAGCTACACCCCGAATCGACTCTCGGAGACACCGTTCTAGAATGTTACAACTGTGGAACCAAGAATGCCTTCATTCTGGGATTTATCCCAGCAAAATCTGATGCCGTGGTTGTCCTACTATGCCGTCAACCCTGCGCCGCCGCTTCGTCGAATAAGGACATGAATTGGGACACCTCGCGGTGGGAGCCCCTCATCGAGGAGCGGGCATTTTTGCCTTGGCTCGTGAACCCACCGTCCGATGCTGAACAGCTGCGCGCCCGCCACCTCACGATCAACACGATTGCCAAACTCGAAGAAATGTGGAAACAGGAGCCGGATGCGACGATTCAAGATTTAGAGAAGGCTTCCAACATCGACGACGAGCCTCTTCCCGTTCAGTTGACATACGATGATCCCTACCATTACCAGAATATTTTTGGACCCCTTGTCAAGATGGAATCCGACTACGATAAGAAGCTCAAGGAAGCGCAGTCAGAAGATGGTCTAACTGTTCGCTGGGATTATGCTCTCAATAACAAGCACATTGCTAGCTTTAACCTGCAGAAGATTGAATCGGGAGATGTCAAACTCGCAGTCGGCGACGAAATGCGACTACGATACACCGGCGAACTTCGAGAACCATGGGAGGGTGTTGGATACGTCATCAAGATCCCCAACAGCCAATCTGACGAAGTTTGCCTTGAACTCCGCAAGACTGGCAATGACAAGCTAGTCCCCATCGACCTTTCTCACAACTTTTCGGCCGATTACGTTTGGAAGGCCACCTCGTACGATCGTATGCAGTTGGCAATGAAGACGTTTGCCGTTGACGACATGAGCGTCTCGGGATACATCTTCCACATCCTACTAGGCCATATCTGCCAGCCACCGCCTATGAAAGTCACGCTGCCTAAGAAGTGGTCTGCTCCCGGGCTACCTGATTTGAACCAAGGCCAGGTGGATGCCATCAAGGCTGTTCTTCAGAGGCCGCTCAGTCTGATCCAAGGACCCCCTGGTACAGGAAAGACGGTTACATCGGCTACTATCATCTACCACCTTGCCAAGATGAGCGGTAGCCAAGTTCTGGTGTGCGCTCCGTCCAACGTCGCTGTGGACCAGCTCTGTGAACGCATCCACCGTACCGGACTCAAAGTGGTTCGACTTACAGCAAAGTCGAGAGAGGATGTCGAGTCGTCTGTCACCTTCCTGGCATTGCACGAACAGGTTCGCATGTCCGAGCACAATACCGAGCTCGTGAAGCTGTCGCAGTTGAAGAATGAAGTCGGCGAACTTTCAAGCCAAGACGAGAAGAAACTGAGACAGCTGACCAAGGCCGCCGAGCGAGAGATTTTGAGCAACGCAGATGTCATCTGCTGTACTTGTGTCGGCGCAGGTGACCCGCGACTCTCCAAGATGAAATTCCGAAACGTCCTCATTGACGAATCCACGCAATCTGCTGAGCCAGAATGCATGATTCCTCTTGTGCTCGGATGCAAGCAAGTCGTCCTGGTCGGAGATCACAAGCAACTTGGACCTGTGATTATGAACAAGAAGGCGGCCAAGGCGGGTCTCAATAGGTCTCTGTTTGAACGACTCATCAACTTGAAGATCAACCCGATCCCGCTAAAGACACAGTACCGAATGCACCCATGTCTTTCGGAGTTTCCCTCAAATATGTTTTATGATGGTACTCTTCAGAATGGCATCACCCATGAGCAGCGAGTTCGAAAAGACGTTGATTTTCCCTGGCCTGTTACAGAGATGCCCATGATGTTCTGGTCCAACATTGGCCACGAAGAAATTTCAACGTCTGGCACTTCGTACCTAAACCGAACAGAGGCCTCGAATGTGGAGAAGACTGTGACACGTTTCTTCAAGGCCGGCGTGAAGCCATCCGAGATTGGAGTCATTACACCGTATGAGGGCCAGCGAAGCTATATTGTCTCCACCATGCAAAACTCTGGCACATACAAGAAGGAACTTTACAAGGATGTGGAAGTGGCCTCGGTTGACGCATTCCAGGGTCGTGAGAAGGACTTTATTGTCCTATCCTGCGTTCGTTCCAATGATAACCAAGGCATTGGATTCTTGTCAGACCCCCGTCGTCTCAACGTCGCACTCACCCGAGCCAAGTATGGTCTTGTCATTCTCGGAAACCCCAAAGTTCTCTCCAAGCATGAGCTTTGGCACAACCTCCTCGCTCATTTCAAGGATCGCAAGTGCTTTGTCGAAGGTCCCCTTACCAATCTGCAGGCTTGTCTTCTGCAGTTTAGCCGCCCCAGAGTGAGCTATCGCCAGAGGAGCAGCCAGCCATCTCAGTATCCAAGCGCCAGGCAGTCAAATGGCAGATTCAACGGCGGCCCTCCTGGCCGTGATTTTGATGCGGGCTCCATGGTTTCTTACATTCCGGACGACGTTTCTTCAATCCAGGGCTCAGCCTTTGGAGGCGCAGCACTCAATACGGCATTCCCGCCAATGTTCTCTAGCTTTGCCCCCGAGCAGTGGCCTGGACTGCCCGGAGTGTCGGCGCCTGGGCGAGGACATAAGGGTCGTAACCGAGCGCCTGAAAGCATTGCCGGAGAGAGCGTGGCCAATTCTGAGCTAACAGATGCCTCAGCTAGCGTCATTGGTGCCAAGGGAATTGGTCAAGGCGGCGTCAGCCTGGGAGCTGGATTGCACGACGTGGTGACGGGAATGCGAGCAGTGTCCTACAGCCAGAGTGATCGATTGAAACAATACGTGGAAAGCAACGGTCGTATGACTCTGGGCAGTGGCTACGGCCGACGTTACGACGACGACGAGAAGAGCATCAGCACTGCTTTCCATAGCCAAATCGGCGGAGGCTACGACTGAGTGACACGCACAAGGCTGTAACAGCAAATAATGACATTTAGGACACACCCTAAACGCTCCACAGTAACCAGCAAACTCACCAATGAACGTGATGGCTACAACAGCCGCTCCGTCGAAACGATCGTGGAGAAAGCGAAAAAGTCCAACAGACTGTGGTTAACGCGATCACTTCGGGCCTGGCAATTCAGCTTATTGCTGCGGATACGTATGGTAATAGCAGCAGCTGGTCGCCGTCGAGATGAGCGGAGTTTGGTCAGAGCTAGGCGAGACAACCTGTCTAACGCTAGTCATCTGCAGGAGTTGGCGACGAGTACTATGGAAGCTGCTCCTTCGAAATATATGATAAGTAGTCAGTGGGGAAATGGCAGTAGCTTGTGGTGGAAAGGTTGAGATTCTTATTTTCTTCGTTGGTGGAACAGTCTGGAGTACCAGGCCGTACGTTGGCAACGCGCTACCTATCAAGAGGATGCTGCCGAAATGGTCCTTGGACAAGTTTTCCAGCTGATAACCTGACCTCTCTGGAGATGCAGGTGATTTTAGAAGCCAACTATAGCCGCTCTTTATAATATTAGTTGATAGTAAAACAGTCACTCCTTACTTCTTGTGTGCTACTGTAGGCCGATTGATTTGAGTTCACTCTTGATGAAAGCATTGCCATACACTTTCAGTGTGAAATACGGAAGACATTGAACTGGTAAAGAACTTTACTAACCTGGGTTTATTACTACCAGTGGATTATAAGGTAGATTCCCAAGGGACAAACCTAGAAGGTCTTCGGATTTATGTTGGCGGATAGGTCAGGGAAGATCTATGGATAATGTAAATAGTATGAATGGCAACAGTAGGTAACAGTTAGAGCCGGGCCGTAACGTATTATTAAATTAGCAATTTAGATATAAAATCTCCCGTCTCCCTGTCTCTTTCCGTTATAGTAAATATTTATGCCTTTACCATGACGTCTTTAATTTGGACTATTATTAATGCTTTAAGGGTAAGGTAGTTATTATAACCTATAACACGGCTGGCTAGCTTTATCTCATCTTGGCCTTTTTAATCAGCTATCTGCCTTACAAGCTTACTTCTCTTAAACTTAGGATCAAACTTGGGATGCGCCAAGTCTTCTAATAATGTACGTTTTAATGCTACCTCCGAAGCTTTGCAGCTTGAACGACGGCTATGTCGCCATTCCTAGGGCAAAGCAATGTCCCATCGGGCGTTATTGTACAGAGGCGAGCCTCGTCGCTGGTAGCCCAATCCCCAGGAAGGAAATAGTACCGCTCAACGGCCATCACGCTTGACTCCGAAGGTTTTCCTGTCCAGGATGGCAATCGCCAGGTACAAATCCAACGGTCGACATCAAGAAATGCTAGCCTTGAGCGAGAAAGGAAAGCGAGCGGCTGACGCATGCAAGATGTTATCTCTGTCGGGATCAGAGTGTACGGGAGCACTTCATTACTCTGGCCTAATTCCTCGTAGGATGATCCTAGTTGCAAATCGTTCAAGTCAAATAGAAGGTACTCCCTTTTTGTCTGCCCGGATGCGCTCGGGGGCAAAACTTCTAGGAGAACCTGAGATGAGTCGAGGTTGGATACCAGCCTTCCCAATGTCTCGATATCTTTCTGGAGACCTCCTGCATGACTATCAGAAAGCGGAGGAAGAGTGATGCTGATAGAACTTCCAATTCTAGGCGGGAAATAGGAGCGCACCCCAAGCTCCTGAAGTTTCGTCCAGCTAAAAATATGCACCCTGGAGGTTCCAAATCCAAGAATGGTGTCAGCAAGGGTCGGATGCCACGCCCATTTCACTTCAGACATGGTTGTCATTGGCGTTGATCTAGCTATGGCCTTTGAGCCGAGATCGACAGAAAATATTATCCCTGGCGTCGACACAAAAAGTTCGTGGCTAGTAGGATGGAAGAGTAATTGGTTGATATGGCCCTGCTCCGAGGGGATGATGAGGCTGAACTCAGAAGTTACCTGCCAGCCAGCAGCGTTCTCACTGGATCTGACAACTTTCTTAACTGCAAGTTTGCCGCTAAGATCTGCAAGGGCAACAAGGCGCCCGTCTTCGCTCCATGTTACATGCTCAATGGACATGTAACTCTCCAGTCTTTCCAGCTCACAAATCCTCCCACGACCAGATTCGCAAAGAACTGCTACTCCATCTTCTGTGCCATAGCAGTACAGCGGACCTACTGACTGCCCAGAAAGAGTAATAACATTGTCAATCCGGGCTGCGTGATGCTCTGTGAGAAGAGAGGCTCTCGCGAAGCTCTCGGTTTCACTGCAAGAGTCGCTGTTGTGGTCCGAGGCGTCCGCTAGACGAACCAAAGAGTTCGGCTCCCACACATTGCCATACGAGCCACGTATATCGTAGAGCCGCCTGGAGTCAACACTGAACGAGAGATAAAATACGGGGTCCTGTGATACCAGCTGATACAGTACAGTAAAGTCCGCGGTTGCGTATATCGTAATTGTTCCGACTGCATCGCCGGTAGCGATGAGAGAGCCGTCAGTGCTAACGGTCAAAGAGTGTGCACCAGCCTGAATGGATGCGTTGGTCTCCTCTTCGTAAGGGTTCCAGCGGAACAATAGCCCAACCTGCGTTAGTCCAAACACTTCGCCGCTGAACGGATGCCACACGAGCTTGAAGACCTCCCCCCAAGTGTTGTCTTCAATCGTCATATCTGTTTCATTCAGCGGCAAATTGCACTGGCCGACTAGCATTGCCGGCTCGAGTTCCCAGGCTGTAACTGGGTGGCGTCGGTAACCAAATGCAATCATATTGCCGTCCGGGCTCAGAGCAGAGCATGTCGGGAAACTGACTGCGGTGTCGTCCAGGCTCTGTTCTTCGATTTGGGAATGGATTCTCCACGCTTCCCCAGCGTCTTCTTCGAGAGACACGCTTCTGGTACATCTGTCTTCACCACACACGAGTATCTTGCTCGGTTTCTCAGAGACGAGGATAGTGTGCGGACGTGGATGCTTTGGCGGATTTTTCACTGTCTTGACGCAATTTCCGCTGGCTACGTCCCACACTTTTGTTGTCGCATAGCCGTAGCTGACTAGGAGGTTGCCTAACTTGTTGGCTTGTATGCTTAAGACACGTTCAGGGTGCGTAATCCTACGCTGCTCTTCAAATGTTGCCGCGTTGTAGATGATCACTTGGCTCGTCTTTCTAATCATTGTGAGGACAAAGATGCGGCTGCCGGCAGCGACGACTGAAGATGCCATGACCCCTTCACTCAGCGTAAACCGCGCCAGACAGTCATCCCAGGTAGTGGTAGTAACTCCAGAGACATGGATTGCTCTACTCTCCTTTTTACCAAACTGCTGGTATATTATGGAATCTTCTGGGCAGAATGGCGGGATGAGCTTGTATATAGACTCAGGGTGTTTCTTCAGGTTGTTTCCAAATTTTCCTGTAATTTTGACGAGGTCAGCCGCCCAGCCCTCGATGACGGCGGCCGCCTCTCGGTGTACAACAAACTCATCCTCGCCAATCTTCCGCAGCTTGAGTGCAATTTGAGTCAAGTGCCGGGAGGTAGCCACCAAAACCCCAAGATTCTTTCCTCTGGCAGCCACATATATCCAGGTCAGTATGTGTGGGCCTTTGAGGAAGCTCATCAGCACTTCCAGAATTTCTGGGCTAACACTCGAACCGAGGATTAGATGGCTTGACCATGCACTAACAGCATAGTCTAGGAGAGCTGGAGGTCGATTCCTGTTGATTTGGCTCCTCAGGCTTTTATCTGTGAGGCGTGCTATACATCTTTTGAATAACACATCGTTGGTAGACTGGCGATGAATAAATAAAGGTCGCTCTTCCTCAGATCTCTTTGTGAGGTACTCTCGAGCCGTCTCATGAACCATCGTTACCTTGCCTTCATGATCTACTATGACGAATCCCCCGCACAGATCGCCGACAGTCCTATGGATCTCAAGTAAACCATCATTGCCTAGGGCATCTCCGAGTTCCTCGATGCTCAACAGTCGCCGAGCACAAGTCGCCCAATTCAGGATACTCTGGCCAAGTCTCCGATCGCTGGTGCTTTGTTGTGACTGGACTGAAATGGCCATTCGATTATACAAGGCCTCCATTCCTGAGGGAAGTTCCATGAGAGCATTCTCAACATCCGGCTTCGTGTGGCAAAGGTTGATCTTCTGCACAGCTAGATGCACCCAGAGAAAGTTGCCTTTTGCCCGTTCGAGAAGCTGAGCAGTAACATTCTCACGGTATGATGCATCGCCAGCAAGATCCATCTCGTGATCAATGTAGGATCGGAAGTCCATCAAATTTCCTTCCATGCATATAGTTTCCATATGCACTTGCTTAGCGAGCCTTTGAAAGGCCGAAGAAATCTCATGGGTTTTACGACTCACAACTAAAATTCGGAGTGGAATCGTAGTAAGATGCAACTCTGACAGAAGCTTGATGATAGAAGCTGGCCGTTCTGCTTCATCAAGACCATCGAGGATCCAATAAAGCGGAGAGCCGAGAGGTAGTTGTAAAAGAGACTGCGCAAAAAGCGATTGCCAGAGTTTTCGATAGTCTGCCGTCTTGAGGTCTGTAGCAGCCTCTATGAGCTTGCGAAGCTCGCCAGCGTATTCGGGGACGGAATTGGCGACTTGATAAGCCAGTGATCGCAGTATCATGGCTAACATTCGCTTTGCGGGTGAAATAAATCGTATAAAGAAATACTGGCAAGGCAGACCACGTTGAGTGAGATGATCAATAATGAAGGAAGAGAGGATTGATTTGCCACTAGCAGCCATGCCATTGATCCATAGGACTCGAGGCTTGAGCTGCGTATCATCAACCCATCCTGCGAAAGCCTCGTGGCTAATGATCCAACTGCAAGTACCAGGCATCCAGCGATCATGGAAGAAGTTATAATCCCCATCAGGAGACTCGGGAACGGAAAGATATTCGCTGAAATCAGTAATTGACAATTTTGCCACATTTGTTGTAGTCGAGAATTCTGAGTTATGACTCTGTTAGGCCTTCATACCATTGAAATTCTAGCATGGTGTCCCAACTGGTAACTTGCCTTTTGATTTCTCTTTTCCAATCAAAGTCTTCAAGACATTCCTCACTGTAATGTACTTCGGATCGGAGGGGCTTTCATATTTGCAAATTCCATTATGGTCAGCATCCAGCGCCTTTGATATTTCTCCTGGGTACCCAAGGACGGATGAATCTTTTTCTAGGACCATCTGCACAATGTTAGCTGCCGGTGAAATTCTTGGGATTCATAGAAGTATACTTACTATTTGAGTCTTTTTGAACATGGTCGTTGGACGAGTCTCGTAAAATGAGACGATTTGGAGCTTCGGAGCGACGTGCCTGAACTGTTCATTGAGTTTCTGAAGGGTCTGTGAACCGGCTGCAAGTTCGGCGATAAACTGCATTGGATTGGCAATAAAAGACACTTGTAAAATACGGTTCAATGTTTCGGCGAGATTTGTGCCGCGATGCGGGGTTGAAAGAAATACAATGGCAGAGACTGCCTTGATGATTGCTTCATAGGTCGGATCATACTGGCCTTGCATATATGCCTATAAGTGGGAAAAGAGGTTTAGCAGGTATTGTCCACACGGGGGTAGCATAGGTAGCACAATAATTCAGACTCGTAGAATCGTACCTCTTTTACAATCAGTCCGCCCATGGAGTGAACTAGGAATATGATGGGTCGCTATCTCAAGTGTTAGCTTGTTCTCAAACAGAATGCGCTGCCAAGGTAGACAGTTTTACTTCACCCATCCTTAGATTCTCTGGTCCAGGCGCTGACTCGTCTTGGGCGTATTTAAGGTCGTATAAGAGATCTTTTGCGAAATCCAGAATTGACATCTTATTCTTGCCACTTCCTGGCCGAAATTTGCCATTATACCCAAAGGTCAGGATACGCGCCCCATTAATATCGGGTTCCAAGGGAAGAAACTTCAATGGCCAGAAGAAGTCGAGGCTGTGATTGTGTGCCCAAGTCATCCTACTACTCCCTCCGAGGCCATGGACGAAGATGATATCGACGCTACGCTCTCCTGGCGGATGATGTATTACCGTTAGCCCCAAGGGGTCTTTGGAGGATATCTCTTCTCCACGAGGTAAACTATGAGCCTCCGAGGCACTCTCGGGCTGATTATCGGAAGAGCTCGTATTCCTGTATCTAGTGGTAGGTGCAATTGATGGAGCGCGTGAGGATACAGAGGCTACATCGACTGTAGTCGACGGCGACAGTGTGTCTCGAGTCTCTTGGTCCCCATCATCACCTTCTTCAGCATCTCTTTTCTTCTTGAGGAAGTTGAACTGTTTCTTGAACTGCATATCACCGCAGGGTAATCGTGAGGATTAAAGTACTTCGAGACAAAATTCTGAAAGGTAAGAAAGCCTGCCATGCAATGAGAAATGAAACCTAAGTCTCGGCGTTGAATGGGCTAACGTGCCGCTTAATCGTGGTTTTGTCTATGAAGAAATCGTAACAAAAGAGGAACCAAAAACAAACGGTAACGGTCCGAGCCGCAAGATGGTATCATATGGCCCACTCCACAAGGCGCGTGCAATTGTTTGGGCTGTTAGGCGCCTGGATTTCGTGGGGGCTGGATGACCTTTTGTACTAGGTCGACCGACACACCAATCCATCGGATGTACAGGCCAGGATAATGGCTTCCTATAAGAGTTAGCCCCCCTCCTCTTCTGCTAGAAGAAAAGCTATATAAATAGACGTAATCAGCCCGAATGCTCATCGCTTTGGGAGACTATTTGATAATCCCTACGTATATCTATGCATGTAATTCATATGCCACCAGAAGTCATACTAGGCCAATTGCCACTGCCCTCGATGAAGCTGCAACTTGAACCTACCAATGAAGCATCTGCTGAACATGCGCAAGTAACACCTCTAGAATATGGCGACAAAAAGGTGGCCGACAATAGCCCTCAACAACCACTTGAGCGTACGGACAAAGCACCACCAATGACGATCAAACAAATTCTTGCCCAGCTCGACGGGGTGTTTCCAATGGACGAAGCCGTTGTCGACGGTAATTAGCCCATTGGTGGTTTCTGGAACCCTAACTCTTAAGCTAACTCTATCCTATAGCTCTTCCAAGAGGGAGCACGTTCGTGTCCGTTGAACAGTTTGGAACCAGTGCTTGGACTATTACGGGTCGTCTCATAGCATTGGACCCGGATGGATCCGAGAAGGTTTACTTTGTCAAGGTAGGTTACCATCTTTAGCTTGATAAAAGGCTTTTGTTGGTCTAATGTGCCTCATTGATGGACAGGTCGCATATGGCGAATCAGGCCGCATTATGCTTCACGGCGAGTTCGAGTCGTCCAAGATAATCTATAGCACCATGTCAGATTTCATTCCGGAGCCATTCGGATTTGGCAAGTTCAAGGTGCAAAGTCCGCCGACGTACTTCTATCTCTCCGAGTTTGTCGACATGGATGTTACAACGGCCCCGGATCCAGGAGATTTTTGTCATAATCTTGCTAGATTACACAAATTAAGCAAGTCCCCGACTGGCAAGTTTGGGTTTCACATCCCGACTTGCGACGGCGATAGAGCTCACGTGGTTGACTGGCAAGACAGCTGGGCGGTGTTTTATAGGAACCTGTTTCTTGGTGTCTGTGAACTCGACATAAAGCGGAATGGCCCATGGCCTGAATACGAAAAAGCCATCCAACAGGTTGCTTGGAAAGTCATCCCTCGGCTGCTCGAACCTCTTCAATCCGAAGGGCGCCAGATCAAGCCGTGCATCATCCATGGCGACCTTTGGGAAGGCAACATGGGAATAAAGATGGAGACTGGAGACACCATCCTATTCGATGCAGGTTCATACTTTGCTCACAACGAGATGGAGCTAGGTCACTGGCGGTGCGAGTTCAGCTCCGTTTTCAGAGCCAAGGTGTACACGCGGCACTACCTGAGGAACTATCCTGCTGCGGAACCAGTGGACGAGTTTGAAGACCGCAATCGACTCTATAGTCTCAAGGGTGCTATTAACTACGCGGCTGGACATCCAGGGAGCGTTCTAAGGAAGACGTAAGTACCGTGCCTGACCTCACAATCATTCCCATTACTGACTCTAGACTGTTAATCGAGCGCGTACAACAATATGTGCTATCTGTGCGAGAAATATGCCCCTGTGGATGGGATTGATAAATACGATCCTCACATCGACCCATCTATTACAGGAGCTCGCATTGTCCCCCATCTTGATGATGATTTGATTTGATTAAGTTCGTACCGCTGGATCAGAATCCGTGTGTTTGCCGCTTACATATGTACCACGGCTAGAGTATTGGGGATGGTGTTATAGAGGCGATAGTGGTCGGTAATACTGGTCGTACATACATTTAGCATGCCGCAATGAAATCATGAACAAATTCAGACTCCCTTGTGATATCCAGGCCTCTATCGCCAATCTGTTCCTGGATGCGTCACAGCCCGATGCCTACTCCAGGCCAGCTTATGTGTTGCCGACACCCCTGCAGAGATACCTTGGCAAGGCTGGTCGAGGGTGGTTCCTATGCGCCGCCGTCCCACCCATGAGCCGCAAATTTTTGGAAGGCCATTGGACGAACAGCAGGCAACCTTGAAGGAAGATTTTCCACTTCATCTATTTGTTACTCGTTCTTCAGACTATTGATGTTGGTAGGATCTTCGCCCCCGCCCTGTACATGCAGCCTGACCAACTGAGGAGCAGGGGTCGCCAAAACGATACCAAGAGCGGCGTTGATTGGAGCAACAAACATACCCCTCCCAAAGACGTGATACGCTTCCTGTTGGTTGCAAATCATGCTGCTATCAGACAGGGCCAAGTCAAGACGACCAGTCACATTGACAGAGTTGCCGCCTCCATTTGTACATTCAGTGTGCCCCCCCTCACGAAGCCCATGTCAACCCGTACGTGAGGCCGTGGGCTTTATCACCAACGCGCATAACAAGAAGCTTCTTGTATTGGCCATCGAAGGTGTGATACAGCTCTTTGTACAAGCACATGGTGCCTCATCTATATAGGTCGCATTTGAGAGTGAAGTTTGATAATATATTCTAGCTGGTCTTGAATTTTCATCACACTCGCCTATGAGGACTATGGAAGAGGCCAAAGTGACGGGCGTCGAGCAGGATTTATTGCAAGCCCCGACAACGATGGAGGAGTCGGAGAAAGCGCAGCATGTTGACACCATCTTCACTGAGGTAGATCATGCAGAGCCTTATTCAGTGTTTTCACCGGCTTTGCGCACCTTCTTGACCTATTTCCTCGGGTATGCCATGATAATCTCTACGTTGACAGCAACAATATACTTCCCCTTAATCCCCATCCTCAGCACTCAGCTGCACGTCTCCATCCAGAGCATCAACCTCACGGTGACCGTCTACGCAATCGCACAAGCCCTTTCGCCAGCAATCTTTGCCTCCCTGGCAGATAGCTTCGGCCGCCGCCCCGTTTTCTTGTGTCTCGTGACGCTCTATGCCGTTCCCAGCCTCGGCCTTGCTCTCAACCGCACGAGCTATCCGGCCCTGATAACATTGCGTGCTCTCCAGAGCATCGGCGGCTCTGCCATTCCCTCCATTTCCTATGGCGTCGTCGCGGATGTGGCTCCCGTTGCCGAACGCGGGAGCATGTTGGGTCCTATGCTGTCGACGTGCAATGGCATCTCAGCTATTGGCCCAGTCATCGGTGGTGCCGTTGCTCTGGGCACGAGAGGAGTGAGATGGGTTTTTCTTGCTCTTTTCATTATTGCGGTTACGTGTCTGGTGTTGGCTGGCTTTACGCTGCCCGAGACTGCGCGGAATGTTGTTGGAAACGGCAGCGTGCCGGCCGTGGGCATTTGGCGGACGTGGTGGTCGGTGCTCGTCAGCAAGAAGTCTCAAAGAGAAGAGGTCTGTGATGAGCAAAATTCAGCCAAGAAAAGACAGGCCTGGAGAGCTGCTAACGCTTTTGCTTCATTCCGCATCATCCTCTACAAAGATGCTGCTGTCGTGCTTTGGATGGTGGCCTCCTCGTACTCTGTCTACTATACATTTCAAGTTGCAATACCGGTCATCTTTGATGATATTTACAGGTACAACGAGCTTCAAATCGGGCTTGTCTTATTACCTGGTTTGGCAGGAATGACGATAGGAGGGATTATCGCTGGAAAACTGGTGGACAGAAATTACGCCGTTACCGCGAGGAATCACAATGTCGAGGCTTCGAAGAAGAACGAGGGTTTCCAGCCGGACTTTCCTCTAGAAGTCGCTAGATACAGGAATTGCTTCGTCTTTATTCTGATTGAGATGCTTCTGGTAATTGGCTACGGCTGGGCAGTCCACTTTCGAGTACACCCTGCTGTGCCTATTATTCTTCAATTTTTTATATGTGGCACATCGACTCTATTAAGCCACACCGCTAGTGCACTTCTTGTGGACATATTTCCTGAAATGTCCAGCACTGCCTATGCTTCAGGACAAATTATGAGATGCGGACTCAGCGCAGCTTCGGCTGCTGTTATACAACCGATCATCAATGCGGTGGGACGAGGCTGGTACTTTACAATGTTTTCGCTTTTCGTCGGAACAACAGGTGCTGGTTCGGTTTTCATGAGCCGTCTCAAAGGGATGAAGTGGAGACAGAAAAGACACTCACAGCAGACGGCCTAATTCGTAGAGGTAAGATGAAGAAAATCCTGCCGATGTAAGATGCCAGATGGGGCAATACTCTACAGGAATAGTTGCAACGGTGCGATCATTAAAATACTGGTTGCTATATAGTCCTCTACCTACAATTATAACATGGCTAACGCTGGCACCGATTTTACCTATACACATAGTCAGAGGGAGTCCGACATCGGTAGCATTCTCAAAACAACATAATTCGCAGTCCTACATTAACAGCTCCAATAGGCGATATACCAATTGAAAAACCATCAAATGGTGGGGACGTGGGGCTCCGGATCCGAGGCGATGAAATTTGTTGGCGGGCCATCGCAGCTGCGGTGCGATAAGATAAGGCCCCACTAAAAGAAAGCTGCAGTGACTCAAATGGCCGCTTCATAGCATGTGCGTCAAATCTTGGATCTTTCAAACCAGCGAAATCTGCAAATAGAATCCGAACCAGCCATGGCTACGATCATTGTAAGCTGCTGAAACTTGGTACACTATGCGGAATACGAGTTGACATCAAATTCTCTAAAGCTGGGTGCCCAATGGGGTTCGTACCTCTTCTTTTGTGTCCCCATGCGACTGATATCAGAGTGTGCTAACATGATTGCGACTCTGCAGGCGACGAAGGCGTACGACCATTTCCAAATTCCTACTATTCCTATGCGACTGCTACTAATAATGCCGACTCTATAGAAAGGAAAATTGACTGATATCCTTGCTCCCGAGGCGCAACTTTGCGCGCGAGCTGCGGTGAGCCTTGTCCTAAGCCGACCTGTATAAGACGTCCATAACAAGAATACAAACTGAGACGAGATCTAGGGAGGTCATAATGCCGGTCACTCCATTGTGTGAGCTAAAAATATTCCTATCATATCAAATTGGATCCCGAGTTGCTGACCACAGCTTCAATAGTGCCAATGGCGTGTCGTACAGGTATGCGCAGACGGGAGACATTTCGTTGCGGCTCAAATACTCATTACAGCTTCTAGCTTCCACCTGCTTCCTTCCGGCCTGGTCAACCCCAATTGGTGTGTAGTCATAATTCGGTGATTTGCAATGGGTATATTATGCTAATTATGCTCTTTAAAGTCGAAACTTTATTGGTTCTTCCGTGGTGGCTCACATTGTTAATACTCCAAAGTTACTCGATACAGTCAAGGACTTGGCTAATGCACCGAATAGCCTTCTTTCTTCAAGGAACTAGAAGAGCTCGAGCGAAAAGGACTTTCCAAGTATTACTAGCCTAGTCATTGGCAGACTTAATGCTAACCATATACTAGCGTCCACGATCGAATCTTCATCAGCGACAGAGTCCACATCGATCTGGACCTCCACGTTGCCGTTGACGGCTTGGAAGAAGTTGAACTTGGAGGTGATTAGCTACATCATTAGTACGGGTCGGGCCAATTATATATGCTTACTCCCATCACTCAGACCGCAAGGTTGGAACGACAGGCCGCGGAATTGGTCCTGCTTACAGCACGAAAGCGGCGGTAAGGACCCAGCCCGAATGATATGGTTGGATGGGCAGCTTTACTGAACCGGATGTAGCGAAGCGGTATCAGACTCGCGGAGGTCTTCAATGAGGAACTTTTTGAGTCGAAGCTCCGACGACTTGCATCAGGCTACAAGAAGCGATATGGCGATCTGCTCAAGTACGATGTTGAGGAAGAAATCGCCCGATTCAAGACGTATCGACCCAACCTTCGCAAATATACTGTCGACGCCATTGCCTTTATGAAGGATGCACAGGAGAAGAATACCAAGATCCTTTGCGAAGGAGCAAATGGTAGGCCAGACAGCCCCTCATACCATTACTATTATTCAGATTTCCTGACCTATTTTAGCTCTTATGCTGGATCTTGATTGGGGTTCAGTAAGTCAATTTTATTGGAGTGATCCAACTGCTGCCGCTCTTTATTTGGCATGCTGCTTTGGGTGGGCACTTTGTTGACTTTGTCTAGTACCCATACGTGACCAGCAGTTCTACCGGGTTCGTACCCTTAAGAGGCGGCAGATGCCCCTCATCCACTCCAATAGCTAATGAATTTGGTACTTACTTGGAATAGCATCGGTGGCATGGTAACTGGTCTTGCTCTTGATATCAGGAAGATTGGTGAGGTTATTGGCGTAGTCAAGGCCTACACCACTCGTGTGGGCTCTGGAGCATTCAAGACTGAGGATCTCGGAGAGTACGGTATTTCTGATTCTTAGCATGTGAAGAGAGCTGACCATTCCGATAGGATCGGCCAAAAGCTTCAGGAACGGGGTCGAGAATGGGTAAAAACTTAACGTCCTCCATCTAGTTGACATGGGCGCAGCTGACTGGCTTTAGGGTACTTCAACTGGCCGAACACGGCGCTGCGGATGGTAAGCATTCACCTGTCTAGAACTTGTGATGAATAGTCTTGATTAACTGAAACAGGCTTGGTATGTGCTCTCTCTACTCATGATACCTAGAACCAACTATTGACTAAAGTCTTGTAGATCTCGTCGTCGTCAAATACACCACGGTATAGATCGTCCTCACTGTGCGAAAAATCTATTGCGGATATCTAACGTATACTAGGACGTCAACCACTATACGGCGCTGAATCTCACAAAAGTAAAATATTGCGTTTCTTGATTCTTGATTAGAGGAGCATATACTAACTCAATCCTCAGCTTGATGTCTTGGACACTTTCCCGACAATCAAGATCGCCATTGCGTACATAGACCCTGTGACTGGCGAGGTGAGATTATGAGCTCTTTTTGGCGTGGAAATGACAATGCTAACTCTTTGCAGAAACTCGACTCGTATCCCGCATCATTGGATGTTCTCGACCGTGCTGAGGTCGTCTATCACGAGATGCCTGGCTGGAACCAGTCGACTACCAACGTGAAGACCTTTGAAGAGCTTCCCCAGGCGGCCCAAGACTACATCTTGGTAAGAAACTTCATATTTACCCGGAATTCTTGATCTCACTAACTTTGACTAGTACATTGAGGAATTCGTTGGAGTCAAGGTATGTTTTTTTTTCTCGAGACGACTTAACCCATCAAGATGTAGATTGACAATGTGTAGATCAAGTGGGTTGGCACCGGCCCAGACCGCGATGCTATGATCACCCGATTTTAAAAAGGCTATAATAGCCAATATTTGGTCAGTGTAAAAAAGCAGGACTGTATGCGAGGTGTCGTATAAAATATATAAGCAAAGCTAGAAGAGCATTCTAGAAGACTTATTCCAGATATGCCGGGTTTACAAGATAAATTCATAAAACCAGCTTTCTAATAAATAAAATGATTTGCAATTAGACTCGGACGGCCTATTTTTATGCAGGATTTGGCATTTGAGCTTGAGAATATGTAGTTTATGGCCTTATACATGCCTAGAATAATTGTGACTATTGTATTATGATTGCTCTAGCATAGAAATGGAACGGATCCTCGGCGCTTTACTGATCTACCACCCATAACCTAGTTCCCTGTTGCGTGGAACATGACAATACGTTATCAGCCAAACTCTCCCGAAGGTCTCAGAAGCTACGTGTGCCTCTGAAGGAAGATTCCCGGTTCGGATCAGCTCTAATACCAAAAGAAACGTTGCCGTAGCTGATGATCCCCGGGAATGTTCCACGACGATGCGCAGAGGTCAATATACAAACGAGGTACCTGGTGCTAGCTTAAGAGGTATCTAGGAGAGCGGCTCCATAGTCTGGATCTACGCCGGTACCATGCCATATCATACTTGTTCGTAAAGGAGAATTATAGACGTGAAAAGCGGTAATAATGACCAGCATCAACGACTGAGCCATCCATCCGATGCTGCATCAGTCTGTGGATTTGCAGCAGCTCTTTGCCATAGATCCATACTCTGTCTTCTACCTACTACTAATCGCAAAGCTTGGGCCAATCAGGCGCAACATCTCCATATTTTAAGCTGGACCAGAGCCGCCGCGCTAAAATTGTTTTGGCGTCGGAACGAGGCTAGAATGCGAAGAGGAAGAGGCGCGAGCACGACGAGAAGAAAGACATTCGACTCTGGAAAATGATTGAAAAGAGAAGAGATAACAGAGAGTCTTGACAATTACTATAGCTGAGCCAGTGACTATTGATACCTCATCTCTCCAAGCCGTAGACTAGATAATTCTGGGCCAGGCTTCTCAATTGCCACGGCCTAATTTAGGCCGAGGGCGCAGCACCAACCCCAGTTTTAGGGGACTACCGCCAAGACGGCTGACTATTGAAGGCCCGCTCACGGCTAGCCACCACCGCTCCCCACCTGATAGTTAGATCTCGTGCCTGAACTCTTCCCAACTCTTTTTCTTGGGCGCGACATCTTTTTTCGTGTTTCGGTCTTTTTTTTCTCTCCTTTTTGTCTTTTCTCAGCGTCAGTTCTGTCGTTGCACAGTCAACAACCACGGCTGTTTTCGCCGTCGTATCCAAGAAAAAATACCATGTGCTCTTCATAAACCGAATACACCATGTTGAGCCAGCTCCAGGGACCGATCCCCCGCCGATACGTCGCGCTCCTCTTCTTCGTCGTCTGCATCGCCCTCTTCCTATGGAGCGGCTTCGATATCATTCCTCGGCGAGTGACAGCGCCTAGATTCAAGTACCCGTATATGCCCTCGAGCTATGATTGGAGTAAAGCAAAAATCTACCATCCTCCGACGGACATGAAGAAGCTCCCCACAGGATCTCCCAAACCACTGCCCAAGATACAATCGAAGCAATCGGGTGGTCAAGATGCCATCAACAATGCCCGAAAGGAGGCCGTCAAAAAAGCCTTGGTGAAGAGCTGGGGCGCGTATAAGCAGTACGCCTGGACCAAGGACGAACTGATGCCGCTGTCGGCCAAGGGCAAGGAGTCGTTCAGCGGATGGTCGGCACAGCTGGTTGATGCCTTGGATACGCTTTGGATCATGGGCCTTAAGGACGACTTTAATTTGGCCGTGAAGGAGGTAGCGCTGATTGACTGGAGTAAAACCAAAAGTGGTGGTGTGGTAAATTTGTTCGAGGTGACGATTCGATATCTTGGCGGACTGCTTGCCGCATACGATCTCTCTCAGGAGCCCATCTTGCTGGCAAAGGCGGTTGAGCTCGGCAACACACTCTACGCCACATTTGATACCCCGAACCGTCTGCCATCGCACTGGCTTGATTACGAAAAGGCGAAGCAGGGTACCCAGACTGCTGATGATAAAATGTCTGGAGCTGCTGGTGGCACTCTCTGCATGGAGTTTACGAGACTCGCGCAGATAACGGGCGAAGACAAATTCTACGATGCCGTGGAACGTATAAACATGTTCTTCCGCCGATTCCAAAACGAGACTACCCTCCCTGGTATGTGGCCAATTTGGATGAACTACCGCGATGAGGAAATGCTCGAAAGCAGCTACTCCATTGCAGGTTCCGCAGACTCACAATACGAATACCTGGTCAAGATGCACCCTCTCCTAAGTGGGCTCAACCCTGAGTATCCCGAAATGGCAATCAAGGCTCTTGACACTATCAGAGACAATTTACTGTTTCGTCCAATGACGCCCAAGGAGGACAACATTTTGTTTGCTGGCAGTATTAAAATCAATGGCAACGACACTCAGTTTAGTGCAGATATGGACCATTTAACCTGTTTTGCCGGCGGTATGTACGCGTTGGCAGGCAAACTATTTACACGAGATGACTACCTCGACTTGGGTTCGCGGCTCACGGCGGGCTGTGTATGGGAATACGATGCCATGCCTTCGGGCATTATGCCTGAGTCTGCTACCTTTGTGGCCTGTGACAAATTAGACGGCCCATGTCCGTTTGATACAGAGCGGATGCCCCCTACCGATGATCCTAGGAGGCCCGGCGGATTTTTGAGCGTCAAGGGCAGACACTATCTTTTGCGACCTGAAGCCATTGAGAGCGTGTTTTACATGTGGCGCATCACGGGAGACCAGATTTGGCGAGATACCGCATGGAGGATGTGGGAGAATGTCGTCAGAGAGACGGAGACGGAGCTGGCGTTTGCTATTGTCAAAGATGTGACGGTCAGCTTGGGCGAGAAGGGCGATTCGATGGAGGTGAGTTTCCTTTCCTTTTCATGAATGAAAGAAGAGATAATCTAACAAGAGGCGATTTTACAGACGTTCTGGCTCAGTGAGACGATGAAGTACTTTTGGCTTACCTTTGAAGATCCCAGCGTTCTTAGCCTGGATGAATATGTTTTTAACACGGAGGCACACCCGTTTCGGCGACCAGCGTAGAAAGCAGTCGCCAATTTACATTGGGCATTCAAAATACTACGAGAAAATCTATCTTATTTTTCTTCCAAAAACACAAAGTATCTATATGTCAAATTTCCTGCATTTGAACAGTAATCGGCCAGTCAAGATCCCAGGACTTGTATTTTGAGCAGATTGATGTAGGTAAAGCAGCGATGCGATAATATGCGAGGGTATTTATACCGTTATAGGTACCTAATAGGACCGGGTGAGTGCTTTAACAACATTACTGGCGCCTGTAAAGAGCTACGCGTGCTTAACAAACCTTGGACGACGCATTCTTACTAAAGGGATTTCCATGGCGCCGGGGCGCCGTAACCGGCACGCGAGCTGTTTCCACCATCATCGGAGGCTAAGATTATCTATCTGTATAATTTATTTTTTGGCATGATATGTGTAATTGGAGATGCAAATCGGCCAGCGATGCGAGTCTGCGCCATTGAGAGGACGCTTGCCTTGGTGGTCCTCGTGGCAGGCCATGAGCAACCCAAATCCTTATCTCGGCCACGGCGCCAACCACCACGGCATCACCATTGGTCTCATACTCCGGTGATCTCAGTTGTGAAATTAGTAGACTAGAGTGGCGATTATGAACATTGAATTTCATGTGATATGAGAAAATAAGCTTGATCCCAACTTACTCTCGTCTCGTCCCCAAAGCGACTATCAACGCCCTCGTCAAGAAGTGGTAAAGCCGACTCCAAGAATACTGTCTACCGACTCCTCTACTCCGAGTGCGGCTGCCCATCTTGTAAGAGTCGAAGCATATACATTAGCCTTTGTCCAAGACCATACTCTTCAGGCATATCAAAAGTCACCTTGACCGCGTGCCTGCCACTGCAAAGCGCCTATCAAATCGTTCTTTTCCCGCAGTTGAAGCAAGGAGAGCTTTATTGATCGTAAAAAGACCCCAGGCCCTAATCGATTTGTCTCTTCGCTGCGGCAATAAACATGAACCTTCCTAGATTGCGCACCCATTTCTTTTATCCGTTTCACCGAGAGCTTGACGACTCTCCTCTCCTCAGATGATACAGTGTCCAAACTTGCTGCCAGTCGACTGGTCTTGGCTTCACTAGACATCCCTAGTAACATATAGAAGCGCTAGTCAATCGTCCTGGGACCAGGAAGATTGCTTCTTTTACGGCTAGAGTCTTACACAACTGCGGGAACGATATCCTCATGCCAAACTTTGCCGTCTGGATAAAAGGCCAATCTAGCCGTGACCGTGAAGACGCTCGTGGAGGCAGACGCAGAAGCAGACGTAGAGGTGTTCATGGAGGCGGAATATCGTAAGATCGACCTGTTGAGCAGCCTGGAACCTCTGTGCATCTGCCTCAATAACCATAGTAGCCGTAGCTATGATAAGAAGGAGCGCCATCCTGCGGCTGCTTGGCCACTGTCATCACGTCAAGATTATTATGCTATAAGCTTTATTGCAATCAGTACCTGGCTTTATAGCTTCTATTGCTCTCAGAAGCAAAGATAAAAATAAGGCAAAAAAAAAAAAAAAAAACATCAGTATATACCACGCCTACTACGCCATTAGCCTCTTATGGCACAGCATAGTAGAATTTCATCGGGAACATAGTCTCCTGGCTCCTTGACAGTTTTCTACTCGCATCCCTTGTCAGTGTGAATGCCTCAGTTGAACGTGGTAGAGCAGCTCATTGCTGGATTTCAAATTGGTAATGTTTCACGATTCTTGCTGAGTTCGCGATTTAAACATCTTGGAAACATCGAAATATGACAGTGGATTGTTATCGGCTTCTTTGGTAGTGATGGACCTTTTTCCAGAAGTGGGAATTTATCCTCAGACTAAATGTATTTCTGTTGGCGTAAATGATCATCAGGGCACTATGGACTTACCGCTAAACTTGAGTGACGTTGGGCTTGGGACCATCAACAAGTGGCTATTGCTGATACTGCTGATACTGCTGATACTGCTGATACTGCTGATACTGCTGATACTGCTGATACTGCTGATACTGCTGCTGTTGCGAATCTTGGAGATGGCGTGCTCTCAAACTTGTTTTAAGGTAAAAATACAGCTTGTGTCTATCCGCCTTGGGGACATTGCTGAGGTTGGGGTAAGCGTTGAGGACGTTATTGGTCTCTCTATAAGAGAAGAAAGAGTATATTCTGGTACTTGGCACATGGTGTGTTGTGGGTTGAAGGCAAGAATAAGCCGCGAAGCTTGAATTCGGGGCCTTGACCTCTGCGAGGCTTAAAGACATTATCCACTTCCCAGTCTCCAATATCATGCTTCTTCAGCCGTAGGAGATTTACCTGGCTCAAGCCTAAACGCGTGCGAGCTTTCATATCGCGCCGGTTGCCGTGAGAACCAAGGCTAAGCCAAGAGAAAACAGGGCTATCGGGCGTCTTTTTGACTTCGCCTTCTTGCTGGACTGGACTAATAAGCAGAGACTGATACTGCTCATCCGTAAGTTGAGTATACGAAGGTCTTTGGCACGAACCACATTACGGGAATACATGTCAAAGTATTGCTGCTGTCCTATTTCAATACTGTCAGTATGTAATCAGTAATAAATTGGTGATTAAGAAGAAGAGAACATAGCACGACCACGACCACCCACCGTTGCCCCCTGCCCCAGTAATGTTCGTCTCGAGGTCGGCCAGTCAGAGTAGCGATGAACAACTTGCCGCTGGTTTCCAGCGAAGATACACAGAGATGATAAATACCTAGGTGGCGAAGATGCATGCTTAAGTGTCGATATTGTTCTATCATGATGTGAGTCTTGATCAATCAGATGAACTGAGCATTGTCGCCCAGGGAGTAGATAAAATTGAAGTAGTGGTCCCAGAAACTGCAGTAGGATATATGGAAAGGTTTGTAAGAAGGGTTAATAAAGAAGAAAGGATTGTGGAACCGAGATATGCTTGCAGAAAAAAGAAGGAGGAAGGAAGGAAGTAGCAGTAGTGATAGGCCAAGTCCATAAATCTCTAGTGATTGAAAGATACAATCATATCACTTCACCCTGCAGGGAAAGTTAAAAGGATTGTACGACTAGGAGGATCATCAAATGCTCGACTATTCTATTATAATACTACCATGTGAGCGTAAAACTAAGTAGAAGAAAATATATTGTCGAACGTGGCCACGACAAATGGTCCCGAGCCATTGACCTGCTACCTCAGTAATGGTAGTCAGCTGTTGTAGCTGCATCGAGTTGGTACCGGCGGTGCTGAAGAATGGGTGTTACGGGACCTTTTTGCAGCTGTCGCAGCTTCTTTGGCATTAAGCGTAAGGAAATAAATGCATCCATGTTTCGTGCCGGCATTGTCGAGGGATGACATAACGAGGTAACTTTCCCCCCCGACGACACTCAGGGTTGGCGCATTCATTGACAGCCTTTGGTCCTCCATTGACCCCTCGGCAAAGTGGCCAGACACGGTTGAGGCTGACGCTGGAGAAATCGGGGAGTGGGATCCCGCTTCTAATGCGCTTCACTAAGTTATATGAAGATGAAGTACAATGTCTGGTCTCCATGTTGCGGCATTTTGCTCTGTATAAATGCCGAGATATACCATCATTAACCCTTCCACCATTGTAACAAGCCACCGATCAACGTCTTGAGTAACATAGCTGTCATCAGCGTAAATATTCTTCCATACGCCAATCATTCTAAAATTGGTGACGACGTTGGATTTTGATATCTCACGATAATGCATGCCTTCACGGCTTGACTCAGGCTGATTTGCTGCATTCTCATGCTCAATCCGATGCCACGATCCCGCCTTACGCATGGACGAACCAACGTAAAGACTGACTCTCGATGCTTCTTTCAGGTTTACCATGGGCTTTGCTGCTTTGTAAAACGTTGAACAGGCCTTAAACTTCTTAACGCGGCATATTTGCTCGTCACGTAGCTCTGTAGCAACATCCATATACACCAACCGATGCATACATTTGTCGGGAATAAGCGGTAAGTCAAAAAGGTCCGTCGCTTTCAAGTCTGCTTTTCCAAGCACCTTTCGCGTCTGAAGCGGAATCCCCTGCAAGATAATTTCCAACAAATTGTTAGGATTGACCGCAGCTCTTTTAAAAATGGCATAGAAGCTCACTACCATCTCTCTATCTTTCCTTGGCAGCTCAAACCAGTCGCCTCTGAGGTCTTCAGCCCACCTATAAATAATATAGATGATATGGGCAAGATAGGCCTCGAACTGTCTCACATCTTTGTCATTTTCATCAACAGCATAAGCCTTATCACACTCCTTTACCCATTGAGCTGCATCTACCTCTGCAGTCTGGGTACGAGGTCTCTTTTGAGACGCTTCTGACGAATCATTGTCATTTTCCATGACATTTTCTACTGGAACGACGTCATCACCTTCACCTTCATCATCCTCAAGTGCGATATACTCGTCATCAACAAGAGTATCAATTGGATCCATTTCTATTGGCTCACTGTCTGATTCATCTATATCTTCTTCGGCTGCCCAATCATTATCACAAGTGTCGCCTTGAACAGGGACAGCATCTTCATCGTCTAGCTCTTCAAGCTTCACCGAGCCCTCCTCCTCCTTCTCGAGAGAGGCAGCAGGAGGATTCCCAAGGCTTCGTTGGGTCCTAACAGTCTTCAAAAGCTCCAACGTCTTCAACTTTGCGATATCTTTATCCTCTTCATCCTCGCCAAGCACATCCGAGGCTGCTGCTGACACCTATTTTCGAGGCTTCTTTGTCGCCTGCATCAAATCATCTGAACCGTCAAGAGCTTCATAGCTCCTCTTTATTCTTCCAGATGCAGCAACAGCAGCCGAGCGCCTTGAACGCCGAGGCTCTGTGGGAGGAGGAGTGAAGCTATTCTCCAGCTTCACCTCTGCAGTCTTTGCAGGAGTTTCCAACGTCCTTGACATCACCATTTCAGGTGAAGGCTTCGGAGAGACGACAATCGCTCTTTTCGAGTGAGGCGTCTTCTTTCTTGACTCAGACTTCTAAGTCGAAGGTTCGAGAGAGTCGACGACTCCTCTCTCAAGCCGAAGCGTCTTCTCGCTCGACTCAGACTTCTGAGCCGATACTTCCAGAGAGACAGGACCTGACTCTTCCTTAGAGTCGACAGTCTCTTCTAGAGACCAAACTATCTTCTCGCGCGACTCTTTCGAAGAGTCGGCAGTCTCGTTCCCAGACCACGCTGTCCTCTGGTTCGACTCAGACTTCTGAGTCGATACTCCAAGAGAGACACGAATTGACTCATTTTCGGAACCACCAGTCTCTTGTCGAGACCCAATTGTTTTCTCACCCGACTCTTTATCAGAGCCTCTAGTCTCTTGCCGAGACCAAACCGTCTTCTCTCCTGACTCTTTATCAGAGTCGACATCCATCATTTCAGCTTCATATTGGGGACCATCAATGGTCGACCCATGTTCCTCCTGGGGACCATCTGTGGTCGACCCAAATTCTTCCTTTGTCAGGAAGTAGTTAGATATTCTCTCCCGTGGGGTGGCCACGGGAGGCTTCGTGACCCTCTTCTTCTTTCTCGCGGCCATTCGGCCGGCCAGAGGGGCTGCGGGCTCCGACGAGGTTCTGCCATCCTCGCCGGGGAAAAAGTTCGTAATGCGCTGCTGGGCAGGCATTGTGAAGGGAGAAGAGAGAGAAAAAAAAGGGGAAAAAGAAAAAAAAGAAAAAAAAAAGGGGGGGGGGGAGGAGAGGGCGCGCGAAGTTTTCGGTAAATAGTTGGGCGGTCTCTTGGGATCCGCCGAAAGTGGTTCTTCGAAATTTCGCTTGTCATAAGACTGAAGAGGATTCTAGGATCATCACGGCATGATTTCAATATCCAAATATCCAAATTGTGCGTGAATTCTGCCGACGGCGGTGTCCGTCATAATGGAAGGAGCGTCCATTTTCGGTATAACGCGGTATGATGCTACGGATCTACCTATGCCAGCTATCGCAGTGCGATAAGACATTGAAATGACTTCAATAAATTAAAATTTCTCGTCATTGAGCCTTTGCGGTATAGAAAAAGTTGTTTGTTTTCCAGATGCATGCATCGCTGGCCCCTGGATGTCCTCATCAGAGTGATGGACGTTGCCCGCCACCTATTTTGAGCGCATTGTAGTTATAGCCTAGATACTGTTAAAAAACTGCCCAGGTCTTGTCTATCAATACAAATGGATACCAATGTAGAAGCAAATATGTTGCTGTTAGACCCAATGCCAAGACTGATGCGGATAGATGGCCATGCGACGTTTGTGCGCTTGTATTTGGCGTAAATTTAATGTTGCTATGCTTATTTTACATATGGGGAGCATGGCTTGAAAGAAAACCTAGAAGACGTTTGCTTATACCTGTATTGACCAATAACTCACTGAAGCTCTCTGGTAATGAAGTATATGTTTTATCCAGCTTGGTCAGGCTAACTAAACCTTTTAATGAGTGAAACGTCTATTATGCACATCTTGCACATAATTACAAAAAGGGTTCAAAATGGCAAATTATAACCTGTAGCCAACGTAGTCTGCTGTGGAAATTCTGCAGGCTTATGTCGAAATGTGTCATTTGGTCGCGTTAGTACGTTCATAGAGGACATGATTAATTGGCTTATGATTGCATGAAGTGCTAAATTAGATGGCTGAGTATGAGTAAGGTGACAGAAAGTTTGTATATGATGCGCCTGCTTAAATCACCTAAATGATAGGAAGCTTGCTTTAATACCCTAGCTCTTACTCATGCTGGCAGGTCAATGCAAGGGATGGATCACCTCTTCATAGCCAGGCCCTGAGGTTTATCGCTTCAGATTGCCAGAACATATTCGGAAGCTGTCCGTAATTTTCTTATAGCAACTCGATGTTAGGCAATCTAGGCGGCGTTAATTGAAAGAGAATGGTCTAACGAAAGCGGCCCTGATTGGCGATCTAGACAAACGAATAACGCTCTAGAATGCCATTGACTTCCGAGGAATCTGTAGATACATGTGCGCTAAATATGAGAAAATCACACGAATTGTCGTGACCGAGTTCTCCAGCATGACAAGGATGCAAAGGCCTTGTAAATACAAGTAGAATGGTGAAAATGTTGGCGCGTTCAGCCGCCGGACAGGAAGCCCCTCTTCCAAGGGATGTTCGCTCTACGGTAGCTCTGCAGCGAACTATGGATTTACCGATCGAGAACTTGCTTCGAGATAATGAAACGCTAGCATAAAAAAAGTAAACCGAACCTTTCGTAGGTGCCATCATCTGTGGCTTTAAAGATATAATTGGCACTGCATGCGTTTGAACCGGTCCTTCGTAGATGGTGAAGTCGTGCCAACCCTAATGACTTAGATGGTGGCACATGATTCTGTCAAAGGACATGGCACGTCATGGCTCGAACTGTCTCGGGATACAGACGAATATAGAGGAAAGGGAATGGAATGTGGGTATAAGAGGGAGAAAATGAAGGATCACAAACCAGTGAGAAAGTTGGCTACGGCTAAGGGGATGGCGATGCTGGTCGCTTTTATGTCTTATCCGTCACTGAAGCATGGAATAAGTAGAAACCCAGGCCTGCTTTACAAGGCCACGTACTAGTGATGAATTTGACTACTGCGATGACGAAGTTGATGGAATTGGTCCTCTTATCCACCAGGGGACGAAGGACCGAGCTTGCAATGCCGAAATAATCTTTGATGAAGACGAGACTGATGGTCCAAAAGAATCAGAATGATGAAATAGTAGGCCGAAGCACGGAGCTATACGTAATTGAATCCCAGCTTGTTGAGAGCTTGGCGATCGGTAATTTTTACTGCCTTTAACGCCGTTAGCTGAGATCCTGTAGCTTGATGGTAATTAAAAAAGAAATTATACATGCTGTCTTGTATAGAAGTTCTTTTCAGTTCCAAACGCCCGGGGCTTGTCCGTTCCGCGCCACAGCCCGTCATCGGCAGCCAAACGTTCAATCGCTCCCACTTATTATAATATAAACCAAGAATCTTAACTACTGCTGCTGCTCATATTGCACCTATTACACACATTGCTACTACACAATCTAGAGCGCTAGCTATTCGTTCTTGATGTCTCACTAGATGCTAATACTTGGAATGTAGAGTTACATTTTTTCGTTATATTTCGTCTTCAGATCGCGCCATTTTCTCCCGCTTTTTGTGGTTCCAAACCGTATCCATGGAACTGTTTTTTCTTATTATGATATGGGGATGTACTTGTTTCAATATATGTCATTTCTTGACAGCGCCGACACAGCAGCAGCAGTAACAATAACAGCGAAATCTTTATTACTATTATTATGACTTAATGTAAGGCTAACATGGTGGAGGCCGTGGCCGATGCTATGGTATTTTATCTTTCACGCAATCATTATGTGTTACGAAATATGGAGTATACATACTGACATTATAGGATATAGACAGATGCATTTGGGAGCGCAGGCTTTCATCAAGATCGACAATCGACCACGGGAGGGGAGACTGGGTTCAATATATTATCATCCCCATTCTGCCTGCTATTTCAAGCAGCAGCAGCAGCAGCAGCAGTGCCTATAAGAAGGTACATGCAATAACCTTTTTCTATATACCGAAATAAGTTAATAGTATTTACAACCTGACATAATGCACTTGCGATTTTTTTTTTTTTTTAAACCTGAAAGCTTATAAAAGTTACATCGTTTTTTGAAATTTTACAGCAATAACATTACAAAACGCTTACATGTTCTGTTAAGCGAAAAAATCTTTCAGAAACCCTTTCAGTAACCCTGTCCAGAACCCCCCCTGGCGCGCGTAGGTAGGTAAAAATTATTGACGAAAGAGAACCGAATAACATCCATCTTGACGAGATAAATAATGGCCAAAAAGTTGAAGAATGGCGCTCCTTCTTATTGTTGCCAAGGCTGAGTAGAGATTCTAGTCTGCTCAGCAGGTAGGTTTTGTGTGCCGCCTCCACGAACACCTCTGCGCCCACCTCTGCGTCTGCGTCTACCTCCACGAATACCTTCACGGCCACGACTAGATTGACCATCTATCCAGGCTATGAGGCTTGGCGTGAGGATACCGTTCCCGTGGCTGTTGAGATACTCGAGAAAATGCTGGATAGAATGAACATCTGGACCGTAATCCAATTAACATCGTAGCCCTCGAAGCAAAGTTATGGCAGGCGTACTGTTGGCTGGCTCGCGCGAAGCGAACTCGAAAAAGGATCGTAAGAGAGAATCACCATCTTTACCGTAGTCGAATTAACCTCATAATCCACGAGAAGATTATAGCAGACGTACTATTACTCGTCCGAACAAACTCAAAGAATTGTCTCCAGAAAGGTTCCTACAAGTAGTTAATACGCCGACATATAGATGAAGAAGAATACAACTCACAGAAGCCATCTCTTCTGAGCGTGCTCCGACTGGCCGATTGATTTGAAAATTCGTCTGAAATCTCCAGACTCTATTGCACTTCTGTTTGATGCAGACGGATAGCTACAGCGATGTCGAAGATGAGTAGATCGATCTTCTAAGACACCCTAGGCGGTCTGTGGGGGCGCTGTATCCACTAGTCCCAATGCAGCAAGGCTTCAGGGGGTAGTGAAAATACTCCCCACCAGTATTTACCACAATCAGCGAGCATTGAAGACTTTGTGGGGTGGCTAGGTGTGACAAGACCTCCACTCTGAACGACATGATAAACACACGCATACATATTGTAGTGGCAATACGCGCAACATCAGTCGCCGAGCAGCAGACGGTAAACGACGAGAGCTGATGGTGTGGAGGCCAAATCAATAAATGTATAAGAGTACAGAATCTCAGAATTTTGTCATAAGTCTTATTAGCCTTTTTTGTCTTTTGTCTTTTGAGTAGATATATCTGGGAGAGTTTACTGCTACTACACGCACGCTGAAATCACGAACAATTTGAAAATGAAGCATGCATTAGTAGAAGATTATATGGCCTAATTTTTGCGCGCTTAAAAGAGATCAATCTGTGAGTGTTCGATAAATAATTGTGCGCTGTCGCTGCAAACAACTGGCAGGTGCAAAAGGCAGCGCGTGACCGGCGCGTGACCAGCAAGCCCTAGCTGCACAGAAAAGAATAGCGCTTTTTCTTTGTGATTTTGAGAGGGATACCACTTTGGAGGACAAGAAGAGAGACATGACTATTGCTTTTAACACGAGTGTTTATGGGGTCATGGGATAATCCAAGGCGTTAACAATGAGACTTCTATTTCTACTATGTCTAATTATGGTTCGGGATGTATAGTACATGCGCAGTCTGGGAAAAAGGAGCTGCCTAAATGCAATGGGGGCTCAATGCCTCACGGTTTAACAAATCATAATACTTTGCACTCCCACGTGTCGTGTCTTGTTTTTCCACTCGTGCCTCATCCAGTTTGTCAACAACACAATTGCAGTTATCAGAGTAGAGTTGCATTATAGCAAATCTTTGGGCATTAATTCCAGATGTGTCTCTGGTTACGCCCTTGGTTATTTTTGTGCTAGAAAATTATTGTTTCAAAAGGTACATCGGCGAGAGGCTGAAATGTATGGGGTGGAAATTAAGTTTGTCAATAAGATCTTCTCACGAGAGCAAGTCGACCTTGTCTTTCTATTGAGAGGCGATTATATCGACGAGAAAGCGGAGCTTGGGAAGAATTTCAGGATTGCAAGCTCCAAATAGCCCGGCAATGTGGCGAAGAAATTTCGCTCTATAATGAAAAGTTCGTCCACTCGACACAGGCAAGCTCTCCTCGAGTAAGGGTTTTGGTTAAGCTTGCAACAAAACCACTGATACAATCCGGAATGGGGTTACATCCTATTAGTGGATAAAGAGGATAATAAGCCCAGTCCGATTGTAGGGTACTGTTACATTTTGGCGTAGCGAGCGAATAATCCTACCCCCCCTCCCTAGGTCACACAGATACCGAGTATTATCTGTAGCTCTGCACTGATAGAGCATCACCATCAGGGGTAATTAAGTCGGCAGACGGTGCAACGTTGACCAAGACATCCCAACCTCGAAAATATCCCACCAGAGTTGAATCAGATCTAACGAAGCAATTGCATTGTACAACAAAGGCTGCACGGGCCTCATTCTGCTGTGGCCGTATACTCAGTAACCCCGCCTTGCCGGACTGATGAGAGGAACCAACCACTTCCCACAAGTCGATTCCCCCAGCTCTTCCTACCTGTCCGGCCAGCTGCACTGTCCCTCACTCTTCCAGTGACTGCATGAAGATCCTTCAGCTCCTCTCATTGCTCTAGAGCTGTGGCAGACCGACCAGCGCGAAATTTCAGAAACAACAGCCACCTTACGATCGAAACATTTGCCCTCTGCCTCAGTTTTCTTACCCTAGCAGCCGCATTTCATTATCTCAGGAAGAATCCATGGCGCCAAAATCATTCAACCTCCTTACCTCGACCGCTCACGACATTCAACAACTGTTCGACCGTTCTGAACTCAATGCGGAGTCGCTGGTAAAGCAAGTCTTGAATCAGGTCGTCAACAAGCACAATAGAAATGGACTTAATCTGGGTGCCTTGATCTCTGTCGCTCCAAGAGAGCAACTCCTAGAGCGAGCGCGGTTTCTCGACCAAGAACGCGCTGCCGGAAGGGCTCGAAGCCCGCTCCATGGTATTCCATTCATCGTGAAGGTACAAGATTCCCTACAGTATCATCTGCGTTTGTGCTAACTGATCCCTTAGGATGCAATCGCGACCGATCCTCAGTTAGGCATGGACACAACGGCTGGGAGCTGGGCTCTCGTCGGCTCTAGGCCGCCTAGGAACGCCCCTACAGTACAGAAGGTATGTGGAACTACTAACCGCTAGTATCGAAAGGGAGGTTGGCTAGTTTCACCTCATGCTCAATATAGCTTCTTGATGCTGGGGGCATCCTCATTGGCAAAGCTAGCTTGACAGTACGTGTATTGCATTTCTCCATACAATTATTTAACTGATGGTGATACTGCAGGAATTCAACAACTTCAAAGGTCAAAATCTCATTGATGGATGGTCTCCCGTCAATGGCTATACTCGCTCAGCGTATGTCAGGGGACCTCTCAAATTGGATGAGGGAGCAATGGGCCACTGGGTAAGCCTCTCCATCCTTCCGTGGGCGAGCAAGTTCATTGACTTCTTTCTCTGACACCTGCCGGATCATCCTCAGGATCTGTCGTCGGTGTCTCTGCTGGGTTCGGCATCGTGTCTCTCGGTGTCGAAACCGACGGATCTATTGTATCCCCAGCCTCCCGTGCCGCGCTCTATGCTATGAAGCCGACAATTGGGACCGTCTCCATGGATGGAGTAATTCCAGTGTCAAAGAGCCTAGACTCTGTCGGTGCTATGGCTAGGTCCCCGGCTGATCTCGCCGTGGTCATCGAGATGTTGCAAGCGACAGGACCGAATCACGACGAAAGACTGTCGCAGCTCATGACACAGAAATGGGACGGGCTAAGGATTGGATTTGTGGATGAGAAGGTTTGGAAGTTACCAGAAGGTCTTTGCAAAAATGACGACGAGGCGCTCTTTCAGATGGTAAATCCCCTCTTCCTCGATGTCACATTGCGCTAACATTGTTACAGAGAAAAGAATACCACTCAGTAATGAAGATTCTATCTGATGCCGGTGTCCACGTCGAGTACCCGGTTCTGCTTCCTCCCGGTGACAACGTTTGGCCTGGGATTGGAGACATCATCTGTAGGTTGCTTAGCAAGCCCCGAGATGCCTTGTTTGCCAACTCTAACGAACTTTGGAGCCTACGAGTTTCAGCGAGTCTTCAATCGCTATCTTGAAACTCTAGATTCATCTCAAGTCAGGAACCTAAAGGAACTTGTCGACTGGAATCTCCAGCACGCCGACAGAGAACTCCCCAAAGGTACGCGTATATGGATGAAGTTCACTATTGGTTTTTATCCTGACACATAAACAGAACATCCATCACAGTCAAGCCTCGAGAACGCGTTACCGTGCAATATCTCTGCCGCCGAAAATGCCGAAACTCTAGCCTTCCTTCGCAAGCTTGCCGGACCCGACGGAATCGATCAAGTCCTCAACCTGTTTAAGCTTGATGCCGTCGCTTCATTAGCTGACAGTCCTATATCGAGCGTTGCTTCCGCAGCCGGTAGGTTTCTCCAAGTCTGACTGTATCCAACCAAAGCTAAACATCCCTTGAGGCTATCCCATCGCCACAATGCCTCTGGGTGTTTTGGACCTAAATGGGCGGCCATTCGGTGTTATCATGACTGCTAGCAAGCATCAAGAGAAAAACTTGTTCCAGATCATGAGTGCTTGGGAGACTCTCGGAACTCGGCAGCCACCGCCTGCTTTAAAGGAGGAAATAAATCAGGCACAGCTGTAACTGCTTTAACTCGAATTTGGAGATGGGAAATAGACGGACCACCAACCCCGTAGATTAGGCAATCTTAGCACGAGGAAGTAGCACCTCGGCCATGTATACAAATTGACATGGTATGGCATTACCTTAAAACAGAGAAGCAGAAATGGCTTTCCCTGATGAGAATATTGGAGAGGAGAGAAGGGCGTAGGAAGGGAAGGTAGAAGAGAAAAGCAGCAATAAGAGTAGCAGTAGCGGCAGTAATAGCTTTGGTGTTGACAACGTATCCTCTGATTTAGAGCCTTGAATCCAACTACTGCAAAGGCATAAACGAAGCGCCTGAAAGTTTGTTCATTACTTTCAAGTTATCACTAAAAAAGCTTGTCGATGTTACCCATAGATCCCACTCTCCCAGAGCTCTATATCCCAAGGTTCCTCCTGACCATTTCCTCTGTTTGCTCGTTGTGATGGCGGTAATATGCAAGGAATTCTTCCACAGTATTGTACATATCGCTGTGCCAGTCTCCATCAAACATGCCATACCTCCACTTCCATTCTTTGTTATCATCGTCTTTCTCATTACGACAATAAATGGCGCAAGAGCCACATAACGCGAACGGGCCACGACCAGTTTGAATTGCCACTGCAATCTCCCAGTCTTCCCAAAGACCAAAAAACATATCAACTCGATGTCCTAGATCATCATCCCAAAGAGGTACAACATAGCCTAGATCGTCTAGACCATCGAAAGTAGGACTTATAAACTCAATCTGACTTGAGACAATGTAGTCTGGTAGTCCTGGACCAATGATGCCATCTACTAACGTGCAAAGATAAGCAAGATCTCTTGGGGGGAATTCAAATTCGCCGCCAAAATCTATATTCTCCTCTGCTATAATTGCCTTCATTCTGGCGAAATATTCTTCCCTCTTCGTTAGATTCGGACCGTCAACCACTCCATCTAGGTATTTGAGCAATTTAGGGCGTATATTATCGTTGAATAAATCCCGTGGCTCTTTGACGGTTTCGGCAAGATTGGTGCCATACTCGTCGACAAGTATACTTGATCGCAGCGATAAAGTACTCGGGGGCAGTGATGGAGCTTCCAGACCATCCACAATGACACGCAGCATGGCAAGGTTCTGCTGCGACACTGTTTCGCGGTATTGCTGCAGTGCGGCTGCAATCTTGGTGCGTCGCTCTTCATCCATCTTGTTTTACTTTCCAACTTGGAGTGGTGGGATTGCTGAATGATGTACATATATATTCGAAATGCGTCCCTCTATTCTGTCAAAACTACATTTAGGCACCAACATACACCCATCACGTGCGTGGAGACGAAAAGCTAATGAGCAAGTACGCCAATAAGAATGCATTTCACCAGGAGCATGCTGCTTCGTGAACTGCAGTACCAAATATCTCTCCCTTGCAGGCATGTGCCTACTCTGTATCAAACATGTCCCTATCACTTAATACTATTCAAGTTGACTTTTGTGACTGCTAAGCGCAGTTTTTTCACTTCAAACTGTGACTAGGTTATCCTAACGCATCGACTTTGATACGCTAGACCATGGAGCTTTCTTTGTTGGTATATTCTTTGTTGGTATATGTAAGTTTACACTGCAGCATGAATGTATCGCCAACTTAGTAGCTGTGGGACTTGGCAAACTCAACCGTCGAGTCTATTGAGAACTCCAGCATCAACTGTAGACACAGCACACAACAGCTGGTATTCACCTCTAATCTGCCTCTCATTGTTCTGAGTCAGAAAGCGCGGATAATGGATGCCGTAAGTAGCTGGCGTTGGACGTATAATGCCTTAGTAAAAGCTGTAGCTTGCGAAGTTCTCAAAAAGAAAGAACATGGAGCAATCAAAGTCCATCGCCCTATTCTATTTATCATATTGCGGCTTCTTTACTAAATAAAGCCTTACATTTTTAGGGGATGTAAATTTAGTAGAACATGGTTTGCTACATACTTAGTTTAAGACCCCATTGATGCGAGTGCTGAGAAACAATACGTCTCTAGAAGAAGCACCGTGGTATTGTTAGTAGGCGCTTCGTAAGTGCTATTCCAATGTCTTGCTAACACCATGATAAAAATTGATCTCGTCTCTAATTCGAATCTTATTAGCTAAATGACAAGGAGCCATATATAGAATGGCTGGAAAGCCCCAAGCAAGAACAGTTGACTTTTATTTGCCTATTGCATACCGTTTCTAATTTCTCTATACTAAACTAGGCAGTTATACACTTTCGCTCTAAGCCACTTCGTAGAGACCTCCGGAACCTCTGGGATGTTTCCAGGCTCTTGAATCTTTGATCTCTTGACTGTCTTGCAGCTCCGTTGGGTTGTCTACCGGTAGCTCTACTATGTTATTTTGAGGAGCTGCGCTCTGTTGACCCCTTCCAAAGATATTATGAAAGCTACCGTTGCTCCAGATTCCATACCTGCGTGCCAGGAAACCCAACACCGCTAGTATTGATACGCCGCCTATTATTGCCCCAACCGAAATACCTGCAATTGCCTTTTTAGAGAGTTTTTCGGTCGATTGTGGTGTGGCGGTTGACGATGCCGTCGTTGTCGTGGTCGTTGGACTTGTCGAGTGTGGCGGTGTCCCATCCACAGCAGCACCTGTGTTTGATGCAGCTGTTTTTGAAGTATCTGTGCCAGTTCCACTTGACTTAGAAGACGTTGTAGTTGCACTAGTCGTGGCCGGTCCAGTAGAGGAACTCGTAGGCCCGTTCGTGATGTTATAATAATGAGATTCGCCGAGAACGTCCGATGTGTCTTTATCAAGACACACGAAATAAAGCGGGACAGTTCCGTTTTTTGAAAAAAGCCATGCCGGCATACTCATGACGAGCCAACCTTTATTGGGTGAGGGGGGAAAGCTCCCCAAATCTATACAGCTAATTAATAACTCGAGACTGCGTTACGACGCTACTATGCTCTACCTAGATAATACCCAGCATCTGCTGGCGACGGGTCAATTATATCTCTCCAGACTTCAACTTGCAGCGTCTGAACCGATTTTGGGATATCTCCAGTCCATTGTACAGTAACGGTGGCATCATATTTGTAGGCTGGATTGTCTTGATAAACGTGCGAAGGGCCTGCGGGCGGCGGTTGAATGAAGGTGACCTGCGAGTGAGCTTTGCCCGTAAATAGGACGAAACAAAGCAAACATAAAAGAAGAGAAAATAAACGGCGCATAATGATCTAGATTCGAGAAATTGACCGACGACAAGTCGCATTCTAAAGAATGCTGTACAGTGTGCTAGAAAGGGGGGCGGCAAGGGATACATAGATATAGATATATATACCTATATACCTATATACATACCTATATGCCTATATATATATATTTAAGATTAACACTCGGCTCAAAGGATCCTTCAATACATGCATTTAATTCCTTCCTGCCTATTAGAGCCTAGACACGATCGATTCTAATGGTGAATTCACCAATTTTACTCCATACTGGCGGGATCAACATGAACGTCGAACCAACAACATAGTATGAATAATTTATATACACTGTAAAGTAAAGCTGCAAAGTCAATTTTGGAGGTCTTTTTACCTGTGTACTTATATATATGTAAAAGGGTGCTATGTTTGTATTTGGCTTGTTTATTTTCATGTACAAAGCATACGCCTACTTGTGTTGTGAGAAGTCAGTTGCGAAGTTCCATAAGAGCTAAATATAGCTCTGCGCTGTGTGCGTGCTATCATGATGCCGCGGATTTATGCATCCTTGTCTGTAAACATCCTAGCTTGTACATAACGTACTCCAGTAGCTACTTTGTAGAGATGAGGGAGAAGGAAAGACTGAACTCAGAAAAGAGAAGAGAGCATTCTGAAAGAAGAAAAAAAAAAAAGACGGGAAGAGATGTAGAATCTCCAGAGATATTTCATCAATATAAGTGGAATTCGGTAGCAGGTAGCGAAGGATTTGGTGTCCAAGTCTAAACAAAGGGCATTGTTAACAAGCTTAGTTTAGTACAGGAATAATTTATAGAAGACATGGGAGATTTTACCATTCATTTCGGAAATTAGAAGTATCTACAAGCCTTCTATACCACATATATGACTATTTCAGGTTTCCATATATGCCTGTGTAAGTAGTTCAATCATACGCGTTGTAGCCAAATAGCCTACCATCAAGCGCCCCACTTTAAAACACTCCCGCCAAAACTACGTCGATTACATCACCAGGCCCTTGTATCCTGAACGAACAAACAACTACCTCGTTCCGCGTGATGAGGATACGCAAGGCATGCCACCCCGTCTTCCGCACACTCTCGTCACTGCCCCTTGTCCCCTTGCGCAATCAATATTACGGTGTTGCGTGACGAGGGAATCTGCTGCTACCAGGACATACAGGCCGAGTATAGCTTGTGCTTCAGCGACGCTGCGCTGTTGCAATGGCAGCAGCACGAGGGGGTTTCATGCGACAAGACATCTTGCTCGAGGTGCTTTCGAAGGAAAGAATCATTATGAACGGTTAAAAGTCCCACTCGACGCTTCTTTGGGAGAGATAAAAAAGTCTAGAACCGTCTCTTCGTCAAATATGTAACTGATATCTAATATTTTCCAGAGCCTTTTATTCATTATCAAAGTCTCACCACCCCGACGCAAATCGCTCCGACCCCGACGCCGCTCACAACTTCTCCCTCATCTCCGAGTCCTACACCATCCTCTCCGACGCTTCTCGCCGCGCCGCCTACGACCGCGATGTCTTGCGCCTTCACCACCAACATCCGCACCACCCCCACCAAGCCTCATACCACAGCACGAATCCCGCCGGCGGCCGTCCACCCTCCGGCCTAAGCCGCCGCAGAGGGACCTTCCGCGGCCCCCCTCCAAGCTTCTACCGCAGCGGCGGATGGGGCGCGCACGCCGACAAACGCCGCCAGGCACACGAGGAGTCTACCGGCGGCGCTGGCTCTGGCTCAGCATCGTCTTCGTCTGAGACGGACCGCGCCAACCCCTGGAACACGAGCGCTTTCCACCAGACGCATCACTACGGCGGCATGGGCCCTGGGTCCGACCCTTTCCACCACCGAGACGAGCACGTGCCGCACTTTGACAGGGCCGGCCACACGAGGACGCATGAGAGACAGGATCACCGCCGGTGGCAGCGCCAGAAGAGGGCCGTTGGGGATGACGACATTGAGTTTGAGCCGCAGACGAGCCTGGCGGGGCACTTTTTGATCGTGGCGGGGATATTGGCGGCGACGTTTCTGGCGCCGGCGGTGTATTTGCAGTTTATGCGGCTGGGGAGGCAGAAGAAGGAGAGGGAGTAGTGAAACGAGTGATGCTCCGTCGTGTTTAATATATGGATCTTGTAGATTGGCGTTTGGGAGAGGGCTAGAGATGGCGATGGCCTCTTGTACAAATATAGAGCAGTGCATTATTAGATGGGCAATGCAGAGCAAAGTGACGTTGCTAGGATGATTTCCTATCATTGCAATTTCAAGCTGCCATAGTAGACAAGGCGCTCTATATAGTGCCTTTAATCAGTGCTGCTTCGACGCCTCCTTGTCAACCTACAAAGAGGTGCAATTCTACACGATTAGGCCGGCTGATGAGAAAGATTACTAGGTTCGTAATGAGAAAGCAAATTAGTTATAACTCAGCATCATTCTTAGCCAAACTATCATGATTAGAATTACATACACACAAGTAGAAAACGAGCGTATATACACAAGCATGCCGCATCATACTCCAAAATATACATCACAGAACATTTCAACCAACAGACAGCAACCTTTTGTTTCACTTGCGCAAAATGTTCTTTATTTTCTCCTCCTTCTATCTACACCCGAGACTAAGTCGTCGAAGGTCTCCTTTCGGTTTGTGGTTTTTGTAAAGGTTTGATGGAGATGTAGCTGCGGCAATCAAGCAAACTACTCGGCCACATAGTCACCCACGTCTCATATATATGTAGGCGTCAATGACTCATGGCAATGATTTCAGATTTGATATTTCTGAGCTTAACCCTCAAAGGTGAAGCTAGCACCGAGCTTGTGGGTAGCCTGGTCGAGCTTCTGGGTATCGAAAGAGCCACCAAGACCCAGGGTGACACCCTCACGGAGGAGGACGTTGTAGGCAAGAGCGGCAATACCACGGTCGTTGATCTTGACCTAGAGTTGAGAAAAGAGCTTGTTAGCAACAAAGAGCTTATCGAAATGGCATTTTCAGGGGAGACAAACCTTGGCGAAGGAGACGGGGTCAATGCGGTACTTGCTGGCAACCTCAAGGCCAACGGTGTTGCTGGTCTTGGAGTTCCAGGTGGCCTTGGCACCAGCCTCGACCTGGCTGTTGACCTTGTGGTAGTAAGAAGCGGCAAAGGTGCTCAGGTTGTCAGTGGCGGTGATGGCAGCGCTGTACTGAGGGGCGACGTAGCCGACAGCGGCGCTGTAGCCGGTCAGGGCAGCCTTGTTGACATCATAGCCAGCGCTGGCACCGGCAAGGAAACCCTCGTGGCCGACGACGGCATCGACGTTGGCGGTGGGGCCCTTGAGGAGGTCGAAGAAGGCACGGCCGTGGAAGCCGGGCTGCTTGAAGAGCAGGTTGAACTTGGCACCCTTGGCAGCGGTGGCGGGGAGGAAGTTGAAGAGACCCTCAAGCTTGAGGCCCTTGGCGAGGGTGTCGTTGACCTCAACCTTGGTGTCGAGGGCGTTGGCGGTGTTCCAGGTCTGGGTCAGAGTCAGGCCTGTAAACGCGAAGCGTTAGCAACAAGTTCGAAGCACTTTAGCTATGGGGAAGCATTGAATTGTTCGCAGCGAGTTCGAAAGCGCGCGCTAGGCGAGAGCTGGTGTTTCAGTCTGTGGTGGGATGTCGTACCAGTAGGCTTGTCGGTGTATTTTCCCTCAATCTATTCATAGTAACAGCTATATCAGTCTCATATTCTTATTCTGGAGGCATGTATGCAATGCACGTAGCATTGGCTCGTCATCGCCGCGGCAAGGCGTAGCGGAGGAGGGGAAGAAAGGAGATTGGTTTGGTGGAGCAAACTTACAGCAGCAGAGGTGGCCTTCTCGTGGCTGGACTTGCCAGTCACCTTGAAGGCAACGCCATTGGGAGCAGTGTCCTTGAACTCAAAGGTGGTGGCGGACAGGTGGTAGAAGTCCTTGTTGAGGAGCTATAGGAGGCAAGCAGAGTCAGCCGCGTCTGTCATCCGGCCCAGCGGCTAGAGGCTATCGTGTAGCTCTAGCCGAGGGGTTATGAAGCAAGGAGAAAAAATAGACGGGGTGGAAAGGCGCGCATACGTCGTTGGCCGGCTTGGCAATGTCGGAGAAGGCGGGGATAGACATTTTGGCGGTTTGTGAGAAGAGAGAAGAGGGAGAATAAAGATGGAGATTGAGTTGGAAGAAGAGAGTACAAGTGCGGTGTATCAACCAGAGGAAGAGGTTGTAGGAGATTCGCGCGAGGCGAGGGAAAATGTTTTGGGCTCGGCCACGGCTGCTGATTGGTCCACCAGTCGGTTGGGGAAGAGCAGCGCAGAGCGTCGGCTGATGTCGGGCCGGGCATATTGGGGGAGCAGGGCCTAAGCTCAATTGGTGTGTCCACGTGGGGGATGTGCTTTGACGGCAGAGGCTTTGATTTCATGCTGGAGATGCTAGACTAGGGGGCAATTGTTCTATCTGGTTTCAGGGTATTTCATGCAGTTCTGTGCAGTCTTTTACTGCTTACAGCGGTTATCGTAACTCTATCAAAAAGTGTCACAGACTCAGCGCGGGGTCGTGGTTGGTTCTGCTGTCTGAATAAAGAAGGCGGTAAAGGCGCTACGGACGGCCATCAATGCTACTAAGACAGTCATCGCATTGACAGGGAAATAACTCTCAAGTCTAAGTCTCTCTAGTCGCAGGCTATACATATGCGTTTCGTAACAAGTTCATGCGCAATGGGCACGAAAAAATAGAAGCAAAAGAACATCATTCAGGCGTTTCTGTTCGAGTTGGACACCAAATGGCGCCATTTTGTATAATTTCCCAATGCCGAACCATGTCCGGACCTCGGGCATAGTATCATCACACAAGAGTCACGAGAAATTTCCATTTTAGTGGCATTTGATACTTTTGTCTGTCTGTAGCTTAACTTTTATATATACTGCACTACGTTTTCGCCTTTGAGACGTTCTTCCAACCAGCACCAGAAATAACAGTCTAAGGAAATTTTGACAAATACAATAAAGGCCATCTTGCCAACTCCTTTTACTCAGTGTCTTCATACTTGGCAACGTGGGTAGAGATGGCTCTGTAAATGGTATTAGCAATCGCTTCTTGTCCGGGAAAGTAAAAGAAAAAATACGAACCTGCCACTGGGATCGGTCTGCTTAGACCAGGTGGGTGTCCATCGCTCCACGGTGGAAGCGCAGCGTGGAGGGAAGTGCTCGTCAAACATGAGACGGTACCAGTAACTGTGATAGCAATGTTAGCTTTGGTATCAAATGGCTGCAAGATCATATACGTACGCCTCCTTGGTATCTGGGATATCGGTACCCCACTCAGCTTTGGGGTTCTTCATCATCTCGTCGGTGACGTGGAGTTCAGCGTTGTCCTTGAGGGCATCAATCCATCCGTATCCGACACCATCGGAGAACTGCTCCTTCTGTCTCCACAGGATGGAGTCGGGGAGGTAAGGAGCAGTGCCAGGCTCATCAGAGGTGTCGAAAGCCTTTCGCAGAATGTACTTTTCCATTCTTTCCTTGGTGATCATCTTATCCTGGGGGTCGATGCTCATCGCAGTCTCGATAAACTATAAAACGAATTAGTTAATAAGCAGGAATTCTCAATGTGAAATTGGCGGGTGAGTTATCTCATACCTTCTTATCCAGGAAAGGGACACGAGCCTCAAGACCCCAGGCAGAAGTGGACTTGTTGGCTCGCAGACAATCCGCAAGGTGCAAGTTCTTGATACGGCGGACAGTCTCCTCGTGGAACGCCTTCTTGTCGGGAGCAGCGTGGAAGTAAAGGTAACCGCCGAAAATCTCGTCACTACCCTCACCACTCAGAACCATCTTGATACCCATAGCCTTGATCTTACGAGAGAGCAGGAACATGGGTGTTGAGGCTCGGATGGTTGTAACATCGTAGGTCTCCAGGTGGTAGATGACATCTGAAAGTGCGTTGAGGCCATCCTCAATGGTAAATGTCATGACGTGGTGCTTTGTACCAAGGAATTTGGCAACCTTGAGAGCGGCCTCGTTGTCCGGAGACCCGGGCAGACCAATGGAGAAGGAGTTGAGTTGAGGGAGGTAGGTAACGGTAGACAGGTTATCGTCGTCGTCAACACCGACAAGGCCCTCTCCGTGGTCAACATCAGCCTCTGCAGGAGTAGCAGTGCCGTTAGACTCTTCAGCCTTCTTTCTGAGTCTCAGCATCTCTCGCTGCGCAATGGAAGCGACCAAGCTGGAATCGAGGCCTCCAGAAAGAAGCACACCATAAGGGACCTCAGCCATCAGACGCTTTCTGACAGCCTTCTCCAGAGAAGTTCGGAGAGCCTTGTAATCGACGGGAGTAGAGGGCACGTTGGTAGGATCCCACCAAGTAGGTTTGAAGTAGCGGGTAGTCTCGCCAGTTTTTGAGTCGTAGACGTGTCCAGGAGGGAAAGCGATAATCTTGTCGCAGACCGGGGACAAGCACTTGAGCTCTGAAGCAAAGTAAACAGCACCAGGTTCCTTCCATGACCATCCTTGGTACAATGTTGTAACGCCGATCGGATCGCGTGCGGCAATGGTGCGGTCTTGCTTCTTGTCGTATAGAACGAATGAGAACATGCCATCGAGGCTGTTGGGAGCGTCGATATCCTGCTCCAGATACTATTGCGGGAGAGACAGCGTCAGCTTATACCCCTCTCACAAGTGCCGTAATGAGCTCAACTCCAAATACTCACCAAGGGAATGATAACCTCGCAATCCGATGCCGTCTTGAAGTGGTATGGCTCTTTTAGGTGCTTTCGGATCTGTCGGTGGTTGTAGATCTCGCCGTTGACGGCAAGGATGATGGTGTCATCGGCGTTGGTCAAGGGTTGAGCACCAGACTCTGGAAGCGTGTGAGCAAGTGTGTAGTCGTAGACAAATGCTTTGTCCAGTTGGGAGCGAAAACTTACCAACACCGACGATACTAAGACGCTCATGGCAGAGGACTGCGCAAAATGTCAACCAATGCTCCAATGCATACACTCTTCAACCAATTGACTTACTTGTGTTGTGAGAAATGACGCTGCCGCCTATGTCATCCACAGTCAGCTATACCCTTCTTATGGCCATTATACAGCCTCAAACGAAGCGATTGATTCAAACGCACTCCAATCGGGACCTCGGTGTCGAATTCTAACGCGCCTTTGTCAATTGAGGTAGCTACTAGCGAGAATCGGATGTACTTACGCCTTAGCCAGCTTCAGGGCCGTCGGCTTGAACTTTTGCACGTCCGGGTGACTATTTGAGCGCATCGTGGTCAGCTACAATCGCATTCTCATCACAATATTTCATTCGTCGGCTCTAACCAATGGCAGGCAAAGATCCCACACATCTCTTCTGATTTCAGAGGTTTCTTCTAAAAAAATGAAAGACAATTGTGAGAGGTATTGGAAGAGAGAGAAGAAAATTGGATCGGGAATCAAGTAGAATTTAGACTATCTGGACCATGACTCTTTTTGCCCGTCTAAAAAAAAATAAGCTAACTACCTACGGCCGACTTCGGTCTCGCTCAGAGTCACACACATCCATTATAATTGGCGCAAGCCACGCCTGGTTGCCAATTACCTAAAGCGAAACTGATAAGAGAAATCGACTTGGGCCACCTTGTGGTGTTTTGTCGCCAGTGGCCCTCTGGGCGAATGCTGTTCTAGTAGGTCGCTAGACGCTCTTTTAGCCGACCTACCTAGAAGAGGTGTCGGCTGACAGCTTATCCCGGCTACATGATTCACCCTGCCGCAGCTTGGGCATTTGGGGTGTTTCGGTAACGTGGCATATAGATATTGATTACACGGATGTATCTATGGTGCAGTCTCAATTGTTATCACCATTGGTAGTTTTACACATTCCCAAGATTACATAGCAGTGCTTTGTCTCTCTGGAGTGTCCCAGCTCAGATAGGAGCATTCCACGTGGCGGACAAGGATATGACAATATGTACCGATATATCAGGCAAATGGCATTTAAACGTCTGATCCTTTCACTAAACGTGCTCTAAGCGTATCGCTTCTCCATAGTTTTGATCCAGACATGGTCAAGTCGCTCCAAACACTATCAACTACCTGAGATACTTTTGCGTTCGGATGCAAACCTACGCCCTTTCACAGACCAAGTGCTTGTAGAGTCACTCTTTCATTTAGAATCATGTCGCCGATGCTATTCCGTACTTTCATATATCGTCATCTATCAGATTAGCTTTTGAAAAGCCAGTCAAACATCACTATCTTCGGTAACATTTGCTAAAAGAAAAATCGAAAAATCACATGTCCTGGTATTGCCCCCAATCAACGCCATGGCCAATCTTCTCAATATGAATATCCCCCAATGTCTAGAAGCCTTTTTCTCCTCTCCCTACAAATCCATTACGGCGCCGGATTCTCACGGACCACGCGGCGAATGCGCTTCTCGTACTCAACCTTGTCTCTCTTGAATAGGTTGTATGCGTCGGCTTGCGCGGGCGATTCGGGGTTAGGGTCGTTGAGGAGGTCTTGGATGCCAAGCAGAATCTGCTTGACCGTGATGGCAGGCTTCCACGCCTCCTCCTCGTTGAGAATCGACAGGCAGACGGTGCCGGAGGGGTAAACGTTGGGGTGGAACAGTGGGGGAACGAATTTGCCTGTTGACCAAATCAGAAATCGATTGCAACCCAGGGCATTTTGCATCTTCACTTTCACTTACACTTTGGGGGCTTTGTTGGGTACTCTGAAGAGAAGCACGAGGTCAGTGTTGGCCTAATCAGTCCTACCGTGCACGCGAGCACTCACCATCGGGAAATGCAATGTTGAGCTTGAAAAGCCCTCCCTCCCAGATTGTCTTCTCCTTGCCAGGAATGCCGCACTCCCAGTTCTTCAGATCGAGCACTCCCTCCTTCGTCCGAGAAGGCTTGGCGAAGAAGCCGAATGGATGGTCACGTCGCCATTGTTTCCTAGTGATCAGCATCGGTCAGCGCCACGAGGTCATCCGGGACACCGCGAGAGCAGCGAATCACATACCGCTCCTCCTGTAATCTGTTCTGGCAAAGGGCCATCGTGAAATAATACCAAAAAAAGGCGAGCCGACAAAGAGTCGCGAGACTAGAGAGATCGTAGTAGCGCTGCCTTGTAAAGGCCGATATGGTCTGCAGTGCAAAGGAGGGACTGCAGGTTTCAGGCGAAGAAGGATGTTGTGCAAGCAAACAAAATCAGATTCTCGTGTTTGCAATCTAGAGATGGAGACAGCAGAATAGCGACGCGCGCGTTGTAGTATAGTATTGGGAAGAAGGAAGAAGAAAGGTGGATGAAAAATACAAGCCCGTAAAGCGTAAGGCTGCGGATAGCGCCGCGATCTACCTAGTGCGCTGCGAAGATTCCAGGGATCTCTTCAGTTAGGCACCTGCCGGTCCCTTGCAGCCAAGGAGCAGCGGAGCAGGTCGGCTGAATAACGGCTCACAGGCCTATATGGCAGTTAAGCGTCCAGCGGATAGACGCCCTGAAGCAAGCCGCTAGCAGCCCCAAGAACCGCAAAGAAGCTCCAGCGTGGGGCAGCCCGGTATATCCAGTTCCCTCGGCTCAGCTCGTGACGCTGCATGTCACTTCCCAAGATGCAACGAGGCGCGCAGATCTGCTTGCAAGCTCTTCCAACGACTACACCGTCGTTGTCCTAGACACTGCCGCCACACGATCCAGACTCATTTTTTAATACAATTGCAGGATAACCTGGCGTTTTGCCCGTCTGCAGACACCTGCATATTTCCCCAGTCGCTTGTCCCGCGCTACCCCCTCCATTAGCGCCGCAGCTTAATAGACCACCAAGTCGAAATACGGATTTCTTGCGCATCTGGCTTATTGTGATTGACGGCAACCGATCGTGAACGCGAAGCACCATGAGCTCTCCACCTGGAGCGGCAGATAAGGCGAGGCCGGAGGAGTCCGGGGCCAAAGAAGGGGAGGCCAAGCCAACCACAACAGCAGCAGCAGCAGCAGCGACGGTCCCCCCCGCAGCGACTGTGTCGGACGATTTCGACGATGTTCCCGATCCAGATGAAGAGGACTTGGATGATCTTGACGGTACAACCGCTGATGGATTGGCTATAGCTACTTATACTGACCCGAAGACTGCTTAGAACTGCTTGACGGATTCAAGGCCGTCCGACAGGAGATGATCGATGACGATACGTTGAAAGAAGGAATCAACCCTCCCGATTTGGACTACGAGAACATGTCAGAAGAAGAAGTTACCAAGAGGATGCAAGCGGGCATAGCTGGTCTGCTGGCCAACTTGGAGCAGTCTGTATGTTTGTCCTTTTACCTCTGCTAGACATATGTTGATACTAATGTTGGCCGTCTGACTTAGCCGGAGCTACAAGCTGAATTCGAAGAAATGTTCAAGCAAATGGGCGCGGAGATGAGCGCCCAATTCGATGCTGAAGAACAAGAAGAGGCGCAATCTGATAACAAAAACAAGGAGAAAAGTACACCTGCCGCCGCCGCGACTGCTACTGCTGCGACTGCTCCCGCTGCTGCTCCCGCTGCTGCTCCCAACGCAGCTTCGACGACCGCTTCATCGAGCGCCCCTCAACCGGCGGCAGGTGGAAAGTCTGGTGCGGCGTTCCAAGATACCATCCGTCGTACCATGGAGCGCATGCAATCATCTGGTGACCAAGCCACCGCAGCGGCTGCAGCGGGCGGTGATGACGACTTCTTGACTGAAATGCTCAAGCAGCTTACTGCAGGCGACTTTGCTGGTGGCAGCGAAGAGGACTTTTCCAAAATGCTCATGGGCATGATGGAGCAGTTGACGAACAAGGAGATCCTATATGAGCCAATGAAGGAACTACATGACAAGTTTCCCGCGTGGCTCGCCAAAAACAAGGATTCGACTCCTGCTGAGGACCTCAAGAGATACGCAGAGCAACAGACGATTGTGGCAGAGATTGTGGCCAAGTTCAACGAGCCTAGCTATTCAGACTCTAACGCGGCCGATAGAGAATACATTGTGGACAGGATGCAAAAGGTAAACTCCAACCTTCTCTTGGCCTTTGTTTTTGCTATACATGACGACTAACAAATCCAGATGCAAGCAGCGGGATCGCCACCATCCGACTTGGTGGGAGACATGGCATCTGCCCAAGAAGCGTTCAATGCTACGGAAGATCAGTGCAACCCACAATAAACATTCAAGATCTAGTCACGGCGCATTCATATATACACGCACACTTATATATATACCCGTAGTGCGCGACCTATATGCAAACGTTTTTCATCCTATACCAGTATATTAATCCAACGCCGATGTGAAGAGACTCATCCGAGAGTCCCGAGGTCCCAAACTCCATATTCGCCAAGTGACAGACATTTCTACCATATGATTCCAATATTACCAATCATAACGCTGGTCTAATCGATTTCCATCTGATGTAAAGGTTGTGAGGATTGATGCTGCGATTGTTGTTGCTCTTGCTCTTGTGAAATGAGTTCGGCAAAAATGTCATCATACTCGTCATCCTCCTCGGCCAGTGTTGAAAGCCGGGACCCCTGCTGGGCCATTACTTCCTCTTCGTAAGACGTAAGTAATTGCTCTTCATCCATGAGTTCTTCTGGGATCATGTCTTCGTCCATCTGTGATTGTGCCATTTCAGGCGAAAAGGTTGCGGCATCCTCGATATCGGCATCCGAGAATGAAGGCGCATCATGAGACAAGCGGCCGACGTTAGCTAGCCAGCTCGTTTTCAGAAACTATAAAGGCCGATATTAGCCATCCATCCGCACTTGCACAAGGAAACTCTCTCCCTCGACCTACTTGACCCTCTATGTCTCTTCTTTGCCAGGATCTTTCCTCGGCCTTTTGACGGACATTCTGCAGGAAGCTCTTGCGCCTCTGCTCCTGGAGCTCCTCTCTTCTTTTCATGACGGGATTCGGACGCGCAGGTCGTGATTGGTACTTGAAATTGTTAGGCCTGATCGGTGACGACTGGACCTGGCGAGGCTGCCATCGCGTTTCCTCATCGGCCGGAGAGCGAGGTGATGAGGCGCGCACTGGTGAGGACGATAGTGGAGATGAGACGGCGGGACGGTTATCCCAAGAAGGGACCGGCTTTGGAGTAAACGACAGCATCCTGTTTGGTGCGACTTCGTCTGTGGGATTTTGCATAAATAAAGAAGAGAATCAAGAACTGTTTATAAAGCAATGGTTGCAATGTATCAGAATTGAATTGCTATGTGGTCTGCGAGGAATGGTTGATTGAAGAGACGAATGAATGGTCCATCCACTGTCTCGAAGCAGCATCGATCAAGATCACTCAACACGAAACGATGCGACGCGGTCCTGCTGCAGGCGCGCAATCACGTGCTTCCGCTAATGATGCGCCTCCCACATCTGCGGCGCCGGATGATCAGCAGAGCTGGCAGGGCCGATGGTGGCGGGCAAATCAGCGGCCAGCAGCAAAAATCTGATGATGTCGTCGTCGCAACGGGATTTATCCACCGCAAAATCCAAGGGTCTCCCAACAAAACTCGGCCTCCTTTTCCCCTTCCTCTCACCTCCTCGGCTTTCGATATTTTGCGCCATGAGAGTCGCCAGCAACGCCTGAAATTATTCCTTTTTTTCTTTTCCCTTTTTTCTTCTTCTCCTTAGAATTTACACAAAGCGAAAGGCGGGCGCTCTACATTATCACATGCACTAATTTTTTTTTTTTTACACGATCCATCTGTCTCCCTTTTGCCACGATATATAATGCCGATTTGCGAAAACTGAGAGAATCCTATGTCGAAACGTCGTTGACTGCGCCCCCTCGGCACCCCAAATGAACTTTTTTTCTAAATCTACCTTTGCGACGGCCCGCATCGGTAACCGAACATGGACCTGTTCTGCTTGTCGTGGCCAATTGGCGCGCACTAGGCCGACCCGACAGATTATCGCGCGACGTTTTGTCTCGGGGCGAAAATCCTCGTCAGAGGGCAATGGCGGTGCGAAATCAGGGCCTAACGCCAGGCTGATTCTTTTTGCGTCGACTGGAGCAGCGGCTGGTACGGCAGCGCTTGCGTTCACCGACGAGATCAAGAACAGCTATGAGGCTGCAGAGAGAACAGGCAGAGTGGTTGCTGCGCTGGCCGTCTGCATTAACGAGTGAGTGCGCAATGGGAAGAGGAGATGCCACGTTGCCAACGAATGGTAGATTAACTGTGATTGCGTAATAATAGCTACCGAACCACCTTGAACACAAAGGCCACGATTAATGACGAAGAAGAGCAAGATCAATTATTGAAGGCTTGCCACAAGCGATGCGCTGAACGAACCCTCAAAGTGTTGGAGAAAAATGGCGGCATATTTATCAAACTAGGACAGCACCTGGTAAGCGCCACAACTCTAACTCTATCGAGTGACACCTCAATGGACAAGATATGGCTAACATGACGGCGACAGAGTGCTATGAATTACCTCTTGCCTCCTGAGTGGACGTCGACCTTTATACCGCTGCAGGACAAATGCCCTGTCTCATCATTCGAATCCGTGCAGGATATGTTCCGAAGGGATACGAACGAAGAGTTGTGGCAGTACTTTTCTGAATTTTCAGAGGAGCCAATTGGCGCCGCCTCGCTTGCGCAAGTACACCTGGCCACCATCAAGGATACTGGACGCAAGGTGGCCGTCAAGGTTCAACACCCCGAGCTGGAGGCATGGGCGCCTCTCGATCTTGCGCTTACTAGATACACCTTCTCCACGCTCAAGCGGTTCTTCCCCGAGTACGACTTGGAATGGCTATCGTCAGAAATGGATTACTCGCTGCCCAAGGAGCTTGACTTCAGGGAGGAGGCCGAGAACGCACGTCGCATGAAGGCGCATTTTGCTAAAATCCCCGAGCTGCCTCTCATTGTCCCCGAAGTCATGTGGGCGAAGAAGCGGATCCTCGTCATGGCCTGTGAATCAGGCCGGCGACCGGACGATCTTGATTACCTGGACAAGAACGGCATTGACCGCGACGAAGTGTCGGCAACTTTGGCGCGAATTTTCAATGAGATGATATTCGGCGATGGTGCTCCGCTACACTGCGATCCTCACGGCGGTAACCTTGCCATCCGCAAGAACACTACTCGACGTGGTCTTGGACGAGGTCCCAACTTTGACATCATCCTCTACGACCACGGCTTATATCGCGATATTCCTCTGCCCCTGAGACGCTCTTACGCCAAGATGTGGCTCGCTGTCATTGATGGCGACATGGACCGGATGAAGAAGTACGCTCACGAGGTGGCTGGCATCAGTGAGGAGGATTTCCCCCTCTTTGCGTCCGCCATCACGGGTCGCGACTTCAGTGTTGTCAGCAAAGAGGGATCGATCCTCAAGACACGCACCACAGATGAGGAGCAAAACATGAGCGGCGCCCTGCAAGAAGGCCTCATCGTCGACCTGGTACAGATGCTCGGCCGTGTTCCTCGCATTATCCTCCTCATCTTAAAGACCAACGACCTGACACGCAGTCTTGATGAAAACCTTCACACCAGCCAAGGACCTATACGCACTTTTATGATTCTAGCGCGGTATTGCACCCGAACTGTCTTCCACGAGCAGATTGAGGACATTATCCGCAGTGGATCGTTACTCTGGCCTCAGAATGTGATGCGGGCTTTGACGGCCTGGATCGGCTTCGTGAGGGTAGAGCTCAAGCTGGAAGCATTTGAGCTGTGGTTGGGAATCAAGAGGATGCTGGGATTCCGGGCTGTGGAGTTTGGCGGCGGGCCGCTGAGACAGGAGGAGATTTAGAGTTTCTTTTCCAAGAGGGCGGCTTCTTTGCGAGAAGAGTATAGATTTTAATAGACTGTATACTACCTAAACACACACACACACAAAAAAAAAAGGAGGATGGTTGAAATTGCAGTGATGATGGAAATGCTTTCGTGTTGGCACGATTACTATGAGATACGTTAATGCCGTGCTAGTGATAGTTTCAAAAAGTTTTAATAATTCAGAGACATTAATAGATAATACATGCGACCTGCCTCTTACGTGAAGGATCATGAAGAGCAATCTACAACACGAAATCTTACGGTGTTTCCTGTCCAAATTCATAAGACCCTTGTGTAGCTCAAGAAATCTTGATAAAAGTCTCCCACAGTGCCTGTTTGCAAAATACGCTATCATTAGTCTCTCAACAATACGAGAGAAAAGGGGGGGATGGAATCTTTCGCACCCAATCAACGGCATCCGGGCTGTTGATAAAGGCTTCGATGCCTTCAACAGCTGAATTGAAGGTATGAGTGAATGCTTGCGTCGGATCTGACTGTGAATTTAATTGGGACGATCCAGAAGAAATGGGATCGCCGGTTGTTGCTATTTGCACATATAAGTTTACTGTAAGCCTGTAAACAAACAAACGTTTTACTTTTACCTGTATCGACCTGGGGATTACCCTGGAGATTTCCGGTGTTTTCCGCGTTTTCCATGTACATTACATGCCTATCTTTCTGCGGCCGGGAACCCCTCGAAATCATATCCAGCATTACCGAAACTATGTGAAACGCTTGTTGGGCTTCAGGGGCAGTCGCTTTGAATTCATCCCAGAAGTGACGGGAGTTTCTCAATGACTCAACCAAGTTTCGTTCTGAATATTTCGGAAAGCTGTCCGCATCACTGGGGCCAGCCGCAGGTGCCTCTCCGCGGGCTCGAAAACTAAGCTCAAGGCAGATGATCATCGACGCCAACAGGAAGTCATGCTGCTCAAGTGAAGAAACAAACCATTTATCTCGGTATAGAAGGCCGCCCACTTGCACCTCTCGCAGAATGTTGGCCTGATGAGATAGGATTGCCATGGCGGCGTCAATGCAAGACGACCTTGAGAAACTAAACGTGCTGTCTCTGTAAGACTTTGTCATGTGATGGCGGTGTAAGATACATCGCGCCTTTTGGAAGAGGAACTCTATATTGTACCGGCGCATTAGTAAATAAACTGATGTCGTGACGGAATTCTCTAAATTAGTCATTCGGAAGCGAGGCGAAATAGACGCATGTTCATTGCGAAGGCGCTGGTCGAGCGCCATGATCTCGGTGTAAGCTTCAAGTCGTCCCAGCGAGACCTGATTGAATATGGCCCGGAAGACTGTAAGTAATCGCGACTTTGTGATTGTGTAGAGCACAGGCGTGAGCTCCGTCTCAGGCCGTGCCGACGGGAGTTGTACAGAGTCAGGTCCAAAATCGTCATCGAGAAGATTGCGGGGCAGTTGCGTGTCACACTGCAGTTCTTGTATCATTGGCGGCAGTCCAAGCTGGCAAGAAGTCAGAGTATCGAGTTGCAGAATCATTGCCCAGACGCGCCGCCGCATCTCGCCGTGGAAGACGGAAACCTGCGAATAACCCGCCGAGTCTCGATGGTATCCCATTCGCATGGCCAGCCGGACGACTACTCCACCCAAGATCCAGATGCCTAAATGAGCCTCTCGATGTCGTAAAAATTCGTTTTGGATATTCAGAAGTAGTGCCTCCATTGTGTGTGTCCCGGGGGATGAAGAGTACTTTGAAAGGATCAAGCACTCTGTTGAACGCCGTTGGAAGATATCCATCAATGCCTTGGGATTGTCAAATGTCCCTGGGAGAGGGTCTCGAGACCGCAGATACAAGAATGTTCCCATTGACAAAATGCCAAACAATAAACCTAGCCATTGCGCTTTCGGCTTTTTTTCGTCTAGCCAGAAGCCTTTGTACTGGCACCAAATATCAGATCTGCTGTCATTGTGGTATTTCCTAGACTCACCTCTTGCTCAAAAGTGGGGGCGTGAAGCAGCACTACGAATATGTAAGTCTTGTGTGGGATCAACACAATATGATATGTATATACCAACTGATGGGTCCAAGGAGTTGAAGTATCGCGATACCAGTCTATCGGCAAGATCTCTGGGCGGGATATCAGACAAGATATCTTCCAAGCTCGCCGTAGGCCATAATCCTCCAAGAAGCATTGGACCATTTCCATAGCCAGCCTCCGACTCTTCAAAATCATCCGTTGAAGAGTCTTGGTCGAGTTGTCGGCTAATATCAGTTATCTAGCAATTGACAATCCAGAGCAGTCAGTCAGCCCACGGTACTCAAAGCGGGCCAATCCCTCTCACCTCATTGTAAATTGCCGCCCAATGCACTCCGCATACATAGGTTGTCTGGCTGTCGCTCGAGATGATCCGGCCAGGCTTGATACCACTTTGTTCGTCACGAAGTAAGTCCGGTGTGTTTTCTTGCTGTGGTTGGCCATGCAAAACGCCATTGGTCAAGTCTGGTACTCTCCCGCAATGCTGGCAAATATGGTCGGAACTGGCGTCCCTCTGCGGCATGGGCGTATCAGCAGCACTAATGAGCTGCTCCAGGTGGCGAATACGAGCATTGAGACGCTGGTAGCCATCATTTGTTTGTGCAGAACCGCGGATCCGCGGGTGGACCACGTAGACACAGTCAACGTTCCTTGCGATGCAGTTGCCACACGGCTCGATCCGATCGCATTTCAATCTAGCCACCAATGGATGAGCTCAGGATCGGGATGAGGCCGGTAACGCTTACTTTCGTTGTCGGCATGAAGTGCAGGACAACACGGCTCGGACTGGTTGCATTTCTGTTTATTTTCCGAATTCACTTCTGTTGTAGTGGCAGGATATCATCGATTACATCCAGCAGCGGTCCAGATCCAGAACGGACGGTCCACGACCTCCAAGCAGATGATGGACTGCTCCGTGGGTGACGACCGGTTACGGTGGACCGGGATTGCTCCGCGGCTTCGGCCGCGGACGCTGTGGGTCTGGCAGGGATTACATTAGCTTGAAGAAAACTGGGCCACAAAGACAACGTCTCGGGTACCAAAACACAGAGGAAGAAATAAAAGGTAAAAGGAAACAGGGATATTCGAAAGAGAAATGAACTTGCTGAATAATTAGTTATGGGTGTAAAAGACAAACATGGAGGGAATCACGAGTCATTTCTAAATACAACCTTTCACTTGTACTTGTGAGTCGCAAGCAAATCTATGTCCACTCTAGAAGCTTCATTCAAAGATGCCGGCTCAAGTACATTATGCCAAACAAAAAAATCCGCAGCTAGGGACGCTTTAGTATTGTTTCATAGGGGTATGCAGTGTTAGTCGGTGGGAAAACAGGCGAGCGGGAGCCAACTTGACTAACTTCAAGGCAAAGCTGTAATTACGTGGTCAGATAAGAACATGCCCGCGACAAAGTGGTAGCGAGGTTGAATAAGGCTATACGCATTCAGTAAGATTTAACTGGTTGGTTTAATCAGTGAGACGGATTTCAAATTTACCAACCGAGTACTGGTATTAAACATAGGACGTACGGGGTTAAATCCCTGCTCGGAATTCATACAGTCAACGTAATCCGGAAGCTAGGATTACAAGGGCTAAAGCTGCCTAAGGTTTAGAGCTTAATTTATGCTTGGGAGTGGTCTCCATTCAGCTTTTACAATATTAGTTTGGTGCACGCCTCGCAGCCGCAGATTGGCAGCCCAATTATAGAAGCTGCAGATATGTTTTGTATCGAATAAGTCGGAGAAATGGAGTGGTTTTCGTCCCTATTCGCGCAAATGGCAGTACCAGGTCTTAGAGCACTGCTTTTTATCAGCACACCCTTACTGGCCAGTTTGTTTAGGGCAAAATATCCAAGCGTGTTTTAACCCTGCTATCCCGGTCCAGAGTTTGAGTTTTTTTTTAGTTTTTTTTTTTATTTCTATTTTTCTCGACAAGCATTAAGATCGTATTATGCTGTCTAGTTACAAGGTGCTATTTTGGGAATGAGTAGGCTTTGTTATTATGATTACGCAATGCCCTTGGCCGCGACAGCGGGTGATGCTATAGCATCCATGGAAATCTCCGTGGAGATCGGCTTGGCGTATGACGGCTTTCAGGAAACAAGGACACCGCATAAACTCAAGAAAGTACAAAAGCGAGGACGCCGAACAAATCGACGGCATTATCCATCCTTCACATTCATTCCACAGATCCAAGTTTTCTTTTCACTTGTAACCACAACGACAACGACATCATGGTGTGCGGCTCAGAAGAGGAATTCCAAATCGGAAACATTCCGGACTTGACCGGATATGTATCCATCGTCACAGGTGGTAAGAACAACTCGGCTTTTCCGACATCTTAGTTCTATAAGTAACGAAATGCTCTTGTTAGGAAACGCCGGTATTGGCTACCAGACAACCCTACAATTAGCCAAACGAGGAGCACGAGTGTACATTGCAAGCCGTTCCAAAGATCGTGTCGATCAAGCGATTGCCGCTATGAGAAAGGATGAGAAAGGGCTGGATATCAGCTTTCTCAAGTTGGACTTGCAGGATCTTCAAAGCATCAAATGCACCGTCGAAGAGTTTTTGAGCAAGGAAACCAGACTGGATATTCTCATCAATAACGCTGGTGTCAGTCATCGCCATTAATGTTTAAAAAAAAAAAAAAATACATATCAAAACATCTGCTAATACGAGTTTCTCGCAGATCATGGCATGCCCTTTTGAACTTACCAAAGACGGCCTGGAAGTGCAATGGCAAACGTGTTTCCTTGGTCATCATGCTCTCACAATGGGTTTGCTTCCAGCACTGAGCGCAGCTGCTCTCTATCATAACAATAAGACCCGCGCTAGGATAGTGAATGTTTCGAGTGATGCAGGGCTTCTATGGGGGCCGAAGAGCATTAATTACGACGATCCTAACCTAACCGACTTAACGGGCCGAACAGCACCATGGTGAGTTTAATTCAACGAGCAAACCGTCATATATGCAGAACCATCATATCGGTCTGATTCTCTGCACTTTGGATAGCCTGGTCTAACACTGCCATTACTAGGAGGAGATATGGACATTGCAAACAAGCCAGCATCATAATTGCAAAAGCAATCACTGATCGCTATCGGACTAAAGGGATCACTGCTTATTCCTTACACCCGGGGATCGTGCAGTCGAACCTGCAAAGTCATGACAACACCATCCTCGGCACTCTCAGCCGCGCCGCCATGAAGATTAGCCCGACATCTTCAGCGGTTGATGGGGCTCGTACCTCTTTGTACTGTGCGACTAGCCCCAGAGCAATTGATTCCGCGGGTTTATACATGGTTCCGTTTGGTAAGGTCGACAATCGAGCGAATAAGTGGCTTAATGACCCAAAAGCTGTCGACAAGCTTTGGGAATACGCCAATAACCAACTTAAGAATCACGGCTTTCCGACGGAGCAGTAATGAAGGAGTGATACTTTGTGTAGGGAAATGCTCTTAATCTAGTCGCAAATTTAGGCCCTTTGTAATAGAATACATATTTAAAAAGAACTTTGGTACCAACAATCGTCACAGAACATAACAGTATAGCTCTTATGAGTTCGGAAGGAAGGAACTTTGGACAATTTGACACTGTATCAGAGCTGGGTATTATCTTTGGTGAGATCGTGCATTTGACATTATAAAGGCATTGTTGTTCTGTGCTTACTGAGAGAGCAGTTGAGAGGAATGCAATTAGACTAAACGAACACTCTGCTCTTTGTATATAATTACCCTAGAGATGATAAAACTCCATCTGAGGCCCTAATAGTTAGTATTTTTCTCGTGCTCCGGATACATTAAGGTCAAGATAAGTGCCGTAGTATCAATATCTTTCTTTGCCTGAAAAGTCTAAGCTTTAATTATCTATGCATTCATTCTATTGCTTGCTCGTCCGCGGAAAGCTTTCGTGTTGGCCCGATTCCTGACATGTTAATGCCGCGCTAGTGATAGTTCAAAAAGTTTTAATAATTCTGACACATTAATAGATCAGATTACTCCACAACACAAGGAATAGGCAAGCAAAAAAAGAAATGGTGATTCCGCCCGGGCTCGAACCGGGGACCTTTTCGGTGGCGTTAAACGATGTTAACGAAATGTCATAACCAACTAGACCACGGAACCAGGCTATTTGTTGACGAAAATGGATGGTATTTCCATTCAAATTGATTTCCATTCCAGCAGCATTTTCCTACGCTTGGATATACCAAAAGCCCAACAGTAAAAGAATGACAGGAAAGATAGGGTTAAACTTTGAAATAGTGCCCTCTATTGATTTATAATCACCTCTCCGAATTAGTGAGTTACTGCTTTTGTTTCATTTTAACTGTGTCCGGCTCCCGAAACCGAGGGGCTCCACTTCCGGGACCGTTCCATATCATGCCTCCGTTCATCTCAGATTCAATCGTTCGTAATACAGATATAAGACAGATAGAAAGAAGAACCATTTATTCATAACCACCAAATATATATCCGATTAAAGCCCAAAGCCCGCCAAATCAAAACCATCTAAAGATAAACAAGCTGAAGGTAAACAAGGTGGTCATACACATACATTGCAACTCATTGGTGGGTATATCCATCTCAAAATCTCCTCGACTCCAGCTCACGCTCAGCCCCTATCAGTATATCAGTGTTACCTTGCCATCTCGCCCGCTCAAACACCGAGAGTCCATGGTGATCTTTTGCTTCAGGGTCGGCACCGCGCCGTAGCAGCGGCAGAATCGAATCCACCGCATCGTTCATCACGGCATGATGCAGCGCCGTCATGCCAGAGTTGTCTCGGTCGTTGACATCAAGGCCACTCTGGATCAAGAGTTCTATACAGAGACTTTGGCCACTAGCCGCCGCTTCCATGAGCAGAGTTCGTCCGAGGTTGTCTCTAACATCGAGATTGGCTCCTCTTGAGACGAGCAGGTCAAATATCCGGAGCCTTCCTTGCTGCCTGAGGGTGTAAGACAGCACCGTCTTGCCGTCTTCGTCTGTAGCTTGTATATTGGCCCCGTGGTTAAGGAGAGCTTCAACCGCGGCTGCGGCGGAGGAACTGTTTGATATAGCTGCGAGGAACAAGGGAGTTATCTTTCCTGGTGTGATGAACTCGGGAGATGCGCCAGCTCTCAAAAGCAGTCTGACTATTCGCGAATGCCCACGGCCTGACGCAAGTGACAGCGGCGATGATACGCCATTATTCGAGTTCACATTGGCACCTTTATCGATGAGCATCTTGACGATTTGCTCGTGATTGGTGTAAGCTGCCAAGTGAAGAGGCGTCCGCCCTTCCTTATCTAACGCCTCCAAGTTGGCTCCTCGGTCTAACAGGAGCTGGGTGGTATCTCGATGGCCTTGGGGCGCCGCCCAAGAAAGCATAGTACGCCCATCTCTAGACGCATATTCCAGATTTGCTCCGTTGTCGAGCAACGCTTTCACAACGGAGGTCATTCCATTCATGGCCGCATTCAGCGCGGGAGTGTAGCACCCAGAGTCCTGGATTTCCACCGACGCACCCTGCTTCAGAAAATACTGCACCAGCTCGAGATGCCCCTTGCTAGCAGCCCAAGATAGTGGTGTCCGGCCTGTTCCATCAGCGAGGTTAACGTCGACGCCCCGCTCGGTAAACAGCTTGACAGCATCTAGTCTACCCAGCTCTGCGGCATAAGACTGGGCAATCCGCGAACCACGGTTGGCCTGATACATATCAAGCCCGAGATCGAGCAGCTTCTCCAAGATGTTCGCGCTCCCGCCAGCGATGGCGTAGAATAAAGCAGATGATCCAGCGGCACACTTGACAAAGGGGTCGGCTCCACGCTGCAAGAGCAATGCAAAAGTAGTCTCACTCCCTTTCTGTGCGGCGAGCAGGAGAGGAGTCTTGCCCTGACATGCCACGGCATTCGGGCTTGCCCCATGGTCGAGGAGCAACTTCGTTATCTCGTCGAACCCGTGGAGAGCGGCGGTTCCCAGGATCATTGGGTCGCGAATGATGGCGCCATGGTCGAGCAGGAGCTTGACAATTGCCAGATGCCCATGCTCTACAGCGAATCTGAGGGCACAGTTCTCGCCGATTTCGACTGCGTTGGGATAAGCCCCGTATTGCAGTGCTTTCTTTACTGTTTGGACGCTGTCATTCCTCGTGGCCCATTGAAGGACATAGCCGGAAAGACGTTTGGCACTGCCATGGTAGAGAACCGGATCTAGGATGGCGTATAGGTACTGGTTCACCCTGGCCAGGGCGTTGACGTCCCTCCGCAAGTGTAAGAATCTGGCGATATTGAGAATCAGTTCTGGTGGTACGGCGCCCAGGCCCATCTCGGCTGCTGTATTATCACTGTGAGCGAAGGCTGGGTTGTTCTATCGATGCCGTTGATGGCGAGGTGGTGGTGCTAACATGAACATGAAGCGTATGAACAAAAACGCTGACGATGCTGATGATGACAACGATGCCACAGCCATCAAAGTCTAATATAGCGCCAGTGATGGATGGAGCAAAGATGCAAGACAAACGTTCAACCCGGCTTCGACTGCTCTGGTGACTACGGAGTAATTTTATCGCTTTTAAGAATGAAAGCAGGGAGACGGTATTAGTGTGCACTTATAAAGCCACCAACAGGGAAAGGGGAGGGAGAGGAGGATGGGCCGGCAACTAGTGCCGGTTTGTGAATAGAAGATGGTTCTCCTTTAAATCTTCCTGTTCTTTTAAGCTTTCTTCTTTCCAGTCCAAAACCTTATTCAGATTCGGCTTCTGCTACACTTTTTCGTTTTGCCTCTTTCTTCTTCTCTCATCTTCATCCGCCTCCATGAGGGAATGTACGCTCCCACGGACCAGCACATCGCTCAAGTATACCTAAACATGCAAGGCAGATGGATGCGCATTAAGCAAGCTGCAATGACACAACACCATGCTGTCTCCATCCATACAGACCTACCGGCACTTCCACTGCTGAGATGCGAATCCCGTCTGCATTAGCGTCCTTGACCAAGCCGTTGGCCCGAATTCGCATACGGCACATAAGGAGGCTAGTGCTTGCAAGTCTGAGACTGGTGGGTTCACAGCATCATGCCAGGTTTACGACGTATAATCATCTATCGATGCATTGGCTCTATCAAATAAGCCCGTATAACGCTCTGAGATGATCTGTTTGAATCTCTATTTCTGCGTCCTCACCCGCTCCTTTTCCCTCCACTTAAAGCCCCCCCCCCTGTCAACATATGATGCCGCAGACCACTTAACACGATTTCGCCCTGCTTCATGCAAGTAGTAAAACCCGTCCAGTCCCGTCGTGACAGCTGTTAATCCCAGTCCCTAGCATAGCATCGGCCAATCCTTGCGAGCAACGAAGCGTGTTGAGCTAGTGTATTACGGGCAATGCCGCTATGCCAAAATCGCCTTTGGGCGCGAATAAAGACTTGATTTGTGTAAATCTTTTAAATCCTCCCTTGCCCCGTGGCTATACTAGACCCTTGGCAGAGCGGTGCTTTGCTGGGGATTTGGAATTTTGGCTCTGCGGGCGCTGCCAGTTTCAATGTTTTGTAAACTGTCTCTTGGGGCGTGATAACGAACCTGGATCTGCACAGTGGCGGTCAACGAAGCCTCGGATGATTGCACCAGCAATAACAGCTGAGCTTACGGAATGGTCAATAATGCGTTAATACAGGCGTCTTGGATAGGCAAACGAAACTCGTAGTGTGCGATTCATGCGCTGCGGAGTAGTTGGGATTAAGCATACATTCATCTATTTGAAGTAATTTGGCGCATACTTCTTCAGGGAGTATGCCCGTCTTTTAAACCAACGCTGTGCTTGTTCCTGCTGCTCCATACACAGCTATCACTTGGCTGGCAAAACTAGGAATACGCTATTCGGCAACTTCTTTTCTATAAGCATCTTAACCATTGGTGTAATGTTAAATCATGGCCTGTTCAATGCCCTTGCTTTGTAAGGCATCCCTACCTAACCCCATTCCCAAAATGCAAAATTCAAGCCCCCGCAAACCAGGTCATATCGTGCTTGTAGAAATATACCTAAAAAAGGCTCCCCCTGAACGCCATACTATAAAACCAAAGCACTTCATGATCAAATCGAAACGTGCAAATATAATCTCCTACTCAAAGGATCCCTTACCCAACAATCCTCCCACAAGTCCCGCTCTGCTCTCAGCCCCGCGAACCTTCTTCTCCTCTCTCCTGCGTTCGCTCTCTTGCATCCTCGCCAGTTTTTCATTATCTCTCGCGAAGCCATTGATTCCGCTCTTCTTGCCTGCCCCTTTCTTGATCTTGGCCTCTTCGCCAAATCCACTGCCGGATCCACCGCCTGTCGCCGCCGTCGTCGAAGAGGAAGATGTAGTAGTAGTAGCCGTTGATAGTAATGACGAATTGGTGGTCGCGCGGCGTAGAAGTGACGCAGGGACTTTGAAGGATGAAGATGAACCCCCCGCAGTAGTAAAAGCGACGCGACTCGATGATGAAGACAAGCCAGATGAAGCATTGCGCTTGAGGCTGATACGATCAACCACGACGTTGCGTGAGCGGCGGGAGGCAGGGGAATGATTCTCCTTGTTCCCTCGAGATGCAGGTCGAGCATCCTCATCTTCGCTATCCGAACCAATTTCCGTAGCCGGAATAATTGAGCTGTGTCGTCCGTCTTCCAATAGATCAGACAGTGTCTCCCGAACCTCGCCAATGTTTGATGGTTTCTTGCCATCTTTGGTTCTCCTCATATGAGCGGGAGCCCTGTTATCGCCAGCACTGCCAAGAGGTTTACGTGGCTGACTATCGGGAATGACTTGCGGCTGCTGCTCTTGTTCAGGCTGTTCGCTTTGAGACTGTGACTCCTCGCCTTGCGAAGCTGGCGCATCGACGATTTCCAAAAAGTCCATTTCGTCGTCACTGCCCCGATCCTCCATGGTGCGCAAGAAAGCTTGGTTGCCCGGATTTTCAGCCATCTTCTTGACGCGCTCATCGGCAAACAACGCCTTTTGCATCTTTGCAAACTGGCGATGCTTCATTCTCCGGCGAGCTTCTCCGCCGTCATCAGAGTCAGAGAGGTCATAGTCAGCTCCGCGCTTGCGACGAAGCATTCCTGATGTGATGTCTTTGTACAGCTTTTCGACTTCTTTTTCGTCATTGATCCGTTCTCGGTCACTGGAGAATGTTTAGTTAGCTTGTCCCTTATATGTAGTCTAATGGTTACCGGGAACTTACGCGTAAAACGCAGCCAGCTTGCGAGCATCTGCATCATTGCCAGCGGCATCATCAATGATGTCCTGCACAGTAGCATCAAATTCATCATCGCTGTCTTCGCCATCCACTCCACCAAGGCCGGCATATTCGTCCTCGGATTCTTCGGCCTGTTCTTCCACCATTTCCTTCGCCTTGCTCTTCTTCTTGTTGAATTCTTCTATAAGTTTCTTGTTCCTCTGATCGGCAGCAGCTTTTTGAAGTACGTTGAAAGCAGACTTAGAAGAACCCAGTTCTTCGTCTTCTTTATCACCAGTCATGGAAATAGCTGTCTCCTCATTGATGGACGACATTTCCATTTTTCGTCGAAGCCTTCCCCTGCGCACAAGTGGGGAGCTTTGAATTGCATCACCGTGCTGGTCTGCGGGTATCGTCTCCACGGTGGAAGTCGGAGGCTCGACAAATCTCGACTTTAAAGGCGTATATCTCTGAAGCCCTCCATCCTGCGAAGGCTCAATCATATCGGAGACTTGGGAGTTCAGGTCATCTCGTAGTAGGCTGTCCAACCCATGCATCTGTGTCTGCGCAAGGTTGAGCTGAACGGCCTGGGTAACCCCCTGGGTTTCATCTTGCTGAGAGTCCAGAACCATATCTTCAGTGTTATCGTCCATAGCAGCCGAAAAGTTGGAGTCGGGGAATTGATCGAAATCCGGCATCATTGACTGTGTCGGTTCATCGAGTTGGCTCTTCTGATTCTCGTCCATTGTTCCGGCAAAGATCTGTGTAAGGCTAAGGCCAGCAGGTCCTTGCACAGGAAGGCCAGGAATGAATGACTTCTTGGCAGATCGCAAGACGGATGTAGGTGCAGCCGGAGAATCGAGTGTCGGGGTAGCGTGGGCCCTCTTGGATTTTGGCGTGGCTTCCACGGCGGGCTCGCCTTCATCGTCAGACAAAATGGCAGTCTTATTCCGTGTGCGCGTCCTTTTGAAGGCAGTCACTCTTTCGACATCTTCGTCTTCATCACCATCAACCTCCTTATTATCAAGCTTAGGGAGGACATTCGAAGTTTCAGATGCTGCATCCTCTTCTTCATCCGCCTCGTCCGCCTCAGCATCAAACATGGATAGTCCTGCCGCCTCGCCTTCTGCCTCTGATTCTTCGTCGTCTTCTTCTCTTTCTTCTTCCTCCTCCTCCTCAGACCCTGAGAGCTCCACAGCAGACCCCTCTGCATCTGCGTCACCGTCTTCGTACTCTTCATCCTCGCTATCGTCCCACGCCAAAGGATCGGCTTCACCTTTCTCTTTTCCCTCCTTCTTCTCGGCCGCTGCCTCTTCTTCTTTAATTCGTTGAGCTTCTTCTCTAGCTTTGCCCAGGATATCTTCAACTTCCTGCATCTGTCTTTCTCGTTCTTCTGCAGTCTGGATGACGATACCTTGGGCTTTCAACATCTCAAGCCTTCGGTCCCGCTCTAGTCTTGCTTGTTCTCTTGCCTTTTGCAACAGAGTGGCTTGAAATTCGCCTGGAGTCATTCCCTCCCGCTCATTTTTGCGCTTCTTTTCTTTTCCAGGAGATGTTACGTGAGCCAAAGCCCGCAGGGTTAGGATTGAATGCGATTCTTGCGCTTTTCTAAAGGGAACATTGTTGAAAACAGCATTCATTCTGTCTTTAGATGTAGTTGTAATCTCCAATTCGTCTTCTGAGTCGGCCGCAGTAGTTCTGGCAGGAATCGGTAGTCGCACCCTCACTCGGCGTTTCGTTTGTGTAGGCTTGCTCGGTTCGTCAACTTCAGTAGCTGGCCCTTTGCCCTTGTCCAAGCGTGTAGGGCTTGTTTGTTGCACATCTTCCATATCATGGTTTACTGCCAATTCATCTAGTCTTGCCGTGGCATCCTCGACACCTTGGGCAGATTCCTGCTTCTCTCCAACTGGTGGCGAGCTAGGCGGCGTATCTCTGTTCGCATCCCCATCGGTTGGCGGTGTTACCGGTCTGCTTGAGCTGTTTGCTTGAGGCTCCAGCGGCGATGCCTCGCCTTCTATTCTGAAATTGAAACGCTCAAATAGGCTTGCTTTAGAGAGCTTCTTTCGTGTCTTCGCTTCGTGGGCCAGCTGCATGTTTCTTGCCATTCGTTGAGTCTCTCGGTTCAGCTCTTCCATAGCCTTTTTGCTTGCTTTTCTGGTCGGGCGGGCTTCTTGCGTCAATCTTCGTCCCGCTTCGTCGTCCGTTATCCCTTCCGCATCATCTCCAGAATCCAGCTCTCCGAGTTCAGACGCTAGTTTTTCCTGCTGTGCCCAGCGCTCTGCTTTGCGCGCTTCTTCCTCTGCCTCTCGCGCAAGGCGCTCTTGCCGCTTTCGTTCCACCAGAGCCTTGAAGCGATCTGATTTGACCGCGGGCAGATCCTCTTCAGACTCTGGTTGATTCTGAGGCGCCTTTGCCGGCGACGGACGCACTGGTGAAGAAACAAAAAGGCCTGGGCTGGGTGATCGATGTGAGAGCTCTGGAGCATTGTCCTGTGCGACACGGCGCTTCAGCCGCCGGGGGGCCACCGGCAGCTCATCTTCGTCTTCTTCTCCCCCGGCGCCATCAGCATCTGCCATCTCAGTGTCAGTAGCCTCTTTAGATTGCGCCTCTTCTTTCTCCAACATTCGTCTAACACGATCCCTCGATGATTCTGCAGTATTGGACGTTGCCGGTTCATTAATACTATCCGGAGGGCCTTGCATCCGAGCAGCTAGCTTTCCTCGTGGTCGCATCTGGACGGGCATATCAGAATCAGAATCCGATCCATCGTTGCCTTCTTGAGGAATTATGTTGCTTCTTGGAGATTTCGCTTTCAGATTCGTATTTTTGGCTTTGAAGCTGCCGCTATTGTCGTCGTCATCGCTGCTATCTACCGTCGCGAGTAATGCCTTGATTTTCGACCGCGGTGTAAGTAATTCTGGAGTTGCATTGCGGGATGCTGGCGTTGGAGACCGTGGCGAAGCCATTGCTAATACCAATGACCAGCCTTACTCACAGCCGTATACGGCGATTAACGTGAATTCTTAATAATACTGAAAAGTATAGAGTTTGGCGTTGAAAAGTCAAGACATGGCATTCGGGTTTAGCAGGCATAAAGTGCAGGGCAGAGACACGTTAAATTGCGTGGGGAACATTTACGCGCTTTGGACGCGACACATGTCAACGCGCAGTGCTCGCCCACTAAATGGGGCACAAGAGACCTGGAAGCTCCCCGCATTCAAACCCACCTCTGAAGCGTGTGTTTACAGCACAACGCCTTATACGCGCCCATATGCACAGCGAATAAATATTAGCATCTGCCGATGGACATTGGTGACACCTAGCAGATTCAATAAGATGATAAGAGCCCTATATGAAAATCAGATGCTCTTACTTGTAGCATTACGTTGATTTCACACTGCCAATGTATAAGCTCACAAAGCACATTTCCTGAAAGATCAACTGGTGGCAAAATCTATGTTATTGAATTGTCAACCAAGGCGTAGCCTAGGCCGTCGATTCTACCTGTTTTATAGCTATCTAGTGTATCCGGTAAAGACTGTCCAATGTTCCAATGTCCTCGCGCAATCTTCTGGGCTCAAAGAGCATCTCGTATGTCTGCAAGTCGGGGCCGACTTAGAAGAGCTTGTGCTCCAAAGTCATTTCAGACTCAGGCTCTAGACCAACGCAAGCGCGGAAGATGTTGGTCAATGCCGCACGTTGCTTAGCCAGAGCGTTCACAACGGGAGTGCCCGGAGGAGTCAAAGGAGCCTTGAGCATGTAGCTGAGGACGCTGAGGACGCTGTGGAACTGCTTGAACTCAGCAGTCTCGTGACCGTCATTAGAAGCAGCCTTCCACTGGATACGGGTCATCATCTCAGCAACCACCACGAGGTCAATAATCAGGGGCGAGGCCAGGAGAGAGTCCTCGCAGATGTTGAACAGTCTGTCAGCAGTTAGTATAATTGCATTTTGGTGAATGAGGCCACACTACAGGGCGTGTCTGAAAAGGAAACTTACGAGATGGTTTGGTGGCCACCGAGGAAGATCTCAGCGTAGTACTCATCGAGGGCACGCTTGTTGTCGCCGACAGCAGGCATGTACTTGATGACAACGCAGTGGTCAGGGTGCTCACCCTTCTTGTACAGAATGCTGTTGGCCTCAACCATGTCATCCACGACATTGGACTTGGAGATTTCCTTGGAGCGGAACTGCTTCTGAGAGCTCAAGTTCTTTCCGTCATTGTTACCAAGGTGGTTGTAGCTGGCAATGGAGGTCAACTTGATACCGGCATTGATAAGGAAATCCACCAGAGCGGACTTCATCTTGGTCTGGCCAGACTTGAAGTCGTCGCCACCGATGTAGGCATTGTGCTTCTCAGCAAGCTCAATAGCACCAGGAACAAAGGTGTTTTGGGGAGAGCCGTTGATGAAGGGGGCGCCCTCCAGGATACAGGCAACAGCAAAGATGGTGGAAGGAGAAACCTCCTCATGGCCCTGCTCAATAGCCTTAAGAAGGTTGTCGGCAGTGTCGTTGACTCCATCAATGAGGTCGGCGTATCGCTCAGTGTTGGCAGTCCACAGGACAATCACCTTGTCAAGGTTGTTGTTGGTCTTGAAGTCACGAATATCCTTTCGGAGGTGCTCGACATGAGCCATCGAGGCCTTGGAGCCCTCAATGACATTGTCAGCTCGGTCCTCCTGATTGGCGGCAATGAAGTCAGGGTAGTAGATGGAGGGGAGGGGAGTCAGCCCAGCCATCTCCTTCCTGACGTGAGCCTTCAGGGCAGGCTCCAGGACCTTGGCGCGATCCATGGCCTGAGCCAGGTTCATCGAGCTGATGTCCCAGCCGCCAATGACCAGGTCGTTGGGGTGGACCATGGGCAGGAGGTTGTGGAAGGGGATGTTGATCTCCTGGTTAGTCTTGGCATCAGTTCCAAGCTTGACGGTGGAGCTCATGACGACGGAGCCATAGTAGTTGGCCTCCTGAACGCCTTCCTTGGTATCCCACACAAGGTTGCGGCGGTTGGCAATGATGCCCGCAGTGACGGTAGTACCATTGTTACCACCCCAGCCGACAAGCATCATGCCAACCTTGGGAACCTTGCGGTCGACCTTGAAGTCGTAGAGCGTTTCCTTAGGAGTCGCCACAAAGTTGCCATTGGCATCAGTCTCGATGCTGGTGGTACGATAAGTATACTTGGAGCGGATTTCCGACTCAGTATAATTGACATTGGGGGAGTTCACGACGAAGGTGCTCTGGGCAGCACCATTGGACGCCGTGTGGCCATTGGCATAGCCATTCCCGTTCGAGGAGCCCGTGCTATCTTCCGCGTGGGGGGCCATGTTGACGAATTGGCGGGACGCGGGAGTGTTTTTCTAGTTGAAGGGTTCTATTTCTCTAAATACGACCTTTTATTTGGAAAAGGTCGAGTCCGCTAACCCTCCAGAGGCAGAGCAGCGGGCTCCGGCGAACGGGTGGTGAATCCTGTGATTAAGGTCAGTCAATCTGCTTTTATTTCGCTTCTTCTTTCGATTTCTGTCCATTGTACAGCAGCGGCAATACATACGAGTTAAGGAGATTGGAAAACGTCTTGACGACTGGACGTGATCGAGGCTCTAATTCCTCGACCAACAGATTAAACCTGTAATAGGTGGGAGGGGTTTGTTGAGACAGAAACTAAGTAGTCAAGCAGTTCTTGCTGGATTGACACAGAAATTTCTGGGATTGAAAGATTCGGCTTGCTTGCACAGCGATTTTGAATTTATATTTTACGGTGAGGGAAGAAAAGGAGAAAAGAAGCTTCTGGCTGGTTGGGGAGACGGACGGTCTTTGTAGCTCGGCTTAATCTGGCTCTGCTCTTAGGACAACGTATGTGCAAGCGCTAAAAAGCGGCTAGCTCTAAGCCAAGTAGACCGATACTTTTTCGAACCTTTCGGATGGCTTGGGCCTAGGCCTCGCGCTGCAAGCGGTGAAAAACACCGCACGCTTGGGGCCTGCAGGCACAAATCCATAATAACGTTGGGACCTTTTTTTGTTGTTCTCGCACCCGGATATGACGGGGCGGGCTGAGCGGATTTCGGGGCATGGGAACCTTCCACTCCGAGGTACCTGATGACTGACTTCAGGCTTTTACATTTTACATTAGACAATTAATAACAGCATTGTGAAATTGCAAACACCAATCCATCTCATACTATTCCGCAGAAAACGAAAGAAAGAATGGGGAGAAGGGAAAAAAAAAAAAAAAAAAAAAGCCAAGTACCCCGTGGGAAAGCACTCAGTAGCGCTCAATCCCCCATATCCACAGCTGGGTGCATGTCCCTCTACTACCAAATAAGGGCACAATAGCTACCTGTTCTCCTCGCGATATGGCACAGGACGGCACACGTCTCAGTTCCGAAGACCGCGCGTTTCCTTGCGCGTATGTACCTGCATTGGTGGTAGGCACCGATAAGCTGTCAAAAGCTGCTGCATCTTCTGTTGGCTCATCCTGCTGTCGTCAGCCGTTCTTGCGTGATGTAAAAGCAGATTGGTAGATACATGTGATCCATGTGGGGGCTTTAATACTACTCATTTCCCCAAAGTGGCATGCCGGCCGTTCTCTCAGCCATTGAGAGTTCTCAGGTCTATCTTTTACTCTCTGTATTTATTCATAATTGACACGTACCACAAGCACGAGGGCGGGTGAATTCGGTCTGAGCATGGAGAGCCATGCAGATGCAGACCTTGGTTGAGCCGGAAATCGCCAGCTTAGCTACGTGTTCGCTGACATCTTGCATTTGCCAATGGAGATCAGCGTCGACCGCTTTTCCTGACCGCATTTGTTGGGATCTTGGCTGCCAGGTATCGGGCCACTTAAACACCTCTACGTCGGCGCCAGAGAGGCACTCGTGCATTGAATGTAACCAGAGGCATTTTTCAGCAGCTAATGCTCTCTCTAACCCTACACCGTTCTTGTAAACGTGCCGATCACTCTCTCGGTAGCGAGCTGTATGCTGCCACCGGAGGGACCTGTGTAGCATGATAGCCCAGCCCAGTGTCAACTTTTTTTTTAATGTGTCGTAAGTGGGAATAGCTACTAACTACCTGGTACCTAGTAGGTAGGTACATGTATATAGCACTCCTTGATTTACTTGGCTTTGCATGCTGGTGGATGTATTTCACTTTATACACGTGTCTCAGAGGATTCGTTTCCGCAAAAGCATTCAAAATAGCAACACAAACCAAGGATTACGGCGATTGTACACATACAAAGTACTACTGCTGCTACATCCAGTTAAACGATATAAACACACGACTCAATTGCAACTTGATATCACAAATAATTGCATCTATTCTATTACGACTGTTCCATGCTGGTAATATATTGCCTACCCTATACATGTTTACTTTCTTGCATTTCCCCCCCCCCCCCCCCCCCCATGGTAGTTATGTATAAGGTCAAGTGGAAAGGCTATGAGGTACCTGTTGTTTACGTGGTATTGGTGGCAATACTGCTGCGAGTAAATTTGGCAACTTGATGCCGCGCAGAGTTGATCTTGCTGCATGGCATAGCGAACATCGCTGCCAGACAAGCCGTATTTCTGCCTCTATACGCAGCGCATCAACAACTCTCGCTTAGTGCATATAGTCGAGCACGTGCCTTAATATCCCGAAAAGAAGTATCTGTCCTGGCAATCAACTTTGAGAACAGCATCTGAAACCGAAACAGCCGGATCCAAACAATATGTCATGTCACAGATAGATGAAGGCGCAAAGTACTTGTAGGCTCAAGACTGTCATAGCACCCCCGGTCACCATGCCTCCGGGATATATGCCGTGATGTTACTTCAAAAAGGCACGGAATGCCCAGAGTAGCACCCAAATATTGCTAGTGCTACGCCGTACCTGTATTAGATATACACTGGATTAAGGGAGGGAGTAGTATCTCGTAATACGTGGCATCTGTTCGTCCAACAACGAATAGCCAAAACCCAGTACTTGGGCCTGTGTGATTTCACAAGGCAGATACCCAATGCCTTAACCACGGCCAACCATACGTGGATAGTCGTCCAAGCGGTCATATCTCTCGTCCTTCTTAAGAGGGAGCAAATGTCTTAAACTACTATAGAGTACAGACACGAGCCTGAAGGAATACCTATACGTGTACAAGCAATGTAAGCAGCGGCTGGGGCCTTGGATGTGACGCTGAACCTGCCAGGGCTGCTCGCGAACCCAACACCAAGATCAACTAGGATCTCCGCCGGCGGCAGCTCACTTCAGCAGGTGAACTACAACCTTAGCAAGCTTAGTCCTCATACCCCATACTCTTTCTCTTTGTGGAGGGACGATAAGCCGCAACTGAGCCGAACAGAGATGATGATCACCGATCCAAAGGCTAAAGAGGAAATGAGGACACAAGGACAGCGGTGATGTGCGGAGACTGCCGTACCGCACCGCGACTCCAGCCTCGCTGCTTTTTGCGCTTCCCAAGTAGGAATGGCAAAGATTATGCGCTGTAGAACCGAGACTGCGCCGACATTTTGCTCATGCGCGATGGAACCAACAGCCTCTCTTTTTGTCGCAGGGCCGAGGGCTTTACTGGCCGCTGCATTGCTCACGCCCGTCCTTCGGCTGAGACATTGTGCTGCTGCCCACGTGCCGCTTCTATTCTCTGCGGTCTGCGGCATGGTTCTCTCAACGAAGTCGAGGAGCGCTTATTGGGGAGATTTATAGCAAAAGGCTGAGTAAGTGACGTCCAATGGTTCCGACGCCAGAGCGATGCTACGGAGCATGGAACTGTTCTAGGGGTGTTCGACCCGCTACATGTGTCAATTACTGCCTACCTTATGTATGATCATGAGCACCTGGCAATCAATTTCCTGAGGTAGCGCTATTGGCGACTGCTAGCATGCGCATAGTGCTACCGCTAGTGCTACCAGCGCTGGCACAATCTCTCTCACCAGCCACTGAGGCCGCTGACCCTCCCCCAAAAAAGGTATCCTCCCAACGCCTCCCCCAGCTGCCCCCCCTTATCAGTGGACAGGGTCGCATCAAGGAGGGCCCTGCAAGGTACGCGGCCCAAAAGAGCGACTCACAGTGGCGCTACTGCGGGCCTCATTTGCCCAGCTGTCCCTCTTCCAGCGAGACCTCCGGCTTGGTGCGCTCTTTGTTACAGCTTGCGCGCATCACGAGGTGGGAATCTTCATGTCGACCAAAATGAGCCTGCTTGGCTAACGGGTGGAGATGGTGTTTAGCACTTCTGATACACACCTAGTGGGAGAGCTAAAACCGAAAATCAAGCAGGCCTTTGCTGCCCAAGGCCGCGCTGCGGGATCGGTGGAATCTGCAACAAAGTGCCTTTAGACTTAATTGGACACCGGTCTGCCAGGCTTGATAGTGATTGCTGGCCAGACAATAAAGGGAGTGGATATTGAGACGATGAAAATACGGCTAGAGCCTGATTTTTCGCCTGCTTCCCTGTCAAGGGAGCGGCTTTAAGCTAGTTGTACAACCATACTGGGCTGTATGCGTTGCGGGCGACGCCATCCAGGGCTGCGATCTTCCGACAAGTGATGAATGCAATTCAGGATATCGCATGCCTGTGCTTTGTGCTCGTGCGCCGTGACACAGACACGCAGTTGACTGATTTGCTATATCTAGGCATCCATCATCCGGTAGTTGCTTTGGCGCAGGAGATGTGTGTGCATAACCTCGACGCCTGCTTCTTCCTCCTCCTCCAGCCGCGTTCTTGTCTCGCCTCGTATTCCATTCGAATCTCGTGTCTGTTTCTGTCCAAGGCACCCGGACGGCTCGTACATAGAAGGACTAGAAAAAAAAAGGTGAATTCCACACCGCAATCACCGCAACGTTTAGCCACGGCACTGCGAGGCTGCAGCGACAGGGGTTCGCGACCTGATCGCAATTAGCTTATGCACCAAAGGGACCTGGCCAGTGACAGGGACCAGGGACCGTCTAGTCAGGGGTCTGCCCACCCCAGCAACACTTTTCCGCGACCTCCACAACTCGAGACACTATGCGCAACATCACCGTTTGCAGGTAGCCGTTCCTCCAAAAGCTTGCGACTCTATTCCCCCTTCTATCTTTCTTTCCTTCTCGCCAATTCATCCTCCTAGCATAGTAGGCGAGGCTTCAAGCGTCGACCAACGCAGGAACCGTCCGGCGCGGGCTTGACAGCTTTGAACGGATCCTGGTTCCCGCTGTCACACTCTACCGGAACAAAATAAGCTTGCTGGAATAGACTGCTGGCAGCTCCTCGCAACGAGGCTGTGCTTTGGCGGCTCCAAACCTGTGGCTCGAAGGATTTATGCACAGACAAAGAAAACACCTGAAGACGGCAGAAACAGGCGGCGTCGTGTGCCGGCTTTTGCCCAAATACTTATCGATTTTACCATTTTAAATAGTCTGGTTTCCAACCATACCGTCTCGGCGAGACACGACAACCACCGCTCGTGATTGCGTTGTAGCGCGTGTCGATGCCAACATATCCGATGTTTTCCTTCGTGCTGGAATAACACTTGAACTACTACACGGAAGAACAGTTCACAGTTCCACAGGACGCTGCTTCGCCGTCATGCAGGGACTGAGAGAGTCGGCTTTCCTGCCGACGATCAAATGTTCGTCATGCGGCTTGCAGGTCGAGATCTCCCTGATGGGAGAGCACGTGTGTTCTGGGCCGGCCGTCGAATGTAAGAGATATTTATGCGTATTGGCGATTAGTTACCTTGGCTAACATTTGACTTCCAGTATCACCACCTCCCGATAGCAACGATAAGTTTGACGATCCGCTCCCCAGGCCGCTGCAGACAGACAAGCTAGGCCGTATGCCTAGTCCGGTTGACATAGGCGCAGCAAGTGCGACTCCCTATATATCTCACCACTCTCCGAGATGAATCATATGCTAATATGGCGCAGATAAAGCGTACATGGTACCGGCACCGTTGACGCCGGTGAGCCAATACGGGGGATCGCGCAGCGTTTCTCCAATGACGCCAAACAGACCATCCTTTGCTGATCAAGCGAGAGACTTCTTCTCATTTGGCGGCGCCAAAATAGAGGAACCAACAAAGATACCCGAAAAGCCCCAGCAACCTGACATCAATGGGCACCGCAGCTCAAAAAGCATGGCTACCCCTGCCCCCACAAAGCCTCTTGGGTTCATGGAGCGTATGAATACCATTGCCCCAGGCCCCTTTGACACTAACCAACGACCGTCAACTTCACATGGTGCCTTTCCAACAAGAAAGGAATCAGTAACCAAATTCGACGCCGTTTTGCTGGAAGAGCCTGGGCGAATCCCTGAGCGACCTGGCACAAGTCATTCCAACTTGTCCACAGGAAGCGGTAATAATATTCCGTCAACTCCGAAGCAGCCCCGGAAGAATGGATACGAAGGATTCGGGGCGCCGTCTGGGCGCCAGCTGGATCCCAACGCCATGGCGCCCCCGATGAGAGCTGAAACCTTTCCTAGGCCCTCACCAGGTGTAGGAGAAACCCCACGACGACCATCTTATGCGAGCCCAATGTCTCACAACCGAATGCCTTCCATGGGAGCTGCAGATGCAGAGCGACGGCCATCTTTGGGGCCTGATACATCGAGGCGCCCGCCACCACGTAAAAGCCTTATTCCTCAACATTTACCTACGGAGTCCCTCAACCTGGCCGCTGAATTCGGCTCCAGCAACCCCTATCATACGGCGTCTGATTCCTCATCCTCGGGGTATTCAACCTTTAGCAACCAGAGCCAAACCACCTCACAGACGAGCCCGGCAAGATCACAGCCACGTAACAGCATCCCCGACGCGCTTAGAGTAAGGGCTATGCCTGGTGGACTACAGACGGCCGCAGAGAAGCCGCGGCCTGCAGATCTTCGACTCGACCCAGCAGCTGATATTCCGCTTCCTGCTCGGTCTCCGGTACCGCGATCGCCATACCTCATACCCGAGGGAGAAGAAGAGCGTTATGACCCAGCTATCCAACCTGGCATTGGTCAACCAGCGTTTAAGCCATACAGGGCGTTTAGTCCAGCCCCGGAACCAAAGTCTGAGCCTGAGCCCGAGCCCGAGCTAGACTTGGGACCTAGAAACGAAAGCTCTCCGAGGCAGTCTCCAAGGCAAACTCTTCCTGCACAGACTCCTCCTAGACATTTTACTCCTAGACAGTCTACCCCAAGACAGTCTACTCCACTACAGCCCTCTTCTAGACGGTCAATTCCCATGCAACCCTCTCCCAGGCAGTCAACTCCAGTGCAGCCCTCTCCGAGGCAGTCAACTCCTCGACAATCACCTCCGAGAGAATCATCTTTGAGACAATCTCAATCTGCACCGAAAGAATCTCCTCGCAAGTCATCTAGAGACCTCAAAGGATCAAAGGACCTCAAGCTTCCGTCCCGAGGCGACTGCAAGGCTTGTGGAGAGCCCATTACCGGAAAAAGTGTTTCGTCCGCCGATGGGAGATTGACTGGAAGATACCACAAGGCTTGCTTTGTCTGCACCACTTGCTCGAACCCATTTACTTCTGCCGAGTTTTACGTTTTGGATGATAAGCCTTACTGCGAGCAGCACTACCACAAGCTGAATGGCAGCTTGTGTGGAAGCTGTGGGGTCGGTATCGAAGGGCAATTTGTTGAAGATGAGTCTCGTGTCAAGCATCACGTAGGATGCTTCTGCTGCCTTGATTGCGGCGTGCCGCTTTCTGACGGCTACTTTGAAGTCGATGGCAAGGCCTATTGCGAGCGAGATGCCGTGAGAAGGACACGGCCGCCACCGCCTGCTCCTTACCCCCGAGGTCCAGGCAGAGGCGGATACGGAGGTCCGGGTCCACGACCTTACGGCGGACCACCTGGACCACCTGGTCGAATGGGCCCAGGAGGACCGGGACCTCGACCGGGCTACGGTCCTCCTGGCCTGCCGAGAGGACCAGGACCGTATGGTGGGCCCCCACCAGGCCGACTCGGACCCGGCATGGGACCCGGCATGGGACCCGGCATGAGGCCTGGCATGGGACCAGGCATGGGACCCGGTTTGGGCCCACTACCTAAGATGAACAAGAGGATGACGCGCCTGGGCATGATGTAAAAATGCACACAGCCTTCATCCATCTTATCGTATAATAATGTCTTAATACCACCATTATCTTTGTTCACTTGCTCTGCAGCGCAGAGCTGAACATATCGTTAGGCATACCGTACACTTTTAACGTCCTTCCTCCTCATTTGAGAGTTTTGGACAAATACATCACCTTTTGGTTTTGGTTTTATATACCCATTTTCTTTTCTTTTACTTTCCTATACTTCGCCGGCGATATACCCATCACCGGCTGGGCTTGTTTGGTGGATATACGCAATATATCTCTTTTGTTTTTATCCAGATCATGTTACGAATGAATCCGATCCCATGTGTGTTTAGTTATATTTATGTATAGTCCTCATCATAGATGGCGTTTCTCACCCCCCCTGGTATGTACCTGATTGGATGGCTCTTTGTGAGTTAATGGACGGCTGCTGTGTTTACTGGTAGCACGAGAGGAAGATAATGCATGCTTGCTTTTGTTACTATATAATTCAAGGCATCTCGCCACGCTTTAATACTATATTGTCTTTTTTGGAGCATATGTTGGTCTATGAGTGTTGGGAATGTTGTTGTAAAGAGCTACATTTACATTTTGTTGAAGGTTAATGAGATCGTCTAATGCGATTGCGGCAATGATGAAGGACGCCATTTCGATGTAAAGTTCAAGGCGCTTGCAAAAATTCAAGCCTCAGTACTCCATACTTAGCCCCTAGCTATTTGCAGATCAAAAGACGGGGCTAATCGATGAGAATACAAATCGAAACAAAAAGAAAACTTAATCGACACAATTTTACTTTAATGGTGTGTGTGATGTCACTGGAATGCTTTATATCATTGTCGAGATCTTCTGCGCACGTGTTGCGCGGGTGGTGTTTTAGATGCTGCCACTTAACAATAGGTTTGATCGTGTCGCAGCCTTGGGAATGTGTAGATTTGACTCTGGATGAGTACCTACTAATATGCGTACTGTGCTATGTATTCCCCCTAGTAGTAGAATCTCGTCGACAGCCACCAAGAGGAACAGGACTAGGAGGGAATAAGAAAGGGGGGATGGCGAGCTGCATCAACGGTAATTTGCTGCGATCTGGCTACCACTTGAACTGCCCGCTGTGGCTGGCTTACTTGCGGTTCAATAGCGTTCGGGCTAATAATCTGACGCTTGTTCAGAAATGCGTCTGGTTATTATTAGGTACTACCTAGGTAGATTAGTACTAGTAGCCTCTTCTTCTACATAGTACGTCAAGCACGTTTCTTCTCATGCCACATCTGGCATTTTGTCGAAGCAGCTCCTAGGTTCCAGCGGCACGTGGGGAATGGAAATCTCCAGACTCAACTGGCCATGTCTTTTTTTTTGCCTTTCTCACGGAGTGAAGGCCAAGGCTGAAGATGGACAGCGACGGATTCGCCACACAGTGAAGGTTTACCTGGCTCGGCCGTGGGGCTCTGTCCATCCTCACGCCCCTTTTGAAGAAGATGAAGAAGGTGCTCTGCATTGCACATCAGCCTCCATTGAATTTAGAAACGCCTTGTCGTCGTGTCCTTCTTGTTCAAGCTTCACATGTCTGTTTGTTTTGTTACTGATCTTCAGGAGTCGACCCTCCCTTTGAAACTTACATGATTCTCAGGCGTGTCTGCAAGGCCAAATGTGGGGCCGCGGGTGACGAAATTGCCCCTTGCGCCTAAGAGGATCCAGTGCCACTAAAGCACGGTCTGGCCCACGCGTGCTAACGGCGTGGAGGGAAATGGTCTACAGTATGATAGGAGAAGGAAATAAACTGAAGCTGAGATGCACTGACGGCCTGCAGAGGCTGAAGGAAAAAGGGCGAGATATGGCAATTCGACGGCATTATGCAAATCTACAGGCTTGCTGCGAAGTGCCCAAGTGCTTACGCTACGATGGCAGCCCCCCAAGCCCCATGTACGTCTATTTCTCGGGTCTCGAACCTTGTGCAAGCACTACACCACAAGAGTGCTAGATACGATACCGGACGCACTCTCAGCAAATGGCTCCTCAGTCCCAGTCTCTCTCAATGCCAGACGCGTGCTGTGGCCTGTCTGTCGTGCTACCCCTGCCGGACGAGACAAGTCGCGGCAGCTGCAGCAGAGTTTTCTCCTGATGCGCAGCGTACGCAATCCAGTACCGCAGGCACACATGCACTGTGGCCTGGTGCATTTTCTTTGCTCCTCTGATCGACAATCATGAGTCTTTCGTAGCCGTTTGTGGTGCTGGAGGCTGATTACTGTGGCGGCCAGGCCAAGCATCACGAGCCGCTCGTTGGCCAGCCCCCTAAGCCCTCCCCGCTGTAATCTTGGAAACCCCCGCTATGCCTCTCCGACAGCAGAGTGGGCACCCGCCATTGAGATGCGCTGGCTGGCAATCTGCGCGTGTGGCCGCTGTAACGCTGAAGAGGAAACTGGGAAGCAGGTTTTACTGTACAGGCCCTGTACCACTAAAAGTGGCCGTAGACTCCACTCTCTGCACGGCTGGCTTCTGCCATTTCCACCGTCGCACTCCGTCTGCCAAGCTCTTCTCTTTGCAAGATCGTGTTGGTCGACTTCCAACTCTTTCCCTTCGCTCGCTTGTGGCACCTCTTTTTCTGTGCACGCGATAGCACTTTGTCTAGCCCCCTCTGCATCGCAATTGTAGAGGCTGGTACGGAGCAGACCGTCCTCCTTTTTTACTCTCCTTTACGGCTTTATTAGCCCCCTAGTCTCTCTTTTAGTTTACCTATCCACCCCGCGACGGTGAGACCTCGCCAGAGAGTTCCTACGATCAACTGGCGAAGCGCATTTCGGTCGATTCCTGTTATACGTCGGACCGCACTGGTTACTTCCGAACAAGACACAGGAAGACTACGCCAACAGAAGCTGCGTCGTCAGCCGCAAGTGCTTGGCAAATACAGCCCTTCTGTACGACTTCGTAACATGCAAACTTGAGAGAGAGCTCTGGCAGCCCGCAATCAAGTTATATATTCCCTCTAGCACCCGGCTATCTCATTTGATATTAACAAACGCTCGCTGTATCACGCCGGAATCTATATACGAAGCAATCGCTTCTAGGGCCTGGACAAGATGTTCAGCCCCAATGCGCGCCGACCGCGGGTGAGAATACTGCTGCTCATTATTCTCGCCTCTGTCACGTCATACTATTTGCTTTTCAGCGGCCCAAGCCCGCGTTTTAATATTGTTCCCTACCTGCCCGACCAGCGCGTCACGCAGGGCACCCAACCCAGTACCCCAGCTTCTCAAGCGCCGCTGGGTGACGACAAGGCCAGCGCGGACATTGATGATGGCTCGATTCAGAATGGCAAACCGTCGACAGACGAGAAGCAGCATGGAGACCAGAGTCCAAAGGAAGAAGAGAAACAGCCTCTAGAGCCCGAAAAGGAAAAAGAAGAGAAGCCTCTCAACATGGATATCGAGACTTATAACAAGGAGCTGGAAATGCTCGAGTCTTGGGATTTGAACATCGAAGATTTGAGACAGTGGAAAGATCCCGACGATAAGGAAGACCCTAACGACGTCGCCCCAGGCTATGAAACCGACGGAAAGGATAGAGACTCTGGTACTATCAGCAGACTGCAGCATGAGAAAGACATGAGGAAAATGTGGAGATATGCGTACAAAACCACTGCAAAGTAAGTTATAATCGCTAAGAATTTTACCGTTTGCCGCTGTCTTAAGGCTTACACTGTGTCTTGCTAGCCTCGAAACATCCAACAAGATCTACGGCAACACGCTCTCAACTCTTGATTACAAGGAGAACCGCACAGAAGCGCTGGAAAAGAAGCTTAGGGAAGACCCCGCTGCCACCGTTGGTTTCAGCGTTGATAAGCCCGTTCGATTTAATCCCTACCCAGACTACAATAGTGACACGTGGAAGGCGGCGAAGCACGCTTCTTATGTGCCTTGCAAGGGTCCGTCTGGAGAGATTGTCGAAGACTTGCTGGTTTTCAAAGGACGTCCCCATAATTTCCCCGAGCCCAAATTTGGAAGCTACTCTCTGCTTAATATGGACCCCAACTTGTGCTGGGAGCGAGATACGCGCTTAGGCCCTTATGGTTTGCTCCAGCAAACCAAGAAGGTTGGCGGTGAAGTCGAGGTTATCGATTGGGATAATGTCAACTGGGGTGATCTGGTACAGCGGTGTGTCCAGTCAAACGCCGCAAGATTCGATCTCAGCAAGGAAAGGGAAAATGAGTATCTAAGCGTCTACCCGGAAATTGCCGAATCTCTAGCTCCTAAGAAAGACGACAATAAGGACGGAAAAGCGAGCAAGGCCACTGACAGCCAGAAGGATAAAGAACCGTCGGGCGATTTCCCCAACTTGGACGACAAGACGCTCAAGATTAAGGGACGATCGCCAGCTGATTCAGACACGAAGAAGGATAGCTCTGAGGTTGTCAAAGAGAAACGCTCTGCGGTTTTGCTACGCTCATATACGGGTAAACTCTACACTGAGAATGACAAAGAGACAATTCGCGCCATGATAAGCGAGCTTTCTCTCAAGACCGGTGGCGAATTCGAGATATTTTTGCTTGTTCAGGTCAAGGACAAGGACATAACCCACCTCGACGACCCGGAAGTATACCGAGGCGTTTTGCAGAAGCACATTCCTGTCGAGTTCCATGGCATCACCATTTTGTGGAATGACCGGCAGGTTTGGGATATTTACACCAAACTCACGGACGATAACGAGCGCAGCGTTCATACTGCACAGTGGCTCAGCGTCCAGAAATTCAGCATTGATCATCCCGAATTCGATTATATTTGGAATTGGGAAATGGATTTCCGGGTCACTGGCCATCACTATGACATGGTTGATAATCTGGCCAAGTTCTCTGCGAAGCAACCGCGTCGAGGTTCCTGGGAGAGGAATGAGCGGTGGTATATTCCTGAATACCACGGCGACTATGATACGACGTTCCGAAAGGAAGTAGAGGAAACTTATGGCGGATCCACCGTCTGGGGTGCCCCTGACTTGCCTTTTATCACACCCGTGGGCCCCAAGCCTCCTGTGAAGTCACCAGAGGAAGATAACTATACATGGGGCGTTGATGAAGAGGCGGATTTCATCACTCTCGGTCCGATCTTCGACCCTGTGAACAGCAACTGGATTATTCGCGATAATGTTTGGGGATATTCAGACAAAACTCACAGGGCCCGCGATCTCCCTCGTCGTACCACGATTGTCACCCACTCTCGTCTGTCGAAGCGTCTCTTAGATATCATGCATGTCGAGAACTTGCGCGGAAACCACGTTGCCTCCGAAATGACACCTCAGACCGTTGCCTTGCTCCATGGTCTCAAGGCGGTTTATGCCCCGCATCCCATCTTTACGGATCGCGACTGGAACGGTAAATTCCTCAACCAATGGTTCAATCCTGGCCCCAAGGGAGAATCTGGTGGATATGGAAGCCCCATGGGCTGGGGCAGAGAGCGACGATACCAGGGCAATTCCTGGTACTACCGAGCAGAGCCGCCAAACCGAATGTACAACAACTGGATGGGCTGGATTGATACAGGCATTGGTGGCCAGGAATGGGAGCAGCAACACGGACGACCGTGCCTACCATCCATCTTGCTCCATCCTGTCAAAGATACAAAGGCTACAAAGGAAGGTCATAAGACTGGCTTTGAACTGTTTTACGGTTAAAGGACCTCGACACTATCCTCAAGGGTTGATGTTACTTTTTTTTTCTTTGTTTCCTTTGTTTAGCTACAGTTTGATGCATTTCATTATATCTCACTGAGCCCTTGTTTCTCTATACTAGCTTTATTCTAACAAATACCGCCATTTTCTTTTTCTTTTTCTTTTCCCCTTCTCTTTTATTGCCATTCCTTTCTAGGATATTGCATTTTCATTCATCTTTATTATTCAACGACAACGCCTACGGCTGAATCGAATAGCCCACTAGCTTGATAGTGGCCGCTTTGAAGGGGAGGAATGATGTACTATGATTGTTGCTAAGCGCAAATATTCATCATGGCAAAAATCTACGCAACGTATGAGGGAAATATGGCGAGAGATGTATATACAGCCCGGCGTTCATTTTAATTTTTTTATGATATTAGCACCGGACTTGCGGGCTGGTTATTTGCTTATTTCTATCTGTTTGCATGATCGTATAACGAGAGAGCCTTCTGTTTCTTTTCTCTTACGAATCTCATCTATCAAGAAACACGAACGAGTTTCAAGTCTTGCAAGCCTGCATTGTCTTTTATGACATTGATACTGTACAAAGAGCATGGGGGGAGAGGAAGAGAGTAGTAATGATTTAACCGTCGCTACTTCTGTGAATAATGTTTTACAAGCAATTCAAAATAAAAGTTTCAAATATTCATAGCAAAATGTTTTCTATATCTGTCTGTGTAAAGTAAGATTTGAGATTAAAAGTGAAACTCCTAAACATAATTTTATACAGTTACCTATGTGAATCAAGGGGCGCCTTAATTAACTTCAATTCGGAGAGCCTCTTGTTCCGGGACCGCGACGGTCGGATTATTCGGGTCTGCCCCACGGTTGTTACCGCTTAAGTGCATGCACGGTATCTGCCTTCTTTCTCTCTAAAACGCTCTTGTAACATGGGCATGTTTTCAGCTTGAGTGAAATGCTCAGTGCGCTTGTTAATAGGCGCGTTTGGTAATGATCAGGCATTTCTTTTCTTGTAGAGTTTTTATTGCACCATCAAGATGAAGCGGGCGGTAGTGACAGCAATGCGTTGATCGAATAATGAATCCATTTCCCAGCGTGAGTTTCATCTACCCAAAGCTTTACGCATAAATATGAGAAGTGCTGATGAAATAAATACATAATAGACGCCAACGCCACGGCGGTTTTTACTGCCTAGACGGTCAACTCAGTCGTCGTCGCAGACACCGGGTGCTCCCCCTCAATTTCAATCTACGCCTCGGTTTGGCTCATCTTCAATCCCTAGACCTACACAGGGTAGGGACCTTGAGATAGAAGAGGATGAAGATGTCATATCCGAGTCAAGTATCTCAGGCGATGATAGAGAAGCTACCGTGGGGACCACGCAACGCGGCTCTCGCTGCCATGTGCTCGATATTGAGTCGGAGGCTGGCTCATTGTCCCAGGAATGGCCGTCGTCAGACATAGGCGAAAAAACCAAAGCCCATTCATGGCTTGATATTCAATCACAAAGTCCAAGTGAAGCACCGCAGGGTATTGAAATGGGCAGAGAAGCGAAAAGACGAAAGATGTCGATTTCACCCACGCCTGTGCTTGGCTTTCCGGGGATGGAAAAGGCGGACAGAACAACACCTGGGAACATTGACTACGGGGCGTACAATATGGCTATTGCCGATTCCGAAGATGAGGGTTCGGCTATGGGCACGGACAATAGCGAGGAGTCGCCTATGGCCGCATCGAACGCCAAGGCTCTTCAGCAGCCTGTATTTCAGCAGGCACCACGGTTCAAGCCCCTGATCGCTGATGGTCATCACGGCGGCCTTCCAGCAGCTTTTTCGCCGCAGCGAAGGGGTGCGAGATACGTTGCCGGTGGAATGGCGGCCCAGCTTCAAGGGTGGCTTTCGGAAGTCAAGAGCTGGGAAGAGAATGGCGAGAAGACTACGTCCGGTGTGAAGATTCACGTGGAGCAGATCAGATCGGGGAGGCGAATGTATCTCGTAGAAGGTCGCGCATCCTCAACAAATGTGCCGCAGAAATGGATATTAGCTGGAGAGGGGAAGTTGACTGGCCTGGGTAAGAGGGCAGAAGTGGAGATGGGAAGCGTGGTGTTGATTGAACAGCCTACGTGGGATGTTAAGCTGGAGGGAAGCGTTTGGAATGTGGCGTGTGAGTGGAGTATAGCCTTGGATTGACTGTAAATAGCACGACATGGAGGCGTATTGATATAGTTCATTAAAATAATTGCAAAGCCACAAACACGTAATGTGTTGGTGTTGATGTCGGTTGTGCGAATGGCGATGCATATAACCCATATTTGCACCAAACGCGAGTGATTAGCCAGCCCAGCGAAAATCATCGCATGTACCCTACAGTGAGCCTTTGAACTACAACACATATTATATCGGATGGCTATATCCTGTGCAAAGGAATAATCTCCTCCATCATCTGTAACTGTGCTCAATTGCTATACAATAAATGTTGATTGTATAATGATTCGCCCGTTTTTCAACCCAGCTTCTTCTCTACGGCTGAAATTGGCCACTTCTCAACGGCGATGCTTCTCATCTGATATAGGAAGGAAAGTTTCTGACCCGCTCCGGGTTTTATTTTGTGGCTCAGATGCGTTCAGCTGCGAATCCCTGCGTGCGTTACATCGAGAACATGAGGTGAACAGAAAGTTAATCGAATCCTTGGATGTGATGGTTCTGCCACCAAGGCGAACGGGGAGGGGTTTTAAGGAGATTACAGAGGGTTGGTGCATTAATTTTTTTTTTCGAGCGTTATGACATGATGCTAATGCGGAGACAGTACCGTGCAAGTCTGTTGCAGAACATTTGGGGTTGAGAATACATCAGCGAGAGACATTTAGAGGGTGGAGTGTAAGATTCTTTTTCTATCCCATACTTTCGAGAAAGGAGGACTGATCAATTGATGATAGATCCCAGAAGGGACTAATTTAATTGTGGTTGTCTCTTTTGGACTATTTGTTCCACCGCGGATACTGAAATCGGCAAAATACGGTGGTTTAAATGTTCATCCATCTCTCTTGCCACAGTGAGTGTTTCTATTGTCAATCTCACTCCAGTGTCTGAACTGGTCATTAATATGACATAGTTTACGCGGACCAGCTCCAATTCACCATGCTATGATGCGCAACGACAAGTACACCGGTGTGTCTCTACAAACTTTGGATCCCAAAGCTTTTGACCACGGGATTGTTCTCGCTCAGACACCATCTCCAGGCATACCCATCCCAGCTGGCGCTACGCTACGTCATCTTACAGAATCTCTTGCCAAAGTAGGCGCAGAGATGCTTGTTCAAGGACTACGGGACGGGGTACATGTACTGCCGTATACGAACGTCGGGTGGATGGCCGACCAGCTGAAAGAAAAAGAGCTCGTTCACGCACCGAAAGTGAGCAAAGGGGAATCTCAAATCAACTGGCCTGAATGGAACTCTCCAGATATTGCACGCTTCCTTAATATCTTCAATACAGTGTGGACACACGCGAGAAACGACAAAGGAAACTTCAAGCGAGTGCTGTTCTTAGATGCAGAGAGCGTGTCTGAGCAGGACGTGACGGGAAGGAGTGAAGAAATCGTATTTCGGTACGAAAGAGGGAATGAAACAGACGATATTCAGAGAAATGTCAGAGTTGATGATGAGCATGATGCGTTTTATATACAGACGGTGGGCGAGAGCTGGGTGCGTGTGAGGAATGTTAAGGTTGATGGGAAGACGACGCAGACGGCGAAGGTTGGTATGAGAGAATTCATGAAGAAGATGAAGTGATGTGAGATGTCTATGAAGAATAGATCGTCTATAGCACTTTCTGACATACGTTAGGGAGCAGACACGGAGCAGATATCACAAGACGTCCAAGTCAAGACGCTTAGAATCTTCAGAATACTACAGCGTACTCCTTTCTAGGTTCTCTAGAAATTCCCGATATGGTAAGTCGTAGCAACAAAATCGGAAACTGAACACTGCCAGGCCTCGCAAAGGTGAAACTCTAGACTCTTACTGCCCTGGCAGGCATCACGAGCAGTTATTTCGCCACAGCCAGTAAGGAGCATTCAGGAGTAGGTGATGCTTGTCGCCATACAGGCTCGTATTACAAATTTGGTACGCTCTATAAAAAATCAAGATTAATGAGATGAAGAAGGATAAATAGTGATACTATTATAGATCTCGTATGTCCATAGACCCGGGAACGCAGCTTTGTCCACGACGCGAGAGAGGCCTGCAAACACAAGCACGGTCGGTCCAGCAGGGAACAATATACGCGAAATGGGGCTTGCATAGAGAGACCTGAGGATTTTCAGCTCCCGCGGAAGCGATTTGGTGATTGCTCGGTAGATGGACTGCTGCAAAAATGATGCCTGGAAGCAGCCCCCTGAAAAGGGACCTTGGTAACGAGTGGAGCTTTATGAAAGCTTCCAAGGAGTCTCCGAGAAAAAACCTGGAAGTGGGTTTTTGGCCATATGTATTGCTCCCCACCCTGGTTGAAGGTGCTTTTTTTTTTTTTGTTTCTAAAGTCTAAATGCCCGTGCTTGAGAGGTTGTGGTGATTGTGATCAATAACACCTGCAGGTGATTCGACATCTTGCTCCGTGCTATACAGTATTTGAGGTTGGTCGTAATGCTGTCCCATTGATAAACAGACGGTTGAGCTAAGGCGGCAGCCCCTGGCTTGCCGTTGCTGGCGTCCAATCATAGCGGGTTTTAGCGACAGGAGGCAGCTTTACAGGCGTTTTAGCGCCCTGAAGCTTCCCTGCTCCGGCGCCTCTGCCGTTGAAGCATTCTGACTTGCGAGGCCTGGCTGCTGCCATACGGAGGGAAAATCTCCGTCTTCCGTGCTGCTTCGCGCTGTTGATTAAATGCATAAACGACATGCACGCACGGATTTACACGAGCGCTGCGATCGTTGCTTTATTATAATACCCGCCAGAGCTCTTCTTTTTCCCCTTTGGTATTGCAGAATCTCGAATTGCTGGAGTCGATCGGCCGCCCTGTGCTCGCTCTCGCCTCGGAACTGGGGCCGTCTCATTGCGGAGAGATGTTCATCGCCGTCTTTCAAGATGCATCGCTGCGCCAAGATTGACGCGAGGCCATTCTCTGCACAGAGAGGAGAGGAAGCCCGCAGCTACTACTGACACTACAGCCAATACGCAGCACTAGTCTTTCCTACATATGACAGAGACATGAATTCCCACGGGCCGTCGAGGCATTAGATGATAGGCACGCATATCTTATGCTACCCTCCTTTCGTGGCGCAGCGTTTCGGCGAATACCCAAGTGGGACAAGGCGTATGCCAGTCAGAAGCAAACGCGGCACCAAAAGTGCATGGAACCAACAACTTGTTTAACTTTTCTTGTTCCCAAACCGGATAGACCGGATTATTACAAAGATACGATCCGCATACCTGTACATGCTGAGAGCTGGAGCGTATACGTGTGGTTCTCTTTGGACGCATTTGTCTCTCGCTCTTATGCCGGGGATACTCCGCTAAATTGAGGGTGACTTATGCAGTATCAAGCCCATATCAGGGTGCTTACGCTTCGGCTCAAGGCAATGAATCGAAACTAACGGAAAAGCTTTGCCGCCTAGTTTCAAGCAGCTGAGCCTTTTGGCAGTTGGCCGTTACTCCGTATATACGAACGAGTGTGGATACTCTCTTACGAATCCCGCTCTTGTCCGGATTCACGGCCAATAGTCTTCCTACTAGGGCTGTTCTTAGCTTACAAGGGTGCTGAAGAAATCTTTGTTCTTCAAGGACGTGAAAGGCCTAGAATAAATGTTTTGCCCCTGGTGCCCATGCAGTTCCTGCATTAGCGGCTCCGTCGCAGAAGAGAGAGAGGGGGGGTGGGATGATTCACCATTTGCGGACTGCACATGTCTTCTGTGGCAGGCGAGCAGTTCATGCTCAAACGCCACTGCTATACTGAGATAGGATGGTGGCCGATGTTCGCATCCTGGCTTCATCGCCTTGACTTCAGGACTTCATGTGCTAATACCTACCGATAGCCAATGTTGATCTTGAATACGGGGACCGAGTGTTCGGCGTCTCGCTGCAGAGCTGCAATCTCGCAGTTCTATTTCTGTTTGTTTTGTCTGGGAGCCAGCCCAGTAGAGTTCGGGCCCATTACCAACTTGGCTCGGCTCCCCTCCCGGATCATCTACATGATTCGCCGTCCCCATGTTTACTCTCAAGTGATTGGACGTTGACTGCTTCCCACATCCCCAAAATGGGCCCATTTCAAAGAGACCCCTGATCTGTTCGGGTATTCGCTTGTACTCATGTGCTCGATACGGCGGCCCCCCTGCTGCAGTAGGATCTAAATGGTGGGCGGCAAGGGTTTCTGGCCGTTGTGGAATTGCTCATCCACCGATATTGTCGGCCTTGCCTGTGCAAGTTACTTCGAGTATGCTCCCTCCATGAATAAGCTTCCCGTAGGGGACACAGGGGTCGAGGGCCGTTCTGCCTAAAAGAAGGACGGCTGCTCTTCCGAAGTGTCTCATCACGCACTCCTTCGTCAACTTCTCTCGTCTACTACGACAACTTGAGCCACGTAGCTCGTCCTCTGACGTATCGTACGTCGAACGCACATTCATTTCAACAGAATTCACCAAAGTACTTTAGTCATTCCTTCAGACGAAACTCGAGCTTCTGTCAATCTTTAATTCGAAAATGCCTTCTCTCAACGCCCTTAGCACGGCGCTCCTGGCCTGTGCCGGAAGTGCTGTTGCCACTCAGTTTACCTTGGCCGAAACCTACGACCACACCAACTTCTTCCAGAAGTTTACTTTCACTGACGTATGGCTCTCCTTGATATTCATTGACCCACCACTAGTTGTCAAGCATATCCCACTAACTGATAGCATAGGATGCCGATACCAACGCTGGCTTTGTGACTTACCAGAACCTGGCCAATGCTCAGGCACAAGGCTTGGCCAAGATCACCAGCAACAACGAAGTCTACCTCGGAGTTGACTACAAGACCGTCCTCAAGGGTTCCGGATTCCCTGGCCGTAACTCCCTGAGACTCGAGTCCACAGCCTCTTACAAGCACGGCCTCATCGTTGCGCGATTCACTCACCTGCCCGCCAACAAGTGCGGCAGCTGGCCGTCTTTCTGGACTCTTGGTGACAACTGGCCCAATGGTGGAGAGATCGACGTGTACGAGGGCTGGAACAACATCCTCGACAACCAGCCTGCCTTCCACGTTGGCAGCTCACGCCAATTTGGCCAGTGCATCCTCCAGAGTGCCGGCCAGACGTCTCCCGTTGTTACCAGCAACTGTGACAACACTTTCTCGAGCCCTCCCAGCCAGTACCAGAACCAGGGTTGCACTACCGCCGACAGCACCGGTCCTTGGGCCTCTCCCAGCGGTGGTACCTGTAAGTGATAATGGTGCCTTTGGCTTTGCGAGAAGGGAAACTGACAACGTCCATTTAGATGCCATTGAGTGGACCAGCGACTACATCAAGCTGTACAACTGGGCCCGAGGCGCTGAGCCTTCCAACCTGGCTTCGTCCAGCCCCGATACTGCTACTTGGGGCACTCCTGCGGTCAGCCTGCAGAACTCCAACTGCAACATCGACAGCCACTTCGCCAGCCAGCGCCTCATTCTCGACATCGACTTCTGCGGCAACCCCGTTGGCACTCCCGCCTTCTGGCAGCAGAGCTGCGCTGCCACTACTGGCCAGGGTACTTGCGCTGACTACGTCTCCAATTTCCCCGGTGACTTCGCCGAGTCCTACTTCCAGATCCAGGACATTCGCTACTTCAGCCAGAGCACTGCCAAGCCTACCACTTCCAAGGCCTCTTCTACCTCCAAGGCTGTTTCTACCTCCAAGGCTGTNTCTACCTCCAAGGTCGCTGCTACCTCCAAGGCTGTTTCTACCTCCAAGGCCGCTGCTACCTCCGAGGCTGCTTCATCCTCTGCTGTTGTCGTTCCCACCTCTGTGATCTCCAGCCAGTCTGCTGCCGCCGGCTCCTCTGTCCCTGCTGTTACCGGTACTGTCGTCGCCACCAGCCGATGGAGCAACTCCTCTGTCACTGCTACTGGTGCGGGCTCTGCCATCTCTTCCGCTCCTCAGATGACCACCTCGACCGTCTTCACCACTCACGTCCACACCATCTCTCAGTGCCCTCCTGAGGTTACCAACTGCCCGTTCCGCCCCACCGTCACTACCGAGACCATTGCTCTGTACACGACCATCTGCCCTGTCCTGGCTGCCGAGTCTAGCTCTGAGCTGGCTGCTCACACCACTGCTGCTCCTGCTCCTCCTGCTGGCTCAGCTGGTGTTCCCAGCGGTCCTGAGACCATCACCACTGACATCACCCGCGTTTACACCATCACCAGCTGCGCTGCTGATATCACCAACTGCCCTGCTCGCGTTACCACTGAGGTTGTTCGCACTTCTTTCCCTGCTGGCCAGCAGACCGGTGTTCCTGTGGCGCCTTCTTCTCCCGCCAACACTGTCATTCCCGCTGTTCCCATTGCTCCCAGCAATGCTCCTGGCAGCTCTCCTGCTAGCACTGTCATTCCTGCTGTTCCCATTGCTCCCAGCAACGCTCCTGGCAGCGCCCCCAGCGTTGTCCCCGTTGTCCCTGTTGGTGCTCCTTCCAACGTTCCTAGCGCCCCGGGATCTGGCCCCGTCAACACCTGGGCATCCAGCATCGTGGGTGTGCCCACTCCTGTAGGCACTGGCGGCAGCTCTGCTGCTACCGGCAACCCTCCCATCCCTGTTTCCAGCGGCCTGGGTGGCTGCACTGGCGCTGACTGTCTCCCTCCCGTCGGCAACGGCGCTGTGCGCACCGGCATGAGCACTCTTGCTCTTGTTGGTGCCCTAGCTGCTATGCTATTGTAAGTAGTATGATTCTATAGTAAGAAAGAAGGGGGGATTAGGGGGAAGTGGATTTAGGATGAAGATGTAATTATAATGCAGGACAGTCTAATTAAGGCGTTTTGTTGGATTATTCAAGTGCCCCCATATTGCATATGGATGGACGTACATATACACACATAGAGTTGGATCAAAGGATCTTGTCATACTGGTAGTAACCTTCTTAAAAATTTCTTTTATCATTTTTTATGAAGAACACGCCCAATAGCCTAAGATTCTTGATCCATTATGTTGTATTTCGTACTATGATGTAACTAAATCTCCAACCGTCAGTTAATACAACGTTAGTTCTCAACAACAGCAACATAGATGACAACATAGCCTCCCATCCAAAAATGTCTGCAAAAATACTTGCATCCCTAGTCAAATAGACTACTCGAGTTGCTGGAATCATTAGCTCTGTTGCTTGGCACTACACTCTGACGACGTACCAAAACCTTTTCCAGACCGAATTCATGACCAATAATGCGCCAACTTGAATTACCCTACCTGCCAAGGTGACTTTCTCCGAATGGCGCAGTTTGTTCTTTTGAGTCCACGACGTCCATCATCGTGTCCTCTTCCTGTCCAGGACTATACAGTGCCGTTAAGAGCCTCACTTCTTGAACCTTTGGGCCCTTTTGTTCCGAATCTGTTTGTGATTTTTGACTGCCAATCTGCCCGACGTTCGTTTCTTGCGCGAGCTGCACAAGCCTCGTCCAGTGTCCCGAAGGAACGCGATCCTTTCCCGGAAGACCTACCAGAACGTCCTCTGCGCGGAGCCAGTACTGGATCCGAGGGGGGGATGAGCCCTGAGCGGGGTAGAATGCGACGTGATAGAAGCCCTCGTCGGTAAGAAGATGGAGACTGTCGAGATCGAGGAGATGGGGATTGGCGAGGCTGATGTTATGATAGTGAGAAGGTGGTGGAAGAGTGAATGAGTCGGGACGAGGAGTGATTATAGGTTCAGAAAGGTTTTGGGAAAATGGCCTTTGAGACAGTCTTCTGGAATCTCTGGGGGGGATTGGAGGTGTTGCGGGTAGAGGCTGGAACGGAGGGGGCGATGTGAATGGGCTTCTGGGACGGATTGGAGAGAGAGATCTGAGAGGACTCAAGGGAGGAAGTGATGGTAGAGATTTGTCTAGAGGAGATGTTGGGAGGGACATTTTGAAGAGGGCTTTGGTGATGGACGTTGGCGTGGGTTGTGGTTGTGGTTGTGGTTGTGGGCTGCTGCTGCTGAGGAAGTCTCTTGGGAAATTAGGAGGAGCATGGCGATGTAGATATAGTGGCATTTTTGTAGATACAGTGGTATTTTGGGATTTGAACCAGATGGACATAGAATTTGTTGTTATTGCGATATAACGATGAAGACACTGAGTTTCAACAAGAGGCAAACGGTTGACAAAGGGAGCACTTGATAAAGTAGGTTTGTTCAGCCAACACCAGACAGCGAGTTCTTTATCTGAGAAATATCACAGACAGAATGAATAAAAACAAAATGCAAACGGTAGATATACTCAAAGGGTATCAACTGAAGTTATTCATTGCTCTATCAACTCTGCCACAGCCGGGTGCGAATCCATTCAGCCCACTTACACAGATCCTCAAGCCGTTCAAGCGCCTTTCCGAGATCTTCCCTACTGATCGGCCTTCCTTTGCCCTTGCTTTCCTTTTCGTGCTGTTCAATAACGTTCTCGTTTACAATCTCTACCGTGCCGCCTTCCAGAATGCGAAGTGTAATGTCAATGGTAGAATCCTTGACGGAGAAGACGACTTGGAGGTGCGGTGATGGATGAACCCATAATATGACGTCCATGTCCATATCTTTCGCAGTTCCACTTTCTTCTGTGCTCTCTTTCGCCTCATTTTCTGCTTCTTGAGTCGCCTCTCGTTTTGCGCTCTCTTCTTCTCCTTGGCCTTCATCGTCGCTCAAGTCCACAAAAGCAGCCAACTCGTCTTTGACCGTCTTCGAGGCAGCAGGAGCCTTGCTTGATTTGGGTAAATCCCCCTTAGTATTTGACCCAAAACTATTGTTCAGCAGCGTAGAAAGGAAGGCAAACTGCCGCAGAAGCGGGAGCATGTCTATGAGCTGGCGCGGATGAGAGAAGGGCATCTTCGTAACCGCTTTAGAGTAAATGGGCTTGTAAATGAAGAGAGTGTTATGATGGCTTCTCATGGAAGATTTCCCCTGCTGATCGAAAACGCGGACGTCACGCAGGCGCGTAACCGTCCTCGACTCACTGGGATCTTGCTTATTTCCAGCCAACATGGGGAAGAATAGATCGTCAAATGTGGGAGGAGAACGTTGCTCGAACTCGGTCGGATCTGGGTTAGGCGGCTCAGCTCCTGCGTAGGCGTAGAGTCGCGCGTAGTCATTTTGTGGAAGGATGACGGGCGGGTCAAACGTAACAGTAAACGTGACTTGAGGAGACATTGAGAGATCTAGTCCCAAAACACCCATGCTAGCGTTTTTGTTCTCATCTGATGATGGGAGCGAGATATTATCAGGCTCTTGCCAATCAAGAATAGGGAAAGGAGTAGGATTCAGTGCTTGATCTTGATCCTGGTGGACTTCCTTCACCACATCCTTGGAGATCCAGTCTTCGGACACTCTGACAGGCGGCGGGCCAATTGTTTCGATAGATGTAGGCATACCAAGTGCTTCAATAGGTGCACAATCAAGCAAAAGGGACCAAATTTTCTCATCCTCCGAAAGTGATGTTATTTTGCTGTCTGAAGGGGGTATGAATCGCAGCTCCTTCCAGTACTGCAAAGCGAGGCCAACCCTATCTCGTGCGTGCATGACAGGATAGCCGTGTCGAGTGCAGAGAGCGGCCAGAGACAGGTAATGATCCGCTTTGCCCTCCATCTCCGGTTCCTTTCGTAAATTCGCCATGTCCCACTGGTGTAATCTTTCCAAGCTAGTGAAAATACCGGCTAGAGCCTCATAACAGTCGAGACCAGGAATAATGCTGAGCTTGTCTAAGTTGGCTATATGCCCAAAATTAGATGCGAATTTATCCAGTGTTTTCGTAAGAGGGCTTTGGTTAGGGCCAAGCTTCAAGTCTGTTAACAGGATTTGGCTGGCTGCTTCCATATGCTTAGAAACCGATGGCGCCGATCCATGGTAGGCTAATGACACATTTTGGACAATGTTGTTATCAAGTACGATGTCGACGGCAATAGCAGAGCCTGCAATCGCCAATGTCTTTTTCTTGCGTCCGTCTGGGGCTGTATTCTCTTCAGACAGTAGTTCGAGGCCGAGGCGCTGAGCAAGCCGTTCCAGGCCGGCTTCGCTGACGAAGCCTTTCTTTTGCTGCGATGACATGTTAGCCTAGGGGGCTTCCTATCTGCGATGTCGGTGCACACCAACGTTTAGTAGCTCGAGGATATGATCCAATCGTTTTAACTTGTCATCCTCTCGCTTTAGTTTGTCATCCTTGCCAGCGAATGGGACGTTTAGTGTATCGAGCTCGCCGACGCTGACGTTCTCGAGGCCGATGTCGAAGCTACCGCCAATTCCCAGAGCGCCCATAGCGGCAGCAGTCGAAGGGCTGTCAAAATTTAAAGCGCCCATGCCTGATTGACCCATCAGAGTCGACGTCGCTGGTGATTTCTTCACTTGTTGTGGTGATCGCTGTCCTCGAGGAGAGAAGGCGGCCTGGGCGGCGTTGGAGAATGGCGTCGAGATTGGAGGCGTCGCGCCGGCAATCTGTGATGGCGTTGGGCCCTGATGCGACGGCGTGCGTCCCTGCTGTGAGGGCGCATGCCTCATAGGTGTTGGTGTCGCCATAATAAATCCTGTGTATGCGCAATTCGTAGTTGGGGCGTGGTCGTGGAGAGTCGTGGAGATCGTTGAAGTTATCAAGTCGTCGGGGCGGCGGATTGATGAGTAGTTGAGGGAGGCGAGAAAGCCTGAGGATCTTTGATCAACCTTTCGAATACATCAGTTTGTAACCCATAAAAGGGCACATAGCATGCTAAAGAGAGCGACTGGAAAGGTATTGCAAGCGTTAGAGCAAGCACGCGGATACAAAGTTGTGATGTTGCTGAAGCTCAGCTTAGCAGCTATTCCAGGTTCGACAGCCTTGTGGCGGGCCGACAACTAGCGCCGAGTCCACTAAAAGGGTACTCCGCCCACCGCGTTCTTTCAGCTGCCAGTGAAGTACCAAGCTAGATGACCTTGGATTTATGCCGACGAGGCTGCATCCTGATTGTTCTTCGCATCAACCATCGCCTTTCATTTACGCCTCATTCAGAGCCGCCACGCCGTATATTCATGGCAGCAGTTGGGAATGTAGCTCGCCAGCTACGGGACCGGACGCTTCGCGAAAGGTCTATACGTGTGCTCGTTTCCCCTACGCCAATCACTTTCGCCGAACGTCGCTCAGTTCTGCAGGTGTTGGAGCAATATGGACCGGTTGAATTTTTCAAGATGCTTCCCGTAGGTCCCAGCCCACTGGTTGCATAGACGCATCATACGTGAAGAGAGGACAGCTACCTAATCTAGAAATGAATTGCGAATTCTTAGACTCATTATTCTCAATATGTATCGATAACGAAGGAGTCTACGACTGCGGAGAGGTTAGTAGCCAGCAGCCCTCTTACATACAAGATTACGGAGCCTACCCGCAAGGCTGCGGAGGACATTTACGTTGCGGATTTGGACGAACCCGAAGGCTTCAATACCCTCCAGCCGACAGTGACTGGGGAGCGGACCAATAATGCGAGCTCAGGACTAAACGGAGATCCAAAGCAAGGGCAGACAGAGTTCAAGATACACATCTTCCCTGCGCCAGAGCACAATCATAGATTTGCCATGGCTGGATCACCCCTGCACATCCCCTGGCCCGATGCGTACGAACAGGAACAGTCATTCATTGCAACAACACTAAAGCAGTCGCTGCCCAAAAGTATAGCCAGCACAGGGCTTGTGCATTGGCTCGTGAGTGAAGGGAGTGCGGTGCGCATGGAGCGCAAAGTGAAAAGAAAGCGGATTAGGGAATGGCTCCCTAGCAAAATGAAGAAAGGCACGACTGAGTAAGCCGGCAGAGCTATTCCGCGTCGCAGGATTGCGACGATTACTCCAGAGTGTCTCGAGTGTCGTTGCAAGTGCTACGGCCGAGAAGTACTGTAGATATCGACTGTGTTCCACAATGGATGCGACGTGACTGAGATGGCTTGATTTATTCTCTACAATAATCAAGAGGGAGATGCAACACGGCGCTGCAAATGTGGGAGGCTGGGCTGTGCGTCTTGTCGCACAATATGTCACTTTGTTCAGTGCTTGGAAGGCTGGCTCTCGCGTTGTGTTGTCTCAAGAGGGCACACCAATTTTAATTTCCTAGACCAAGGCAGGGAAATAGTACTACTACAACTAACACCGTCAACATACACATCGATTGACGGACTCCCAAAATGGAACAGCTGCTTGCACCAAGACAATAATGAGGGATGAACGGCTGCCTAAATTAGAAGTCAATGATGCTGGATCTGCGCGTTCTCGTTGTCTACCGCGCACATGGTAATGCTACAGTTCAGGGTACAATGCCTGGATGTTGTTGGTGTCACTTCATCATCATGTGCGCATAACTATGTGTAATTTCGAACACACGAGCCCATCGCCGATGATGTGGCCATGCATGCACACTAAGGGGTGGGATGCTTGAGGCTTGTCGACGAAAATATCTGTTTACGTCACATGAATGGTCGCCATCCAACGCAGCTAAGCATAGCCATCACACCGTCGCCGTTCTTGTGGCCAGGGGCGTGGCGCACTGTCTCCAGATTCTAGATTCCGCTTGGCCTGTCTGTGTGTCTCACCCCCGTCTCACGACAGAGGAGTGATTTTGCGCAAAAAGCTCCCTACGTGGACGCAGGAGAGGCAGGGTAGAAGAGAGTCAATGTGCGCATTTTCTTACTTCATTCATGTGATTCTGGTTGACGATAGCATACAGCATGTTCCAAGATCATTACAAGCCGGCCGCCACGCCAGGCCCTGGATCCATGTCGAATCAGGCCTTGGCTGAGGAAAACGGATCCACGTTGTGGCTCCAAGCAGGGCAGCGATCTCTTAGCGCAGCCACGGACGCTACGTCACCCGCAGCTTTCGCGAACTCCAAGGCTCAGCCGTGATCCGATGGAGCTGCAATACGCGGTTGTACGGCTTTGAGCCTTTGGAATTGTTTCTCTGCCGACAAGGGTCTGGGCGCAGTGCCTTGGTTGGCCCGAGACACGCGTGAGCGGAGCTGCGCCATGCCGAAAGGAAGGATAGCTCCCTGGCCAGAAGCCCGCAAAGCCTGTTCGCGATGCCTTCCTGAGCGTTGCGCTGGTGTCAACCTACGTGTGCCTGTACATGCGTAGCTGACACTAGTAGAGCACCCACGCGGCGATGTTACTGCTCCCAGAAGGTATTTGCTCTGCTCTGATTGAGCCACAGTCGGCACCAACATGTGCTAGGCGAGAGTGGACCGGTCTAAGCCGCGCATCTAAACAGCCAAACCATGTCCATTTCCAAGACAGAAGCCAAAAGCCGGTGGAAATTCTTGGAGCTTGGCAAGTCTATAAGCCTAATTTTATTCGTGTTCATGACGTCGCCTCCCTGTGGTACCCATCTGCTGTCGGCGGCCGCTCATCCTTGTGAGACAACAGGAGACGTGCGCCGTCACAGCTGGCTTATATGCTGACCGTCTGCCTCCTTTGTCCCTTGCTTTGGACACTCCTTCATTGCTATTTGTTCTCGCCCAATACCTCTCATTCTCTTTCATACTTCTGTCGACTTTGAATTCACTCGACACTCGACACTCGACACCACTCCCGTTACTTGTATCTCGTGTGTTTGCAGGTATCCAAAGCAACTTTAAAAGCACACATTGAAGTCAACTATACACCGCAGTAACCAGCTTCTGTGCATTTCAATCTTCCATCATGGGTGTCGGTACTTTCTTCCATTACTTTGGCACAGTACTGCTGCTTGCTGCCACGGCACTTCTGATTGTCGTATCGGTTACGGCGCCTGTCGTCAATGACCTCTCCATCTTGAAGGTCGACTTCGCTGGTCGCAACTCTGTAGACAGGATAACGTATGGAACATTTGGGTACTGTATCATCAATTCAAAGTATGTACTCCCCCACCGCTTCTCGCCTTTCGACGCGTATGTAAGAAGGAAGACTGACAATGAACAGTGGAAAAGATGACTGCACCTCCTCTCACATTGGCTATGATGCCACCGCCGCCCTGGCACAGGTTACCCAGGTCTCGTTCTCTAAAGCCGACCGTGATAGCGCCAAGGTTCTTACGAGGGTACTGATTCTGCATCCCATCGCCGCTGGCCTCACCTTTTTGGCATTCTTGCTCTGCCTGGGCACCAGCATCCTTGGCTCCTTTGTCGCCTCTCTCTTCTCGTTCTTGGCCTTTGTCGCCACCCTCGTCGCAATGGCCTGTGACTTTGCTGCCTTCGGAATCATCAAGCACGCTGTCAACTCTCGAGGCCCTAACAACATTGAAGCTCGATGGGGCCCTGCCGTCTGGTGTATTCTCGTCGCTGCCGTCTTGACCTTGATTGCGACTGTTTTGGTCTTCATTACCTGCTGTGCCGGTCGCACCAAGAAGAGCCGCACCCGCCGCAGCAAGGCAGACTACTAAGAGGAAATCGCTTTCCTCTATCAATACGATGAAACTGCTCGGTTTCCATAAAGAGCAATGATAATGCTAGCGATGTTTATACCCGTCTTTAGACAAAACAAATGTCAAAATGAAGAAAAAAAAAAGAACGAAGATATGAGTGGAAGAGAACATACAACAACGAACGTTTTGTTTATTATGTGCGAGAATGGGAAGAGTTTGATAATGATACCACAAAGGGGTGCGAGGTGTATTGTCTTGAGGATCGACCGCGCTGGGACCTGAAAGAATATTTCCTTTATTAGTCATTAATATCATAATGTATTTTTTTATGCGCTGAAACTAAATATGAGCGCACCCCCGTTGTGACCTATCTATTTACTGAAGACAATGTTGGCAAATATGAATTGAGTTAATCCCTGCAATAGCAAAAACAGCGACGCTTAAAAAGAACGATTTGGAACCTAAACGTAGGGGACAAATGCCACAGCCCAAAGCATCCTAAGGTGGGCAGATCTTTGGTCTTGGAAGTATTTTTTTTTTTTTTTTTTTTTTTTTTTTTTTTAAAAAAAAAAAAAAAAACAGCAAAAAAAACAGCATGTGTGTCAATTATCTCGATATATGACTTAGATTAGCCTCATATACTTTCAGAATTATGGTATTGGGCGTCTTCTAAGCCGACACAATAGTATTTTTTCCCTTCCATCGACCGAACAGGGATTTCAAAGTTATGATATTGGCCTCTCTTAAACCGACATCATATATCAAACCTTTGGGATATGGCGTCTTTTCAATCGGCATCATCAAATGCAGATATATTGATGTCCCCCCGTAAAATATCAGCAGTGTACAGGTCATCAAAACTGTGTAGAGTATCAGAGGCCCGTTCAAAAGGCTTAACAAAATCTAGCATTTTATTATAATTTAGTTGAACAATACCTGGCGACTCATGAGAGAACCGTTTAACGAAATGTTCACCGATACCTAGCGACCCATTGAATCGCTGCTGTTCTTGCACTGAGGGTGGCGATGGGAAAGAGAAATTTAAAGTAGGGCCACTTGGTTGTACATGTTTCTTGATTGACTTTCGCGGGACTGTCCGGCTTCTTTGAACATGAAATTTTCCCATGCGGTCTTTTAGTATCTTTGCTGAGCTAAAGAGGGGATATTGGCAACCTGGAGAGTGGCAAATTTGTTTTCGATGGTTTGTTTCATGAAGGATGAGGTCTTCGGGACTGTTGAAATCGAAAAAGCATGCCGGCACGTCCAGATTCGGCATGCGGACGCTGAAGTCCCAAAAATCTGCTTGAATTCCTCAAGTTCGTGGAAACTGATGCCTGGGTAGGTTGAAAGATTAAGCTGCTCGCGAATTGTCATCTGACATCTCTCCTTCATAAACGGTATGTCTCCTGCCTCAGTGTTGCTGTCGATCATATCGAAAGAAATACGGTTTGAAAATGAGATCTTGATCAAGCTCAAGGTGCTCTAAAATAAAGTCGATCCAAAGTTCAGTGGCGTACATATGGAAGTCATAAGCCCTACGAAGAACTCTCAACACTCTATCAACCTCTGGATACGAAGGCGTAAAGACCTTTTGACTAGCCAAATGGCAGCGGACGGCAGCTAGGCCATGTCGCGTTAACGACTCGCTTGCCGTAATAGACAACGCAGCGCTTTGCAAATGCTATCCAACTCAAAACGGAACTAAGACTCTGCACAGATCTCTTATCGAGACCAGCCAAGATTTGTGATAGCAGCTGTACGAAACCAGGGGGATTGTGTGGTTTCGGGTTCGATGGATTGAGAGAGCCAACGTCCCCCGTGTGATACGCTTTTCATACTTGTCATCAAACAAGAAGATCAATTATAAAGGGGCATTAAAGCTTGTTTTTTCTAAGTTGTTGTAGGACGTAGGACGTAGCTAATATATATCTTGTAATTAGAGTTTGGAGGTCACAACCCGCCTCCCAGCAGGGATAACATATTACATAAAGTTAGATAGAAGATGCTGGTACATGGCAAAAAGCATTTTGGTTAGGTTATGTTTGCTCGCTCACATCCCACTAAGTTCTCGAGCAAAGCCACTGGCGGCCTCTTATTATTCATCACGGTTACAAAACATATTGCGCTTCATATATTCTATAAGTTTTGCTTATAGAAATATGCCTTTAAGCACCTAGGGGCTGAGCTACCAACCAAGGGATCCATGCTAACCGGTGACTTACAAAATAAGCCTTACGATACAAAATGGCTTGATATCCCTAAATCTCGCGTAAATCTGGACACTGAGCTGACAAACGAAATAGTATCTGTTCTCTTCGTGGCGAATTACTCTCGGGATTATTAAGATTGGCCTAAAACAGGCATACATACCTCGCCTACGATTTGACGGCAAAGTAGTACAGAAAGACAGACATAATGTAATCAAAAGATTTCGTGGAAGTCCAGCCATTGGAGTTCTCCTATTAACACCATCGTGTGGCGCTGTTGGTTAGGTAATACGTTGCATATCGTTAATAGCCTCACACTACCTGAGGCTTCAAGAGCGTACCTTACGGAGCCACACTGGTAATTTTCAGCCCTTTCGATATTTTATATTAAGAATCCCTATTAACATGTACGTACTTATGAATCCAACCCTAGAAGACTAGGCACTGGCTCGAATCCACCGAATCGAACAAATAAAAGAAATAACCGCTGTTCGATTCATTGTACGAGATTCTTTGACGAGGTACATATTGAAGTTGACACGTGCTTCGAACACGTTCTATAAATAGATAGTTATACACTCACCAGTTTCTACATATAGAGGGTGGTAGAACTACAGCAGTCCAAGGCTGATCTTGCTTCAGCCATAAGCCTCCGGAATGAAAGCAACGGGCCTCAGCGGCCACTAGAAGTAGGCAATCCCCAACATCCTGACTACAATAGTCCCCCAGCTAACTTCATATACTAGTTGCTAAAAGCGCTCATATGAATTCCGTATCCATGTTGGGCCCCTAAAAATACATCGTTCTTGGCTACAAAGCCAAGCCCATATGAATAAGCTTAGATTGGCGACCCCTAGTCCAAAACACCATCCAGGGGTCTCTGAGGCGCGGGCTCTACGAAATCTCCGAATATTCCATCTTCCGGCGCAGCCGAACGAATTACAAATCCATAAGAAGAAAGATTATTGAACACACCAGGAGAGAAACTGGTTCGTATTGCCAAATTATTTCTCGTCAGCATGCCGTTTTTTTGTTCGCGCTTTTACTCAACATCGTTGCTCTTTGGTGTAAAAGAGCCTCATTTTTAACTTTGATGATCCCTAGTGATTCGTAATCGTTTCTATAATAACGCTAGCCAAGTTTTAAAAATAGCATTTAGCTTCAAAGGTATCTGAGCCGAAGATGAAGATCGATCAGGTGTTCAACTTTACAACTATAAATTCACAAGTGGAGAGCAAGTTTACAAGCCATTTGAGTCATAAACCACCCCAAAAATTATATTCTGTAACGCCTATTCCCCATTCTAAAACTGAACAAATAATATCATTTTTACACAATTTTTTCTTCTTCTTTCTTTCAAATTTTGCCCCTGCCTTTTACACTCCCAAATTACGATTCCGTCCATTAGGTAGAAAAAACAAAAATAGTCAAACTCCCCAATATCCCATTAAACCCCCCCCAAGAATAAATAAATAAGAAGAGAAAAAAAAAAATGAATCGTTGAGCCCATACCAGTAACGCCGCTTTAGAGCATCATGAGATATCCGGCAATGGCGACAATTATAGTGCCTACCGCTGGAGCCGCATTTGTAGGTGCGCCGTTCAAGGGCCCGTTCAAGGGTGGCGGCGTCTTGCTGGGAAACGGACGGCTCTTGGAGCTGGTAGATCTCGGAGCTGGAGCTGGTTCTACTCCTCCCGTAGATGTTGCTGCGGTGCCGTTCTTCGATGGCTGGACAGCCCTAGTGGTTTCTGGAAGAACAGGGGGAGCAGTAATGGACGGGCAAGTGCTGTTGCAAGAAGAGACGGACTGAGTGACAGTCGTGGAGAACGAAACCGTCTCGATCGGCCCTGATGCTGAAAATGCCGTGGGAACGAGGCTCCCGGGGCCAATGGTAAACACTGGCTCAGTCGGCTCGATGGTGGTAGTAACAACAACAGTAGTAGCAGCAACAGAGCTGCTCATGGTAGCTGACGCCAAATGTTCAAGGTAGATCTTGTGAAAAGACGACCAGAGCGAGTAGAAGCGAGAATCTATAAACTCTGAACTCGTTGGCACGGGCAGGCGGCTTTTGAACATGGACTTGAGATACCCGCCATCCATGTCCGCGCGGACCAGAGGAGAGCCGGCAACAAGGCCCAAGGCAAGCAAGAAGTGAGTGTGCATGGTTGAAGACGGTTGTTACTTGTTTGAAGTGGAAGAATGAAGAGATTTGCTTTTCTTATTTCAAGACGAGATGGAAAATAAATAGAGACAAGGAATGAAATCTCTCTCAACAGGAGGATTCACTCCAATTTATTCGTCTTCCAAACTCAACGCTCCATTTATTTATTCGACCAAGTTACTTTAAGTCGCCAACGCCATGTATCGTGTACCAGCAAGCTGGGCCCAGCCATGGAAGTTTGCATGTTGCTAAACTGAGGTTGCCGCCAACGGGTAGTCCCAAGGGTATCTGCCACACAGCCTCAGCTTCGCAACCTTGATCTAGACGATCACCTGATAGTCTCTGAGTTTGTACCCGTAGGAAAAGAAACCGGTATTTGCATGTCTTCAAATCCAATTGTTGTCCTTGAAAACTATCGCTGATAAATAATAAACCTTATTTGTGGACGGAACCATAGAACAAATATGCTCGCTATTTTGTATAGGATACCCATTGCCCCGCTACTCCCAGCCTTCCAACCCTAACTTTTTTTTCCTTTTTTTTTTTTTTTTATATATCTTTCGTATTTGTGCTGTACTTCCTGATGCCTAAGCTCATATTGATGCGAACCCCAAAACGCCGTATGTAGTCCGAAGGGAACAATTACTCTTCCTCGGGAATGTCTGAAAAGAAGCTGAATCGCATTCGGTGGCTCTGATTTTAAGAATTAGTGGTTGATCCGCGATATCACGAGATTTTGGCTTCTATGCAAGCCATGGACAGCACTTACGAATGGTAGCTTCGGAATAACAACGGCTAGTGTAGCAAGGAAGTTGATGACGAAATAAGTCGAGTCGTAGTGCGTATAATGCGTGCTGATTAGGAACAGCACGATAGGGACGCTCAGCAGGAATTTCTTGGTGGGCGTGTACTGGGCTCCGTTGTCGATCTGCTCCCACATGTTCAGGTTGTCGAAGGCTCCACCATTGAAGTCGAAAGGAATGCCGCGGACGTAGTGGAACATGATGTAGGAGCCGACCATGTACGTCATGTTGGTCAGCGTCCACGACGCCTCCTGCGAGCTGCCCGGGATAACATCGTAGAGGATCTTGAGAGCGGCGATGATGACAATGTGGATAGTCCAAGCCCCTGTCGAAGCGCACAGCACGTTAGCATCAGAATCAGCCACCAAGCACCAAACAGTGCAGAAATCAAGCTAGTCGGCGCCGGCAATATACCTTTTTGATTTGTCCAGTTGGCATTCATGTTTGGGACAACGGCCTGGTCGCTCATCTGCTCGAGCGTCTCGGGAGGCTCATGGTAGACCTGGAGGATGCTGCTAGACCTCCTCCGGCGGCCACCGGCGCTTCGATCGTTCATGTCGAGGAATCGGCTACTGGCGGGCTTTGCGCCGGCGTCGTAAGTCTGTGAGGATGGAGGGAGGCAAGTCGACGGCATGGTGGTGATTTTTTTCTTGGATGATTATGCGTCGAATGCTCCTTTCGCACGTCCGGACGCGCAATTCTAAGGCCTACCGCTTAGGTAATAGTTGGGGGGCGGTAATCTGCACGAGTCCCGGGTACTTGGCGGAACTCGTCTTTTTAGAGGCGGCGGAGGTACTGGAGCGCAAGCGCGGCTGACGAGCTCCAAGGAACACCTTTCTCTAAAAGTGGCCAATTGTTGGCTGGTTCGAGTCCCAAGTGGAGACGAGAGACCGAATACGAATAGCGCTGCTCTGAAATGCGTGGATGGCAGCAGAGGTGTCTTTCGGTGCCTGCTTTTAGGTCCGAATAGGTGACAGGCAACACACTTTGGTGGTGGTATGGAATTCTATGGAGTGCTCACGCAATCGCGGAAAGACGGCGCATTACGCGCATTATATGCAGAGGGGCAAGACACCAGATGCGACTCGCCGGCCCTCACTTCCTTGAGCCCCTCGCGCCAAACCCTAGATTCTTTTCGCTTAAACAGCGTCCTGAGGAAACTTGGAGACAAATCTGAACGGTGGCACGGACAGGCTGACGACGTTGGCTGCCGGGATCAGTTTATTATGGAAGCTGTGGAGACACCCTGGAAAGGGGCGCCGCAGTACCTGCAGGAACAGGAGAATCAGCCGACAGCAAATTGAAGCTGCTTGAGTTTCCGCGCAGCTAATGCATGCTAATTTGCCTATCTATGTGGTAGCACGCAGAGCTAACACCGGGGAGGATCATGTAGCTGGCTTCGAGGACCGCGCAGAAGCAGGATGCTGGACTTTCATCAACAATCCCGCAAGAATACGGACGGATAACGACAACCGGAGTCATCGAGGTTTCAGTTGTGACACTGATGGTACCACGGAGTAGTACCACCTGTCTATCCAACCATGCAAGCATCATGCCCCCCGTATCGCCTACCTACTAGGTAGTAGCTATCTAATTATGCTACACGTGCCAATCTAGCCGCCATCCGGGTGATCTAAAAAAATAGACGACATTTATCTGGTACGAAGAAATTAATTAGAGTACTAGCCCTTCTCGAAAGGTCGTAGCAGCATTAGATTGCCGGGCCCCTTGACTCTGGAAAGATATACTCCGTAGATATTACGGGGGATACAGCCACGATGGCCTGCATCTTCAACTTCCAGAAGGCTGCTTCGTCATTTCGGCGACAGGGATTATCTGTTATTAATGGCGTCAAATGATCCAACTACGCCGCTTGGGCTCCGCACAATATCTTCAAGGACTCGTTTAATAGCTCTCCCACAGATGGTTGGCGTAGACTAGGAAGATCCTGTATCTTTCGGGAGTTGCTCTATCATGCCTAGCCTGTCATATACGGAGTGCCACGTGCATTTACTACAGTACTTTTGTTTATTTTTAGGAAACGCATTATGGAATCTCCAGGCTAGCCCGAATACATTCATGCCAGAGCTTTTTATTGGTGGTTTTGCAATCGACTGCTCCTATCAAGGGACGTGATTTCGAGCTCTCTCGCTTATCTCATCTATGACATAAATAGTGTCTTCTAAGAAAGGAGTCATCTAAGAGTACCGCCCTGCACTACTATGCAACAGTAGCATTGCGGATCTTTTCTTGTCTTTTCTTTTTTTTTTATCTAATGATTGTAGTCGTAGCTTTTTCAAGAGCTCTCCTCAAAAGGGCTTCTCGAGACTCGACTTTGAATACTACCACTTCTAGCGCGTAATAGCACTTCATTCTTGCACTACTGCGCATCTGCAGCACAATGGCTAAACTTCGGAAGAAGATGGGCCCTGCAATTTGCCGCTTACATTTTTTTTTTTTTCCAATTATCGCCCTAATGATTAGCAGCCCATCTTCAATTCAATTGAAGATCGCCATTCCTCAACTTGACAACTACAGAAAGCTCTGGGGTGGCTAAAAATCCAGATTTAGACCATTAAATTGCTGAGCTCATACAATACCGGAGGTGCATTGATGAGATAACCCTGGCTGCGAGTCTCAGTGCCTTCCTGCTTGCTAGCTTCGCGCTATCCGCGTCTGGATTCTGGAGACCACCTAGACTTTCAAAAGCACTATTGCTGCTACCTATCTCTTCACCATCTGTTCACAAGTAACACACGGTGAGAGGCCGCAGTATAGCTGCATTCTGTGTTATTACTATACGCTACAGACGGATGCATTGATGAGAGATTGAGTGTTTCTAAAGACCAGGCTCTCACATCACTACGCCTAAAGACCCTGGCTTAGCCCTGCCTCACTCAACGCCATGGCTGCAGCTCAATCAAATTCAGGGGACTTTATCAGCATTCTTAGTAGCGAAGACGAGCGTCCCTTGCCAAAGAAAAGGAGATCCCCAAACGACAGCCCGGCTAGCAACGATGGAAAAAATGCTTCTGCAGAGCGGTCCAAACGTGCTCGGATAAGCCCTGCCTCTGCTGATAGTATCACAGGCGCCAAGGTATCAGAAGAAGGAGAAATTGATGAGGATTCTGAGGGTGACGTTCACACACCTGATACAGGCAGCGAGGGGAAGAGATCAGGGGACTCTGCATCAGGCGCCGTCTTTGTTCCCAGAGACCCCCCGGTTTATACAAATGACTCGCTATCACTTCAACTGCCGGTGTTTTCACAGCAAAGGGAGGGCTCTTGGCTTGAAAGGTTCAAGGAATGGGTGCAGCTTCTGCATACGGCAAACTCATCGCATGCTGCTGAGTTAACACCTACACTGATTCGAGCTGCTTACGCTCAATACATCGATATCCACAGCAGAATAAAGTCGAACAAAAAGCGCAGCGCGAAGCTGGCCGCTGATAACTTTGAAGACGCATCTCTGGCACAGTTGCTGGCGTCTCTTCGGCCAGAGGCTGCGCAGGCACAGCAGCCAGCAAATGGGTTGACTGAGCCGCAAAGCCGGTCAGACGCGTCGGACCAGCTGCAAACAGCCAACTACAAGAATGATGAACCAGCTGCTAGCGATGGCCAGCCTGATGAATTGGCAGCACAGGCCAGTGGCGGCTATGTCATCGATGTGAACCCACAACTTCAGGCTTCAAACGCGCAGAAGCAGCAGCCAGAACCTCAGCCTACCAAAACCACCATGCCGCGCCGAGAAGGCGTTCCGTCGGGGGACGACGCCCTGCAACAGCAGCATCGATACTTTCCTTCGGCTGCCGATCCATCCAACATGTGCTTGCTCTGTGGGCGAGAGGGTCACACTGCAGACGGCTGCACAAACGACTCGTGCAAGTTTTGCGGAAAAAATGACCACTGGCATTATGTGTGCACGTCCATCAAACTCAGATGTCGCAAATGCAACCAACTTGGCCACAAAGCTGCCTCGTGTACGGAGAAGCTAGCCCTTACCAAACAAGAAGGGCGCGCGTGCAGCTATTGCAACTCGCCCGACCATCTGGAGACTGAGTGCACAGAGATTTGGCGATCATTCCACCCTGAAACGGGAACGATCAAGACTGTTACTGCATTGCCAGTATCATGTTCTATTTGCGGTAGCGGACAACACTTTGCCGGAGACTGCAGACAGAGACAAGATTCCGCGCCAAATCCCACCTGGTCTTTGGCAAACAAGGACCAATATCTCGACCCAACATGCAGCTCATCTGCGATTTCCAGTGTTGCGGAGCCTTTGTCAAACCAATCGTCAGACCTGAGAATCCGCGGCCACGCTTCCCGTGCCAACACTGTCCACTACTCTGAGGGCGAGGACTCTGATGATGTGGAATTCCTGGGTCATCGAGCTGCACCGAAACCGGTGCGGACAGGCCGTATTACAGTGTCGACCAACCTCCACACCCCCAATGGAAGCCATCAGCCTCCTCTCCCGCCCGGTCCACCACCTCCTTTGCCTCCACACCCGTCGAACAGGCGCCCGCCTGCACCAGGCACAGCAAGACAGGCCTATTCTCAAGGACAAGTCGGATCTTCGCTTCCCGCCAGACCACCAGCGCCTTCACGGGATTATAGCAGTGTGCCGCCACCCTCTTCCGTGTCTGGAAGAGGAGGACGAGGCGGTGGACGAGGCGACAGAGGTGGACGAGGCGGTAGAGGAGGAAGCAGAGGCTACCGAGGAGGAAAGTTTAGAGGTGGCAGATATTGAGGTGGCATTTCGGCCCCATAATAGTGGAATGTTGGGAAATCCAATGAATTCCGGGGATAAATCGAATTGCAAGCACAGATGATCCTCCCAGGAGGATGAATGAACCAAGCAGGTGTTGGACATTTTGATACCCTCTTACATTATAGTCCTTGAATTCTAGAGGCAATGATTCGATGAGGGACGGCTTTGCTGTCCAATGTTATAGACAAACACCCAGTTTTAGAAGCCAGGAGCTTACCCAATGTATGGTAGAACGGATATACACAACGTAGGAGACGACCATTAGAGAGCATGGAGAGAGCACATTACGGAGGTACATGTAGACTGCATATTCTCATGCAAGTCCTCGCGTGGAGATGCTGCATGTCTCAGTGTGCCTGAATATCGAAACAGGAGCGCTACTGGTACTCCTGCTATGCCAGACAACGTATTTCGTGTTTTTCAATCATAGGACAGCATCCAGAGTAAAGTCTGGGGCACCAAGTAGCATGAAAATCAGTATCCAGGTCAAACAAGACCTTGACTTCGCCTTCAATAACTGCTTCAGAGCAGTGCTGCTTTGTAAAACGAACAGCCAGCCATTTTAAGCGCGCTGCGACGGAGATGCTTTCGTGATTTACCGGAAGAGAGCAAGCGGGTGCTTATAGGCGATAAAGGTCCGTCTCAACGCGCCCAGGGCTGGGGAAAGCGGATATTTTGTGGACTGGCTCATGGCTATCATGGGAGGACGTGGCTAGCGCCGAGCATTGGATGCGATTCTACCACTTCCTTGCCGTGTTGGGCATGAAAGTCGGGAACATTGGGATGAAAGACGAGACGGTCTTGGGGCCCAAGAGAGACGTAAAACGTACGGGGTGCGATGAAACACATCGACGTGGCTCCGGGATCGTTTGCCAAAAATCTATTACAGCGACTGGTTATTGTATTGAAACTATCTAGTACGTCGAGTTTTCATCTATGCTCGTAGATAGAGAATGGCATTTTGGTGCATCTCGGTGGACGAAATCACGCTTACGCTTCACGCCAAGCTTTAATTTGGCCCACCTACTCCGTACACTACACCGCATCGCACTCCGAATCGCTCGAAACCTCACCTAAAGATGGTCGTGTGGGAAGCTACTATCGATATCAAGCCAAACCGACCTGAAAATTGACAAAAAGAAAAAAAAGAAAAAAAACATCACCAACCCTTGTCCCACGCTTATGCACCTCTGTTCCCCCCCCCACACTATCGCCAACCCACTGGAGGGCTGGAAACAAGAAAGCCATGCGACTCTCCCTGTGGACACATGCAGCTCGCTGTCCAACTAGGGGTGCCTTTGCTGGCGCGGCCCTCTGACGCGGACGCGGGTTTGCCTGGCGTTTTCGTCGCGAGAAACTTGGGCTGTAATATTTTTTTTTGTCTTTTCTTCATGTGTGTTATAGTGGTGAGTCATTGGCCAGTTGTTCCTGGAGCCGGCGACTTTGGCGATGCAGGGTGCTGCAGGATGATTGGAGCGCGGAAGAGGGAAGCTGGCACTACGGAGAGAAAAAGGTGAATTTTTTTCTCTTATCCTTGTATTACTTATATCTAGTGGATGAGCGGCATCCAGTGATTGCACGCGAAGTGTAGTGGCTTGGGGAGGGTTATACGCCTAATGCCGGGCTTGGGAGAAGGAAGAGGCAGGGTTGTGGGATGATATATAAGTATGTACTGCTTGCTGGAACGCAATCACGGATCCCTCTCGGCGTATTTTGGATACACCAGGGGTTTCTACTGCACTGTATCCTGTGTCTTGCTGTTTTAATTAAGAAATAATAATAAAGAAAGCCTTCAAAATCTCCAGCATCCATCTAATTGGAACCTTCTTGCCTCTCAAATCTCCCAGCTGTTCGATACCTCCCTGGTATTTCACAGCTCCTTCAAGTCCATCTCCAGCCACTCTTCCATCATATCATTGAAACTAGGGCTCCGGCCATAGTGACTGCCAAACATACCTCCTTGCAATACTTGAAACAAACACCCCAACTGCAGCCATTGCTTGAGCCCACGATATGAGACAGATATGGCTTCCACTGAACAACTTTTCATCGCCACGCTGGGGAGCCACCAAATCAAAGACGTGCTCTTCACATACCTGTCCATCTCAGACATCTGCGCCATCCGCAAGGCCTCATCTGCCTGCTGCAATTTGGTCACCAAGCGTCTCTTCACCCGCGTTCATGTCACTTTCACGGCCAGCACCTTCACCAGGCCCTCGCGCGTTGCTGCCCTGGGCCGCATTGGACATCACATTGAGCACTTGACATTCTACTTTGCTCACTCAGAGGCGACGTTTCTCCCACCGTTGGTCCATCCAAGGACCGGTGAAGAGATCACCTTCTTGTATAAGCCTCTCACCACCAGCACAACTAGCAAGAGACGGCCCAAGTACTCCAATACTGAACTCGGAGAGATATTGACCCAGCAGTATCCTCCTCTGTTCCATGCGGCCACAAACGTCCCCAGCTTCATCCATGCCATGGATCATGTCCCAAATATGAGGCATCTAACCGTTCGCTGTCCCGGCCAAGACCCCAGGGAAAGGTATAGGAGAGACATTGTCGACTATGCCCTCATCAGCTTGCGCATCGCCATCGAGCGCTCACCGATGACAAAGCTCAACAAACTCTCTCTCTCATCACTTCATCCCTCTGCTTTCAACTACCTCAGGTACATCAATGGGATTGGCAGCCTTCCATCCGCCAATCGTAGATGGCAGCAGATCAAGAAGTTACACATCACCGTCGAGTCGTGGGACTTCTACGGTCCTTCTCCCGGCCTTGACCATCTCAAAGTCCTCGACGACTACATCCGCTGCTTCTCTGAAAGACTAGACAAGTTCACTTTTGCCTGGATCGGTGCCAAAGGACCGTGCCCCATTGCCTTGTCCGCTGACCCTCTCTTCGCGCCGCCTCGCAGTGCTACCAAGAAGCTCTTCCATGAGGTTACTTCTCCCATGTCTCCTCTCCCAGTGCGCCCTCCCCGGTCTCCCATCCATTTCCCTAAGCTGCGCTATCTGCAAATCCGTAATGCTGCCATGAACTCTCCCCAGCTAAAGAGCCTGATTGCTTCCCATCAAAAGACAGTCAAGCAGTTCGGCTTTGAGAACGTTGTCCTTACCAATAACGGCAGCTGGGAAGAAGCCCTAGCATCCGCGAAGGCTGATGACAATTGGTCTCGAAGCAGCACCGCAGTGCCTTCGGAGTACTCTCTTGTAACTAGCAGAGGCGAAGAGGGTGGACTGCCCAGCCCAAGTGCGGCGGCCGAGGCTGCCAGCAGAGAACTGATGGACTTGGACCTAGAACTCGGTGGCCTTACTTTGGATGATAATGCGAGAAATGCAGTTTCAGGATTTAAAAACGATTTTGCTGTGCCAAGAGAGTCTGATACGAGCGTTTCTACTAATATCTCACGAAGACGTGTTCGCCGACACCAGAGAAACCATTCCACGGGAGAGAAGATGGAACAAGCCCCTGAATATACGTATCAATATCCTCTTTCGCCTCCCTTATCCTCCCACAGCCACAAGTCTTCTTCCCCTGTACATGGCCAAAAGCCATCAAAGCTGCGTTTCAAGCCATCTTCTGAATCCAGCCAAATAGCTTACTCCGCCATTCCCGAGCCGCTGTCCATCACATCTCCCATCATCCCCTCTTCACCCCAGCCGGTCCTCCTCCAACCGGCCATCTACTCCCCCTATTCTCTTCATCAGGCTGGCACCAACGAGGACATGTCAACTGTACAGCGCAGCCTGGAAAAAGAAGAAAGCCATCGCCTCTTTGCAGAAGACGCAGATGCTAGAGCGAACGCCTTGCAGAAAGCCAAAGAGGCCGTGTTGGCGAAGCTCAGCAGGGAGTTTTATGATAAGAAGAGCAGGATGGCAGATGCAGTTTCCGCACGCCGATATATGAATGTGAGGGAGGTGAGTGGATGCGGTAGGGACATGGTGATGGACGACTGGAGAGCAATGGACAGCCGGAGTGCGTTGGTGCCCTTGATTTATAGCCCGTCTTAGGGGTGAGGATGATGGATGGTGTTATTACGATGATACGATGATATGATTCTGGTAACGGCTACAGAAGTTTGTTTTTGTCTTTTGTTTTCTTGTGTCATTCATTTAGCAGCTTTTTCCTTGATGTACCTTTTTATGTATTGATATCAGGATGGGGGATATGTACAGTACGATCATGACATTCTTTTATATGTAATCTAGTGTTTATAACTACAATACAACTCTACTCAAACGATTTGGAGCAATAATATGATGCATGTCACTTTTCCCTAGAGAAGTAGCAATCAAGTGCTCTCCCTAGCAATCCTATCCAACACCTTCAGATACTCCTCCACCTCCTTTGACCCTATCAGTGTAATATCCCTCTTCTTCCCTTCAAACGTAATCACTGGAACCGCATCTACATCCCTCTTAATCTCATTCAACCTGGTCTGCACCTCACCCAGACCTAGCTCCTTATCCAGAACAACTTCCATCGCTTCATCCTCCGGAATCCCCGCCTCTACGCAGGATTCTACGAGGACGTCATCCTCGGAAGGATGCAGCCCTTGCTCAAAGTACCGCACATACAGAGCATCAATAAGCTTATTCACCGTCTCAGGGCCCTTGGATTGCTGGAAATATTGAATCACACGGTGTGCGTGAAGCGTGTTTCCCATGACGCCGTCAAATCTCAGCTCGATGCCCACCGGCTCGGCGCGTCTGCGCAACTGCGACTGGAAGGCGTCCTCTGCATCGACGCTGCCCTTGTGTTTGTGCTCAAAGTACCATTGTTTCTTGTCGATTGATCCAGGCGGGAAACTTGGACTGAGCTGGTAGGGTTCAAAATGCAGGGTGTAGGTGATGGTGGAGGATAAGGGAGAGGACCGGAACTGGGAGAGGGCTTGATCCAATCTGTGGGGTTATCAGTTAGTAACAGAGATTTCCTTTTCCATACGTTCCGTGGGTGAATCATGCTTTTTCTTTGCTATGTATGTCCTTCACGGCAATGAGTGTTAACTAAGGGCTTCGCATAGGATCTTATTACAAACAATGGGGCGTTTACCAGGGACACACCGTATCCAGTGTAAAGGCAATCTGTGACTGATACATCTTGTTCAGAAGGTATATATGCTTTAGAATCTTAATAGATGTACACAAGTTTGGAAACGATGTCGCTAATCTTTAGACATTAAAATGGAAAAAAACAATTAAAGAGCCGAAATCCTCATGCCTCGAACATCAATCGTCGCTGTTGTAGTAGCTAATAGTATGAAGCACTGACTAAGGACTGCGGAGAACCCGGCAATCGGGCGGATGGAATACTGAGGGGTTGGCCTTGATAAGGTATGTATTATTACAAATTACAACACAAATGAGACTAGATCGATTCGAAAAAATGCTTTCATCAAATTTCCATTGCTAGTAAGTAGATTAAAACGAGAAGAAAAACAAACAAGAAAGATGCTGGAAGGGGTATCTTTGTCACAAGATAGCCGATGCTAGTCAAACGTAACCTTGGTTCCCGTATGCTGGACCAAGCCACCCGTAAGACGAGCGACAGCAATGTCCTCTGCGGCCTTGAATGGCGCAGGCTCTGATGATTTGACTCCCCTGCTGTCGTCTCTCTCGTCTGGCCTGCTTCTCCTGGGAGGCCTTGACGTGTCGTCTGCCCTCTTGGGAGCATCCTTGCCGAACCTCTTCTTATATCGCACCCGGTCATCCTCGGCCAACTCGAGCTTCAGCTCCCGACCCAGCATGCGGTTTACCCACCACTTTCGAGTCTTGAACTGCTTCTGGTTTGACTTTTCCTTTTCCTTTTCCTCATCTTCCGCCTCGTTGTCGCTCTTGTCATCGCGGAAGTCGTCTTCGGTTTCCACCTGTTCCTTGATCTTGACAAAGCCCTTGACGGCCCACGCGGCGGCCTCGGGCTCCTTGAACTTGACCCAGCCGTATCCTTTGCATTTTCCAGAGTCTTCAAACGTAGCTAGCTTGGCCCACTCAATCTCTCCGCACTTTTCAAAGTTTCTGATCAAGTCGTCTTCGGTCGTCTTGAAGCTGAGGTTGCCCACGAACACTTTTCGGCTGGTGTTTGCCTCTAGGCGCTGATCGGCCTTTGCATCTGATTTCCCTTCTGCCTTTCCGGCCGTAGCCTCGGGCTCCTTCTCTTTAGCGGGGCGGCCCTCGAATGACTTGGCGTCCTTGATGAGCAGCTTGCGACCAGTCAACTCTGTCTCTGAGAGCGCAATGGCTGCAACCTTGGCGCCGATATCCACAAAGTCCACGTAGGCAAATCCCTTGTTCGCAGGCTTCTCATCCTTGCGTCGGTTAGCGTCCTTTACTGTAGGCAGCTTCACCCTCGTAATCGATTCCTCGGTGATGACGCCTCCAGCGTTGTCTATTAACCATGCGCGAAGCTCCGCTCCGGTCAGCCTGAACGGCAAGTTGCCAATCCAAACTCCATGCTCGGATCGGACCTTGTCCTTGCCATCCTTTTGTTCGTCTTTATCCTCTTTCTCGTCGTCGCTTGAGGGCTTGGTCGGCAATGACTTTCCCTTTTTGAGAGCACGGCGCGCTCGTTTAGAAGGTGGCTCTGGTGCGTTTACATCGACTTCGATTTCCTCGACATCGGCCTTCCGCTTGCTAGAAGTGGCCGCGTTATCCACTTCCGCCAATTGAGGGGATTCTGTTTCTGTGGCTGCCATTATGAGGGTGCTGTTGACGGAATGAGAGCCTGATATGTGTACCGACCGATTACCCAATATCGCTGAATAGGCATGCCCAGCAGAAATTTTTTGGGACCCTGTTCAGAATCTCATAATCGATAAGGCGATAACTACCCGAACTTAAGTGGGGTCAGAGGAGCCAGACAAGCGGCTAGTGCTAAGATTGATGCTCTGCTCTGCTCTCAGAAGCCAAAAGAGACCGGCTCTTCTAAAAAAGCCAATCCGACGCCAAAAGATGATGTGCCACGAGCATGCACGCCATTGCTGCTGCTTTTATCCGGCGAAGACCATCTGGAAGCCAGAACCATCCCATAAGCGTAATAAGCATAGGGGAGGATTCCCGCCACACACTCTCGCCGTGTCACGCCAGGCCACCGCAGGCTTCTGAATGGCCAAGGCGACCAAGTGGCGCATGGCCACGTCTTTGCCCGGCATTAGCGTGACACGCATGGTTGAAAAAGGTTTCAATAGACATGACATCGCAAAGCAGCTAGAGAAGAAAAAAATGTGGGAGAAGTCAACCAGTGATTCGTACGAGCGACCGAATGCAGGCTGAGTCGTGTACCTTGCTAGGCACGGTGGTGCTGTTGATTTGTCTTAAGCACGGCTGCATTAACATGCTGCAACTCCACATTGGCATCAAACCGCAGCTTATACACGGCGAATGCAATAGCGTGGACCAGCGTGGACTGGTGATTCAACCCATTTGAAGGGCTGGAACGTGCGCACCGAGATGCGCAAACCGGTCGAGTTTGGCGTCGCAATGGCACTGGCCAGGTGTTTGCGCGAGGGTCTCTTGATGTTTTACATACGTCCTCCTTGGAGTCAATGAGATGGGCTGGCCTGCCGCAAGGAGAGCACGAGTTGAGCCGTATTGGGCCGGGTCTAGTTCTGCACACTTAGTCGCTCAGGCGAAATGACATGACTCTGGCTCCCTTCCAGCTGCTCAATGCATTGACTTCGCTGCTCTGCTTGGACTGGACCGCCCACGAATGGCCCTGCTCGTACATGTGCCCTGCAGCAGAAGCAGTCGTCGTGGCAGTGGCAGTACGACGGAGCACCAGCTCCGTCTGGGTAACCGCCATGCCGCCTGTGCGAGGATCAACTGCGCAGTTGTCGTGCTTTGTGTTGTAGAAGGATCAAGGCTCGGCACGGCGTAGCAGTTCTAATAACTGCCTAGTGAGAATCGGACGTTAGTGGCCTCCCACGCCCAAGATCAAGGCTCGCCATGCGGCTCTCCGAGCAAACAAACAGATCGGGGTCCGCAAGGGGCCCTCCTTGCCTTGCGCTATGAAACTTTTCCCTTGCACGGCTCAGGCACGCTGCAGGGTCAGGGCGCTATAGCGCCGCAGAGAAGACAAGAAAGCCTGCTGCACAAGAGAGAGACTCGGCCAGGCAACACAGTGGCACCTATAAGCGAGCTCTCGAGTCCGGATCAGCTGAAACGATTGCCCAAGGTTTTCTTCCTCTTAGTTGCCGTGAAAGCTGTAGCGTCTCCATCCTCGTACATACAGCGCGCAGTGCAGTGCTGGCGTTTTTGCTAGCGCCGTTGCAGCCCAACGGGCCAACCAGCTGCCGGCTCACCCGCCGAGGCCGCTGAGGCTTACGCTCTGGCACTGACTGACGTAGAGGCGCACCTGCACCGAGCGTGCCTACGTGCCACCGTCCTCTAGCGGGCAGCGGCGCTGTGCTCTGGGGCGCCACGGGCCTGTAGGAAGCCGGCAGGCCTCCGCTAGCAGCCCGCCGCGACGCTGCGCAGCGAACGCTACGGCAGCCGTCACGTGTCCGGTGCGCTGCGGCGGCTTCAGAGGCCGCTAGCAGGTTCTGCCATCCCTGGCGACGCAACCTGGCCAGCTGCAAGTCTCCGCATCCTTTAACTGCTACCCACTCGCTCGCAACAACTCAACTTCTGCCCTTGCACTGGCCGGGCACCCATGCAGAGGCCCCGTTGACCGCTCTCTGGCTCTTTATTCCACCGCAGTAGCCCGTCACATCTTTTCTTCGCCGTCCTCTTTCTCCTCTTTCCACTCCGTCCCTTCGCCCCTCTCATCCGGACGGTGATGAACGCGGCCCTTGGGATCGACTAGCGTGGCGGACATCGTAAAAATACAAATATTCTATCCTGGACAGGCCATCTCGACGACAGCATCCGCCTTCAGCACCAGCGCCCCGGCCATCCCATCCCAGACGGCGGCAGTCGGAACTCACAACATCGCACGGTCGCTCGACGCTCTGCTGTCACGATGAATGTGCTGCTGTCGCCGCAGTTACCGGTTTTCCCTCACCAGCACGAAAACATGCATCTAACCCAGCGAAACCGTGAGTCACGCTCTTCTGTCTTGATGCCGATATTGCTTTCTTTCTTTCTTTCTTTCTTTCTTTCTTTCTTTACATTCATTCGCATTATTCTTGACGTAATATCACTGGGCTGACGCTTATCCTGCAGTCCCCTCGATTCATAACATGAGCAGCCGGAAACGAAAGGCCGACGAAGATGGAGACGAAAACATGTCACCCATGAGCTCCCCTGCCATATCCTCTCGGCCCCTCATCCGCCCGTCGAAAAAATTCAGATCCAACGACTTGATCGGCAGGCCACTCTCTCTACCACGACTCTTGGAAACCCTCGACACAAATCAACTGCGAACAGTTTTGGAACGCATCTGCGAGCGCCATCCAGATATTGGGCAGGAGGTGGTCTCAGGCGCGCCCCGACCTACCGTTGACTCAGCAATGAACGTGCTGCATGGTTATCAAGAGAGGCTGAATGCTGCCGCTCCATATGGCGAAAGCAGCGCAGAGTATACCTATGACCGAGTCAAGAGTCACATCATCGCCTTGATCGATGCGCTCTCCGATTTCACTCCCCAGTTTCTCCCTCCAATCGAGACTCAGCCTACCAAATCCTTGGAATTCCTTGATGGCGCAACCAGATTCATTCACAACCTTCCGGATTGGCAGCCACAGACTTACCGCCATCACAAAGATAACGCATACGAAGACATCTCAAAGGCATGGGCTTTGGTCATCAATGAAGCGGCGAAGCGAGGCGGTGGATTTAATTTGCATTCCGATGGATGGGACCAAAAACTTGCTCGGCATAACGAACAATCCGGAGGACGTCTAGCAACAGCCATGACAGCCATGTCAAATAGCGTTGGCTGGATGGGATCGAATGAGAATGGGGGTTCGTCAGATCAAGGCTCTATTCTCAACCAGCTTGTATCGGGTGCATACGGCTCGCCTGTCAGGGTCGGACCTTGGTAAACGCTGCTATATAATATACGGAGAGCGGCTAGACCATTGCATTTTTCTTTTTCTTTTCTTTCTCTTCTCTCGCCAGTCCGATGGTTACCCGAGGCGACACTAGAGCAAGCTACGACACTTATATTTTCATCACGACAAACACATTCCCCTGCATCAACGGGTTATTATAGACTTCGGCACTCATTTTTCCTTACGCACAACTTGGCTGGTTTGGCGTTGACCTCTTTCCTTTGTAATTTTTGATATCCTTTCATTATCTATCTATCGAGTGGCGGTTGGGATTCTACAGTGTGGCACTTTTCTGGTTTATTGGTCTTTGTACTGGTACGAACACATCATCCTCTGTAAATATTTAAAATTACAAAAGTATTCCTAGTCCTGTGTTTTGAACAGGCGTGGATCAACTTTATTTTCTCCTCTCTCGACATGTGAATCTCGACATGTGAAACTACCAGCCAAGAGCAAATTATGCTGATGATTAACTTGCTTTGTATTTGCTTGACAACCGTACTGTTAAACAGAAGCTGGGGGGTTTAGATTCTCAATTCTTCTTCATTTCATAAAATCCAGTGAATAAACCGCTCAGAGCTGACGACGCAGTGAAGCTCTTTTAGCCGTACACTACCTACCTAGTTGGTGTTAGAGGCGCTTAACGACATGCTAGTAGAGGTCAGGCGGACTAGATGGCAATTGAGCTGAGATTTCTTGGTGGTTGCAGAATCTCGGGTACGTACTACTGTAGGTACTGTGCCTCTAGCAGCTGTCACCTTGGCAGGTCACGTGCTCTCCTGTTTCCCATTAAACAGAACGCGCTTATTGCTATGCTGCTAACGCGACATATCGTGAATGAAAGCCCAACACGACCTTTTTAGTAGCCAAGGATTCCAGATACTCAGGGGCGGCCGTTCTTATTAAATCCAGAGCTACCTGGGGCTGGCGTTCTTTTCTCGCGCTTTTTATACCGATGCTAGAGTAACTTCGGCCGCCCTCCATGCCTGCGTATGCCCTCCCTCACTCATATTGTGGTAGCCTAACTCGTTAATAACATCATCCAGTCCAGGCGATCAACACCAAGCGTGGGCTAACCCCTTCGAAGAGGCCAAGCCCCGCGTATCAGAATGGACGGCTAAAGAGATTGCCACAATCTCCTCACGGCTTGATAAACAGCTCGGACCTGAATACATCTCTTCACGCGCTGGGCCTGGCGGTTCACGGGTCCATTATCTCACAGCCGAAAAGGTGATTGGCCTCGCCAACGAAGTTTTCGGCTTCAATGGATGGTCGTCCTCGATACAGAACATCCAAGTCGATTTTGCCGACGAAAATCCTCAGACACAGCGTGTGAGCATCGGACTATCTGTAATCGTTCGGGTCACTCTCCGAGATGGCACGTATCACGAGGACGTTGGCTACGGCTCTATAGAGAACGCAAAGGGAAAAGCGATGGCCTTTGAGAAGGCGAAAAAGGAGGGGACGACTGATGCCTTGAAACGGACGTTGAGGAATTTTGGCAATGTTTTGGGCAACTGCATCTACGACCAAGACTACGTTAAGCAAGTTACCAAGATCAAGACCCAGCCGAACAAGAAGTTTGATCCGGATAACCTTCATCGGCATTCAGACTTTGCGAAAAAGGAGCCTACAAAGGATATAATCATGAATGCTGTCAACAATGGGGCGAAGACTAATGCTCCTGCCATCGCCACTACTGCTTCCACCTCCGCTGTTGGAGGATTCAAGCCAGAGCCCATGGACTCATTTGATGACTTCTTAGGGGGTATGCTGTCCTCGGATGGTTTTGAAGAAATCGAGGCTGAATATCTATAGAACTTGACGAGGCGGATTTTTGCGTACCAGGTGAAGGCCATCCAGATGAGATCGTACTTCCCAGCGCTGCCAACCCATTCCATGACAAGCCAGCGACTGTTGCAAACGAGTCACGGCAGGCCCAGCCTCCGGCTGGACAACCGGCAAAGCCTATACCCGGGAACAACATGAATCGACCGCCCCAGCCCCAGCCGTATACTCCAAGGCAAGGACAGCCACCACGACCGCAGAATGCCCCGCAAGCCCAAGATTCTTCAATGGCTCCTCCTCAACAGCCGCCTCCAGGGGAACCCGTGGCATTCTTCTCGGCGAGATCTACACTTGATCCAAATCAATCCAGCGGCAACCAGAATCAACAAAAGCAACTGTTCAATCCCAAGGCGGAAAGCCCTTCTATACGAAAAACCCCTGGAATTGATCACACATCATCCAAGCCTGTGGCGAGGAACGGCCAGCATGTCCCTCCGGCTAACAGCCAAGCACCATCTTCTACGCAAAGTGGCAATACAGGGGGTTTTGCGTCGCTGCGACAGTCAATCGGCAGCTCTCAAGCCAAGGGCAATACAATGAACCCATCACTAGACCAAGCTCGTAGAATAGGAGCGCCGGGTGGCCTGGGCAGTCCTCTTGCAAATCGAGGTCAATATAAGCCCCCGACGATGAAGCGAACCCTCCCAGCTGAAGGGAATGGAACCAATGGAGCAAGATCACCGTTGGTTGATATTCCCACAAATGCGACGAGTGCTAATGATGGAGACGGTTTGGATGCAAAGAGACAAAAGATGGCATAAATGCCATGACAGATCATAAAAGCGTTCGAATATGAAGTAGGGAGCATGGTGTTTTGGAGTTTATATGGGTGATGATAAACCTTCTTTAAGGCTTGGTATCTATGGGATTTCTAAGTGCCAGAACTCAATGTGTCGCGGGATAATCGACTCACGATGAGATGAAATGTAATCTAAGCGTTATTTCAAGTTTAAACTGCCATACATTTCCCAAAAGATTCATCTGTTACCATGTCGGCCTTGGAGGCTTTGAGATATCGCTGAAGCTCAAGTCAATGTAATGTATAGTTTCCATATCCACTCTTGCAGTCGTAAAGGAAACATGTGCATAGTCAGTCCAGTTGCTGAATTTTATCACAGTTGAGTTTGGCAGTCATTTTCTTGTTTTTCAGTAAGGCTCGTGTCACTTTCGCCACATCCCCCAGATGGTCGCTTACATCTTCGGTGAGTGAGATACTAATCAGGGTTCGCTTCCTTTCACGTTTCCAAGTGTTACTACGAAGTTGCTACAGTTTTTTCTTAAGCTAGGGTCTACGTTAAAATGGGCGTAGGCAGAGAACTTATCCTGGCCATGAGTCGGAAACGTGTGCTGCAGAGCATCCCGCTCTGTCTCTGGTACGTAAGCAAGAGGTTTATAGGGGAAGCCCTGATTCTGTGGAGCGAGGCCATTTCGAAAGATGAATGAGTAGCTGATAAGCTTCTCCAAGTAGAGTGATTGAGTTGCGCTGATGTGCTTGGGGAGGAAGATGCGGATCTTGCGTATGAGATAACCGCCTGGCGAGGCATCGACGCGGCTATAGACGCCGCTGCCATCGGTTTGGATCAAGTTGCTGATGTGATACTGGGTTGGATTGGAGTGGAGTTGATAGAGCTAGCGGAGTCAAACGGTATTAACTGGAGTTGTTTGCGCGGGGAGTTTGATGCAGTTTTATGTCCATGAAGCAGACTCGATTGCTGATGGGGAAGAGATCGGTATCAATGCGTAATACTTGTTGGAAATGAGGAACTCGGTGCTGAATATGGGGATATTGATGAGCTGATGTTGTTCGGAGCAACAGCCAAATAAGTAAATATACCTAATTCCAGTAGTATCAAGGACATCAAATTCGAAACCTTTTGTTACAATCTTTCATCTTATACGAAGTTAGCCATGTCTCATACAACTGTCGACGCACCTCTTGCTCGTCTATTTTAGAGTCATCTCCATTACCGTCTCGATGGCCATGTCATCTGTATGTAAGCGAGGAAGCCAAGGACCAAACGAAATAGATGTATGAGCAGAAAGTGGATAGTCGTCGTCCTCACGTCAGTCTAGGAGTGAGTGGATCTAGAGACGGCTTCTCGCTATAGAGAGACTATGATCCGAACACAAAGGGAGTCGAGTCCTATCTAATGATATTCAAAACCTAGATCAGGTGAATGAAAATTAAAAATCAAGTATTTAAAGCTATATGTGCTTTGTGTGTGAAACACTCTGAATAGGTGACGCATGTTGTAGAGAGCCTGTTTACTGTGCAAATTGCGGGCGGGCCTGCACCCCACGTCCTTGATAGTGCTACTTGGCGTAATGATTATCAATAAGCTTAATAGGCGGAGTGCCAGAGTGGTTAATGGGTATGACTAGAAATCATATGGTTTCGGCCTCGCAGGTTCGAATCCTGTCTCCGTCGGCTTATATTTTTTTCTTTTCTATCATCCTTTTTTCTTTTTGTTTCTTTTGTCGTCTTGTGTTTCCTTTTTTCTTTCTTTCTTTTTTTTTTTTTTTTTTTTTTTTTTTTTTTTTTTTTTTTTTAAAACTGGCACCGCCGATGGAGAATCTCTTNTTTTTTTTTTTTTTTTTTTTTTTTTTTTTTTTTTTTTTTTTTTTTTTGCATATGATTTTCTTTCGCCGTTAATGAAGCTAAATTGCAATCAATTAAATCAATATTCTTTGTGGTACCTTTCCAATTACACAAGTGATATATACAGCTTTTATCTACATGGAGTCTTCATAGCCCCATGCCCAAACGCGTCCCATGTTTCCCTCTTATTAATGCCACCTCGATATATATCATACATCCCTCATCATCCTCATCCGCCCCGACTCAATTCTACAGCCTTCTCAAAACGCCATTCTCGACATAGCTGCCTCGCACCCGGTTCCCAACATTAAACAAAAACATGAGCCGTATAATCACCAATACGGTGCACAGCTCTACACAGTAAATGCACTCCACCGTCACGTCAGAAGTTCCCTTCAAGCACGCCAAGTTCCATATCAAAAGCACAAGTTGGCATCGACGCCATAGTCGGACGTCGTCCGCGTAGTACATGACGATTGCGGCCATGGCCATCAATGCCGTCATGAGGCTTAGCATCTGCTCGAGCACGAACTGGTCTCGAAACAGGTAATAGTGTTCTTCGCTGCTGATCCTGCTGAAGAGCAAGGTTCCGCCGAGTGTGCGGTTGCGGAGGTTGACATAGCCGGTCCAGAGTGTGATGGCAGGCTCTATTTTTTGAAAGAAGAGCCGGTACATGGGGTGAATGTATGAGACGGCCATTGTGAGAATAGAGAAGAGACGGTGTAAGTGATGGCTTTGGTGTATCAGCGCGACTGGCGTTTTCAGAATGATGAAAAAATAAAAAGTATGTTTTCGTTTGAAACGAATTGAAGCTATTTGGCAAGCTATTTATTTAATACCGAAAACTTCATTTAGGCTTCCTCTGACTATTTTTTTTTTTTTTTTTCTTTCCCTTCTTCTTCAACTATCGGTATCGCCAAGAGGCCAAAGCTCCATTCCGCTAGGCAACCGCCCAGCCGCTCCACTATATCGAGGATCTGGAAATTGAACAAACACGGAGCAGAAATCAATGGCACTAAGCCTAAGCTACAATAGGTTCTGGCCGAAATTTGCTGTTGGGAGTATACAACAGTAGCTGGGCTGTGTAGGACATAATATACAGTAGATGATGCGTTGGGCCGTCTCTCATGCATTGATGGCCATCTCTTTTGAAAGGTAGGCAGTCAATGGGCTGTCCTTTCATACTCTGTATATACAACTCAAAAGTATTCCTTTCAAGCGTTAGTCAAAGACGCAGTCGTCAGCTTTGACAGACCTTCTTGCGCCTGCTTAACCCCCTCGGAAAAGTCCATCTTTTTGCTCATCTCAATGCACGCGTTGTACTTCTTCTTCGCCAGCTCTGTCTTGCCCAGCATGGCTGCCACGTCTCCCCAGTTGCAAAGCGCAACAGCGCATGCCTCATCGCACTCAGGGGTACGATCGTCACCCTTCACATCCTTGGCGTGAACGTATGCATTCTGTGCCCAATTCAGGCCCGCCTCGAGAAATTCTTTACGCGTCTTTGGCATAGAATCGTTGAAAAGCTCCTTTAAGCCTTCAGAGGGCTCCATTGTACCTGCAGCGTAAAGAGGTTGCTGAGCAAATGATGCCGCCAGGTTGTTCATGATGACTGCTCGGTGGCAGGGGCTTTCGCATAGTCGGAGAGCTTGGAAGAATAAGGGGATGGCGAGCTGGAACTGGGAGCGGCGCTCATAGTCTCGACCCAGAGACTCCATTGATCCTCCAAGTTCTTCAGGGCTGAGCCACTTATCTTCGCCGGGTTTGGGGCCCTCGGTTCTGCGCCTTCGGAATTCTTTCAGCGAAGTCTCAACTGCCCAGACAAGATGAGTGTGAGACTGGTCAGCATTGAGCACATGCTCATCTGCGTACAATTCACCCAGCTTGACGCTTGTGGAAATGGCTTTCAAAAGCAGTCGCTCTCGTTTGCGCCACAGAGTCTCAATGGGCTCCGCAGGGGCAGCTTCGTCCGCTTCCTCTTTGGGCTTGTCATCAGAGGTGGTATTCGCTGCAGCGACCTGTTGCTGAGCTTCACCAACATATCTTCCCTGGTCATTCACTTTCCCGTCCTTTACAGATTGTTCCATGACATCAACCCACTTCCGGCAGTCTCCGAGAACTGACTCGAGCACGTCGATGGCAGCTTTGTGGCTGTTGATCTTCTCAAGCCAAAAGGCCACTTGGATCCTAATACCCAGCACTTCGTCAGAGAAAGGGTCTAGCCCAATTTCTGTACACTGCTCCATTGCCTTTTTATAATATCTTAGAGCAAGCTCGGGATCGGGTTTGTAATTGGTGTAGTAGATGGCGCGGCGCAAAGTGTTTGCGACAGGCTCCGGGTATCTGCTGAACTGCGAGTTGTAAAACGTATTGATGTAGGCTCTGATTGCTACCGCGGAGAAGACAAAAGTGAATACCAAGCTACGTAGTGTTAGACTAGCTACTTGGAGGAGAGAAATCATGTTAAACATTGGGGCACTCACAGGAGAATGTTCATCGTGGTCACAGCTGGATTCTCGCGATAAGACCGCCGAATGCCTTGAGGGCTCAGCGCAACCACGAGGTTCCGCAGACTGACTCCCAGAGCGCGCCCAACAAACTGGCGAAAGGTAATCTGAGGCTTCCCAGGCGTTGGTTCGTGATCTCGAGGCGTTGGAGACGTCGATTGGTGTCGTCTCTGCTCGGGTCGCAGAGCTACAACAGCGCGCAAGTGGACGGTTGCCGCGGGCGATTTGACCTGCACGGAGAGCAGCCCCGTCGTGGCATGGCGAAGGCATCTGCCCCCGACCGGCCGCAGCGAGGCGATTGCAGACACTGACATTGCGCCTCGAGATATTCCCGCGGCTGTTGAGCACATGCAAGTGAAGCTTCAAGGCCAGAAATGTTTCCCCATGACGGCATGCGAACGGATCTTGGTGGCATGTGGCCCGTGCGCCACCGTTCCAATTCGCGCTTTCTGTGCCGAGGGTGGGGGGCAGCGTGAATGCCGAGCGAGTGATCAAGAGCTCAACACTCTTTCCGAGCTCTTTTGCCTTGCACCGCACAGTTCTGGCGAGAAGAGCACAGAGAAAATGTCTGGAAGATTTGCACCCAAGGTCCCCGTCCAGCTGGACCCTCCCAAGGACGACCCGATATCTCTGGAAGACTTGGCAAAGGCCAACGGTAAGCCGCCCTGAGCCCCTCTATTCTGCTTGTGATGCCGGCTTCGCAGCCTCGGGACATCAGCATGGAGGACCAGCAAGAGTTGCTGCAGCTGTGGAAGTTCATGGAGTCGTCTCTGTTAATACCAGTAAAGATGATGATTTACACCGGCCATTCATAAGGACCAACTTCTCTAACGACACCGGACATCTCATGAACCCTCGGCTAATTCGGTCTTACAGGCACAAACGGAGAAAAGAGCTATGTTGCAATCAAAGTACATCTCCATAATACTCCGGCATATAAGCAGCTAGCATAACTGACAAGATCTCTAAAGGGCAAAGTTTATGATGTGTCCGGCAACAAGATGTACCAGCCTGGAGGCTCATATCATGGTAGGCAGCACATCCATGCTCACAGTGCACCGTCACTGGCGTCTATGCACTGCATCGAAAACAAGCAGTTAATCTAAAGATGCAAGTAGTGTTCGCCGGCAAAGATGCTTCCAGAGCATTAGGCATGACATCCGTCAAGCCAGAAGACGTCCGACCAGATTGGCACGATCTTCCCGATAAGGAAAAGGGCGTTCTTGAGGATTGGATAACTTTCTTCTCTAAGAGATATAACGTGGTGGGAGTTGTAGAGGGAGCCACCAATCAGTAAATGTTTGGTACCTTATTTGGGCGTCAGAATAGTATGTATATATGAGATGTGGGCATTGAACAGTTGGCACTACCTAATACTACATCACAACAGCCATAGTTGCTTGAGATTCATACGTAATGAGTTGGCACGAAAAAAAGCATGTACCTGTATCATAGTCTCGATTTGGTCAATTGTGATACAACGAGGTATACACATGTATGCATGACTTCAAGATGTCGAGTCCACAAGCAGCCACAGGCTCGCGGCTTACCAGCAGATGTTGACCTCGCTGCTCATCTCAAGACTAATACTCCGCCGAAGGAATCCACTCGGCCGAAGTGATACTACATACCATATAACTGTCATAGATACTATGCATCGGGCTTAAGTGATGGTGGTACAGCCATGAACCTAATGTTATATAAGTGGGCCGTATCACAGACTACATAGAGCGTGGATATCGTGGGGAGATTCTACCTACCTAGTATTCAGGCCGGCCGACACTCGACATGTACGCGCCTATATCTTAACAACCAACAACCAACTACGAGTCATGCTAAGCCCAAAGTCCCATAAATACATGTAGCATAAGTCCTTTGCAGGTCTGCACAGTTTCCACAAGCACGTGTCATACGCCCCCTCCTCGTCTCGCGAATTCGCACCATACGAGAACTATTTACGCATCAGCTAGTGTTGTAAACGCCACGCCTGAGAAAGAGGTCGAAATGGGTAAAACATGCATTCATCTGCATTAGGCTCTCTGGGATACTCCCCCTCCTCTATCAATGCTATCTCGCCAAGGATCTGGATATCTCCGCAAAGCGGTAGGAATGGCTTCCGTGTGGGTGAGTGTTACACGCCGTGTAACCTATGCACACTCCTTGCATCGCGACAACTACTAATTCATTCGCTAGAAGAAGTGTCAAGGACATGGGAACATCTCATAGTGGATTTCCACCTGAGAATCTCAATCTTAAATTAGCGTCGAGGGCACCCCTCCCCTACCACGTCCACTGCATGAATCAAGCTATCGACACATCATAACCCCCTCTCTCATTCGGCCTTGTCGTTTTTTCTCCCCCTCTCAATACAGACCCTCCATCAGCCGCAAATCCTTCCACTTAAACACGATTCATGCGTAAATACCGATAAACAAGTTTGATGTACACTCCTCCGAGACCATCTCCAAGCCCCGGACATCGGTCACTACCCCTACCCCTCCCTTGCTCGCCGGCTTCATGGTCGTCCATCGAAATGTAGTAGTGACATTCAGTCAAGTCCTCCGATGCGATACACCTTTGGATGCGCACTCATCGCACGGTACGCTTTGCCTCCATGAGTTGCGGAGCACCTTGACGCCCAGACACCCGTGGTTGGGATCATTTCGCGCAAAATGGCAGTAGGACTTTAGGCGGACTCGGGAGTGGTTACAGGTGAACAAGAACTCTTCCCAGTCGCACATTGTGGTGGCCAAAGTTCGATATAGCGTAATTTGTGTCAGCTGGAGAGGGGGAAATGGGCGAGATCACATTAGCAGCAATACGATATGTACAGTGACATGTCATTTAAATCTTACCGCAGGGCTGTAGTGAAAAAGCTTGGTATCTATATCAAAGATTGAAGTCTTTCGTTTAAAAGATTAGCATGTTTTGTAGTATATAACCCTAAGAAGAAGAAGAAGAGCAAGACGGCTTTGAGAAATGGGCTTCAGAAGCTTTTTATGTTCATTTTGTACTTCCACAAGTTATTCATGGCCTTCAAACAGGCTGCCAAACGTTCGTTCGCCATGTGGTGACAGCATGTCTGCAAACAAATAAATCACCGATTCACTTTACCCAGTCCCAAGAGCGCTGAATAACAAGTGCCTTGGCTGAACGCACGAAGACAGATGTCGTGGTATCCCATGAGGGCAACATACACGCTCTAATTCCGAATACGGATTTCCAAGCATAAGCATGATGGAAGGAGGAAAGATGATGGCCAGTCAAAAATCTGTCAGCTACGTGGTGTATCCATGTACCCCTGTTGGTTTCAACAGGTTGCTTTTTCGCAATAGACTTGTTCCCTTGTTTTCCACAAAGAGTAATCGAGGTCGTGCAACATACCTAGAGCCTATGAAAAAGAAGCTTTCTTGTTAAATGTAGTAAGAGAAGAAAACGGCCGTAGTACAGGCTGATCTTAGATCTTGGAACAGCGTTATCTAGCACACCACGAGATGCATATGCAGACCAGCGGACCAGCGAGGCCTTTGCCCATCCTCATCCTCTCGATTTCTGTTGGCTGGGGAGTCGAGGCCTGCATAAAACACTCTCAGCTGCGTACGCGCGCTGTCGAGGGCTGGATAGCAGCCCATGTCAGGCAGAATTCAAAAGAACGCAAAAGCCCAACCACCGGTTTCTTGTCCATCATAGGCTATGTAATGCTTGTCATCTCTCCCCGTGCATCCTATAATCCCCGCATCCTTTTACTACTCGGGCGACTACCCCCCTTGAACGGCGTCCTGGGCCACAATCTTTTCATGTCCCTTCACTTGAAAATCATAGTACGGACGTCAAATGGCAGCGGGGGGTAATGCAAAGCTGCGCGGAACAAGGGGGATATCTCCCTTGTGGCGCCTCCTGTATCACTTTAAAGGCGTCTGCTCCAATTCTGTTATCAATGTTATTAGTAGCAGTATTGATATTTTGTCCAAATATCATGGCTGAGATTAATTAGATGGGGACCGAGACACCCAGATTGATCTTATTGAGCTTGGATGTGGTTTCCGGGTTCCTGGGCTTCGCTAAGCATAGATGAGTGAGAGTCGGTGGGTGTGACCTTACGGATACGGCAAGTCAGACACTTCAAAGTCAGAATTCGTGCGTGGTAATGCTGCTCCAGTGACTCAAAGCGACGCGGATGACATGATCCTCCCACACCGGAGAAGCAGTAGTAGATCTTGTGTTTACATTTGGACCCATCCCGGCTTGGCAAGGGTTGTGTGGGTCACGATCCTTGCAGCAAGGATAGAGCATTCCCGGATACAAAGAGTCGATAAGTGCTGCAACGGCCCCCTTGGAAGCTGTGTCTGTTCTTAGCGAGTTGCATATAGCAGGTGGCCGCTGTGACATGAGAGAAGCAAACATGATGAAAAAATGGAAAANAAAAAAAAAAAAAAAAAAAAAAAAAAAAAAAAAAAAAAAAAAAAAAAAAAAGGTTTTCTACCTCTGCAAATTGAGCTCCGCCAGTACGCAGCCGGCTGGCTTCCCCGGTCCAACCATGACCTGGGGATGAAAGGAGTATGTGACGCGAAGAATCTTGTACTTCTAGATAGTAGGTACTTGGTAGATTTTTCAAGCTGCGTGGTGCGGCGGGGAGGTCTTGACCTTGATATCCAATAAATATAGATACTCCTTTCTGCTAAATCTGCCATTGGCAGCAATTTGAATTTTGAGAGCGTTACACGGAATACCCATGTATGCCCAGATACGTTCCAATGATACTTCGACTTGTATTTCTTGGCTGGTCAATCAGATCCATAATTGGCGACAAGGGCCCATCTTTGAGGGTAATACAAGCAAAGTTGCTGCTTTTCTGCAATGACTTACACATTACATTGTAAACTGGCTTTAGTTTGTGGATAATTTCACACGGACATTCATTCAATACACAAAAGAAATGAATTACAGAAGCGCTTAAGTTTTAGGGCAGAAGAATCTTTATCAATAAAATCTACGAGACAAATTCGTATCCCCTGCCACCATATCCTCAGCACATGCCCCATGTGCCCCATTCGGCCAGTAGGGAGACTACTTGTACTGTGTGATTCATGACAACTCAACGTTGTGAATGTGGGTAGATAATGGACAGGTTGATATTGACAATATAATATCATATCTCTAATAAAGAGTATAAATAATTCGCCTGTAAGTAGAATTAGGCCATGTTATGAATATATACACATATATATATTTATATATATCTAGAGACTACCTGCATAAAAAAAGAAGTTACTCTGAAAGGCAAATATCAACGGAAAACAACTTAGTACTTGTGTGAAATCTGCAATGTCTCTCTTGTGAACGTCTACATCTACAGGTAAACTAATGGATGTGATTTCACAACTCATGTATAGAACACGAGATTGAAATTTACCAGCATAGAAGCCCATGTATAACCCAGGGCAAGAAAATCCTAGCTTCTGTTTCTAATGCTCGTGTTCACTAGCTATTGCATCTTATAGGCGCTGAAAGATACACCGAACATTATCTACTGGCGTCAGTGTAAGCACAAGGCTGCCGCTAAATGTTATTTTATTACTCCCATAGCTGCCCAAAGGCTTCAAGGCAGGGTCTATTTTTAGTTCGCTCGGATCACTCTGCGGCATTTAGCGGAAAGAGAAGGATTTATAAATGGGAAGTGCAGAGATAACACTACTGTTCTTCTTTCCATCACTCTATCCGATATCTTCGAGAACAACATCTAGACGGCGCAAAAGATGATTCGGGCGTATTTAATCTCACAAAACTCTAGTACTAACTCTTTATACAAAACTCTTACAAGTAGGGTTGTGTTCGCCGAAATATGTCATGCTATCGCAAAGTAAAGCTCCTGAAGCTCGGCATCAACCCTCCAACAAGTCACTACTACTCTACACGCTTCAACCCACCCTACACCTGCCTATTCAAGTCTGTTACAAGTCTATGGGTACATTTTACGACCACCTACCTCTATAACATGGCACTGCAGAAGCTAATCATCACTCTCATTTCACGACAGGTCAGGAGCAGCTTCCTACATCGCTTGATTAAATGAGCCAAACCCCAGATCAAGCGCTGGCTTATAAACCCAATGCAAGGCAAATTGTTTGCCTGGCCAAGAAAACCGGGGCAGCAGCCTCAGCTTATGCGGCAGCAAGTACAATGGATCATAACAGGAGCCACGAAATTTACATGGCCGCAGATTATCAGACCCGCAACGTGGACATGCGACAAGCGGCGCAAGATGAACGCAGATGGTGGCGATATGAATCGTGATTTGTGGCATAGGCCGAGGGCTGTGCTGGTAGCGACATCTGCACGGCATACGCCAAGTTGGTTGAGAGCCAAGAGTGTGTTGCGTCGCCAGTGCGCAGAAAGGAGTGGAGATGGAAGAGGTGGGAAGAGGTGGGAAGAGGGGAAAAAATAGGAAAGGAAAGAAAGGGAATTGGATAAAAGAAGATTACTAAAGAAAAAAGAAGGAAAACGCCATGAAGAATAAATGAAGAGGGTGGAAAGAGTAGGATGGAAGGAAAGAATAGGATGCACGGAATAGGATGGAACATTCTTGGCTGGCTGGACAAAGTCGTGATACGGCAAACGGCAGCCGGGAATGCAATTTGGGGGCTGAAAAATCTTGGGTTTCGGGCTGGGTCGCGGTCTGCGCTGCGCTTGTGACGGTTGCCTCGCGGTTGCCTTGCGGTGGTTGCCTTGTTAGTCGCGGTTGCCTTGGCTGCTCATGGGTGCTCATGGGCTCCTGCCATCGAGAAAATGCTCCTTTCCTTGAGCAACTGCGCGCTATCGGTGAATTGCGCCGTCTGATTGGGCCAGAGCGAATCCCGTGCTATGCCCGTGCACTGCATCTGCATATTGGACGCTGCGTCTCACCGAACAAAGCAAAAGTGAGGCGAGAGGCATTTCATCATCGCGGCTTCAGTGCCGGATATCGGACGCCCTTCCGGATCGCCAGCGATATCGACGAAACACCACTGGCCAGAGGCGCTGCTGGGCCGGCAGACTGAGGCAGGGCGGGAGACAACATCCCGCGTCTTGATACCATCTGTCTGCACCATTTGCCAACAAAAAGATCTGGCTGCCAACGCTCATCTCAGCCACCCCAAGCACTTTTGATCCTTCATCGCGGGAGAGGAGCGGGTGTCCGCGCGACGCCGTGGCCGTTGACCGCTAGCTTTGGACATTGCCAGCTGTTATTATTAGTAGCTAGTTGCCTCGCCGGTCTCTGGTTGCCTCGTCTTAGTCTCAACCTCTTTCGTCCCTGTCACTGGTGCAAACCACGGCACAAGTTTTGGCGGTGATGCTCGACCCAGCACGGTGCCCCTTCGCTGGCTAATGCTGCCCGACCTGGCTCTGCTGCGTGCGCATGTGTGCCTTGGCTCGTCTCTGCTCCTATTTGTTACTCAGTGTTACGCTTGACTCCCGTTATTGAGGCTGAGGGCATCCGCAGACCGACTCTGGCCCCTCACATACCGTCGTGTTCCAACTGCCAACCCCGCTGTTTTGTGTCCTCGACGACGCATATTAGTTTTCCTCATCGACTGGGCAAAGCAAGACATTCGCGAGGACCTTTCTTTGCTCAGCACTGAGACTATATCTCATCTCTATTCCCTTCAAGTTTGCCTCAGAGGTAGAGAATCGACACGCATATATCACCGACAGGCGGTGCGCAGCCACGCAGGTATACGCCAGCCAACGGCCCTATCCGCACTAGCTCCTAGCCCAGCATGAGTCCTTCTCGTGGGGAGAATCCTCAGGTTCCAGAGCCTTATAGCATGTTCTATGAGTTCTATTCCGGCTCGGATGATCCCTGGTTTCCTGCCAGTGTCATCCAGCCGGCACAGTCGTTGAACCCATCTCGCTCGTCCACATATGCCTATAACACAGGATCACGCTTCCAAGACTTTAGAAGCCCTCCTGTGCCCTCTGATTGCGATACCGCTCTAGACTCTGGCTACGGAGGCAGTCGCACTACATACAGCGCTATTGAGAGCGTCACATCTGTCAATGAAAATGATAGGTATACGGAAGCTGTGCTCCTGGATACCCAGACGGCGGAACAGCTTATTGGTATTGGGGACCTGAATCTCACTTCTACGGTCCCGATGTATAAGACGCCTGTGATGGCATCTCGCCAATCTGCCAATGCTAAACTCCACCACTGTAACGTATGTGGGGCCAATGTCAAGACAAAATCAGAGCTCAAGTACGTTTGGCATATAACAAATATGCTCGAGGTTCCTCCTCGGCACCTACTTACTAATATGTCATAGAAAACATAACCACAGGCATAATAAGCCGTATAAGTGCGATTACGAAAAATGCCCCAAGGCTATTCAGGGATTCAGCACGACCAACGATCTCAGTAGACATAAGAGAACGGTTCACCGTGAGCATGATAACAATGGGCCCATCTTTATCTGCACCCATGAACCTTGTATCCTTAAGAAGGAGAAACTCTGGCCAAGAGCTGATAACTTCCGGAGCCATTTGACTCGCGCTCATAATATAACGCTTAAAGCAGATGATGATTTGAGAAGCTATCGTTACCAGCATGTGCTATCCTTTCTTTACAATTGAATCAAGCCGTTATATATAGATGAGATGCTAACATCTCATTTACAGCCCAGTACCAACAAAACCGCATGAATTCCGAGATGGCAGATTTATAACCGCTGGCATCCGTGTCGGACCCATCCATTCCGAATCGCCATCAGCACTAACCCCCCATGCGCATCTATATACGTGTCGCCATAGTGGCTGTTCCCAGGGAAAAGAATCTGGGTGGCCGACTGCCGATGGCCTCCAAGCTCATTTAGCTCGCATTCATGGTGTAGACGGCGACGATAATAGGCATCACCGTGACCAGTATGTACTTTTGATGCCCCTATTTTTTACTCTACAAACTAAAACACTAAACCATTGCCAATAGGCCAGATGAAACCGAGCTACATGCCCTCCGAGGTGTGGGATCCTCGGTTGCTGATGTTGATCCAGAGTCTCGACCGACACAGGTGCAAGATTCGCCTGATTTGCGGAGTAGCCAGCTCCCAACAGCTGCACTGGGCCAGTTACAAAACGAATCTCTAAAGCAGAATCATTTGTTGTTAACCACACAGTGCCCACGAAGCGGGTGCGACTCGCAATTGGCGCGATCAAATATCCTAGACGACCTCAAACTGGCCACAGCTCTTGGTCCCCAGTCTCTTGCCAGTGATGCCATCGCTAGGATTCCAGTACGTGGGGAGTCTTTGGAAGGTTCCGCGGCGGCGCTCCCTCATGATGAGCTGGCGCAAGAAAACATTGACCAGGAAGAAGGCAACCCAGTCGAGGCTGCAGATGAAGTGCTTGACCACCATGACTCATTAGCACTTGAGACCATGCCGCTCGATTTATCTAGCCAGTCTAAAGACAGTGCTCCTCAAAGCGGCATATCTGGATCCCAAGAAGCAGACAATGATATGGATAAGGTCTCCAGAACGTCTACAAAAGAACCTGCCAATTCACCCAATCCCGCGGAGCTTCTAAAAAGCATTCTATCAGATAAAAATGGCTCTTTGGATGTTCTTTCGCTTCTCAAGGCCGTCCCTAAAGATTTACTAGAAAAAGCTCTAAAACATGAAGAACAGGCACAAAATGAGAGTACTGCTCCCAATGATCAAACAGAGCGCCAATCGAAAATTCCATTCAGGTGTGGAAAATGCCACAAACCATTCTCACGGGCGTGTGAACTTAGGTAAATATATTCTACCTGCCCTTGGCCAACTCATCATGTGTCACATCGAAACGGTAACTAATATATCATTTCAGGAAGCATATGAAACGACATCAAAAACCTTATGGATGTACTTATAAAACGTGTCACAAGATGTTCGGCAGTAAGAATGACTGGAAAAGGCACGAGAGTAGCCAGCATTTCCAGATGGAATCCTGGAACTGTGATTACCCTCGCTGCGACAAGGTTTTGCCTCGTCGAGAGCTATTCAAGACTCACCTTCAGCATGATCATAATGTGGAAGATAGTCAGATAATTGAGAATAAGCTAGAAAGCTGCAGGCTGGGTCGCCATTGCGACCCACGCTTCTGGTGTGGGTTTTGCGATGAATTCATTGAAATTAATGAGAAGGTTGTCAATTCATGGACAAAGAGATGCGATCACATTGATAATCACCTATTTGGAAAAGAGGGCCTGCCGAAGAAAACCATGGCTGACTGGTGCTATCTTGAAGATAAACTGGCAGAGGGAGATTCTGACTCTGGCAAGAAGCCGAAGGCTGTGGCAGCTTCGTCTGGAGCCGTGAAGAAGCGAAAGGCAGCGGACAATTTGGATATGCGCTCTGCTAAGAGACTCAACGTTATCTGGATATGCGTAAGTTGCTACACATTGACTTTACTATATGTATTTGGTATATCTAACGCGACGAGTAGTGCGCCTGCAACCACCCTGAAAATTACCAAATAAGTAGTCAGTGCATGGAAATTCCCTGTGGGCACAAGCGTTGCGATAACTGCAAAATGGAACAGATTCCGGATTTTGGACACGAAACCGACCTAATGAGTCAGGGAGGAGGAGAGTTAGACTAGGAAAAAGAGACAGTAAGATGCCATGCCGATGTTGTCGGCTGATGATGATCTTTTTTTGGATGTTCAAGTCGAGTTTGTATATTTCATGAAGCCTTGCAGGTGGACTGCGAGGGTACCTACATTAGCTTCCAAGGATTACTATTATTACTGCCGAAGCGATACAGTGTGGTTGTGTAGGATGCGCAGCCTTCTGGATAAAGTTGTTATCTTTTTTTTTTCTGTATGTATGTTTGTGTAAGCCATGAGAAAAGTCCATAAAAACAAATGTGTTTTTGAGGCGCAGTCAAAGTGTTGAATGGATCCTTGCGGGATAAGCGCCGTCGTTTGTGTGCGGAAGCCAGAGTGCTACCGAGTGCTACCCCAAAGATCCGAAATTAGACGCTGCACACGGGCATAGCCTACTAGGCGAGTAACATCAGAGAGAAAGAGAAGGAGAGAAAAGGAGAGAGATAAAGATAGAGATACGAAGCAAATACCAGCAGCAAAAACAACAAAAGAGGCGTCTTGGTGCCTATTGTCTTGGCACTGGCGCATAGGTTGCCTTTTTTCGGTCTTTGGAAAACGCCATAGAAGAGGGTTTTTGGCGAAGGATCCCACCCTCCTCTTTTTCGGGTAAGACATTTGACGTATGTCTTGCTTGGGCAATTTCTACTTCTTTTTTACTTTTTTCCACTTGTCTCTCTTCCGCCTCGTAATATTAGCTGCATTAGCGTTTTAGCGAAAACCAAATGGGAAAAAGGCAAAAAAGAAAAAGAAAAAAGGCATTGAGAAAAGGGGGCCAGCTAAATGGGAGACAGAGGCAGGATGAATGCAGGGTGATAGCCGATGTTACGGTCTGTTGGTTGAGAATTTGGTCATTGGCCGGGTTATCCGTCTTGGTCCCCATATAGGCCTATCATCGCTGGTAAAAAAAAGATTTGTCTGACCTGGGCTTACCGCGAATGGTTCTCATTTTTTTTTTCGGAGAAGTGAACTACAGCTATGCCTAGAACAACCTCAACCGAGCACTTGCCCGAGACATAGATGTTCTCAACTTGGTAAGTCGGAGTACTCGCATGTGCGTGATACTCGTATTTGGATATCGGCAGGCTGATACCTTGTGGGGAGAGTGAGATGGAACAAGAGATACCAGCGGGTGCTACCAAAAAGAATTTCCGTCAAAGACTCCCTTCTTTCCCTTCCAGAAGAAAATTGGGTTTCATTATCCTTCGTCTATTTATATGCAGATATAGAATAAGGCCCACACCCCGCAAGCACGAAAAGGGCCGGAGCAAAGCCCCAAATGCGGATGGTTTTTAAATGTTGAGCGTGAAGTCATGTTACCTCGAAGCGACTTTCGTGCATTAGCTGGCATCGCCTTCCGGCCAAGTCGTTGAAGAGCACCTGTGCTAACAGCCGGAGACGGCTGTGTGCTAGACGTAAGAAAGGGCGATGCTACGGCACATCTGCACGATGAATATATTGATTGATCTGGGTCGTCGACCAAGAGTGAGATAAGGGTGATGGAAGAGAAACAGGCATTGAGGGATTGATGTTTGCATTGCGGATAATGTACTCGGTTCTCGTAGGAGCAAACACCATGCGAAACGAAGAGACTTGGTAGGAGGATGCATGCGCCGCTCGAGCAACAATTGCCAAGTTGAGGTGAGGCGCATTTTGAACTTAAGGAGCGTCTCGTATAGGGGGAGAAGCTATATTGTCGATGCGATTCCCAGCTGAGCATGAGTGAAAATGGTTTAGCTAATGAGATCTACCTGTTTGCCAGCGGTACGAGAGAGGCAAAAAGGCGCCGGCATCAAGGGTGCCTCCAGCTAAGGTATTGGTACTCCATGTGATGCACAGGAGATAGGCATGACGACGGAGCTTGACTGCCGTATGAGCGACGCGGACGCATTGAAATGAAACCGGGATTTCTGGTTGCTACGGAGCAGGTACCGGTACCAAGGGTTCGAGGTTAGCTGGCACATTGCTTTCAGTGTACTACTTCCGGTATACCCCAGTAAGTCGTCGGAGGTACAGCTAAGTGCTCTAGCAAGTTGCACCAGGCAGCCAGTGTCCATCGGCTGGGGGCCGTCGACTTAGTGCCGTCCGTGACCACGATGCCTTACCTCGATTGTCTCGCTTTTGTAGTCTGTTTGGCAACAATGGCTCTATGATTGGCGCCGGGTTAGAGAGGTTGTTCCCCAGCGGGGCTTCATTGAGCGGCGATGCAGAAGGATTCGATATGGGTAGGAGGTATATTAAGAAGATTAAAGACAACAGATGAGACAAGAGATGGGATGAATCGATCTCCGTCAGCTTGCAGACACAATCCTTGATGCCCTTTACATGCTTTTTGATATCGAGCAGGCTCGGACAACAACATAACAACCCCAAGGTCTTGGTGAGGACCTGGTGAGTCGTATTGTTGCCTCGTTTTCTTTTGGGGGTGGGAGACGAGTAGCATCAATGCTAGCCCGGTTTCCAGTGCTGGCTTCAAGGGGAGCAAATGGCGGAAATGAACCAGGAACGGTCTCTAACGCGCCCCGTAGCAGAGACTGCAATAGCGAAAGGCACCATTGGCTTTGCACCTGATGTATCGCTTTTTCCTAGGGCCAGGGCTGCAAGGCGACTCCGAAGGCGCAAGTTGACCCAAACTAAGATCGTGAATAGGTACTCCCTGGTACACGGTGCTAGTACGATGAATGCAAAGCATGTACAGCCATCATGCATCGTGAGATGGTACTAGTACCAGTATAGGACGGCCGACGGCCGACAAACAAGATAATAGCAAGGGTAAAGGGCTCAGGTCCCACGTGGCAATCCCGGGCGCCCCGGGGGGTGCTCGTAGTCTGCCGTCAATGTAAGCCACCACCGCTACTGCCTAATCCAAATACATGTACTACTTTGTGCGAGCACAGGCACTAGCAGTGGTATTCTAATGATGCAGGCCCTTCATAGGGCATACCGTGCTGTATTAGGGTCCACGCCAGCCTTGGGCTTGGGCCAGCCAGGTTGAGCTGTTGTATACATGCAATGCACTCTCCTGTACTGTCGGTGGCCTGTCGAGCGCATGGCATGGGCAGAACGATTTATGCTGTCGAGTATGAAGCGAGCAGCTTGACTAGAGTCTGGCCACGGCCACGGAGAGTTGAAGGAGCGTTACACAGGCCGAGGCCCCTGCTTAGTCTGGTGCAAATCTCGGAGTCGAGAGGTTTGAGAGGACCTGATATTGAAACTCCGGCATACCTGTAGCTTTTTAATTTGAGATTATCAATAAATTCTAATGAGCCTTTGGATGTGTGGTGAGGGGCAGGGGATATGACGATGGTGCTGAGAGTAGGTATCACAGCATCGTGGAGGGGGGGAGGGGCAGGGCCAGGGAGAGTTCAGCTCCGCGTAGTTCTTTTCCATACGTAGTTTATTATGAATCAAGTATCTTGAACAGCATAATTATGCAGCTCCGAGAAGATGATGGTAGAACTGCTGCCGACGTCATCTCGGGCCTTGACAAGAGCTGCTAGTACATCGTGGCGATTCGTCGAACGCAATCCATCACATGATTGGACACATGATAAATGCGCTACGGTTGTATTGACTTTATGGAAGCACTATGAGAGTATATGTTAACGTACTGAATGCCAAAACTCGTAGAAATTCACCCGGCATCGCCTGCACCGATATGGAGCTTCTGCAGTTGACGCGCCGAGACGGCCGCCCCGTAGTGTACGAGTGTCATCGGGCACTCATCCGTACCCGAGCAGCGGATAGGACTCTTGATAGAATTTAGCTGTACACCATCTCGAGAGATCGGCGAAGACTAGAATATTGTTGATGGGCCCTGTACTGCTATGCCTGCGCAAGCCATCGCGGTGCAGGCTTATCCCTGTGTATGTGACATCTCTGCCAAAAACACAAGCAGGGGCACCAAGCTGGCGTTCCCCCTGTGCGCTGACTGACTCCCGGTTACTGCCACACCGAGAAGTACGATAGTCATCGGCTTGAGCTTGTGTCTTGGATGTGTTGATCAACAGAATTTCAAATCCAATGCCACGATACCAAGACGCCCGCCCGACACCCTTGTAAGGCTTAAGATACTCCCCAGCTGGGTGGAGTCGGACCTGGTTCTTTCTGGTCCCTCATAGGTGCTGCCACTGCTTCTTCCAGGTCCTGGTCACCTAGATTCATGCCCACGTCCAAAGTTTTACACTCGTGATATGTCATGTGTGCTCGGTCGGCACCACTCTGGCAGCGTTTTGGCTGCAGTAGCCCCGAGAACTATCATCGGTGTTGTAAGCGAAGCTGAAAAATCGGGGGCTTGGTAAGTCCAGTCATGGTGCCTGATTCGAGTGGTTTTGCGATTTGAGCAGATGCGTATCTCGGTGCGTGCGAGAAGGGAGCATTACTGAACGCCTTGGCGCCGTCATCCTAGGGACCAGTCCGACCAGCTCCAGTCCATTGATTCTGACTGCACCGGCCGGTATAATCGCCCGGGCCGATTAACGAAACCGGACTTCTCATACGTTTGCGTCTAATCCTTGATTTTTAAACCCTCTGGCGTCGCAGTGTTCGCTTGGCCAGTAATAGCATGCGGTGATGGCATATCAAGGTGTGGCCGAGTTGAGGCACAGCAGAGAGCTGAAGCTAGCAAAACAGTAAGGTCGATAGTCCAGCTCTGTGGAATCGGCTTCTTGCTCGGCTTCTATCATTCGGAGGGTACTGTACTATGGGATTCCACCAAAGGCAGCATGGCCTGTTTCCATGCCAGAATATCACTGACGTATCGGGAGCCAAGCAATGCTGGTCAGCGATACAGCTAGGCAAGGTGCCAGCTAGCGTGTTATGCAGCGAGCGGCTATCCAGCATTGCCCACGGTGTCCAAAGCACGGTGACACGGCGAATGAAGGCGGCGTATATGGTGGTGGTGGCACTGCGGCTAGCAGGACCTGTACCAGTGGGAAACCTGGAAGAGGCTCCAGCAGGGTGGATAGGGCTGGAAAGATATTTCCGAGGGCCTCGAAGGATTGTTGTTGCTGCGCAGGGCATTGCTGGAGACGTCAGAAGCGGACTGTGCTGATCCAAATGATGGAGAAGCAAGAGTAGGACAAGCAGAGAGAAGGGTTCGCAATCAGAACGTTGATGGAAGTCGAAATAGTAACAAAAAAGGCAAGGACGCTGTCGTTTTCAACTAGCAGGCGCGGAGCTGATGTTAGCACCTCGCTAGGCCGACTAGCTCTGCGTGGAGAGTGCACAAAGGGGGGGACGGAGATCTGCCGAGCTGGAGGGGAAAGGCCAATACTTTAGCGCTGTGCTCATCCTCGTGCTAGCGGATAAGATGCGGGTGGCGCCATGGAGGCAGCACTGTATAATACTGTATGGTACGGGGGACTGACTGCTGACTGCAAAAAGATACCTACACCTGTGGCTTATTGAAACGTGCAGCTTGTAGAGGGCGTGCAGCATCCGCGGAGATATTTAGTGCAGTCGCTCAGAGGACGGCGGGAGGAAGGATGCAGGGCAGGGAGAGAAGTGGAAAAAGGGAGTCTGTATCTTGGCCGCTCACTGACGGCGAAGGAGGGAAAAAAACACCATTAGAGTCCAGACCTAGACCAACAAGCCATCCCTAATCTATGCGCGACAGCTCGGCCAGAGCGAGCGTGGGGTTGCAATTCCCTGGTACTGGTACTGGTTGTGCTAATTAGGACCTGTTGTAGGCCGCTGGTAAGAGCCAAAGACTCCCTAGGGCTGTTAGATGGCAGACTGCCAGAAGCCCACGCCAACTGGAGGCTTTTGCTTCTTCTTTGACTGCTAGGGAGAAATATGGAACATTCTGGTATTTCTTTTTAGAAGTAGACGCATGTAGGTCGCCATCATCCACTACTGAGGTAGATAGGAAGCATACTCCCTGGTACCTGGTGCCATCAGCACTCTATGTTTGCAGGGGCAAGGTTCGTATCCGTCCACCACCTAGACTACCTACTACTGCAATATCAGAAACGCGCTCCGTCCAGGCGGCGCCGGCTATTGTTACCTTTTATTTCACAAAGAGTATACATCCATATGTTGCCTTGGATGGGCAATTGGTATTTGCCCATCCTGTACTATATCCCTTGACGATGCTTGCATTGCATCTTTAGTGCAAGAAGCAGCACCCGAGTCGCTACGCTCAGGCATAATCCCCGGAACTGTATCCGAATCACCTCCCAAGGCATCGATTGGCTCTCACAGGTCGTGGGAGGCGTCCAACGAAGACCGCAGTCTGGTTAGCAGCATGAAGCTAGCGGTTGAAAGCAATCAATGGTATCTAGCGCTAGACTTTGCTAGAGATGGAGGTAAGAGATTGGATGGGGGAGCGGGCATGCTGAGCGCTAGGCTGAAAAGCCCCAGCACAGCTGCAGCTTTTCAGCGAGTCAGGCATCCGGTTGGTATTTGTATTTGATGGTAGATGCCACTAGATGAGGGCGGGCGAATAGGATGGAGCGTCGATGCTGTCAGCTCGTTCGTCAGACAGTAGCAGTACGGTCCCGCCAAGCTGCTGTGCGAGGACTGGTTCCCCATCGGTGCTTTCCTGTTGCAAGTACAAGTGGTAGCAATGCTACATAGCAGCAGCATCACCATCAGCAATCGATGGTAGCAGCAGGAAGCTGCAGTGGCATCAATCATAATACTAGCAGAGTAGCGCTGCGGGCAGAGTCTGCATCGTCGTCACCGCCGCATCCAACATAATCATCATCATTGCCGCCTTCGTCATCGTTATCGCCGTCATATGCAATGCAGCATCGCGCACAACTTGCGTCAAAACTGCTGCCACTGCGGATGCAATGACAGGCGGCACGCCACTCACGGCCAGAGTCGTGGCACACAGCGCCTCTGTCCGTGACTCCTAATGCTACCTACCTAGGCGTCGCAGCTATTGCCCTCGCTCCGCCATTTTGGCTGCTTGTTGTGCTTTTCCCTCCCAGTAAGGGCGGAGCGCTGGGCATGTGTGTCGCACAGGACCTTGGATCTCACGGGGCCCGGAGCAGTCATCTTTCGGGATCGTCTTGTTCTGTTTCTGCAGACGACGAGTAGTGTTTCACCGCGCTCAGCTCCCTCCAGGGGGGGCTGGATCTCTTGAATTTTCGGACGGAGGTTGTTTTCTTACCCACCCTCTCAGACGCAGGCCCGCTGGTTCCTGAGCCAAGAAGACAAAATCATCGCTATGTCGTAGGTTGTGCGCTTCCTCGCTCCCTCTCAAGGCCGGACGTGAGACGCCCATCTATGCGGATCTCGTACGATAGCTCCCTGCTCTGCTGTCTCGCAGGAAGCCCCCCACACAAGGCAAAGCCACTAGCAAGCGACGACATGCGGGAAGAAGAGCAGAAAAGCCTATTTTCTGCTGGCTCAATTAGCAGTAGCTGTTTCGGTGCAAGGCATCGGGCGGTAGCGAAGTCGCTCCCGGCCAATTTGGCGTTCCCCGGTCTGCTTTCACAGAGTGGAGCGAGATTTAGCGCGGCCTCGAGTGCTACGTCGATTCTGGCTAGACACCCATCCGGAGTAGCGGCGCTAGAATTAGCAGCTGGAGTTCCAGTAATAGGAACAGGGCGATCACTCCCCATGCGACACTGCGCTACCACTACAGAGCATTTTTAGGACTGCGATAGGAAAGGATGCTGCCTGCAGCAAGCACCTGGAGTGGGCCGCAAGCCTGCACACGCCGCCTGTCGAGCATGCCGCGCATCTGCTCGTCTGCCCGGCATCTCGCCCTCTGCCTCTCCCATCACCATCTGCTTCGCCCAGCGTCCACTTTTATTTATTTATTTTTTTTGTTTGCTTGTTTGTTGGAATACTACATACTAGTACAAGGACAGGCTGCTCGTAGCTGCTCGGGGGCTAGACGCAACCCCTGTCTAATTGCTTGCCTCCCGCCGCCGCCAGCATTGGCACACGCACTAAAGGCCCGGGCCTTGATTTTGGCTCGTCAGACTCTTGTTGCGCAGACCGGACCCAGTACCCCAAGTTTTGGCGTTCGCTGCCGCACGAACCACCGCCTTCAGTCTTCAGCCCATGTATCCGACGGCCCTGGGTCTGTCCTGGTGCAGATTAGCAGGTACCAGGTATCCCCTTGCTAGCTGGCTGGCCTCTTCTTCCTGTCTAGATTCGCCTTCACCTCCAGCTTCTGGCCGGCCAGCTTTCGGCCAGGACACAAGGACGGGCCTTGAGAGGCAGCGAACCCTGGCGAGGCTGAGACTCCAACTCAACTCGTGTATCATGGCATGTTGGTGATGGCGGGAGCTGCCTTACCGTCGACGTGGCCTTCGTTTGGGAGGCTTCCAGTCACGGCATGGTCCTTGGAGACGAGAGGAGACGGCCTCGGGCCAGGCTCAGCCAACTGCTGCTGCTCTTCACCACAGAGAGAGGGCCCATGCCTACCCAGGTGGGCAATTGGTCGCGACCAACAGCACGCAGCAAAGATGATGCTGCTGGGGACGGCAGTATTGCAGCCTCCGGCAGATGGGGGCTGCCGGCCATGCTACGCTCCGCTCGTGACAGCATAAGTTCGGCCCTGAGACGATGACGGTACGCTCGCCGCATCTGGAGCGCGCAGCAATGTCGTCGTCTGGATGGGTTTTGTTCTCTGTCGGCCAGAGCCCCCATGCTCTGATGCGCAACGCTTCGCCCCCCCAAGGCTGAGTCTGAGTCTGAGTCGAGGGGCGTGCACATTGATCTGGAAACGCGACAACCCTCCATCTCAGCCAGCACCCTGGACTAGGCCCAGCCAGGCCTGGGTGGGTGCGGCAGCAAATCCTCCTCCAGGATACGGCACACCCTCTGGCCGGGATTCGCAGCTTTGGCCGTGCCTGTCTAGGCAATGTACCTACAGTACAATCCACCCGCGCTACCAAGCGATAGCCGTCATGAGGCTCTTAGTGTTCTCTCGGCCACCGGCGTACCGCTTAATATCTACCAGCTGGATGGATCTCGTGTCCCGATCCATATAACAGGCCTCGAGCTCCCCATCCTCTCGGGCCTTGGATCACCTCTCCATTGGCATTACTGCTGACTTGCACCTTGGTCAAGCTCACATATCAAACACACTCCCCTCTCCATCGCCTTCTTCTGCAATCTACCACTCAGCCTCTGCTTGACAGACCAAGCCCTGTGTTACCTTTTTCATACTTTATATATCCTCACACGATAAAAAGAAGCAATAGTCTCCACTTCCTTGGGCTGTTCTTTTATGGCATCTCTTGTCTCACCATTTACTACTCACGCCCTTGCTCCTTGAGTAGAGAATAAGCCTAGCTCAGCATCCGTATCCTCGCCATTGCTGCTTTGAAAGTGCAATTATTGGCAATTTTCGATTCTCTTCTTTCTTCCTCTTCTTCTTCTTCTTCTTCTTCTTCTTTTAGCCATCAGGGAGAAAAGGCAACCCCTCAAATCATGGCCACCACCACCACCACCTCTTCTTCCCCTGCTTCAATGTCTTCTTTCTCCGTAACCAGCACTAGAACCAGCGGAGGGGTTCACTATGTCTACGGCCAAGTGCCCACTGGATACTCAGCAACCTCCATGTCACCGTTCGGTGCAGACATCGGGGAAGATCCTCTCTATGGGCAAATTGATCCCTTGTTGAGAGAGTCAAACTGCTCAGACGATAGCTCGCAATATTGGCAGGTTCCAGTGCTTTCATCATGCTTTCAACAGCCTCCAAACGACGCTTGCCTCGACCCTCGTCTGACTCGCGACGCTTCCAACGGCAGCATTTATCAAGCTGATTACGTACGGAATGGATCGCCGTCTTCTTTCCATGGCTCGCCGGTGTTTAGCTTGACGAAGAGCCCATCTATTGGCAGTAGTAGCTACGACATGGCGGCAGATCCCCCCACACCACCAGATGCACAAGGCAATATCATCTCGCTGGGAACTCCATATGACTCTGATTATTATGAATCCAGCACCAAACAGCCAGAGGTTAGCTACTATCCAGGCCCGCAAGATGAAGACATGCACAAGCATATTGCAAACCAAACATACTGCAACGGGGAAAGTCACGAGTTCAATGGACAATATATGTTTGATGCTGCTCCCCGCAGTGATTCCTTGGATCATATCAGCGCTCATAGCGCACACATTAGTGCTGCCGGTGCTGGCGCTCGTCACTATCCTCCCTGCGCTGCTTTTCCTTATGCCAACCCAGCCCGACATATCAAGGAAGAGAGCATGCCACCAAACACTGAAAAGAGGGCATTGACTACCAGGGTGGTGAAGAGGCGTAGCCGCGCCTCGCAATATCGCTACGATCCCATCTCCTCTGGCAAACAAGCCTCTGTTGATCACGAGGTTTCGTCGCAAGGTGATAGGAAGCGTAAGGTTTACGCGACAAACAAAAGATTCTGCCACAAGTGCAAGAAGCATTTCCCAAGCCGGGGATCTCTTGACGAGCATACGGGCATGGCTCACCCCCGGCCCTACATCTGTGTCTTCCACTACGCAGGCTGCACCGCCAGATTTGATGCCAAGAACGAATGGAAGCGCCACGTTAGCACAAAGCACTTGGGTTTAAAATACTGGGTCTGCATGGAAGGCAAATGCGCCGATGAGCGGCAGTCGGTGTTCCAGCAGCGCGCAGGCCTGGAGCCGAACGGCAACATCTTCAACCGCAAGGACCTGTACACCCAGCACATTCGGCGCATGCACTCTAACATTGCTGGCCAGAGCACAACCAACTACAAGGGCGCGGATGCCAGATCCGACTTTATGGTGAAGAGAATGCAAGAAGACGCTTTGCGCATCCGATGCCGGCTCCCAACTTGGATGCCTTGCCCCGTAAAATCCTGCGATAAATCGTTCAGGGGCAGCAACGCTTGGGACGAGCGCATGGAGCACGTGGCTCAGCAGCACTTTGAAAACGCGGCTGCCGGCAAGGAGCCTCCGGTAGAGTTTGGAGGGCTCCACGACTACGTGCTGACTGAATGGGCGCAGCAACCCGAGATTCGCATCGTCAAGGAAACAGAAATGGGATGGGAGCTCTGCGACCCCCTGAAAGGAGACACAGAATACAGGATGGCCACAGCCACCACCGAAGGCGAAGAGTAGCCTTGTTCTCCTGATCGAATCTTTGGTTTTTTGGCTAATTACTAGTGCATTGGGGGGCATTGGCATGAATTTTATGGTAGGGTCTCAAGACATTTGGCTTTATCTAGCATATGATTTCTTATTTCTCAAGTCTGTACTTTTTGCCGTTACTGTTTGTTGCCGTTGTTTATTCTCACCAATACATGTCCTCTCATGATACCACGATTCTTCTAAAGAGATCAAAATTTTCATTTGTAATAGGTAGACAGGGTGGATAAGGGTGGAGCAGATGGAAAATGAAGTACGATTTCTTTCCCCAATTGACTTGCCAATACCTAGACAACACTTGTAGGATTGATGCTGCTGTGTAACAACTACGTTGAATGACTTGTCCAGGCCATAGCCATGGTTTGACCCAGAATATCGGTTCCCAGGATTCGTCCCCCAAACTACGAAACAATCCATCATCCGTCGTCTGATGTTTCATAGCTTTTCGTCTCATCCCTGACAACTTCCTCGAAGGAGGTGGGGGGAGGTGAATTGGGGGGTTTCAGCCTTTCACTCTCCTGCACTCCAGGGGCCGGGCAGACAGAGCCTCTAGCAAAAGCAGAAAAAATAAACACCACCCACTTGAACTACTATACTCCCGTGGGGGCTAATCTCTCCCATGCAGAAAAAGGCAAAAGGCAGAACAAGGCAAGGCGAGGCGAGGCGAGAAAAAAAAATAAAAGAGAGGGTAGTATTAATGATCTCGGTGTGGGACCGCCCTTGAGCCGGGAGTGAGTGCCAGCCAATTGATTTGCAGGTGATGCGTGTTGACCGCACGCAGAGCCGTGTGATTTTGCTTGAGTGGTTGAGTATGAATTTTCACGATGTCATTTTGGGGGCGTGTTTGGGAGGCATGAGGAAACCAGGGGAAAGGATACATACATGTAGGGCGATGGAACGTATCTGCCTTGTCAGCCCTAGGAGGGGGATTTTTGGGTTTTGTGATTTTGGGGTTTGTGTAATTTAATTGACCTTTAATTTTTTTTAATTCAATCCATTTATTCATTTATTTTT